ATATTAGTACGTAAACAGTGAGAAAGTCATGCTTTAGTGGATATGTCGTGTTGACGAGCTTTAGTTTGCTCTACTTGGGTGATTGATCTCATCCGCTAGCCCTTCGTTACACGTAGTACAGTGCAATAATATAGTTCAGTGGCTGTAGCAGAATTTACAGCAATTCAGTAGAGGTGCGGTAGCTACGTTAGTTAAAGGAAAGGTCTGTTCACGCAATCCATTTTCTCGGATTCTAGTTTACTTGTGGCGTATGGAATGTAGTCTGCTATTGGTAAGGCAGTACTGCGTTGGTTTAAGTGCATTTGCTGCCCATATACATTGCAAGTCAACAGACTATAAATCATCCATCAGAAGTGAATTGGATCCGACAAAATCGGATCGTGGGAACAGACGATAAGTCGAGAGCTTTGCTGACGATGCTAGACATATATGGAAAAAATCCTTGTTTATATAATTAAATCATATAAAAAAGGAGACTTTGAAGAAAATAGGAGGGAGGCAGGGGGCAGTACACCTTAAATCTTTTCCTAAAATATCATTTCCTTTACTAGCATCCATGCTGTAATGTTTCATACTGTGGCGATGACAACTATCTGGCTGGGAGATGAAAATATTACAAAATATTTTCACTAGTCTTCTAGTCTCCTCTCCAGCCAAGTAAGACTTCCGAAATTAGAATAAAAATATTGTTTGCAATTAGGGCGATAGCTTAATACCTAATACGGGTAACGGCAAACTTCAAGTCTTATTTGAAGATGTTTGGAGCATTTTAAGATATAAATTCTATTTTACGAAACGTCGCTTTTATTTGTGTCTATAAAATGTAGATTTGAATTTTAATTATGCGCCATATTTTTTCATCGTTCAAAAACCAAGAATTTGTGATGAAAATTCTAGTTAAAGTTTGCCAAGTTAATTTGCCAAGGTCGAGATCTAGCTAGTTATTAAAGATTAAACTAAACGTCGAAATCCAACCCGACACAAATTAAGAAACTTCTGTATAAGAAAATCTCGCGTAAATCCGTCAGAATATCAATAACAATCGGTCCTTACTTACATGCAGGTATTAAAACCAGCTTCTTTAAGGCTTGAAAAATGTGAACGAGTGAATTAGTTACGGATGTTCAAATTGGAGCTCGTACACATCAAAGCATTCGTAACTATTCACTCGTTCACATTATTCAAAAGAAGAAAATCGCCATAAAATCGCAGCAAAAATCGTGTAAACGGGCCTTAAACTTAAAGGTCACTTCATTATTTATCTGGATGTCATTGTGTCAAAAATGTTGCACTGTTGGCTATTTTTAGTTGTAAACCCACACACCGTCAACTTATTCAGCTTTTTCCTGGTTTACTTGTGGATTACTCTTACTGTGAAGATAATATTTTGATTGTTCTTGTGTTATGTTGACTTAAGTTGATGGCCATTTTAGTCTACTTATTTTTCTCTTAAGATCATATTTTTAATGGCGGATTAACCGTTTCTACTGTTAACCGCAACGAAGACAAACTGTTTTGTATTGATTAAAACAACAATTCCCACTTTGTGGTTCACCATTTATATTATTTTAAATAACATTTCCTACTTTGTATAAAACTACTTCCCGCTTTTGAATGTTTTTATATCATATCTTGCATGGATTATCCCTTCTATATCGTCGAGTTCTGGCTGTTTTGATAGATTTTTTATTGTTGTTCTTTTATTCTCAGCTATATATATATATAAAACTACTTGACCTGTACATTTGTTGTCTTAGCTATAATATTGGCTGCATTAGGGTATGTGCATGCACACGGTAACGTTTTCGAGCGTTTTCACACTCGTTTTCATGCCAAAACGGTTTCAAACACCGTCAATTTACAATAGAAGTTGGAGCTAATTTAACATATTAACTATATTTTTCCTTGGATCGCGTGGACAGGGCGTCAAAAGAAAAAGATACGGACAAAAACGATTTTGAAAACGCTCCAAAACGACTTTCATGTGCAGATAGCCTGCCTAAATCACTGTTGTTCTCTTCAGTGATCTAAATCAACTGAATCACAAAGTTTGTATGCAGAGAAATGCAAATGTATATGAAGGTAAACAGCCACATGTGACCGTACCACTGCATGCAAAGTCGGTGTTTATTTTTAACTGAACCAGTCGTGCATGGGACGTGTGCATGACGTTAACAGAGCAAGACGTATTTCTGACGGACTCAATTTGTTCACTAATAACCTCCAACTGTTTAATAGTATATTTGTACATTCTGTCGGAACACAATCAAACAAATTATTGTTGTCCGTTTTCTTTCACTTGTCGCCAAAGATCTCAGAAGAGTATTTTGTGACATAATATATTTCACAGATGTCTTCTCGTGGAAAACATTGAACGTTGCCGACGTTTAGAGATTTCCTTCAACAATATGACACCGTGCATGAATCACAAACAAATTGCCGGCTCAGCATCTGGGAGGAACGGTATAGAAGTAATAAAACTATACCAGCTTATTTTAATTAATATTATAAGTGACACCGCAGAAATGGCTATTTTGAGGCTTATTGAAGTGTATTAATTCAGACGATTCGTTTTTACCACGTGCAAGCTTCAAATTTTCTGTGCAGGCATATTTTCTTGAGCAAAAAATATAAATCTTTACTTAAATCTTTTTGCTCACCATGTTTGAAGTCAAAGTATTAAAATTTAATAAGGCTAAGTCCTTATAAGTAAGACTAAAAATTTGTGTTTCTCTTCTGAACAATAAAAAATAACCTTAGCTAGTTCAGGTTTCACCTCGTAGTAACACTGTTAATGGACTATAAAATAGCCTAAGGAATAAAAATTATCTTCTTTCTAATCCATAGACCCGCAACGATTAATTCAAGGTTTGTAACGTTAATCTTTTATTTCACTGGACTTAAATATTTAACTTAGTTACTACACGAAATGTTGAATAATATCTGAAGTTAAGCTTTCTTGATAGATCTTTGTGCAACTTTAATGCAGACCACAGGTTCATTTCATGTCGGAGAGCTACAGAAGTACATGCATCTGTCACTGAAACATTGCTTGCTTCCATGAAGAGAGTGTTTCCTATTGATTCAAGAAACTGCATGTTTCATGCTTCCAAACGTTAGTCTATAAGATCATACTCCCTTATCGTGACAGTTGATTTAAATAATCGATTTCTTTATCTTCCAATCATCTGTTTCTTCATTGATTTATGGTATCTCAGCGGCAAAGTCCAAATGAAATAGCCATTTGCTGAACGTTTAATTGACATTGATGGATCTTCCTTAACAAGGCGGAGCTCAGGACCGCCCAGTCCATTGTAGCAGCATAACATGACAAATTTTGTTTGTTTTTTAACTCTATCACTTCTAGATTGTTCTTTATGGAGGTCCTGTAAAGATAATCTCTTTTCGTTGATTCAGTATGTGCGATTGAGTGAGAATACTGACCTCTTCATTACGGATAACTCTATCAGTTCTAGACTGTTCTTCCCATTGAGAGATCCAGTAAGGATCATCTATTATTGATCCAGTGTTACTACAGGAGGAAGCTTAAACTAAACTAACTTTATTTATACTTGATAACTCTATCAGTTCTAAACTTTTGTTCCTAGAGGTCCAGTAACGATCATCTTTTATTGATCCAGTGTTACTACAGGAGGAAACCTAAACTAAACTAACTTTATTTACACTGGATAGCTCTATCAGGTTGACACTGTCCAGTCAAGGATCATCTCTTAATGACCCAATGTTAATACGGCAAATAATTTTGGCTAAAATAATTTTATTGCTGAAAAACGCGTATAAAGTTAAAAATATTCCTCAGCCTCACCTCCCATGGCTTAGAATCGGATTGACTTATCACTTTAGAGGCAGTGGTACAATTTAAATTGATATTAAATCGGAACGATAATAAATCGATTACTTGCTATAGTTTACAAGGTTAATCCAATTTACCAACAGCGGCAATTTTGAGGCACTTGCCAGCAAATTAGGAAGCATGTGTGAAGCAAATTTTTTTTTACCCAAATTGAAAACATACACACTGCATACCGCAAAACGATTTTACTTTGCAGTTATTCACATGCCAATTACAACGGTTTCTAGTTCCTTTCCTGGGAATTTTCAATAATGGCCACGTGCTTTTCCTATATTTTTTCAACTGGCTTTCTTCATCTCTTCCTATCCGCTCGTTTAATTTGAAACTCGCGTCAACGCTGCACAATATTTTGTGTAATTCAATTACCATCTTGTAGACTAACCGCCATTAATTCCTCAAGGGTGTCAAAACTCCTTACTTAAAACGTACGTCCCAGGACAATTTCCATTGCCGTTAACGCATTCTCGCGTTAGAGTGAAGCAAAAAGATGAGTAGACTCCAATCAGTTGCATTGTCATGCTAGTTCTTCATTATATTGAAGTGATCGAGAATTGTATGTGACAGATGGTATACCAATCAATCCCCAGTCTATCTGTGTATTTTCCAGCGCAACGACGATGCTAATAGCAGTGAGAATGCTTTAAAAACAAACTTATTTTGAAAACAATTTTAATGGCGCTATGTGGCATTTTTAAACTCTCATCACGTTCACTGATCTGACTGCGAGCATTCATAATCACCTATAAAACTCAAGCTAGCGTTGTTTACTTTTGTGTATAGTTAGGCTATGTGCATTCACACGATATCGTTTTCGTGCGTTTTCACATTCGTTTTTATACGAATACGGAAAACGCCGTCAATTACCGTCGTTTTCTTTGGATCGTGTGGACGCGTCTCGCGTCTAAACAATAAATTAGAGGAAAACGATTTTGAAAACGCTCGAAAGCGACGCATGGGTTCACATAGCCTTAGTGTCAGGATTGGTTACACTTGTTTACCATTTAAATGGTTTATACCTCTGTTCCCTTCATTCATGCCGTAAGATATTTGAAGCATATGAAGTAGAAAACAATGAGACTGCTTCTTTGATGTAAACTGCTTATGTGTTTTTGTTCATGGTTTTTAGGTAAGAATTGATCCTGAAGATTCTAGGAATGGCTGTATGAGAAACATTCTGGTTTTATGTGAGTATATATGCTTATCATGTCATCATAAATTTACAACCATCACATGCTATTATAGGTAGCTACATATTTTTCGCACATTGTGGGATTGATAGTTACGCAATCACTAATATTTTGAAATTTTGTCTATTCCTGCTGAGAAGCCATTCATCTTTTCTGTCGTTTTCCGAAAAAAAAGGAAGGAGACGTGTGATTTTTGTTTTAAACATGCAGGCACGCTCCTGCCGGGAGTGGGAACGGGGCACAGATCATGACACTTCCCAGGGAAATGTAGAAAACATGAAACTTTCCTTGTCGGCTTCGCGTTGCTAGTGACAAATGAATGAACCAGTCACAGCAAGTTGCCGTTACAGAAGGCTGTTTTGCGAGCATTCCATGACTAACGACTTAATTGCGCGCCAATGAACAAAGCGCAGACGCCGTGGCTGTATACGCGTGGGTACTTCGCATATATTGCGCGTCGTATAAATTGCGTCGTCAGTCAGTCAGAGAGTACATTTGTTGCATAAGAACCGCATTGACCACGCAAGAGTTTGCGCTCATCGTTGATTTTTATTTTGCGCAAAGATGTTTCCTTTTGTATTGCTTGTCATGCTCTTCGTACAAGATACCTGTGCTGTCCCAATGTACCGTCGAATGCCGAACGCGCAGTTCACAAACATCTCTAGAGCGGCTTTTAAGAAGCTCAACTCAGAGATCTGGCAGGGAAGCAAGCTCACGGGGAACGAAGAAAAATGGTTTAAAACGCTTACAAATCCAGGCGATGATCGTCGTTTAAACTCGACAAAATTGAAAGAACTTTTGGGCGAGTACGATTCAAGATACATGTCGGAGACAAAACCCAGTCGGGCGTGGTTGAATACGAAGAACCAGGTGGACCGTCGTAATGAATTCGAGGCATTCAAACACGGTCAAGGGATCAAGAATTCTGTCGCAAAGCTTCTGAATAAAAAGCGAATTCGTTTAAACGAAGTAGAATTTGAGGATATTCGTTTTTGGCTTTGGAACTTGACGCGTTGCACGGCTGAGCCCTTGTGGAAAGATTTCGGGACACGCGTTTGGCCTCGGTACGTGAATATTGGCAAGTGTTCAAATAAAGTAACCTGCTCGATACCAACCGGAATGCGATGTCAGCCCAGCGAGAAGAAGAGTGTACGTCTGTTGTACTGGATCTGTCCAAGAGATGCAAGGAGATGCTTTTGGTCTTTCTTTGACATAAACATTATTCGCGCGTGTCGTTGCTCATGTTGAATTCGCAGGAATATACAGTTACGCCCTGCTTACAAAAACCTAGACTTTAGAACCTGTTGGGCTAAAATTAACCTTAAACCCTAACCCTTCACCCTCTTTATATTTGGACTTTTGTAAGGGTGATATTTCAATTAGATTCTGCAAAGAAAATAACCTCTTTACAGGGTAATGAAAGTGATCCAAAAGCCATGTACAATCCCTAATATGTCATACCATGATAAATTGTTTCTTCGGAGATGACAAATGCGAAACTCATTTCACATCTATTCCTGAGTACTTTGGGACTAATGAACCCCAGCTAATTTCTAAACACTACAATGAATACCATAATGCAGACGGAAAACCGATTGTAAATATATATAGATATATTATTATACCACTAATTGATACATGTCCATGTGTGTGTAATATACGGTAACATTGATCGTGCGTAATTTTTAATATTGAATATTTATATCAATTATCCATGTTTGTCAGCAAATTAGCACTTTTGAGCACTGTACTATAACCACTGTATCTAAATTTTGTATTAAATTACATCAACCTTACTTTTGAAGTAACAATTTGTGATGTAGTTATAGTTTAAGGCTTATAGGTCCTGTTTACATGGAGCGAGTTATCCCGGCTAGGCGAGGTGAAAACTGCATATAATAAAAGACTAATCAGGTTAAGTCTTTGCATGGCTTTGATGTGATGCGCTTTTTACCTCGCCTAGCCGGGGTAACTCGTTCCATTTAAACAGGTCCTTAGTAAAGTTCTACTAACAATGTTTCATTGTTTCTGCTGATTTTGGCAACAAATTCTGACATTCTCTCCTCATTTACCACCTATTTAGCTTGATTTTTTATACAACTCTCAGTTCATTAAACGAATACGTCCTCGATTTTGAATTTATATCACACATTAAGAATACACATTTCAGGATGTATTAATATTGTAATATTATAATATTACATATTCATACGCGATTATGTATTATATCGACTGCCAACCATCATTTTTCCTTCAGAATATCTTTGCTGAAATATATCTTAAAAGTTGAAATATATCTCCTGATTCTCCAAAACGCTTGCACGAATGAACATAATTGATCGAACTACAACGCTACGATACATACTTCGATTATATTCATCATTGTATTGACTAAACCTCCCTTGATATTATATTTCATTATATAATTACTGTTAAATCTACTGTGAAATATATTGCAGTTAACTGTAAATTAAGAAAAGGTTAAAGTTCCATTTTAACAAGTTATACGAGGATATATTTCGTTCGACTTCTCTGAAATATGTTCGATTATATCACAAGAATACTGAAAGCTGTCAATGTCATGCCCTAAAAAGTGGTTCTAATTCCTTGAATATTATATCTTGATTCTCCAAAACGCTTGCACGAATGAATATGACTGAACGAACGACAACATGCCGTGTTGACTCCACTCGCAGAATAACTTCTTTGTTTTCTTCTTCAACAGGAATACGATATTCGGGTTCGGTAGGTTCACCTTCCATCCCTTCATAGCTGCAAGAAACATAAATTCTCTGTTAAAACATAGTTAAAACCCGTTCTATAAACCTCTAACCTACGGGCCCGTACTAACCTACAAGCCCGGGTGGTGCTGTGTCGGGACGGGGACGGGGACGAGAACGGGACTGGTGAATTTACTGGTGAAATTACAAAATTAGTTCCAAAAATACTGAATAAAAATTGGATTCAATTTGCTAAATATGTAACACGAAAATAGCCTGTTTCTAACGATCTAAAGGCTCATTGTAAAAGACAAACCCTTATTATCAATGTTAATACCTCAAAACCGTTGGATCAAATGTCTTGTAGGTTCCAGGCTGACAGTATACTTTGAACACGACACACCAGCGCGAACCGTTTGATGAAACCCTTTCTGAATAGGCTGCGTGTGCCGCGTAGGTAATACTTGGTGACAGAAAGATGGCCGCTGCCCAGTTTGAAATACCAAGAAAGCTTCGCCCCAGACCTATGTGACCACTTGGTGGTAAAATCTCACGTGTACCCGCGGGAATGAGACCGTGCTCAAGGATTGATTCAATATTCTTACATTGAGTTCCATGCCATCCTATCTCCCAATCTTTCAGAATTGAGTTTATTCTTGAACACGTTTTCGAATCAAACGTTTCTAGATTACGGATTAACTCCTTTGCAATCACCTGCCCTTTGAACTCGATTGGTCGCATTTTCGAAATGAGTTTTTTCTCCGTCAACTTTATTTTAAGAGAAAAGATGTAATCTGATGAAAAATTTTGAATCAGCATTTTGACATTGTTTAAGTCGCTTTCTTCTAATGCTGTACTGTTCCATCTGTTCTTAATGTCTATCCTTGCACCATATTCAAGCAACAGACCAACCACCAAAGGGTGACCAAAAAACGCCGCCGCGTGGAGGGGTGTGCTACCATCTTTCTGAACCTTGTTAATATCAGCGCCTTTCTGCAACAGCATTTTAACCATATCAAAAAAACCAGATTTGCAGGCCAGGTATAACAACGTACGACCGTGTTCATCTGCACGTTCTACAAGAGATTTGTCTCTTGATATCAACACCCGAAGTTCCTCGGTGTTACCACACGCTGCAACAGAAAAATGATCTCTCTTCACTTTCGCTTCATTTTCTATCTTTGTGAATAAATCGCTATCTGGTGCACGCTTGTACCTCGCTTCTGTGGAGGTCAATATATGATTGGCAAGGGAGACCAAAGCACGTTTCTGGCGTTCTGGTTGCTTGATTTTTTCTCTGAAGGCAAACTTTACGTCGCTTTGAGAAGCTTTATTCGATGTCAGACCTAAAATCTCCCAAGGGTTTACTGGAAAAGGGATGTAAACGTGACCTCCGCCTGCAGCTGTGTAGCATATCGGTCGAGGCCCACGATGTTCCGTTTCGGCATAAAATAAATATGATTGAAGACTAGACGTATCTGAATTACTCCCGGACAATTCCTTGAAAAAAAGCACCAAGCTTCAGAATGTTATAAAAACTGAATGTATTTTTAGCCGGGTAATCGTAATTCTTGCACCGTAACACCATGCACATTTAAGAGCCTTGGTCAGTGTCGTAGCCAGCATCCTGATAATTAGGGGGGTGCGTATTCATATATTCATGTTAACAGACTGCAAAGACAATAGACCTTTTTCATAATGACGTCAAACGCGGAAAGTCTGATGTTACACGAAGTTTGATTGGCTCCACAAAACTATCGAGCTAATCAATCCTCATGTAACATCAGACTTTCCGCGTTTGACGTCATTATAAGAAAGGTCTATTGATTTGAAAAGAAATTAATCCTGCGTATCACAAATATATGAATATAGGCCCTCCCCCAATTATCGTTCTGGCTACGCAACTGGCCTTGGTAAAATTATTAGAGGCCATTTCCCTCTCCATAACTATATTATAACCTATATACCTGCCACCCCAAGCACCCCCGCGCGCTTGATTATTCCAGCTGACCTCTATATAATAGTTGAATGCAACGATATAAAGCACCTGGGTACGAGCATAGACAATCAAATAGAACTATTCTATTTGATTGTCTATGGTACGAGGCTGATAAAGGCCAATTTATACTTGCAATTTTTGCTGCAATTTTATGTGCGATTTTCTTCTTTTGATAGATGTGAACGAGTGAATTAGTTACGGATGTTCAAATAACATCAGAGCATTCATTGCTAGTCACTCGTTCACATCATAGCACGACCCGTGTAAATTTGGTCTTGAAGTTTAAACGGTACAATATTGTTGGGAAAATGGATATAAATGAATCGGTTGTAAAAATATTTTTGAAAATGAATCGGGTGGAACAGTATTGTTAAATGTTGATAAAGTGCTCTGATCAATATGGGCAGGACAACATTATTCAATCCTGTTCATAAAAATATTGCTGATGTATCAACCTGGGGCCTGTTGTATAAAAACGTAGTTAACTTTAACTATGATTAGCGCTAATCACTGTAGTAAATCCTTAACTATGATTAGTTACTGATTTTGAACAAGACCGAAGACTCTTATTTTTTAAAAATTGACAGTATTTTGATCGAAAATATTGGGAAAAAATGCAATAAATAAAGGAAAAAGTTCAAAAAACATTCAAATATTTAAAGTGCTTATAAACCCCAAATGGGGTTTTAGTGATTCAGATAGAGCACAAAAAGTTGGTTAGTAACTTCTAAACTAGTTTTTGTTTTAGAATTTTAATTTCGGAGATATTGGGCGGCAAGTCAATTTTCAAAAAAAAAAAGTTAGCGCCCGATGGGGGACTGGGTCTCAGGAACACGTCTATTTGCTTTATTATGAAACATAGTATAGTTCTAATAGACAAATAGGAAATATCAGGCCATTTTTAAAAAAAGTTCCTAATAGGTTGAGTTTAAGTTGATTTTCGAGTGTGAATAGCAATACTGCTACCATTATGCCATACGAAATGGAAGACGAGTTCCTGGGATCCAGGCCCTTTGGTGATATTTGCGTCGCGCTACTTCTCTTTTGAGAAGTGGTCAAATTCTTTTGTTTGAGCCATCGTAACTCCGAAATTAAAATTTTAATCCAAAAACTAATTTAGAAGTTACTAACCAACTTTTATGCTCTATCTGAATCACCAGAAACCCGTTTTGGGTTTATAAGCACTTTAAGTGAAAAGGGCTTCTTTTGAGTCAACCTACAGGTTGCAGATGAAAATGGCGATGGCTAACCTTTGCTAGGATCGTAATTCGGCGTCGACTCGTCTTCCGAAGCAAAAATATACTCTGTTGGTGCCCAAATGACAAAAATGAAAACATATTGAAAGTTGACAAGATTCGACGGAGCCTTTTCTGAGTGGATAACGGTTGAAAACATTGGTATGTGCTGATTTTGATGTTTGCTCGTTCCCCGAAAGTTCATCACGCCATTTTTAACTACGTTTTGGACAGTTAACGATGCTTTTTAGGATGATTAACTTTAACTACGTTTTAACTACGATTAACGCTAACCACTGGCTTAATTAACTACGTGATTAAAGTTAACGATGTTTTAATCACAAAAAAAGTTATATTAAAAAGTTATTAAGAGCTTTATACAACCGGCCCCAGAACGATATCGCTTTTAGGCGCGCAGACCCCCTAAGCTGACTTTTATCGCTTTAACACCATTTTGCCAGGCGCAAATGTCAAAAAGTTCCCGCGGAATCAGGACGTCTGAGTCCTTGCGATTATTTTAATAGTAAGTTATGTCAACTAATTCTAGCATAACATTTGCGATTGCATTGTATGGTTCCAGAATTCGTTTTAGTGTTTTTATGATGCGGCAAATGCATGTATGGAAAGATAGCACGGCGCTTATTTATAATTTTTTTATTATAATTTTCCCCCTTTCCCAGTCGAGCAGGGTAATGGGTCTAGACGCGAACCGCAAAGCATCTATAGACTGTAGCACCCCAGCACCCTGTTTGATTGGGAAATGACTAATTAATGTTCTTAATGCAATTTTTCAATTAATATATAAGTTGCTACTTCGTGTTTCATGTAACAACCAGCAGCCATTAATTAACCGCTGAATCGGGTCACTATCATCTGATAAACAAACCTTTGGCTCAATGTCTCCGCTGTGCTTTGGCGTTAGTGGTGGCGTTAGTAGTGGCGTTAGTGGTGGCGTTAGTAGTGGCGTTAGTGGTGGCGTTGGTGGTGGCGTTGACGTTGGCGTTGATGTTGACGTTGGCGGTGGCGTTGACGTTGGCGTTGATGTTGGCGTTGATGTTGGCGTTGACGTTGGTAGTGATATTACCGGTGGCATTGGCGTTGGTATTAGTAGTGACATTCGTCTTTCCAGGCTTGTTCTTGACTTTAGCGGTGGCGTTGGCTTTGATTTTTTTGCCCCCATTTACAATGTGGCCCTAAAGCACAGTAATATAACCTTCAAACTTCTTTTCTGTACCCAAAAACGCAGGCAGAAAAATCTTCTGATTTTTGTTATCTAAAAAATAAATTTAAATGAATAAGAAATTATACGGAAGGCAGGAGGAGTTGCGATTTATGTTGTACTATATATTAATTGAAAGTTATTTGATCCCGCAATTAATACACCTTCATAACTCCATAACTTCAATGCACCTTGATTTGATAGATGACGTCATCGTTTTCAAATTTGTCCACACCATTGAACTCAAAAGAACTGGAAGGCAACCTTCTGATTAAAATAGCTAAATTTTACCTCCAGACACGAGTGTCCATGTTGCGAGACATTCTCGCCATTTCAGGACTCGAACATAAGGAAAACATGAACTGTTTAGTGGCGAAGTTACATTCGTTCGGATTCATCGTTTAATTTAACGATTTAAGCTATAATTTTGTAATCAATTCTGATTAAAGCATACCTTGAACCCTAACGTGGCGAAATTGCGAGGAAAATGTAAACAGTTTGTTCAAAAACGATGACTACTTCAAAAAGATTTGCAGGCAACGAAACAAAAAATTATATATTTTGTTGTTATCATACTCATAAAACATATAAAAAAGATTCAGAGCTTCACTCCTCGTTCAACGTTTTTCATAAAAAAGGGGAATTTAATTGCGAGTTTGGTAAAGATAAATTTAAAATACTTTATTCCATAGTTTTCACGGATGTTTATGTCGTAAAAATGCTGTGGAAAATGTACTTTATGTCCTCTAAAAGATATTTTTAATGCTTGCATGTTGAAGATGATGATGTGCTTGTCTTCCTCACAAATATCATCAAACTCGAAGGTAAGGGCTTTGTTTAGTAGCTCGTCAGTAATGGAGGGATAGAAATAAACCACGTCATTCAAAGGCGATGAACGAGTGTTCAGACAGTTCAACTTTGTTTGGGATGTTTTTGAACCATTGAATAGTTCAATCATTATTCGCCGCAACCAGAGAGTATATGAACTGCAATGCCAAAATAATAAAACGCATTTCTGAACGAAAATAAGGACCCCCGCTGTCCTTGTTATCGGTGTATATCGTTTTTGGCCAGAAACCGTGAAATATCATGCATTTCAAAGCATACAAAACAAAACAGAATCTGAATCTCTTTTAGCCCTGTTCCGCGGTACTTGACCGTGTTGATATTTCAGGAACTCGTCTGATTTATCCGTCTAAATGCGAATTTAGACGAGTTTCTTGTCCAGACGGGATTCCCGTCTAACTTATCCGTCCGGTTTAGACGGGAAAGTTAGACGAGAAAATTCAGACGAGAAACCCGTCTGTGACCGGATTCTCATCGGACGAGTTTCCCGTCTTCGATGAGTTCCCGTCTCTAATATGAATTCGGCTGTTCTTGTTTAATTGTTTTAACCTATATTTTGGGTTTTAAGACGTTAATTTTTGGATTCTGATTTGGTACGTATTTTGTCGTTTTAAGCCACGCCAAGACGTTCAGTTTAACCTGCATGCTCATACCTCAGCATAATATTCATTTGTTAAATTGCCAAATCTTAACACGTCAAAGAGATATATAGAATCGATAATCTCTCATCAAGTACTCAACTTTTCAAAAATTACTGGTAACACCGTCTTTTACATTACATTATTTGTCAAATGTGGTATAACAACTGCCTGAAATAGACAAGACACTTCTCGACGTTTCGACCTGAGGGCCTTCGTCAGGAGAGTTACTAACATACTAACTCACCTGACGAAGGCCGTCAGGTCGAAACGTCGAGAAGTGTTTTGTCTATTTTAGGCAGTTGTTATACCACATTTGATGCTTAGTTGTTTGAAGACGCTGCCACGCTGCTCCCTGGTTATATTGGAACGTATATACATTATTTGTCATTTTGAGTGACATAACTGACATTCATTGATTTGTGTCGTCGCACTTTCGGGTAATGTTTAGATATTCCTATTCTATTCACACTATTAATAAATAAAAACAAGCTTACCGATACCGCTATAAAAACTTCGTTCAACCTTCCCAGGCTTCCCTTTTAGAGTGCAGTGCATATATGCGAAAGCCGTGACCCACGACGTCAACACAATTTGACAAAAAATACTGATCATGCTTAATATGTCGTAATAAGCGTTAACAGCATGCTATTAAAATCAGGGGCGTAACTAGAGCGATAATTGAGGGGGTGAATATTCATATATTCAGTTCTGGCATACAAAAACTTGATACCTTCATCCTGTTCAATGTTGAAAAACGCCCTGAAATTGGGGGGGTAGTGGAAGGGGACAAAATAGACGTCCCCTATTTTTTACTATATAGGAAATACCTGCATTTTGCGACTTTAGGACGACAGTGTTTACTGGTTAGGCGATGAATGCTTTATTTGCGACATAAAAGCAAGTCGCTATTTAATTTTGCATCAATCTGTATATTTACATCACTGTCAGTCAACTGTAAGGAGTCTCATTTCACTACCAGATGATCTCGCGCTTATATTTTAGCCAAAAGATCCATTCTGCAGCTTTTAATCGATTATATCTTTTGTTATTCGTTATAAAACTAGTCAAAATTTTGTGATTATGTTTAGTTATAAAAACTTTAGCTCTGACAAAAATTTGAAACCGAAATAAAATATATTTCAAGGGATATTAATTAAGTTGTTTTAACCGAGAAATGGTTTCGGTACTTGACAACCAGTCCCGTCCATGTCAGATCAACGGACAGTAGCGAAAACCACTCGTTTGTTCAGAGCGAGGTTCAGAGTCCCGAGACATTGGAGCATCAACACAACGAAAACCTTTTTCTCTAAAAACTGGTTTTAACTCGTTGAATATTATATCTTGATTCTGCAAGACGCTTTCACGAATGAATATGACTGAACGAACGACAACATTTCGTGCTGACTCCACTTGCAGAATAACTTTCTTATTCTTCTCATCAACAGAAACACGATATTCAGTGGCATCAGGTTCACCTTCCATCCCTTCATAGCTGCATAGAATATATTAACACTTGTTAACGCCCGTTTTCTAATCCCTTATCTACATGGGGGTAGCAGACAGTGTGCTATGGTGCGCTGAGGGTTGGCAAAAGTAGCAAATCGCCAGGACTCTTCTCCCTGGTTATATTACTAAGTTATAAGGAATACTAAGAAATGGTGCACAAGGCTTCCCCCGGGGGCCCGGGGCCTCTGCAGTTTACGTAAACAGCGACAAAATAGCTAGTTGTTTAATTAGACACGGGACGCTAATACGCAAAAAAATAATTTCTTCCTTGACGATGTAGAAATATCGTCTTGTGCAGTGAAAAACGGTTTAAGAGCCAGGCACTTCATCGGAGCGGGAAGAGAAAGTTAAATTTTGTCTAAACGAAAGCTTGAGTTTTAGAATCCATGTTAAATCAGAATCATACCTCAAAACCGTTGGATCAAATGTCTTGTAGGTTCCAGGCTGACAGTATACTTTGAACACGACACACCAGCGCGAACCGTTTGATGAAACCCTTTCCGAATAGGCTTCATGTGCCGCGTATGTAAGACTTGGTGACACAAAGATGGCCGCTGCCCAGTTTGAAGTACCGCGAAAGCTTTTCTCTAGATTTATGTGACCTCTTGGTGGTAAAATCTCACGTGTACTGCGGGAATGAGACCCTGCTCAAGGATTGATTCAATATTCTTACATCGAGTTCCATGCCATGCTATTTCCCAATCTTCCAGAATTGTGTTTAAATTTGAACGCGTTTTCGGATCAAGTTTCTCTGGATTACGGATTAACTCTTTCGCGATCTGCTGCCCTTTGAACTCGATCGGTCGCATTTCTGAAACGAGTTTTTTTCCCATCAACTTGCTTTTAAGGGAAAAGATAAAGTCTGACGAGGCATTTTGAATCAAATCTGTGATATGTTCTGAGTCGCTTTCTTCTAATGCTGTATGGTTCCATCTGTTCTTAATGTCTGTCCTTGCACCATATTCAAGCAACAGACCAACCACCAAAGGGTGACCGAAGAATGCAGCCGCGTGAAGGGGTGTACTACCATTATTTTGAACCTTGTTAATATCAGCGCCTTCTTGCAACAGCATTTTAACCATATCTAAAAAACCAGATTTGCAGGCCAGGTATAACAACGTACGGTCGTGTTCATCTGAACTTTTCACGACAGATTTGTCCCTTGATATCATAACCGAAGCTCCTCGGTGTTGCCATACGCTGCCACAGTGAATTGGTCGGGTTTTTATCTCTGTTGAAGAGATCGCTATCTGGTGTACGATGGTACCTTGGTTTTGTGGAGGTCAGAATATGATTCGCAATGGATGCCAAAGCACGATTCTTGCGATCTTCTTGTTCCCTAATTTTTGCTTTGAAAGCCATCTTTACTTCGTCGCGAGAAGCCTTATTCGATTTCAGACCTAAAATCTCCCAAGGGTTTACAGGGAAAGGGATGTAAACAAGAACACCACCAGCTCTATAACATACCGAACTTGTTGCAGATTCCGAGCTGGGATGAAATAAATTTGTACGGCTTGGCGTCCGAGAACGCATTTCAATTCCCTGGAAAGAATGAATTTAATTGGCACCAATGGTTTCGACTAATTTTTTAGCCAAAGCAGTCCATCCAAATATGAAAGAGAAGTACACTTTTCACGTTCGCTGTTGACCATGTCATTATTTTGTTAGCGGAAACTCGTTCTGTTGTATTGTATTTTATTTGTATTTATGAACAAAACGTTTGTTAAATAAATTAAACTACATCTATTAAACAGAATGATTTGACTGTCGACAATTGGCTTTGTTTTTAAGTATAAAGTAAAGACGGTATAATTACTATGTTGTAACATTAGAAACGTTATTGTATCAGCTAATATATATATGGTATAACATTATTGTATATTAAAACAGTAGACAGTGCTTTGCAACGCCGGACTGTTGATAATATATAAAATATTGATTTAGGTGAAGATTGAACGGTTACCTTTTTCATCTTCAAAGTGCCGCAAAGACTTTGGCAAAGTGATTATTTGAAATAGTCGTTTGAATATATCGTCTGCATGATTAGTAAATCTTGGAAAGTGAAACTAAACATTTTCGGAACGTGAATTAAAAATTAATGGCAAACACGCAAGTTAAAATTTGCATGTTTTTTATAAATAATAAAAGCATCGAAAGAATATGGAACAAATGAAAGAATTCAGTTCAACAGACTTTAAGTTTTACAACATCAACTGATCAGTGACATGCATTGTTCTGCTTATGTGTACCCTCATTGAAAAAAATAGTCGTTCATTTTCCCTTGTCAACACCACAAGAATCCTTTGTAATTAAGTAGTTTATTTTTTACAATTATATATCAGTTTTATCGTAAAATCTCAGCATGGATAATAATAGGTATTATATGCAGCCGTTCCAGCCTCGTCCCCGCGTCGCGTGTTTTTGTTTCAATATTAACAACACGAAAGCTCCGACGCGGACGTGACATGAAAACTGCTACTATAGCCTACTAGTGTTAGGAAACCAGTATTAATTTCTTTTACATACGGCTCTGACTTTGTTTATCAAAAAGAGCCTATTATTTCCATTCCTTTTGGGAAACTGTGGAATTTTTATCTGTATATTACTTCACGTTCGCGTCGTAGATTTGGTGAATCTTAAACTCACTAATATAAAGCCGTGAAAACCACGCGCCTGGGACGAGCCCTTCCCAGGGGATTCAGAAAACAAAGAATCGCACTGAAAAAGGAGAATCGCAACGGTAAAAGCCATCCAATATGACTTGGATGTCGTAATTTGCACAGCAAGAGTACTATAGCCTTAGTAATTCCAGGTTTAGTAAATCCTTAATATACAAATCTAATCCTTGAGATTAGGTTAGGATTAGAATTATGTCTTAGTTTAGGTTTATGGTTGATTATTGTTAAACTCAATCCTAAATCTAAACCTAATCCGTTATTACCACAATTACTATGTTAATGTAACTATGATCTATACATACTATACAGTGTACATTGTTTTACAAAATTTACAGCCTCTAAACACAGTTCTACTGATTGTAAACGCTTTTCAAATCAGTTTTCACATTTGCACGCACATTCAACGGCAGACACCATCACATAATTCCTCCAAGTGCATCTACGTCTTTGTCTTGTCTTTCTTCGTCCCCCTGTCCTCTTCGTCTTGCGTCGCTTTCTTCCTCTTTTTTGACAAATCTTTACGCGGATGTGTTTGAGCGCGATCTTGGAGGCCTGGCACGAGCATATGACGTCACTGGAGAGACAAGGTGAACCCCGACAGACGCCAATCTAAATATAACCAACCGTTGAATAAATTGACGATTTCTTTTTGAGGTATTTTGTTTTCAGATTCTTTAGGTTTTGAAAGAACGTCATCATTTATGCCGAATATGATATGTGTGGGTATTCTATGTGGCACTTCTTGTTTTTTCGATTATATAATGGTCAGAAGGTCGGTTGCTAAAAGCATAACATGTTTTCAGGCTCATCTATATATATCCTTCTTTTAATTCTGACTCTTTTCTCTGCGAAAACGTAAAGTCTGTGGCGTCTATATGCAGTTTTCAGTTATGAAATGGCCTCTTCCATATCAATAAAAAAAGTGAACTGTGAACTTATCGATTACACAGTTAAAATTGTTGTTTGATTTAGTCTGAACGGTTAAATAAAACAAAATATAGCCATAAACCCTTTTCACTCACCTTTACCTGTCTTGGTGAAGCTTGCTTTCCTAGTTTTTTATTTTCATACTTTACAGTACATTTCTTCGCCTTTCTCAAACGATCTCTTTGTTTCTTTCGTTGAAGATACGGTCCAAATATCTTTTGAAAAATGACAAACGATTTCTGCAAAGTTTTTGTATGATTACGATACAAAGCTGACGCGTGAGGTTGAACTTCGCTCAGGTTCACCGTCTTGTTCAAAAAGTGATTTTGAATTGCCTGCATCCGGCTTTCTAACTGTGTTTCATTCGAGGACTTTTTAAAAAATGACATGGTTTTGTTTGCTGGTTGCTTTTGGAAAAGCATTTGTACATCTTTTACACTAGAAAATAAAATAAACACCAATATAGGCAATAACATGAACTGGACTTGCATCTCTGAACTTGCTTCTTTGTCTTTGATTGCTATAGTCTGACTTCTCCGCTTATATAAATGCTTGCATGGCGTCATCCCGTCTGGTCTGTTACACTAATTTGCGCGGAAATTACATTTACCTGTTTATTTATGGCTTGTAAACAATTTACTTTCTGGGAAGAACCCTTGTAGAACCCGACGTCATAACAAGAATATGGTGTTGGAAAACAAAACCTTAAAGATGCACGTTTCGCCGCAAGATTTTATTTACAAACGTGTTTGCTCTATCAATTGTAAACTGTTTTCCCTTGAGAAATCTAGTTTTTGCCCGACGTCATAACAAGAATATGGTGTTTGAAAAACAAAGCCTCAAAGATGCACATTTTGCCGCAAGATTTTATTCACAAACTTGTTTGCTCTATCAATTGTAAATCGTTTTTCCTTGAGGTCTATAGTAATTGCTATCTCTTATCGATCTAATTTTACTACAGAAGGAAACTTAAACTAAACTAAATTCTTTTTAAGCGGTTAAGCCAACTCCTAATGGATATCTGACGATAACTGTTCTTCGTGAGATGGATGTTTTTCCTGTTTTTCTCTTCCAAATTAGGTCACGGCATTTACCACACACGAAATTTTTTTTCATGCCTGTCCTTATATTTCTATGTTTTTACTCGTTTGAACCGACAGCCCCGCACAATTTTCCCACTGATTCCCAGACGACACTTCTCCCTTTACTTTCTCCGAATGATCGATGACGTGAACAGGACGTCACGTTAGCCTGACCTGACATCTCGGAAACTCTTATGAATTCCTTAAATACCCAAACAAGCAACAAATCCGCGTTAAGTGCATTGCTTGTCTATATTGATCTCATTTACTTTGAGTGTTTTGACTTTTTGCGCAAAGCGACCGGGAGAGTTCTAATTTTTTCGCATAGACGCCGCATGCAATGTTTGCATTAGTGCCTGGTACCCAAGATTTTTGTTTAAGAATAAGCGACATAATACTCCTAGTATGTGGAGCCGGTATTCTTCGTGCATGGGGGGAGAGGGTTTGCACTTACACGAATTAGCACCAGGCACAAATTAAGTCAAACAGTTTGTTTTAAAATTATATTTGCTAATTTTATTTTAGAATTCAGATTTTTGGAACTATAATAAATAAATAGTACATCCATTAGATATTAGGAGGAGGTTGGGTAAAACTCTTCAGTATTTCTTGAGTAAATAAACCGTATTTTTATACAACTGGCCCCAGGTTGTAAAGAAAATCGTTATAGGCCCCGTTTACATTATACCAGACCTGCCTTCGGGCTGCATAGGTACAAATTTCTAGCTATTAAAATGCGGTAAAAAATTTACTGTCAGAGATCGAAATAAATATACTAAATCTATCAAACCAATCAGCATTTGCTACTAATCATGGCCCTTTTAAGGCAGGCGAAGATATCATAACACGTGAATCTGGTGTAGTGTAAACGGGGTCTTATAGTTTTACATTGATATATTGCATGTCTGTCACCTAGTCTTTTTCCAAGTTAAAGCTAAAGTCTGTAAAAATTCATTTGCATTCGCGATTAGGATCATTTCCATGAAATGTTTGACGTCTGAAACGGGCAAAAGTATTTTTCGATATGTAGTTATCCCAAAATTAAGGATTAGAAACAATTACTGGAAATCGGGCCAGGGCTGCTATGATTTATATGTTTGCTGCTCCCTATTAATTGCCACTACCTTCATTTTACATCAAACCTTTCTCAAATACAGCGAGATTTCCTACGGGTAGTATTCGCTGCAGTTTTTTTGCAACTCTGCCTGCAAAAGAGTCTTTTAGAAAATCTCCTTCCCTCCAAATATTGACATAAATTACTGAAACTTTTTTGTATGTATTTCTAAGTACCCCTATCATCTGAGCGTTCGTCCCGACGATTACGCATAATTAATATTTTTTTAGTTAGTTCAAATTGTTTCCGTAACAAAGGTGACTGATTTATATGAAATGGTTTTGCTGTAGTCTTCCGTTTTGAATCAATGTTATTTATCGTTGGTTCTGTTTCTCTTTCTGTCTTTTCATCAACATTTGTTTCATTGTTTTTTACATTTTGTGTTTTACTATTCTTCTCGTTAGGTTCAGCGACGATACTATTCCCTTGATCAACGACACTTACATTATTTCCAGACTTGGCTGAGGTTTTTACATCAGAAGGTGAGTCTGTGTGATCGTTCAGTATTTTCCTGTCGCGAGCAACACGTACTTCATCGTTTAACGCACGATCCTTCTCGCGCAAAGGCGTGTTTTTGTCGCGTCTCAACCCACCTTCAAGATGTTTACCATCTCCTTGCTGGGAAAGACGGCCTAATTTTTGAGATTCGTCCATTGGCTTGTCTTTTGATAAGCCAGGAGGTTTACGCGATATGCCGACATCCTCGGACGAGCTTTTTGTACGGACTAAATCTTGCTGAAGTTTTGTCCCAGCACGAAGTTCGATCCCAGCATGCTGTTGTGGATTATTCTTTGCGTCGTCGTCAGCTTGTAGTTGCTTAGCAACGCCTTCCCGAGGCAACACAGGCTCTTTTCTTGATTCTTCAACAATCTCTGCCGTATTTCTTTGCGGAACTAAGATTTTCTGTTCATCGATAATATTTCGCTTCTCTTCTTCATGACCTCTACCAGGAAGTAAGCTCTTGTTTGAAATTTGCTGAAGTAGAAAAAGTAGAAGTAGAGTGAAGTAGATTTTTGCAAAACCCAAATGCAGACTTCCTTGAAATCTGACTTGTAGGATGGGGGTGTAGGAAATTATCTATGATTAAATATTAAAAAAAACGAGTAGCAAGTTCGATTGATAAGTCTTTAGGGAAATATATTTTGCCTTCGTGCTTTAGCTACACGGTCGATTTTTGATATTTTCTTTTCCTGTAGCGTAAATCATTTACATCGGCGAGCTTATACAATTGTGTAAACAATGCAGACAATAACATACGCTAGAAACGACAAAAATAATTTGTGTAGTCGCCTCTTTTAATGCCTTCTTTCTTTGCCTTGTTTCTTTTAACAAACTCAAAAGATTTTCTTTACTGTTTAAGTGTTGTGATATTTCAATAGTAAGCTAACTAATTAGTTTAGTCTTCAATAAATCAATTTCGTTGGCGTTCTAGGCCAAAGTTACATCAACAAGCCAACGGGTGTTTTAAGTATGTATAAGTGTTTGTTTTGGTGATTGGAATTAAATAACCGGATGGACAGGAGGAAATGAGGAGAAGGGTTATTGATGAGGCAGTAATGCATTTGCTTCAGTGGATTTGCTGCTCATATACATTACAAGACAACAGACAATAAAGCATCCATCAGAAGTGAATTGGATCCAACAAAATTGGATCGTGTGAACTGACCTTAACCCGGCTATGTTTTCGACAGAGCGATCTTTTACATACCGGAGTTTTACGCAATTCTTGAGTAGCTTTGGCCAAGGTTATATTCGTCATTAGGGTTGGCGTATGAAGTAACGGGGCTATATGTTGATCTGCAACCGCCATCTTGTCTTTGGCCTCCTTTGCCTGACTCTCGCTCATGCTCAGTACTGAGAATGTACTCAGACAGAGTAAACAAACACCACCTATCAATAAGATCTGAAAAGTATAAGAAAAATTAAATTTGGTGATTTTTCATGAAATAGTAATGCGGAGATTTAATAAGTGCAGAAGAACAATAACGTCAAGCTCTCCGGTTTTCTTCGGTTTTCAGTTTATCGTATTACGTCATATAGCGTATAACGTCAGAACGTATCACGTGATACGCTAGAAAGTTTACAGACTAGTGCCCAACCTTCGCTCCGGTTTTTGATGAAGCTTTTCCAGAAATTTTAAGAAATATGACAGCAGGTAAAATGAATGTCAACATTGCACCCATTGTTGCTCCAACCAGCGCCATTACAAACTCAACTGGAATGAGAAATTATAAGTGATCAAAACCTCTTAGGGCCAGCTCTGTCGTTTTTTGTGGCAAAAACAAGCCAGTAAATGACAGGCCAATCCAACCTACCACTTGGAAAAAGAACTCCGCATATTATAGTGCCAAAAATGAGGGAACAAGTGATTATGAAAAATCTGTCGTGTGGAATAAAGGTCCCTCCAGTTGGCGCTGCGAGGTCAATCTGAATAAGAATATATTATAATAAATTTGTCTTGTAACAAGTCTCGTAACCTTTCCTGTGGAATATCATGTTGTTATTAATAGTATTTGTGACGTCATATTGCATTAAATTACAGAGGTGCTGTAATTGGCGAAAGCTGTAGCGAGTTCTCTACCATTGTATGTCCCTGTCATACAATGTCATACTGTATGTCCCTTGTCTGTATGTCTGTTTATTTCAAGTATGTTTTTAGCAAAGTTGAATAAATAAATAATGCAATATAGAGGTGGAAACTGATAGCGTTATACAAACCATTGCTGAGGAAATCAAGGAATTAATACTGGATCGACATGGAAACACCAGTAAAGGAAAACTCAATATCGTAGAAATACAAAATCCTAGAAATGGATTCAGAGAAATTAGGAATCACATTAAAAAAAATAGCACCCTTCATTACCACATTGCCTTTCAGGCTTTTAGCTTTAAGTTGAGCCTGCTGTGCAAGAGGTCAAACTGGTTAAATAGTGTGGTGGGCCTCACTAATTCATGTAATGAGAACCTGTTCTGTGCTTCGAGGATATTTTTCCGAGAACTCCGGTTTCTCTTCTCTCTAGTTAAACCCTTACTCTATGAACTAACAATCAGGCGATAATTTGCTTGAAATTGTGTTATCACTGATCAATGAGACAGTCCTTTCATAATAGAAATATTCAAGATAAAACACTGAAAATCAAGCTCTTATTTGACTGGAAATACTGCAAAGGAGCCGCTGTGAGGTGATTTAAAGATTGCTTGCTTAAATTGACTGATGGATTGAGATCTCCCACCCAATGAGTTTGAATGTGAGTGAGTTTTTAGAAAAAAGGCGTTGGTCAACCAAAGGCAATATCAATAAGAAAAAAATGTCACAACATGATGAAATATCTTACCTAAGCGAATAAATTCGGATATAAAATCGTGTTTGTAGTTATTCAATAAATCTCCTTCCACCCCATCATCGTAGTACCTGACGTAACCAGAGAATCCGACCTGTGAAGGAAGACGGAGAAGAACTGGGGATGAGGATGGGGAATATTTATGAATGATAAAAAAGGATTGCCAAATATTTTTCAACTAACGGTAAACGAAAGCAAAAATACGATATCCATCGCTGTATTGACCACATGCTCCATTTTCTTAACAGACGGCTCAGGTAACGCTTCGTACAGAACAAATACAACGCTGTTTTAAAAAAGAAAATTGCAGGTCAGCTTAAAGAAGTGAGATCTCTCGCCTTCGTGAAAAAAATGCGTGGATCATTTGCCGAAGTTGTTTCTTTTCTTAGCACACATCGAGGAACACCTTGTTTTTTATGCAAGGGCGTGGGCCTAGTTTTTGTCTGTGCAATAGAGAAACACCTTGTTTTTGTTGGAAGCACCTTGTTTTTGTTGAAAACACCTTGTTTTTGTTGAAAGCACCTTGTTTTTGTTGAAAACACCTTGTTTTTGTTGGAAACATCTTGTTTTTGTTGAAAACATTTTGTTTTTGTTGAAAACACGTTGTTTTTGTTGGAAACACCTTGTTTTTGTTGAAAACACCTTGGTTTTGTTGGAAGCACCTTGTTTTTGTTGCATGTTCATCGATCAAAACTTACGTTTGACACAGAAATGAAATACCAAAGATTGGTAAACATTGTAAAACACCGTCAGGTTTCCAGATGTTGACCTCGCCGACCCAATCACCGTATAAAATCCTTGGTAAAGTGCTAAGAAATAACTGCAGAGGGAATATATACAATGTTAGATAGTTTATTAGGGTGAGGTTTTCGCCTGTTGGTTTAGGCAGAAGATATTGAAGAGTTTTACCTGTAAAACAAATATTGTATAAATTCCAATGGCTACGTTGCTGGCATTGCTCAAACTTGTGATATCTTTTACTAATGAAAGGGGAAGGACGACACATACTCCAATAGCAACGATTAAAAAAGACCTCAATTCCCATGATTTCTACACAACAAAAGGTGGTAAATTGATGGTGAATAAAAATGGGTGAATATTGCATTCATTTATTCCAGTATGGTAAATGAAATATCAGGAAATAAAAAGGTTCAAATAAATGAGTTTTCAGTGGCAGAGTGGTGAGTGCCAAATGCATATCACCCATCAAGTCTGGCATCAAGTAAATAATTTGCGAATTGGATGTTGGTAATGAACTTACTTCTATGCCAAGTAAACTTGACACAACCGCTGGTGAAACATCGCCAATGATGACAAACCAGGCAATTGCTGTACCGACTAAATAACCTATAAGACTGAGGGATAAAAAGATAAATGTTTGAACCATCTTAGATGTGTGTAAAGTACCAAGAAGAGGACTTCAAGAATAAATATTGGAAGAAGTGAACTGGTCTACATTTCAGGGGGTTCCAGTCAATTCTTAAGGATGCACCAGGGAATATTTTAGAAAGTGCACTAGCTGGCATCTTAAAATAGGATGTATGGCTGACACTTCTGGAAGTGCATGTAGTCTGAAAATGGCTGACACTTTCAGGAAGTATGTAAATTTGACATTTTGAGGGGGTGTTAATGGCTGACATTATCAGAAAGTGTGTAAAGTTGACATAGTATGATTATGCGAATGGCTGCCACTCTCAGTCAAAGGGAGTATAGTTTACATTTTTAAGTGCTAACATTCTCAGGAAGTGTGGTGGTTGACATTTAGAGGTATGCATTGTGCAACACTGCAACTTAGTAATATTTTATAGCCTTGGAGGGTTGTCTATCTTCCAAAAATAATCTTGGAATCTATGTTGAGTAAAAAATTAAAACAAAATACCTCATTTCTACAATTAATTTCCCTAAAGATCCACCAATGTAAAAACCTATAACCATGCATTCAAAAGTACATTTTGAGTATTATAATGTAATGGATTAATTTTTAATAATCTAAAAAAATGCTTTGTTTGAAGTAATTTTATGTTTATAAGTATATAACCTACCTAATGATTCAAAGTCTCGTTTCCGAGATAATTCTGCTGACCTCAGCAATAAACTACATGACTTTTTAGATGCATATGATGACGCTACAAGAAGTATAGTGCCCAGTACCACTCCACACTACAAACAAAATGAAAATAGACACTAGTCCTGGTTCATTTCAAAACATTGCAACCAATAATGTGTGTGACACATAGATAGATATTTTAACTACACTATAATTAGTACTTTGACTATTATTTAAAACTCTTTAACTACATTTTGCATAGTTAAATCACAGTTAACTCAGAAATACACAACTTTGGCTGGCCAATTCTGCACTTAACTACAGTTAAAAGTTAACTAGTCTTTCAGACAACTGACTCCAGTTCAGTTGATTTATATTATGACTGGATGCTACCTTTTTCATTTGTTTCTCAATGTAATCTTGTACAGTACAATAAATATAGTAAATAATTTAATCGTACAGTGACATAAATACAAATGGATGAATTATTGTGATAAGAAAAATTCAGGAGAATTGCACTAGAAATTATATAACAGTAATGGCACATTATTAAACCACAATAGAACTATGCTTGACAGAGGCATAGTGGGTAGGAAAATCGGACTGTGGCCCCCAAAATATATCTGAGGGGACCTCATAAGCCTCCTCCCCAATCCTTTCTTCATAGGCACCAGATTCTTGAAGTCCAATACATTGGACACGTATAACCCACAAATCCGCCGGTGAAATTTTCATATAAGATTATAACTCATTTTTTTAAATATTTCAACCTATGCGGGCTCGCTATTTGTAAATTTCCGTCGAGTAAATACTATACGTGTATTCCACGTAACAAAAGAAATATTTTTATAGACACGTTTATATTTTTAACACATTTGTAATATTGATCGTTGATCTTGCTTTATACCTGATGGAAGCAGTAAGGAACAGCGAGAACAGTCACTCCAAATGCTGTATTTACAAGATTTATCACAAAAGGCATCGAACTCGACATTTTGACAAGTACGAGAATAAAGAAAGTGCGACATTTACATTAATGAATGAAAAAATATTCAAATTTTTAATAACTTTGGAAGAACACTGCATGCATGACTACCGCCATTGTTTATCTGTGAATTAAATTTTGCTATAGTCTAATATAAACATTACATGAAGTACCGCACATTATTCCAGGACCTTTTTGAGAATTCGAATTTTTGAATTCTGAGAAATGGGTCTCAGCGATGAATTACATTGGGGGAATTACATAGAAATGGAGAATAATTATCAATGAAATAGTTCATTTTTTCATCATGATGCAAGCAAACAAAAAATATCGAAAGATCAATATTTATGTAAAAAAATTTTCATTTTATGCATTTGATGAAACAATTCGATTTCATTGTTTTATTTACGACTGTCCAAATTTGTAAAAAACATTTTGAAAATGTTGAAATGAGAAATTTTATGAAAACACGGCGGAAATTTTTACTGAAAGGGAAAATCGTGTGATGTGGAAACACCAAACAACGTGTTTTGATCCCAGGCTCTTCTCGTCTCTCTCTTTCTTTCCAAAATGGTGAGTGTTTTATCTTATTTTCACAACATGAAAAATCAATCGATTTTCTGACCAATCCTTTGCATTTTTGCACAATATTCGATAGACAAACACAGAACAAAACCAATAGATGATATATCTCTAAATATTTCTGAGATTCATCTGGTATATTGCAATTTTTAGGGCATAGACATTAAGCACAAACACCAAAAAAAGAAAAATCGACGAGATCCAGTCTCGGATAACATCTACTTGCGTTTATTGGTGAAGGTAATAAACTTCCTTAATTACTTGATGTTTCATGCATTGTATTTAAAATAAATTATTCAAAGTTCTCACACTTGTAACTCGTATGAAAATTTAATATATTTTAAATTTGTTTCAGCTTTATAAGTTTCTTGTCCGACGTACTGATGCAAAGTTCAATAAGATCATCTTGAAAAGGCTTTGCATGAGCAAGGTCAACAGGCCACCTCTGTCAATTGCAAGACTGGTATGTTTCCACCATCGTTTAATTTCGTTTGAGGCATTTGAAGTCTAGATTGGATCAATATGAGGACATTTATATGCAAGATACATACAAAAGTTGAATCATTTAATGCATATGCTTGTCTGAAAATGTCAAAACCTAGCTAAAAAAATGGTTTTGAAGAGTTCTTTCGTAGTGTTTTCAGTTTTTCAAATCAATATATATGCCAAGTATCATTTGCTAGTAAATCAACAAATTATTTAGGTACGGAAGATGAAGCCTTATGGCTTTGATGGTAAAATTGCTGTGGTTGTTGGCACAGTCACTGATGATTTGAGGATTTATGAGATCCCGAAAATGACAGTAAGTTTACTTGGTTTTTGGGGCTTTTACTCATGCAAACTTATTGAGTTTTAAAGCTTAAACCTATTGTGTAAAGAGAATGCTCTATTCTTTGACAAAATAGAATATTGCGAAGTGGTTGAACAAAGTAAAGTATTGATAATAATAATGGCTTTTGCATGGTGTTTATATCATGTCTGCTTGGCATCGTGGATAGTGTTATTTGGGGCAACTCTGGTGGCTGGCATTAAGAGTATTAATAACATATTCTATATTTTTAGGTTTGTGCGTTACATGTAACAGATGGGGCCCAAGCTAGGATCTTGAAAGCAGGTGGTGAGATCATAACATTTGATCAATTGGCTTTGAGAGCCCCAAAAGGACAGCATACTGTTTTATTGCAAGGTATGTGAGAATGATTAGCCCATACATGCTTAAAAAATGTCCATACATGCTTAAACAACAGGATATGCATGTTAAAGTTCACCATTTTTCACATAGTTGTCCTAATCACATTGGCTTTAAGAAAGAGCTAAGATTTGGTAACCCTATGTTTACATTTTTTACACCATTTTTTATATATTTTGTACTTTTCGGTTGATATCTTTGGGTGTGATGAACATAAACACGACGGTCTTCAGATTATATAATGTTGACAATGTGTTTTCTGACCCAGTGCTAATAAAAATTTTGTAAAAAAAAATTCCCAACAGTGTTGGAAATAACAATTGGAAATTTTGCCATTTTTCAATGAGCAAGTTATGTAATTCCCTTACAATGTGGTATAACACAGTATAATACTCATGAAGTATAAATAATAATACAATATGAAGTATAAAACACATATTTTATAGACATCCAGGTGTTATTTGAACTCTGGAAGCTGTTTAAAACATTAAAATTAAATGATTTCTCATCTAGGTCCCAGAAAGGCCAGAAAAGCTGAGCGTTACTTTGGTCTTGCTCCTGGTGTGCCTCATAGCCACACAAGAGCTCGTGTGCGCTCTAGAGGACGAAAGTTTGAGCGTGCTCGTGGTCGTCGCAACAGCCGTGGTTATAGGGCATAATTTGTATCAGTTTATGGACAAATGAGAATAAAAACAACTCCATATCTAATGTTGTATTTTGTATTTTTCCCTATATCACTGATCTTTATTAACTGCAAAATTAATTAACTATTAACCATGAGCTCACTGCAAGTGTTTGCATCTATTTAAAATAAACTCTCAAGCATTTTGATTGGATGCAGCAAGCTTGTGAGTTGATTTTTGGGATGAGCAAATGAGAGATTTAACCCTATACCAAATAAATATGACTACTGTTGTAGTCCTGAATTATCCTACCTTCAAAAAAAGGGTACTTGATTATTGCATACTGGATAAAACATAACGTTCTTTAATTTTAATTAACATCAAAATACGTATGAGATGAAAAAAAACTATTTTCCTATTTTGTGATACTAATTTGTTAAGTGTTTAAGTTTCTGTCCAATATTTCATGCTTCGGTTTTCATCGTTGCTTTAATGCGATACCCTATCAAAAGAATCACATTCATTTTACTAAACAACTAACAATTGTTAAATAGTTTATGCGATAATATATTCTCACCATTTATTTCCAATCCATCTAGGGAAACTACTAACAATTCACCACTCGATGAACAAGGCATTCTAAAATAGATTTTTGACTGGTTGAGCATTTCATCTTTTCTGGAAAGAGAAATAAAAGCAGAACTTCACCTTATATTACACATTTTGCTTTTCTCATCATCTTTGAATTTATAAGATACCATTTCCCCATATGGTTCAACTATCTCTTCAAGCTCCTATATAAAAAAAAGAAAGTGATTTCCTTCATTTCTTGTAACCTCTTGAGTAACTCCATTATTTTTATATGGAAATACATTCATTTCTTAGTTGTCTGTAAATTGGAAATTGAATTTTATGCTAAAAATAAGAATTCAGACAATTGTTCCCTTGCATATATGATAACTCAGTTTTGTTGTAGCAACTTATTGACATCATCATATTAGATTAGCTGGATGTCGAGAGATGCTCTTAAGGTGGTTGGAATACTCTACCTCCTCTGTTATTGCCAATGGCAGATTTTCAAGTAAAATATTACATGGGTCCATCTCCTAAACACAGTAAAGCAGGAATAATGATGAGAAATTATATTTTCATAAGGATGTGTAAGATTTACAAGGGTAATATGCAAGTGTTCCTGATATGAATTTATTGCATACCAATTCATTTGTTGACATGTCCAGAGATGCAACTGAATTATCATTGTTCAAATCATTCTGTTCTTGATGCTTTTCAACTTCGTCTTTTGCATCTGACAAAATTATAATCTCATCATTTCCCACTGGTGATAAGTCAGTGGAATGCTGTTTATTAAATCCTGCATCTGCATTCTTCTCTGTATTTTTACTTTCATCAAGTTGTGAAATCCCAACTTCTTTTGTCTCCTCATAGCAAACTGTTTTCTCATCAGGCCTTGTAAATAACTGCTCACAAATTTCATTATCGTCATTGTTTTCCTGAAATGGTTGATTGTCATTCCAACATTTTTCCATTATCAGGTTGTTGTCAGGTTTTAATTTATCACATATTAGCTGACCTAAAACTTCAACATTGGCATTACTGCTTTGAGGAAACAAGTGGTTTTTGCTTTCAATCTTTCCATCTAAATTTATGACGTCTTCTCCTTTAAATTTATCTAAGGGTTGATCATCAGTGTTAACATCACTGTCATTAGGCTGTTGATCATCACAAAGTGTAACATCCTTCCCACCAGGTGCTGGCATAATTGCATTGAATATTTGACAGTCTGATTTTTGACTATTTAAACTAAGTGGTGTGTCTGGAACTTTTGTATCATTGTTAGGAAGGATCTCTTGAACTGATGTGGAGTGTTTAGAAATCATGGAAAATGATCTTGAAGTTTCTGGTTTATATACATTATTAGAAATGTCTGCAGTATTTGCTGAATTCTTATCATATCTGCTTTTATCAAAATCACCAGTTTCAATTGACTTAAATTTCTCTTCAGGCTCTTCAAAAAATGGTCTTTCAATACTTGTTGTCCTTTCAGCATCGTTTCTCAGTTCCTGACTACTTTGTCTCGCCTTCTCAGGTTTATTGCCCCATTTGGAAACTCTTGAAGAACAAGAAGAATTTGTTTCAGCGTTGTCTGTTGACTCTCCCAAGGATGGAAACAGATCTTCATAAAGTTCTTCTGAGCCTAGAAATTTTGACCCAAGGCTTGATATCGGACTTCCTAGAGATCTTGCTCTTCCCGCATTAAATTGAGCCTACAAAGAGATGAAACAAAGATGAAATAATATTGGATATTAAATGCCCTCTGAACATATTCTCCAGGATAGAAGAAAATTATTAGGTAGAAGATTACAAACTGCATTCTCTACAAAGTCTCATCACAATGCACTCGCTACCCCTATATACCCCACCTATATGCCCCCTACCTTATCAGAGGAACCCCTTTCCCCAGGACGTCGGCTCGGCTTATCTAAGGCAAGCGCTCTATTGGCCAATGACCTTCCTCGACCTCTTGACCTAAGACTGCCATCATCGCACGACAGCGCTTCTTTAGGTAAAATAATCGAACTTAAGTCGATATATGGTATTTCTTTCAAACTTCCAGCTAGAATAAGTGGTTCAACATCCTCCTCTCTGGGACGGCCACCTAAAGTTTCTTCAAGACAATTCAAGTCCCACGTTCGCCATCTGCTAGCCATGATGTTTATACTTTGAGGCAAATTTTAAATTCCATACTTCAAAAGGACGCCCGTCGGAAATCTACACGCGTGCGTGGAATCACAAGAATGCACCAGGTATGCTTGTTTGTACAATGTGAAAATAAGTTTGATGATTTGGATGGGAGTAAAGGGATATTCAGCCTTGCATGTTTTATTTATATAATTTTTTATCGCTTGCAAAATTGTCAATTTCATAACAAATATTGCAAGTATTTTGCTCAATAGAAATATCTCGAAAAACGAGGACTTTTTGGCGTATGAAAATAAGGCCAGTGCGCGTAAAATTTTCAAAATGGCGGCAAGACGAAGGAGTGTAGGGACTTGACAATTCGTATATATGCTCTCTAATTACGTTAGTTATGACGAGTTTTTCTCTTAAATCGATGCTTCTTTTACGCTACCCCTGCGTAAAATGTCGGTTTAAAACCTTAAGAGCGCTTTCTGAAAGTGCTCCAAAGCTTTTCCCGGAGGTGAATATGTTCTCATGCGACCAAGAGAAGGTAATATAGTTCACTACATTCAATATATATTTGAACTCGAAGCTATTCCACTGAGACAGCCAGATATGCAGGTTTTAAAAAACGTTGATATTAAGTGCACCGAAATAACAAATCAAATATACCACTTTCGACTTTTCAGTCCTGGAGCCGGTTGTATCAAGCCCGTTTAGCTTAAACAGTGGTTAAGTTCAAAATAGAAAGCAAGTCTATCGTTTTACTCAACAAGCAAACTAAATGTTTTTAACCTTAATACAAAGATACTGTTTACAAATACATATTTAGTTCATAATATTCAAGTTCACTCATTCAAGAGAGATGTAAGAGTGTTATTTAATTTTGACTTATCCACCGTTTAAGCTAAACGGGCTTGATACAACCGGCCCCTGAAATAGCGCAAGACAACCACTCGTTGTCATATAAACAAGAAGCAAACCATCTAAAGTATTTTGGCTCCAACACTTATTAAAACATACTGTAACTATAGACCCAGTCAACTGGATAAATTTTATCCAAGATTTAATCTCTAATCCCTTATTAAATAAGTGACAAAAATCCTGGCATGTGTATTTATAAATTAATATAGAAACGTATTTTGTTTTTTTGCAAATGAATAAGCGCAAATGATTGAAAACAATTGCGCCATGTAGAATTTAGTATTCACGTATTAAACCACAAAAATCTCGCAAACATTAGTTCATAAACAAAAAATATATATATAATCCCAAGAAAAGGTTGTTGCTACAACGAACCTCCAACATTTACAAGACAGCAATAGTAAACAGTCTTTATCAGAAGCTCTATAAAAAGTTGTGATAAATTCCTGGAATTCTACAGCTTGTTTTGGAGAAAATAAACGAGGGAAGCCTTGATGATTTTTCTAACACAAAAGGCATTGGACCTACACGCGGAAAAACGATTGTTGATCATCGTATGAAACATGGACCTTTCCAAACACTGGCTGATTTGGCAGCTGTTAAGGGAATTGGGAGAGCTTTTTTTAAGAACTTACTTGAAGTGGACGGTGTTTTGCAAGTTCAAAAGAAGAGGCATAAATTGTCAAACCTGTTAACACCGCAACAGAAGAAGGTTAGACTGGTATTTGCGATTATTTTTATCATCACGTTGGTAAGGGCAGTGTTTATCACCATAGTTGGTATTGAAGTGGTTGTCAATAGCATTTGAGGCTGGAAATCGCAAACAAACTGTTTATATCATTAATAATTCATGAGAAAAACAAAAAATAACAGTAAATTCTTGCACTTAACTTCTTAGTCAATATCTGACCTCGTAACGATGAGTTATGTACTTTCTCTTAGACAATATCTAGCCTCGTATCGATAGATATCGGCCTTAGCAACGCAGCCTATGTTCATGTTGATCGGAATAAACGAATTCTGGATTGGAAAAGAATTTCCGTACCAGTTCCAAAGCCATACAGTCCTGTGAACTGTAAAAAGTCTGTAAGTGGCGAAACTTCATCTCCCTATAACACTTTAGGTGGGATCGTCTTCGGATAGATGTAAACAAGCGAATATAATTCAGGGGCCGGTTGTATCAAGAGCGTTTAGCTTAAACGGTGGATAAGTCAAAATTAAATAACACTTTTACATCTCTCTTGAATGAGTCAACTTGAATATTATGCACTGAATATGTAGTTGTAAACAGTATCTTTGTATTAAGGTTAAAAACATTTAGTTTGCTTGTTGAATAAAACGGCAGACTTGCTTTCTATTTTGAACGTATCCACCGTTTAGGCTAAACGGGCTTGATACAACCGGCCCCTGATGTTCAAATGTCCTTATTTAAATATGCGTCACTACTGATCCTTCATATTTATAAAGAAAATCGCAACAAATATTTCTTGTCTTAACCTGTGTCTTAACGCAACTATTTGTAACAGCACGTAGCTATCGATAGGATAACGTTCACAAGTTCTTAAGAAAGATCTAGCGATGTTTCCGCGTGAGAACTCTTGAAAACGCGATTGTGAACGTTTTCAACATTTCCACATGATTAAATTATTAAGTCACTTTAAGCAAATCAAGATGTTACCAGACGGATGCGCATGGGCATACCGACTAGTGTTTTTAAGCTGGGGGGATATAGCGATTTGCCTGGCTGGCATGAAAATTAATTTATTTAAGTATTTTCGTTATGTCGCACTTCCTAAAAAATGCATATGAAACACCGTAAAGTCTAGAAACATGTATTTAGGTTAATATTGGTAATGTCGAGTTTGCTCATCCGTTCTGCTCATAACAATGCGTCGCCCACAAATTTGAAAATTCCCGAAGTTTCGCATGTTTCAGATTTTTCTCGACGCCGAGTCTAGTTCAGATTAATTTAAAACCATAGCGACCAATATTGTTCGAGATACACAAACACGTCTTCGAAATGTAAACAATTAAGAGGTTTATTTTCATTAACTGGACATCACCTTTAAAGGAAATGAATCCTTACAGTCGCTTTCAGCAAACGTTTCACAAATATTCGTTCGGAAACGCGCAAGTTCGTTACGAAATTCAAATATTCACAATTAAATTACCATTCCGGGTATCGGGTGATACCCCCCCCCCCCCCGGTAAGCCTATAAGTTTACATAAATTTGTTCGGAAACGCGGAAGTTCGTTACGAAATTCAAATATTCACAATTAAATTACCATTACGGGTAGCGGGTGATACCCCCCCCAGTAAGCCTATAAGTTTACATAAATTCGTTCGGAAACGCGAAAGTTTGTTACGAAATTCAAATATTCACAATTAAATTACCATTACGGGTAGCGGGTGATACCCCCCCCCAGTAAGCCTATAAGTTTACATAAATTCGTTCGGAAACGCGAAAGTTTGTTACGAAATTCAAATATTCGCAATTAAATTACCATTCCGGGTAGCGGGTGATATACCCCCCCAAGCCTTTAAGTGTACGTAAAAATCGGTTTCACTAAAACTCTATCGGGCAGTAAATGGTGCTCAGGTTCTGCGATATTTCTGATATTACTGCTGTTATATATTCAGTTGTCTTTTTTTACTGTCACAAGTAAATTGCATTAAGAGCGGAAGTTCAGTTTTCCGTATATAATGACATTAACATTTTCCAAGTAGACCAAATTTATTAACATTAACATTGGCATTTTCTAAGTAGACCCTAAATTCGTAAACCAATCGTGTAATAATCGTTTATATAAAAAGGTGGAAGCAATAACTTTGATGGAAACATTTCAGGTACAACAAGTTGTATCCAGCTTGCCTGACGCAGAATTGTACATCGTTGAACTACAAAGTCACAGAGCATCACATGCGGACCCTGTAATGTTCCCATTTGTCCTCCACCTTCGCATCGTTGAGGCGATGATTCATTGTCTTCTTCAAGATAAACTTGTCTTTGACGTGAGCCCTTTGATAACGGCCAGGTATTTTGGCCTGCCGACAGGTCTGAGAAAAAAAAAGGCAGCAGTTGATTTGATCTCATTTATGATACAAAAAACTGAGAATATGCAACTTCTCAAAGAATCCCCTGAAACCTTTTTAGAGAAAATAACAAGTTTGAAAGGAAGTAAAGAGATTGTAGGCTCGATTTTGGCCTCGTCGTCGGTCAAGGAAAATCTTTTTGATAAGAAATGGCAGGCAGACATACCAGAGATGTACTTGAAGTATTTTATGACAGAGAAAAAGAAAGATGACCTCAGTGATTGTCTTTTGCAAGCCTTAGCCTTTTTAGATCTTGCCTTCCAAGAATAAGACAGCTGTGTGATACTGTAACTTATTTTTGTCTATCTAACACAGAGAAAGCCCTGCCTACGAACGCTCTGTTATATGCCTTCAATATAATGATTTTGCACTCGATTTTGTAATGAAAAATACAGGAGAACAAGGCTTAGTCGGCTTTCTTCACTTGAAAAAGTGGAGCAAACTTGTTAATTATTATACTATTCACTACTACTCACGTTATAAATTCAAATAAACAATGTTTTTAAAGACAGAAGACAGAAAAGGACAAAGATTCCTATATGTTATTTAGTTTTCACAATTTCACTGACGAAGCTCGTTGGTTGCCTGACTTTCACTGTAAACTGTTTGTTTCAAGCAAAGTCAAAGAATTAGGCAAGCTTCCAAAAATGTCAATCGTCACCTCTCGTATATTTCAAATTAGTTTTTTTAGCACTTTTGACATTGCGTATTTAGTCAAGGAGGTAAATGTTTATTAGCGCGTTGAATAAGTTGATAGGCATCGCATGCAAAATAGTCGAGATATCGCCGAAATAAAACATTCAAACCCAGAAAAAAAAGTCCGTTCCCTTGCCCTTCAGTGACCAGTTCATCACAATTCGCCGAATGGAACTTGTTTATGAACTAACTCAGATAGGAACTAACTCATCACATCTCTGTCGCTGATGATAAGTATAACCGAGCTATAACAAATTAATCTTATTTTCTCGCCGTAGACAATCGTATTTAAAGTACTTTCTTATGCTTAAACTCGCGAAAACGCAATAAAAATATGCAAAGTTTTATTTCGGTTGGACTGGCGCCTGAAATTCTAGAAAACACTTAGGCAAAGCGTCTGTGGGCGGGGCGTTATATTACTAATGCAGGTCATGTGATGTTTTGATGATCATCAAAGCTGCCGCCTTTGTTAAAAAATAATCGATCGAATTCGCTTTGCAACGTGAACGTAAGCGTTACATTTCATCTACCAGTATGCGCTAGGATTTTCTCTATCGAATGATGTATTTTGTGTTCAGTTTTCTCAAGAAATAAAAAGGCTATTTATCATTTCGCGAGGCTGTTAAAAATAGAATTTGCATTTCTCTACTGGTGGTATATTGCCTGTCAATCAAAACCACGTGGAATTGCATATTTCCGGGCGTCAAACAATAACCTTCTTGCATGACAATCGGTTGAATTCATCGATAGTTTCGAAAAAAAATACTACAGAATATAGCTGTCCTCCGTTTTATTAACTTCATGCTGTATTTCCAAGCTTTTTGAGACAACATATCGCGTTTGGAAGGGGAAAAAGTAGCTGAATATACAAATAATTCGGTGTTCGTTGTTGATTTTGTGCTTCAACGTTTCCTAATACATTAATATCTGGTGAGTATAACCACAGTCTATGTTATTTAAATTTCAACCGTCATGGAGCAGTCTGGTGTTCCTAGGATGATATTACAATTTTGGCAGAGAAATATTGATAAAAAATGACACCATTCACGTTCGAAGAATGTCTGCCCACGACTTTGGTTGCGATGGCCGTGCCGATAGCGAATTGTGTTTTTTAATAGCCGCTAGGAGGACAAATGACAATAACTAGCGAAATAAAGCGGCAGGTTCAACCAAAGCGCGTGTAAGACTATGCATAAAGTAGACTTAGAAATAAGTCAATAAAATAATGTAGTGAATATCGTCGCGGGAAACAGGGAATTTGTTTAACCCGCGTTTATTTCCGTTACGAATCGGCACTTAGTGATGGGCAAAAAAATTGTATATGCTTGAAAATAGTTAGACAAAGAACAACAAGTTTTTTAGTGTAATTATGGAATAATTTATTCCCACACATGCGCTGTGCAATACAACGTCCGCCATCTTTGTATTGACACCACGCGGAGAGTAAGGTAAAGTAGAAGTTGTTGCTTCTTTTATAAGTTTCATTGTTTTATATTTTATTGTACGCGTTCTAGACAACAGCATGTTCCTTCTCAGTTCTTTTTTGTCGTAAACAATCGTTCATTTCAGCAGAAAGGCAAAATATATTTCGATAAATTAGATGTAAGGTTTTCGGTTGAACGTTCAGTTGGCCTTAAAAGCGCCACGACGGCGCCGACTCTTGTTACAGTGACGAGATTTTGACCTCGAGACGCGTCCTGATTCGCATCTGCCTCGTAAAAGCCAAAATGGCCGGTCTCGTATGTTAAAACAGAAATATATTATTCAGTGCAGGAAGCTGATAATGAAATAGTTATGATTCACGAATTGCCTTTAATACACATTATGTTCTTGACAAGTCACGTGTCAATGTGTCTGTGAGAATTGAGATATCTTGTGGCCTTTTGAATATGTAAATTACTAAATGTTAAAAAATGTACAAAGAATATTCGTCCAAGTCACGTAGATTTGTAGAATATGCTAGTTTAAAACTAGCAAAATGCTGCCGGTAGTATTTAGACTGTAGTGCTTTTTGTTGACACATTATTTTCATTTAAACGCTAGTAAAAAATGCTTGTCGTTAAGCGCATCGTTCTCAAGGAATATACAAAATTTTGTCTTGTAAATTGTTATTGTCAACATTTATATTTCAATATGCGTTGCCTTTGGTTATGATTGTTTCGGGAACAGACAATCAGTCAAATATCCTGAGGCTTGAAGTTGTACAAGTGGTCAGGGCAGCTGCTCGTTATAATGAGGTCACGAGGCTATTTGCATTAATATTGTCTTGGAATCGTAATGAATAATGCCACATGCGTGTTGCTTAGAGGCAGGGCAGACCTTCGCAGACGGTTTGTCTCAATCGTGATTCTCATCGCCTTGGAGAATATCAATATTATTTGATGCCGTTCTTTTAGTTTGTTTATTTACTCGGCCCTTGCGACAAGCCTTCGGCTTCGCTTTCTTGTTTTTAAGCGTTGTATTGAAATCGTATATCCTAAATTGGTCTTTCTCCATCTAAGCGGTTGGAGAAATTGAGTCTAATATCCAACATTAAACTATCGACATTATCAGAATATCAACATCAAACTATGAAATACGAACATGGTGATGTCAGTACGATATGAAGACAGCTTTTTTTGGTGATTCATGAGTTCTCGTTCGCGACGTGAAGGATTTTTTTAAAACTCAAGTGTTGAGCATGTTCTTCAATCTGTTTCAATTATGTGCTGATAAGCATAACATTTGCGTGAAAATATTAGCTATTTGTTTGGCAGTAGAAATTCCGGAAATGTTTCCGAGAAATGTGGCCTTTAAATGCGTAATGTGATTGGGTGATTATCTGAGAATGTCGACAGCAGTGCTCCTAATGATCTAACCCGTGTCACGGACGTGAGGCAAACTCACATGCACAAACGTGTGTGTGCATCGTCTGCCAGGCTTGGATTATCACGAAAACGTCATGTTATCAACAATGTCTATGTGAAAACCGCTTGAATAAACTAATGTTGCAATGTTATAGACCATGGAAAAATCTAGTTGATAAAACTCAATAAACAAAGACTGTTTCAAAAGAATTTTTTTCAAGATGGATAAAGGACTTCAATCCAATTAATATATGCAGTGCATTTGTCGTGGAACAGCATGTTGCATTTTTAAGACCACGTGCTACGCATTCCTATCATGTTATTTATGGTCGTGGTATTAACAAATATTTGGAGTTTGTGGTATGCTCAACTGCCCAAGATTAATAAGGTCAACAGCTATAAACCAGCAAGATTCAAAATGGTGGTAACTTGGAAACACTTGGTACTCTGCAGCGATTTTAAGTTTCGTGTATCATCTACTGAAACCTGACGCCGATTTCATGTAAGATGCAAGCAACTAACTTCGTGTTGTGGTATCGTGTCGATGTATACTGACATCTAATAATCGCTCGGTTTGTCATTACACGAGTTTTGTAAAAAAAAACTGAACAAGTCTACGTCTTCTACGGTTGTATCTTTCCACTGATCAGCGAGAACGATAGCTTCGTGTTGGGTCCATTCGCGTTTGGACACGATATTTCGTATTTGAAGTGCGCTGATCTTTGGCCTTCTCTAATTTCGTTGTTTTCATCGAATAATATTTCAATTATCACGGAATTCCTATCGCATGGTCACAGTTTTCCCGAACGATGCAATCTCGTTCAAAATTCCACGGGGAATCTATCTTCGGTTATGTATAAGGAACAGATTTGTGTTATCGTAGGTTATGTAAGATAGACTTAAGTATCTTCGGTTATGTAACACATACGTTTTCGAAGGGTTGTCAACATTTCTGATGTACTAAAATAGCATTTCACGTTTCTCACAATTAAAAGTTTCAAATTAAAGGTTTCTAGAAGCAAAACACAGCCGAGGACTCCGAGTAAAAAAGAGGCAATGCAATTATTTCATCCTCCCGACAATGTTGTTATCCCGCAGATCGACATAAATTATCATGTATTCATGCTATCGGGCTAGTAAACTGTAATGCAAGCGAATTATTGAGCGTGAAATCAAAGAAATTCCTTTATGAAAGTGTTATTTATGAAAAACAAAGCTAAACTCTGTACTAACCCAGGAAGGCGAGTCGAGTGAAAATTTGCATGAGATATGAATAACCTTTTGCCGTTGTTTATGTTGCACTGCTGGTGATAACTGTCAGCACAGTCAATATCAAATTGCCACTTGTCGGGCTTGAGAGTGCAGTGAATCGTAACGTGTCTAGCGGAGATGACAGCGGTCGGGTTTACATGCCGTATTTTGCATAACCTTGACCTGTCGGGGTGCTGTAGAATGCTTATAATGTGATCGTGAAGAACTCTCGATTTTAACAATGTGTAACAAAATTTGGTAACCAGATCAAAGTAATTATCAACGCGAATGGGGAATTATCCTCATATTATATATGCATAACCTTTTCAAGTCAAACAGATATTGAATTGAGGAACGCAATATAATTATATCCTGTTTTGTCTAACCATAGTTCACCATTTCTGACGTGGCTTACCATAGGTTCCGTCAGAGAATTGCTGGAGCTTATATACAATAATGAGTGTTGCTGATATTTTCCTTGCTCCACTTTACTCTTTAGGAATTTTGAATCGTACAATGTTCGATCTTTGACGGTTTTGAAAGATGGACGAAGCATCGCCAATAAAACGAAGGTAATTGACATGTGTTGTAAATTTTTATTTATAGAACATACAGAATGCTGTAGAATATAGTATTTTTGTGCTGTTTTCAAGAGAAGATACTCATCTCACAACTGAATTAAAAGTTATCCATATTTACAAATATGTTACGGCTAATCTTCGCCATCTTTATCACGGATTTGAAAATAATCATTCATGCGTTTTACGGGTTGTGAGAAAGTGCAAGTATACATGCAAAAAAACCTGCCCCTGTTACATGTGGATATGGTCTCTTTGAGCTTCGGTTAACTTGTATTGTATTCGGCCCAAAAACTACGTTAAACATAAAAATAAAGAATTTCGATGTTCCAAGCGATGGCCGCGGCCTTTCAACACATCACATAATCTTCAATTTTGTTTCAAATTATGATCGAGCTTTAGTTCTTCTGAGAAACGATGAATGGTACACCATAAAACATGCTTGTGTTTTAGTGACAGTGGATAAAAACGATGAGAGTGTAAAACAATAATATAGTAAACAATATGATACGTGTACAACATGTACGAAAATTCTCGACCATATTTTCGCTGCGTGTATTAATTAAAGACGCTCAGCGGGAAATTTGGCGGGTATCGCGCCTTTGGTGACTTCGGTCAAATGTCTGCTGCTGTTGTTTTAGTATTGGAAGTTCTTGTTTGCCGAGGTAACATTATATACACGCAGTCTACGCGATTCTATTAGCGACCATGAATGATTTCGGATTTTGTAAACAAAGACCGAGTTTGTGTGTATTGATATGCAAATATTTTTAAGAGGCCTGAAATGATTGCTTCTACGGTCAGTCAATCGTAACCACCTCTAAACACGTTGACTATTTCTGTGAATGCTTGTTGCTGTTTTCAAGTGAACATGAAAAAGAAGTATTTCTACTAAGGCGGCAGCAGATTTAAAACGAGATTGCTTTCCGAATTTGGTACGCTTGTTATTACACGATTTTATGAACAAAGGCTGTTTTTCATCCAGAAGCATTTGCTTAGAAATATTCCAAGAAACACCAAGTTTATACTTCGCGCTGGGATTTCTGAGAAATCCTTCATACATCACAGACTTTGAAAATAAACCAACTATAAGACACAAATGTAGATAAAACTTTGACGTTGCGTCTCAAATTAAAGAGATATCTTTGGTTATCAAGCAGTTAAAAAAATGTTACACTAGAGATTCAATAAGATTTTAAGATTTCAATGAAAGTATAGCTTAAGACATAGCAGAATGACGAACAGTGGTCATACGACACCACCCCTCCCCCCACAGAGGCCCGTTTACCCCTCCCCCACAAAGGCCTGTTTACACAACTTTTGCTACGATTTCATGTGCGATTTTCTTCTTTTGATTCTTCTTTTGATGGATGTGAATTAGTGAAATAGTTACGGATGTTCAAATAAGAGCTCTTATACATCAGAGCATTCGTAACTAGTCACTCGTTCACATCTACTAAAAGTAGAAAATCGCACATAAAATCGCGGCAAATTTTGCAAGTGTAAACGGGCCTTGAGAGCCGGGGTAGTGAGAGATTATGTATGTAAGAAAAGTTTAGATATAACTTTTAAAGTTCATCTTGGGGAAAAGGATCTGTAAGCAGAGATTTATAAATTCTTCTTTCCTTTTGCAGGAGAACAGAAAACTTAAATGGTATGTAATGTCATAAAGATTTTATACTAAATTTCCGAGAAAAACAGACTTTTCTCATGACAAATGGTTAACTAAATTTCTATCAGCATTGTTGTAGATTTTTGTCCGTTCTAAAAACCACCATCTTTATGCTTCTGCAGATCTATCAAGCGACGGCAAAATTACTAAAACATGGACCGGCAATGCAGAAATAAGTACGGTTTCCGTGAAACCCGGCATGTTTCAACAGCTACGACGTATTGCCACAAGCTGTAATTATAAGGAAAAAATTCAAAATCCCAAATCTGACGACATTATTATCTCGTCCGTTGGTTCATCTCCGGCCTCGTCACCACGCCCCGAAAATCTCACCGCTCTGTCGCAGCCAGTAGATCCAGTTGAACTACGTGCTCGGCTCACGGTCTTAGTAAAGGAAGAAAATAAAGAGAACCAAGCCCTAAAATCGGGCGAGCCTAATTTGCAGGCTGGAACTGTTGTGCAGGCCAAAGCGATCAAAATATCCGAGGGTAGAATTTCGGAGGCGGAGGATTTCAAGAATAAAAACATTAATATACCAATAGGCGTTGAGGAATTTTACGCGGTAAGTATAGATATATAGGAGTATATAGTGTCCTAGTTTTGAAATGAAATAATATGAAGGGGCAGTTGCAGAAGCGGGTTAGTTTTACCCTAAGTTGATAAAAATTTACTAATGAGACAGCGTTTTAGAAATCATCCCTAATTCCAAAGCGGCTATCCCTAAATTCATAAGAAAAACAACAGTTGAACTAGAGGTCAAGTCCTTTTTGTGCATCGATTCTTCTCAAAACATTGTGAGGACCGACTATTTGTTGTAAAAATTGCCCAAACGTTCTCACGTTTTGAATTTTTCTCAACATAAACTCTAATTCTTATTCAGAAGCGTAGCGAACCTGAATAGTGTTAGATATTCAGAGAGCACATTGTATTTTTAAAAGCACAAATACTCAATATGTCAACAAACCGTTTGTTTACATTCGGACCTCACTTCCACTTTAAGTCCTTGTTTACATTGTAATTGGAATTGCATGTAATGATATTCTTGTATGTTTGCATGGTGACAGTCGATAAGTAATTTAGTTTGTAGGTAGATCACGTAAGTATTTAATACTGAAAAGCTTTCGGTCCGTTAAGGCCGTTATGGAATCGCATGGTCACGACATCAAAATGAACCAAACATGATCTGGCAAACTCAAAAATTCCGGGATCAGAGATTCCGTAAAACAACGTAAACTGATGTCGTGACAATGTGAATCCCGTATTAGCGTACCCGGGGCCGGGGTCTAAACATGATGTTAATTAAGGCTCGTTTACACTTGCAATTTTTGCTGCGATTTTCTTCGTTTGGTAGATGTGAACGAGTGACCAGTTACGAATGCTTTGATGTATGAGAGCTCGTATTTGAACATGCGTAACTAATTACTCGTTCACATATATTAAAAAAGGAAAAAATCACACCAAAAATTTTAAGTGTAAACTAGCGTTAAAGTTCTCTCTGCACGTATCTTCTGCCACATTCCCACATTCCAGGCGTCGCGACATGACTCTTGGGATATTAATAGAATCTTTATCTTGTTTTCGTGACCTTCATGCAATTAAAATTCCACGATGGAGATATAACTTCAGGAATGTTGCGAAGTTTGTTATGAGCAGAAAATATGCGCAGAACACACTTTACACCAGGCCTGCCAGACACCAAGTCAAACATTCTCATGCGAGCAAGCATAAACATTTATCCGAACGCATAAAAACAGTAAATAATGAGGCACTTTAGCTTATTATGTTTGATTTTTTACTTCGATTTTTTCCCTCTTCGTCCGGGTCGAAATCGCGACTTTCCCGAACATGTTCGAGAGACTTCGATTTTAACCCCTCTTAGTCCGCGTCGAAATTGCGACATTCCCGAACATGTTCGACTTTCCCGAAAATCTATTGTTTTTGATGCGTTCGGCGAATCAAAATAATGATAATAATAATAATAATAATATACCTTTGATAATAATATTTAAAGGTGCATGGGGTACAGTCCGTAATGTAAACAAACGCTTTGTTTACATTTTGAATCCGTATATTTTCTAAAATATCAAGAACTTTCAGAATATTTGACACACTTTTAGTTTGCCACACTTCTAAATGAATAATGAGAGAGAGAGAGTTCATAGGTGGTAACAACTTGCGAAATGTATGAAACATGCGAAATTTGAACAATTTTGAAACCATTAGACTACTCGTTGTTATGAGCAGAAGCGATGCGCAGAAGCGCTGTGACCCTCATTAATAATGTTTGATGATTTAATTTTATTTGCTATTTGGTAAAATTGGAAATTTTTACAACGAGTGGTTTGATTTTTCTCAGGTGTTAAGAAAGATGATGAACGATAAATTTATAAAGTTGGAAGAAAAATACACCGAGACAATTATTCCTGATTTGGAGAAAAAAATTACAAGTTTGGAGAAGGAAAATAGACATCTGACAGAGCATTCAAACAGGTTGCAGGAAATTCTAGGTAAAGTTGTTGCTGAGCTTCAAAAAAGAGTGCAGAATGAAAAGGTGAATTTTAAAAATCTTGTAGAATCTCAGGAATATACAAGTAGATTTTGTATGGTCAGAGCAGTAGGTAGAACGCTCAATTGCGGTCTGGGGAGAGGGGAGGGGGTGTACATTCATATATTCATGTTTACACACCGTGGGAACATCAGAGAAATCAGTCTGGCATAAGACAAATATATGAAGATGCACCCCTTCCCCCCAATTAAGGTTCAAGCTACGGCCCTGTGTGTGGCTTAACAAACTATACCGTCAATTCTTTTGGGAACTAAAGATTACTTTATTATAGAGCATTGTTATAATATTTTTGTAGAAGCCTACTCAAAGTGACGTTGGAATTCAAGTTAGCTCTGTTGAGCCACCGGTAAGTAAAGAGGAAATCTTTCATTTAGAGACAGTGTTTTTTTAGTCGATCAAAAACGCGACACTCTAAATTCTGAATATTAGCGAATTTAATTAACTTGCGGGGTTCAAAAGTTCATTTACGTTTAGTAGTGGGCATGTAAACAAAGCTTTTGATTGGCTGGCTTTACAAATATGTGGAGTGACGATTTTACGCAGGTGTAGAGGGAGGCTGATAATTATAATTACAACTTCGTAGAGCAACCGCTGACAAGTGCTTTTGAAAATGTGGGCTCAGCCTTTCTCTACGCCCAGGTAAAATCGTTACCCAGGCTGATCGTTACCATTACAAATATGGACGTTTCTTGAAATGCTGATCCTGATGTTTGGTTTCTAACTCTTTCTTTGTAGCCACTTACCCCAGTTGCAACCACTGTTGCCCAGGTAGTCACCTTACCTGGCAAACCTGCACAGGTTGTACACGTCATCGACTCCGTACCAGGCCTCTATAAACCTCCTTCGAGCACTCCACCACATGCTACCCAAATGGGAACAGTTGGTGGCACATACTCCATGCGAGCAGTAAGCATTGCAAATGGCATTAGACAAAGTGCCGCAGCAAGCACTGGCCATGTCTTCACATCATCGGCTGGTCAACCTCGTTTGTACAGTGAAGGTATGTGAGGAGAAATCTTTTAAAATATTTTAGCGATTTGTTTATTACGTCAGCCTTCAACCAGTGAGGTTGGATTGCCAGAGACCTCAATAAAAACTGGAGCGATGATCGAAATTCCATAGGCCCCTTGCAAACCGCACAAAAATGAATTGAAAGGGACTGGCGCATTGGCTCCAAAGGCGGCAGCTAGGTTATTGCTCCAGTGCCTTCAGAGTTCGTTAGCTTTAGCAGTGTAACGTCATAAATATATTGTGCAATCTCTCTTTTAGCTCCATACAAACCCGGAAGTCATCCAAATGCTGTCCTAGTGCCTCGTTCTCATGCAACATTCGCCCGACCAACAGGACCCATCACGGCTACCGTTTACCCACAGCCTCAAACTCTTCAGGCGTCTCCTAGTACCCTGAGTGTACATCGAAGTTCCCCTCCTACCCAATCGCCATCCAATCGATTCCCCTATAACCCTCAGACGCCTAATGGGGTAATGATCCGTACACAGTATGTTATTGCCCCTGAAAGGCACGAAGTTCCCACAGTGGTGTCTTCGCCATTAACCCCCCGGCAGAAGTCCCCTGTTGTTCAAGGACCCCCTCCTAGTTATTCTGTTGCAACAGCCAGAGCACAACAGGCAAGTCTCGATTCTTCATGTAGTTGCACCTGCAGGGTTTAATTTTCTGGGGGGGGGCGACTGATTAAAGTTCGAATAAATCATCGGTACCAACTTGTCCCTTCCCCCCTTAAACCGCTTACTCTGCTACGTTTTTCTGTGTAATTTCTTCTTTTGATAGATGTGAATGTGCGAATAGTTATAAATGCTCTGATATATAAGTGCTCTGATCTGAGCATCCGTAACTATTCCGCTCATTCATATCTATCAAATCGCAGCAAAAATTGCAAGTGTAAACGGAGAGTATGCTTGAACAAATCGTATTTTAACAAATCTAAAACTTCACTCTGGAAACCATTTGGGGGGTGCCCCTTCAAGCCTCCCTCCTCCTCTCCTACCATTGGCGCTACTGGTCTTGTTCCTACATGTGATGGTAGTTCGTTGTTTTTCTGCAGATCCACTACCACCAAGGCGCGGCAAACAACCCTGTACAGGTGAATGGTACCCATCACTATGTCGCGAGGCAGGCTCCCCCCTCTGCGGCTGGTCCCCCTCCTTTAGTGCGAGCTCAATCGAACTTGCGCCCACAAGTGAATGTGAACACTTCCCCACGCTACCAACCTCCGCAGGTAATCCATCAACGTCCCCCGTACTCACAAAATACCCCTGGGTCCCAGGTGACAACAGTCCCCTCTCGCCATCCAAACACACCCCTTCCTCCGTCGCAAACACCACCGTCGCAAACGAACGGTATCATACGGGAGCTACCGCCCCCCACACCCACAGTCTCGATATCAGGAGCTGCAAATGGCATCGTCCTATCCTGGAACATGACCATTCCCGAGGCATGCGCGCAGATAGACTCCTACCAACTTTTTGCTTACCAAAATAACGGTCAGATGGCAAATTCACCTTCGCTTTGGAAAAAACTTGGAATCGTCAAAGCGCTGCCTTTACCAATGGCCTGCACGCTAACACAGTTTGTCTCGGGAAGTATGTACTATTTTGCCGTAAGAGCCATAGATGTTCACGGCAGGGCGGGAAGCTACAGCACACCGTGCGCTATCACACTTCCGAATGAAAGCGATAAGGCTAGGACGGTAAAATGAATGACAGCGCAAAATTTGTAGTTAGGGGAATCAGCAAGTCGGATTTTTTTTCGCCCGAAAGAACGCCACGTTAGAGACACTCGTCTATTTATTTTCACAGGAATATTTAATTTATTCGTTCGTGATTGGAGTTGGACTTCGTTTGTGCTCGATTTATGACGTTGGAAATGATTTATGATGCCGTTGGAAATGAAAACTACTGCTCGGGTGACTACGGATTTATACAATGTCGACAACGTATTTCTGTTGTTTCTTTTTTACTATTTATTTACAGAGATGTTTTGCGCAAAGATGCCAGATAATTGTACAGTTTTATTATTTATTTCGGGAAAGAATCAGTATTAAAAATTCTGTAGAAATCGTTTTTAAAACTCGCTGAAGCTTTATTGTGACAACTTGGCATGAAAAATTACAAGAATATCATTTAGGCACATTCAATCTTTAGGTCATATACTTGAGAAGATAAAATAGTTTATTTTTGAAGTATCGCTTCCTCAGCTCTCCTGCATCATCATTAATCTTGAGATTTCATATCTTCGCTTCCGTGCCATAGTTTGCGAAATAACTGGTATAATTCCTGGAATTACACCTGTACGTCTCTGAAAGCAAGCGAGACAAGCGCTTTCTGATGGCCAACGTATTTACGTACAACCTCTTCCTGTTCCAGAGACCAGAGTCGCGCAATTCCATCTGATGATACTGAAAAGCGATTGAAAGGGAATATCACAAGATATAAATGGTTGAGGGAACTTAATCATGTTCTGATATCTGTGGTAATAAAGAGATAAGTTCGAAAATATTCGAAGTTGGAATATGACATTCTGATATGACACTGTCTTAGTCAGTGCTAATATATATCTTTTGCGATGTTATAATCAGTTTTCAAATTCAACCTTCCTCGTTATAAGTTGACCATTGCAGTCCTGATTCTGAATTCCTGACACCTCCTTTGTTAGTATTATTATTCTCGCTAGTCTTGTGTTCAACCATCTTCGAATGAGAACATCTTAAACATCTGTGTTCTCAATTCTTACCTGCAACAAGATATTGTGAATCTTCGGAGAAGGCACAATCCCAAACCCACCGTGGTGAAGGTTCTGCTTTTAATGTCGACTTCAACGTAAAATCACTTGTCTGCCATATCTTGATGCTCTGATCTGCCGATGTTGTCGCCAATAAACTAATAAAGTGGATTTAAAATGGTTAAACACTTGTTTACTGGTCGTCTTCAACGTACCAAAAAACAGTGTTGAAATCCTAAAACGGGGAAACGGCTCAGCTAAATCTCTTGTCTTTTCTAACTGAATACACTTTAAGAAAACCCGATCTTTTAACTCTTTCTACGTAGATTTCTTTCATGTTGTTCTTACCAAGAGTCAGGACTGAAAAGACACTTTAAACCAGCTTTTTCGTGTGCTTTCATAAGCTTCGTTCTTGGTCGTAAGACGGTCGGTTCTGTTGTCGTTCCTGACGATAAACTCCAAATATAGCAATTACCCTGAGAAAGGAAAAAAAGTATTATTGCCATACTTTACACAAAGTTTCTCCATGAGTTTACTTTTATATCATTTATCTAAATCTTTAGTAAATAATAAGCACAATTCTTTCTTAAAAAGTTATTAATGTACGATGCAAGATTACAAAACTCACCTGGTTATTAATGGCAGCCATATAAGTTGCATCTTCGTTAATACTCAACGATAACACAGCCGCATCGGCTTCCGCAATCTAAACGATACAAGTTTCTAATTAACAATTAGAATGCAGGTATCATTAGAATAAGGAACACTAAATTAACAAGTAGCAATTTGAGTGGAAAGAATACTTACTAATTGTTCACTACGATCCGTCCTTAGATCCCAAACGTGTATTGCTCCGCTGTTGTCGCCGACAATAAGTTCACTCTAGATTGAGGTTATAAGGTAAGCCATTGAGATATATTTTACTTGATCAACATTATCACAATTACTAGTGGCTTCAAGAGAGGGGTTATTCAGCTTTCCATACTTGGTTTGGGTGAAGTATAATGCAGTTTACTGCAGTTTTAACTTGATTAACACGCTGGCACTGTAAATTCCTTGATCGAAGATCCCATATTCTTGCCGAGCAGTCTTCACCACCAGTGAACATCCATTTCCCATCTTCATGAAAACCGACTGAAGTTGCATTCTTTGATATGCCATCAAAGTTTATTACCTTGAATGAAAGAGTGGGTAAAATAGGTTAATGAAGGTTACTAGGGAATTGCATAAGCATAATTTTTGTAGTACATTCAGAGTAAGAAAGTGTCAAATGTTATTGTGGAGATTAAACTTACAGGATTGGCATTATTTGACTTTATGTCGTACATTTTTATGTGCTGATACCCTGCAAAAATTCATTTTGTTATTAAAATCAAAAACTATTATTACTAAAATAGTGAAAGCGAAGTCTTCAATGATGTAGTACCTGCTGCAGCTAACAAATGTCTGTCAGGAGTAATTGCCATGTCATTGACCTGGTGAACTATTGTTAAGGTTGCATGTCACAAGATAGTAATTAATCTAACTTGAATATATGTTATATCATAAATATATGATCATTTGTTGAAACACAATTGGGCAATTGCATTTAATGCGCACAACTCCTATTTGAGGACCCTGGAATTCTTTAGATTACCACCCCCCTGGAATTATTTAGGGAAAGCCATCATTTTACACAAAATTTCTTAGGTTGGCAAAAATCCTATGCCGAAATTTTCAGGTGAAGCAAAAATTTCACATGGAATTGTACAGGGATACAATATTTTCGTCCCTGGAATTTTTCAGGGGGAGGCATTTAAAAATAGATTCTTCAGGGGGGTTGCAAAAGCAAAGGTCCTCAACTGCTGGGGGTGCAAGATATCAAATGCAATAGCCCATTCATCATAGTGAACTTGGAATTCTATACACAAATTAATATTAACTGTATAAACTGTATAAAGTATTTGACGACAGTCCTTGTACAAAAGGATATAGAATCTGTATGAGGCACTGTTCTGTGACAGACTCCATTGTGAGCTTGCCAAAACCTTATACTATGATCATAACCCGCTGTTGCCAGAATAACTTGTTCACCATTATCATCCCGACCACTCATCTTTTAAACTTTACAAAGAATTTCAGCAAACTCAAGACATTTTCAAAACGAAATTTTAACCTTTTTTCGAAGCTTTACATCCGCCTCGGTGTTGACATTGAAGATGTACTTCATATAAGAAAATTGATAGCTCCTTAGTTGCCAGACCCCAAATATAAACACACCGCCATTCGCGGAACATGCTAATAACTTTTTATGGGGTCAATCTCATTGGCTCGCGAGTTTTGCGGGCCTATCAAACGGATAAATAAAACTAAACGATACTTGATAAAAACTTTATTTTTACAATTCAGTTCGAATAATTCATATAAAACTAAATAAATAAAATGACAGGGATTTCCCATTTTATACGCTAAGCTAGGATTTTTTCATGCGATTTTCATAGTTTAAAACGTGACAGTTCCCGAGGGTAGACTGCTATTGTAAATTCGATAATATCGCACGTCGCTGACGAAACGGTGAACACCCCGTGTGAATGATGGCAAGTCCTGAAATGGAAAAGAAATATTGATCACACTAAAGAAATTCAACATATTCAACTGTAAAAAGCTGGAGTAAATTTCTTTATATTTGAGAGACGTTTAATGTAAAATATGGGCCCCATGCAATAGTGGAAACAGATGCCAAATCATAGCAGCTCCAGCCGGACGACCAGTAGCTTGTTGTGCTCCAGTAAAATGGATCCGGGTGGAACTGAGTTACTGAGGAAAAAGTTTTTCAGACCTTTTGCGATACAATAAATGAATTGCCAGAAAAATATCAAGAGCAATGATTTTAAGGTCTTCATATAGCTCGAAGAAAGATTTAAGACTATTTGCAACCGTGATAAAACCACAAGCATTGAATACAAGATCCACCATGCCACACTCCACCATATTTAAGCGCGTACCATTTCATTCCATGCTTTACTGGATACCATACCATTTTACCATGTCGTGTTATGCTCACCTTATCCATTTTAAACGACTTAGAAAGTTCTGCTTTTTGTTCAGCGTATAGACCCTCGCAGCCTGTCAAAAACTCTGGCAAGAATCGAAGGTAAAATTTATCGAAGTCTGAAGAAGCCATGTTGTACAAAGCTATGGCGATCTCCTCCTGCAACAAGTCGTGGGAACGACGAACTAAGACCTGAAGAAACACGTTCAAAAAGTGGAACAGCATCCCATCGCTGAAGATTGGCTAAATAAAAACAAAACGTAAGATATTTGTTACTATTTTTTCTACCAAAGTTAACCGTTGCCTTGAAACATCCACCCATTAATCATTGTATCACTGAATGAAAGCATACCTTTTGATAAAGTTTTCGTTTTAAATTTAAATCTTCTAAACTTAGAAGATTCTGCTTGAAGACAGTTATATCAGTTTGGGTGAAAGTCTGTCCAAACGCCTGTTGGGAAAACGGGAAGATCATTCTCTATTGATCTAGTGTTACTACAGGAGGAAACCTAAACTAAACTAACTTTATTTATACTGAATAACTCTATCAGTTCTAAACTGTTCTTCCTAGTGGTCCAGTAAGGATAATCTCTTATTGATCCAGTGTTACTACAGGAGGAAACCTAAACTAAACTAACTTTATTTATACTGGATAGCTCTATCAGTTCTAAACTGTTCTTCCTAGAGGTCCAGTAAGAATCATCTCTTATTGATCCAGTGTTACTACAGGAGGAAACCTAAACTAAACTAACTTTATTTATGCTGGATAGCTCTATCAGTTCTAAACTGTTCTTCCTAGAGGTCCAGTATAAGGATCATCTCTTATTGATCCAGTGTTACTACGGGAGGAACCTAAACTAAACTAACTTTATTTATACTGAATAGCTCTATCAGTTCTAAATTGTTCTTCCTAGAGGTCCAGTAAGGATCATCTCTTATTGATCCAGTGTTACTACAGGAGAAAACCTAAACTAAACTAACTTTATTTATAATTGATAATTTCATCAGTTCCAAACTGTTCCTCCTGGACTAGAGGTCAACTATTGACATACCTCCATCATTTTAACAAACTGCCCTTGATTCTCACAGGCACCGTCGTCTCCATGAGTAACTCTAGTTTGAACATTTGGGCGAAAGAAATATCGCCAGTTGTTTAAAAGAAGTTGATGTAGCAGCTCAAAGAATTCAGTCTTGATGTCTGGGGCGGAACGCTGGAAAACAGAGGTTAGAAACTTATACAATGAATACTCTCAATCGTAGTACTAAGCCTTTCCTGAAGCAAACCGTTGGCTACAGACGACAACGGTTCTGATATCTGACATACCAACCCCAGCTCACCTCTGCAATAAGTGGGTGAATTTGGTCCAAACAAAAAGTAATGATATTCGGCAACAACGTTTTAAACGATGAACCGGTTTGCTGGGCTAAAAGTCTTAAAATTCGGAGAAATTTTTCGAGAACTCGCGTGCCGGCCGACATTTCCTGCGACATTGTTTCTCGTAATTGATCCTGAGTGAACATCCCCAGCAGCCTATGGATAATTTGTTCTGTGTAAGCGACTCCAAGCTGTGGTTGAAGAGCCCCGAAAACAGCGAGAAGGAAGGCGAGTATTGATTCAACCACGTCTGTAAAAATAGAATAGTAAAGTGAAATACCTGCTACAGTGAGAATACTACAGCACTAAGTATAGAGGGCGGTTGGATATACGAAAACTGGATAGCGCTATCCATTTCAATTGCTCTAAAATTGCCTGTTGTTCGGTATGACTTTGAGTCCTTGACTTTAGTATTCATAAATTGGGTTTTACAACTGTCGAAAAAAAACACTATCCGGTGCATGGATGGCGCTATTTCTTCAACCAGAACAGTTGCATCGAAAATAACCTTTTATTTGTGGTCAATTGGCGAGTTATGAAAAGTTCAATTTGTTGGAGAAACGTGGAGATAGAATTAAATTTTTTCAATTTTATTTCACCTCTGTTTATCATCATCATTTTGTTCTGTGAATGTTGAGTAATTGCACAAACTAAAGATATTCCTTGCTAAAAAAACAGATGATAATACTCCACCTGGTTCGTGTATGTATATTGGGAATAGCGTTAGAGTTGTGTGCAAGGACTCCTGAACTGATTTATAGACAATGGTTTTCGATTTGGTCGCTTCCCCTGAGACAGCTTCAACAAGATCTTTCAATATCCCCAAGGTTCGTCTGATAAAGCTTTTAGCTGGATTTGCAAACAAATGAGAGTATCTTTAGCAAATTAGCCGGCTCTTTATTCAAGCATTTCGTTCACGAAACACAGTGCGTCAAAGAACAATACAACTTTATCGTGGAGTTTACCTTCTGCGTGGAAGCGCTTACTGTCTGGTAGGCTCGTGTGTTCTGTCATTTGTTGGTAATTTATAGTCAGAGCTTTTATCAGGTTATCGTGATTGTTGCTACGTGATGGCCAATCCTACAAAACGACGAGAAGTTTGCAAACAGGTCATTTGATACAGTATAGAGGTCTCAGGGAAAAACTGATATTGTTTCATTGTTTTTATCGTGTTTTGGTGAAGTGTTTTCGACCGGGAAAGCCTACAATCAATGGCTAGTTGTGTATATCACAATGATGCGTCATCAGACTTCGATATTTAGTTCTCTGGCTATAACTTCATATCGCTTGCGCGCGAGTAGAGTTGTCTCAAAAGACGTCGTTGAGGATTTCAATATAACTTTGTTCAGAAAGGCGATGTTTGGAAACCTGGTAAATTAATGCGAGTTCTTGTGCCCCCAAATAAGGATGCCCGGAAATGCTTTGCCAAAACCGAATATCCAGATCTTGTTGGCAGATGACGTCATGCAGCAGATGACGTAATCTTGAGAGTATATATTTTAGGATCCGCGTTTAAACATCAGATCGCCTCTGCATGAAGAAACTAAACTGGAGTGTCAAAACGTTGAATCGTGAATGCAATCTTTGTGTGGTGATTGCTTTCATTATTTGAACCAGAGTAGCGATAAGACAGACGCATCACTTACTTGTTTATCGTCTGTTTGGTTTGGCCAGGGTAACACAAGAGCGTTTGACAATGCTCTGAAAATGAGCGTCTCTATCTGCATGAAGATGAGACAAAAAGCACTTTCATTGTCGATATTTTCATAAAAATAATGAACTTTTTGAGAATGGACAATGATCTATTCATTGAAATCTTACCTCGACCGCGGTCCGCCTCAGTTTCCCAATAGTCACCTCGTGGTACAGTTTCTGAACTGTTTCCAAGGAAACGAAAAACGACGGTCGAACACTGGTCGTCAAGGAAACCAGGAAATGAGAGGCGGGAAGCAAGACGCGTTCAGGAACCTGGAAACGAGTTACAACTGAGCTCTATGGAGTCACTTTCGGCGGATAGTTAATGTTCTACTTACCTCTTCGTGAATTAAAGGAAGAATGGCGTCGATACAACTCGACACGATAGAAACAAACTCATTCTCGTATTGTTCATGGACTTGAAGGTGCAGATGAAGTTGTGACAACCAATGACAGTACACTTGCAACGAGGCTAAAGTCCCCGCAGCTCTGTTGAGAGAAACAACAAGAAATCTTAGAAAACACAAAGCAGTTCTCAGAAAGCGCTAACCGTAAGGCAGGGGGGGGGGGTTCTCCTCTGTTCTCAGGACAACAACAAAGTAATTAAGCAAGTCTTACACTTCTCTGAAGTCATTTGATAAAACTCTTGCAGCGTCACTCTTGACATTGTACGCTCTTGTCTCGGTGTTGTAAAGTGCGAGATCACAAAGTCTGGCAAGATTGAACGAGATCGAGTTAGTGCGAAGGTGTCTACACGGCGAACTATGAACACGGCCATTTATACGAGCGAAAATAAACGGCGGCCTAAATAAGTCAAAACAGTGTGTTCATACTGTACTGTTGTTATACGTGATTGGTCGGAAACACTCGTATAAACAAACACCGCAGAAATTGTTTATCAAGTTTCAACGCGAAAATCACTGGTTCACAATTGGCATTTCTGTATCACTAACAAAGAGAAAACTATTAAACCCTATCAATTCTTCTGAATACGCATTCTGCAATCTTTTGACAGCTCATCATACACATTTGACAGCTGTGAAATGGCCATTTTGAGGCTTAAAGTATACACAAGGTTTTTAATTCAGATAATTCGTTTTAGCCGTGTGCAAGCTTCAAATCTTTTGTGCAAGACATATTTTGTTGAGTATTTATAAATCTTTGTTCTCATCACTCGTATAAATTGCCTTAATATCATCATCAAGAATGTATCGCACCGTTTTACGACAGAAAGGCCGTCATCAAATCGAGACTGGAAGTGCGTTTCTCCGATGAAATGTCCCGCGAGACGTCCGAAGATTCTCTGAAGCGTCGTGAGGTCACGTGACGTGCAATGTATGCGTCGACACTCATTCTCTCCTTTCACGTTCAACTCGCAGCCTGGGGTATGGAAACGAAAGTTAAACCAAATTCAAAAGTATGAGCCTAGTGTAAAGTTCTTATACTACCTTGGGCGGTCTTAACTAAAGCGCTACGGAGTCCAACGAACGCTTCCGAATATTCCACGAACAATGGAAACTAGAAACAAGATTGTGCATTTCATTATCTAGACACCGAAATATGCAGTTTTATTGTGTGTGGTACCAGGTTGTATCGCTCGTGAACTTACCAAGATAGAAAATGCATCATTTGGCAGTAATTCTGATACTTTCGCAACGACCTCTAATGAATGCCGCAAAAATCGCTGCCATTCTGTCTCAGACTAAAAAACACACAAGAAAGTGATAATTCTGCTTAAAACTCACAAATCATGATCTTAACTTTGGTTTTTAGTTTGGTTTAGGTTTCCTCCTGTAGTAACACTGGATCAATAAGAAATTATCCTTACTTGACCCGTTAGAACTAATATCTATCCAGTTACGTATTATAAACGATATAGATCATCATACATCTTCATTGAGTTCTTCATTATCCAGTTCCTCGAGTTCAGTTTGATTGTAAGTAAACTGAATCTTTTTTAACATCTCCGTCAGCAGCAACACCAGAATATCACGATACCTGAAAATGACAAAATTGTGAAGTTTCAAACTGCAAGGTTGAACAAAACCCACTTTATTCAGCCCTCCCCAGTCCTACCCACCTTCGGACGGTGGGATGCACCTCCGTCGCATAATTTTCTTTTGTGTCCAACATTTTAGAGCTCAGGTAATCCAGGAACGTCATCCAGATGTCGAGGCAGGAGAAAAACACCTCGTTGTCAGGCTGGCATGAACAAGGGAAAAGTTAGGGCGTGCAGGTAACAGGGAGGAATTTCGTTTTCGACCAATCAGGGAATCTGTTTACATTTTAGTAAACCAATGAGAATGCATAAACACTGACTACTTCATGAAGTATTAAATATTCAGGCACTCTGATTGGCTTAGACTGAAAAATGGATGATTCAGATGTGGACCAAATTTTCATCGAAAGGCCGCTTCACATTTGCAATTTTTGCTGCGATTTCAAGTTCGATATTCTTCTTTTGATAGATGTGAAAAAGTTTCGAATCGGTTAAAATAACAGCACTCTATAGATCAGATAATCCATTGAGAATTCATCTAACTTATTCGCTCGTTCACATCTATCAAAAGAAGAAATTCGCACGGAAAGTATCTTGAAACAAGACTCAAGTAAACCACCTCAAATCGGTTACGTCGGACAAATCGTACCTGTTTAATGGTATATTTCAAAAGTAACGACATAAATTCTATGACCGGAAAATGTAAATTGGCCTCGACTCGACGCAAATGAACACTGACGAAGAGCCGTAGGAATTCTGTAAACTTTTCTATATATCTGCAAGGTCAAAACAGTACAGAGGATTAGTTTTTTTGTAGAACTGATTTAGTTGAGAGAGTTCAGATTGAAAGTAGTTGGTGAAACTGTGGTCTTTATTATCAGACAACTAGGCGCCAGTACCTCTCGTCCAACTCCAGCAATTTATGTCCAGTTGTTTGTAGACCAGTGTCTTTTGTAATTCGTTGCAGCAAATGAAACGTCTGCTGAAATAATCTTAACAGAAACTCTTCAAACTCCGCAGGGACACAATTCTTTGACAGAATTTCATTAACACAATCCATTGCTAATACCCCTAAAGCCAAATATAGTGCAATTCACAAACGGTTTAACTTTAAATTGTAATCCTAATCCGACCTCTAAATCTATTTTAATTTTATCCTCTAAATGTTATGAATCTCAAAATCCTATCCTCCAAATCCTATTAATCTTATTCTCTTAATCCTATTAATCTCACCCTTTTAATCATATTAATCTCATCCTCTTAATCCTATTAATCTTAAACTCTGAATCCTGTTAATCTTGGCCTCTCTAAGATTTACCTTATCCTCTAAATTTTATTAATCTCAATGTAATCCTGGTAGAGTTCCTATGGATAATCTAATCTTATCTCATTCTAGATCCAATAATCATGATCTTTGTATGATTAGATCAACCTAATCTCACACCAACTTACCTAACCGAGTGCTGGATCCAGCGGTGGTCATCGCCGAACCTGAGGCCAAAACATCACACCCAAACTCGGCAAAGCAAAACACAGTGGCAAGCAGCGAGGGGGTAATGTGTGTGGACAATGGTATCCAACTAAACAGGTGTGCAAGACATGCAAGTGCCAGGGAACTCAGTTCCTCTGAATCTGGGTCAAGAGGAGGAAGAGGATTGTTCAGATTAGTTTTGTTCTGGCTGAGAAGCCGACCTATTAGAGGCGAGTGTCTGTTGTTGTTCTCACGAGGGGGTGATAGTGAAAACAAGTTTAGTTCACCGTCCCCTCGGGGGGAGATGCTTTGAGATGACTCGCCATGCGTGGGGGAGGGGGGTGGTGTAGCCGTGCTTACTACCCGCCTATGTTTCTCTAAAATGTTCTCTAGGAATGTCCCGAGCATTGTCAACAGTGTCGGCACTTGGTTGAGCAAGAGTTTGTGAAGTTCTTCCTTCCGCTGAACGCTCAGGTCTTCAGAGGAAGAGAGAAGTTCTTCTGAAGTGATTCGTAGCATGATTAGGCCAAGGTTGGTGGTGAGGGGTTGGTGTAGTACCTGTGGGATAGAGAGGCTGGTTTAGTTGGGTTAGGGTCAGGTTTTTGTGAGAATATCAGAAATTTCTTTATATCAGAACAGACCTCTAAGATGTTTGTGAAGAAGTCCGGATAGAAATGAGGCCAATCCTGACGGCCAATATCAACCAAGACCTTGACCAATTTATTCTTGATAAATACAGGTAAGCTCTGATGGTTGTTCATGAGAAAGTAGGATAGTACATGTCGGACTTCAAGCTTTTCCGTCTGGGACACCCCGGACCATCGTTTGTTCACAAGATGCTGGAGGAAAAGATGGTCAAGGTTACAGTTCAGATATTTGGAAGAATTCATATTGGATGGTTAAGTGGATGGCAGCAATCATGAATTCAACAAGCAATGCTCACCTCAAATACAGACAGGGAGTACATCAAAACGTAATGATTTTTAGTGTTGTTCAAAAAGAATGCACACGACCGCCAGGCACCATTTTGTTGGACAAAGCTGTTTAGAACATTCTCTGCAATGCAACAGGCGTATGGTGGTAAGATATTTAATGCATGTTTCATATAAACTATCATAAAGTTGACAGCTTATACACTACCAATTTCTCTCTTTCTATCGTTGTTCGATGTTGTGAAAAATTCATTCATCAAAACCTCCAGTCCTTGTAGTGAAGACTTGTCATCAGAAGTCTAATAAAATCATATTAAACCGACATTCACAATTAAGCCTCAAATCCAGATTAACTGAAAAATAACAGGTTAAATTAATCTGAATTGATTCATTGTCCGTTAAACAATATTTTTGAGAAACATTACATGATAAATCTATGAATTAACCATTTGTTTTATATTTCCTTGAGTTATCAGTTGAAAACAGTTTCCAAATTAACCTATTATTCCTTAACTTTGTAATTTTTTTGTCTAAGGCCAGATGATTTTACTTGTCAAAAGAAATATGTCTGGAGCATCATGTTACAAAAGGTGCGTTCTTAGATTAATAGAGAAGCTCTTTCAGAAGTTTAGAAATCTTTGGCAAGCAGTGATTTTGAAATTAAAATTAACAGACAATGATAATTACTGCTTAATTAGAGCTATTATATCATTTGAATATAATAAGGTCTTAATGATCAAAAATATGTTCACTGCATTAACAATGCACAAAAATTGAAATCATTTGCTCTAAAACACATCGCTGCGATATCACAACCGGCCAACACAGTTCACATAAAAAGTAAATGGAAAATAAAAACAAATAATAATACATTATTGATATACAAATAAAACAACACGAAGTGAATACTGAATAATAAATAAAGATTTTTCGGTAATTAATAACTCACCATTTCGTAATGTTGTCTATGGGAATGTGAGAGTTCTAAACGTTAATGCTCAAGTCTATTCTCAAGTCTGATATACTGAACCGGTAAAAATAAAAACCGTAAAGTGTCAAAAGATAGGGCAGGTCGCCTAGATCCAGATTGTTCGAAGTGTCAGACTGTCAGAAACTATGCTTCCATTTCACAGCTCGGTCGCCAAAAATCACGACATTCCTTATAGAGATCGACTAATATTTCAATGAAAACCGGTCGAAATAAAGAAAACCTTGAGAATTTTGTGACGGATTTGATGCGCTTCTTCTTCGCCCTTCTCTGTCAAACGATCGTGCTGACGATTGAAACAGAATATCGCATATTACACAAAGTATCCTAAAGTACGACTTTCCGTGCAGAATACGCATTATTCAGAAGCGTGACCAGAGATTTATATTTTTGTCCTCAAGTTTTCCCAAAATGCTCACGTCGTGCACACGCCACGAAACTTGCTGGACCGATGCTGATGAAACTGCCTGTGAAAATTTTATTTTTTCTGCCGTCTTAATAGCAATTTTTTGTTCATATAAATTAATAAATTTATTTTTAAATGAATTTTTATCTCCCCAAATGCCAAAACATTATTGAAATAGGCACACAGCATAAAAGCATATAGGCATAAATAGGCATAAAAGCCATCGCGTAATGACAAATGAAGAATATCACGCAAAAATGGCTACATTAGGAAATCTTTACCACTGAGAAGCACATCTGTCCATCTTTCATCTACGGTCAAAAGATCGTGCTGAAGAATTGACAGGATATCGTGTATTACACAAAGTATCCTGAAGTACAACTTCCCACACCGAGGGCTCAGTATTTTCGTCAGTTGCTTTTAAACTTGCATAAAGGAAGAAGTTGGGAACATTTTGGGCAAAATTTCAGGATTTTTGAGCATTTGTAAGCCGGTATTACGTTGAAAGAAGAGAAGAATGCTTCGTTTAGCATCCAGACAGGTTAGATGTTGTATATATTTGTGCATTTATGCACAATTGTAGTGTTTGTGTGTCAATATCATTGACAGAGTCTGTCGCAATAACGCAAATTATTCAATGGTCAGTTGTGAAAAAGTTGTACTTTATCCCTTTGGGTACATCGTAAAAGTTAACGAGAATGAGAATGGCAGACTACCCCAGGGAATGTTTATTTTCTTGTAAATATGTAGACATTAATATTCATATTAACGTCGGAACCTCCGCCTCAAGTCAAAAGTCAGCGATCATTCATTTTATGACAATTGACAAAGTTCACTGGTTCACTCTCCTCTCCACGGGCCGGTTGTATAAAACTCTTTAACTACATTTTGCATTGTTAAATCCTAGTTGACTCAGAAATACACAACTCTGATTGACCAATTCTGTCCTTAACTGCAGTTAAAAGTTAACTAGTCTTTTATATACAACTGGCCCCAGATATGTGATATCTAATCCTGTATATCTAACAATTTAGGCCACCTTGCTGACCAAGAATGGCTGTTCAACAAGATTGTTCAGCGTGGCCTGCATCAACAACCAAAAGGTCAGTGCAAGGAAATATTCAAGTAATTTAAACCTAAAATTTGCGCAATTATCTTACTATAGTCACAGGAACCACTGAGTATTTTTATAAAATACAAAAGAACTCTGAGAAAAATTCTGTTAGCTTTAATGAATCTACGTTTTGACTATATTTTAGTCAAATATGCTACAATGGTGGATGTAAACTTTCTTTTCATTGCAGATCGCAATGAGTCGTTTAGAACCAGATACGGACTTAAGTCAAAACTATAAAGTGCTGGATGAGAACCTTAAATTGGTCCGCGAAAGGTTGAACAGGCCAATGACTTTATCAGAGAAAATCTTGTACAGTCACCTGGATGACCCAAAAACCCAGGTATTTGCTGTTGGCTTTCTTTGTTGTAATATTGCTGTGTTTGTTGTTCTAAGATAGCTCCATATGTTGTAGGATATAGAGAGGGGTGTTTCATACCTGAGATTACGACCAGACAGAGTTGCAATGCAAGATGCGACTGCACAGGTGGGTAATACATGTCCACTGAATTTGTCCGGCTGCTGGATGATGCTTCAACTCACATCATACGTTTTTCTTTAGATGGCTGTTCTCCAATTCATATCAAGTGGTCTAGCAAAAGTAAGTTGTGTTCCTGGTGAATCTCTTTAGAGACCTACTATCGATTCCTCCAGACTTGCTGACTCCAGTAGAATAATCCAGTTCAAATTCCACAGTTTCCACTCAATACAACAATTTTTTCACATCTGTAGTACTTATCAGCGGTATAGTTCAATGAATCGGAACATCTATGTACATATTGCGTACCAATTTTTATCGCCGAAATTCGAGCACACAAGGCGTACCTTTTTTCACTTACCAAAATAATCGTACGCAAAGCGTGCCTATTTTTATGCATAATTTTTTCGTACGCAATGCGCACCTTTTCTTACCTGATTATATCTTCATGCATCGAATAAATAATCTATCCCAATACGCAATTGTTCCTATCAGGAGGGCCGGACATTTTTTATTTTTCCCCAACACCCCCCTGTCTCGGCACCTCTTGGTCCAACATAAGTTTATTTGAAGACTGTCATTTCAGGTTGCCGTGCCATCCACCATCCATTGTGACCATCTCATCGAAGCCCAAGTTGGCGCGAATGAAGATCTCGCCGAGGCCAAGGACATCAACCGCGAAGTTTATGATTTCCTGGGCAGCGCTTCGGCGAAGTATGGGATCGGTTTTTGGAAGCCGGGCAGCGGTATTATCCATCAGATCATTCTGGAGAACTACGCCTTCCCAGGAGCCCTGTTGATCGGCACAGACAGCCACACACCCAACGGAGGTACCAAAAATACAGAGTTGTTGAGGCCCATTTCATACACTTGCGATCTTATGTTGCGATTTTCTTCTTTTAGTAGATGTGAACGAGTGACTAGTTACGGATGTACTGATGTATAACAGCTCTTATTTGAAAATCCGTTAGTTACGGATTCACTCGTTCACATCTATCGAAAGACGAAAGTTACACATAAAATTGCAGCGAAAATCGCAAGTGGGCAAGATGAGCTATGGTGCCCAGACTCTTCTGTGCTGCAGATATCCCATGGTGCCCAGACTCTTCTGTGCCGCAGATATCCCATGAGCTATGGTTCCCAGACTCTTCTGTGCTGCAGATTATGAATGGCAATGTTTTTCTTAACTATTTAAGGTGGTCTTGGAGGTTTGTGCATCGGTGTCGGCGGGGCCGACGCTGTTGACGTCATGGCCGATATTCCTTGGGAGTTGAAGTGTCCTAAAGTTATTGGCGTTAAATTAACTGGGACATTGAGTGGTTGGACATCTCCCAAGGGTGTGTTTGTTATTTTATTCCCACTTCACTGCTGTGGAACTGAAGTATTTATAATGTTTCTTGTTATTTTATTTCAGATGTTATATTGAAAGTGGCAGACATTCTCACAGTGAAGGGTGGTACTGGTGCGATTGTTGAGTACCATGGTCCTGGTGTGGACTCTATTTCTTGCACAGGTAGTGGTCCAGTGAGGGTTATCTTTTATTGATCCAGTGTAACCACAGAAGGAAACCTAAACCAGACTAACTTTATTTATACTGGATAGCTCTATCAGTACCAAACTGTTCTTCCTAGAGGTCCAGTAAGCATCATCTCTTATTGATCCAGTGTTACTACATACAGGAGGAAACCTAAACTAAACTAACTTTATTAATACCGGATAGCTCTATCAGTTCTAAACTGTTCTTCCTAGAGGTCCAGTAAGGGTCATCTCTTACTGTTTCAGTGTTACTACCGGAGGAAACCTTAACTAAATTAACTTTATTTATACTGAATAGCTCAACCAGATCTCAATTTGTCTGACAAGAGGATAATTTCAGTAAGGATCATTCCTGTTTACTTTTAACTAGGAATGGGAACAATCTGTAACATGGGAGCAGAGATTGGAGCGACGACGTCTGTCTTTCCATTCAACTCTCGTATGGCTGACTATCTGAAGGCAACGGGACGCGAGGACATCAGTGGGCTGGCGGCGAGGAATATCCATATATTGCAAGCTGACGAGGGTTGTGAATACGATGAGCTCATTGAAATCAACTTGGACGAGGTATTGATTTAGTTTGGAGTCGTTCGACTCATTGGGACAGCCAAATTTTGATGGTTTTTTAAAAATTAACGCGAGTTTTGCTTATTTCAGCTGGAGCCACACGTGAATGGTCCTTTCACGCCAGATTTGGCGACGCCTATTTCAAAACTGGGCGAAGTTGCGGAGAAGAACGGTTGGCCGTTGGACATCAAAGTAGGTCAGTATCGTTTTCCCTATATTTACCACGTAAGTATCCGGGAATGCACTTGCACTGATGAAGGCCTGGGTTAAGTCCTAACCCTAATCTAACTAAAACCGAATCCTTATCTAAATCTAACACCCAATCCTAATTTAAATCTAACACCCAATCCTCATCTAAATCTAACACCCAATCCTAATCTAAATCTAACACCCAATCCTAATCTAAATCTAATAATACCCAATCCTCATCTAAACCTAATACCCAATCCTAATCTAAATCTAACACCCAATCCTAATCTAAATCCAACACCCAATCCTAATCTAAATCTAACACCCAATCCTATTCTAACCTCAAGGATTAAATTCGTGTATTTAGGATTTACTAGCGAAGTTTCTTGTATTATTGTTTTTCAGCTCTGATTGGTAGTTGTACGAACAGCAGTTATGAGGACATGACAAGATCAGCGAGCATAGCAAAGCAAGCATTGGACCACGGCGTTCAGGCAAAGTATGCTACCTCTTTGCATGAATAAACTCTTGCTACAATAGTCAAGATTTTTGGCTCTGACTGACAGACATTTTTACACATAAGCAGCGTGCTATATGACGTTACTTTCAAGAAGTGCTTCTAAACAGCAGACTTGGATTTATGTAATTTCGTGTTCCACATCATAGATCGTTATTCACAGTCACCCCTGGATCAGAGCAAATAAGAGCAACCATCGAACGAGACGCAGTGGTAAGGTTCTTGTGTGTGTTTGTCGTTTGAAGCAATTCTTGTTTCCTGAAACTGGTTGTTCACCCTCTCCCTGCATGGAGCTAACCCTCGGCTCAATCTTAACCACGGCACGTTGTACGAAAGCTGGATAGCTCTGTCCACCAATCACCAGATAGTGGGGTCTTGGCCGTATGTGATTTGGTATAAATTTCAGTTGTAAAGTTTCTCTTCATTTTTTGCCTTATTTCACGGCATTTTAAGCCTATCTGCAACGGTTTAACAAATCCACTATCCAAATTTAAAATATTCACTCTTCAAATCATTCGTTTAAAAGGCAGGGACTCTGAGGGATATTGGAGGAACTGTTTTGGCCAATGCATGTGGACCTTGTATTGGTCAGTGGAACAGGTAATTTTATATGTTTTGATGACTTGTTATAATGCGAGCCGTCGCATGGCATATCTGATGTTGTTGTGTCGTTTTCCAGACAGGACATAAAGAAAGGCGAGAGAAACACAATCGTCACTTCCTACAATCGGAATTTTACCGGACGAAACGATGCCAACCCTGAGACGCATGCATTTGTCGCTTCACCTGAGGTATTTAACTCTCGTATTTAATATATATACTTCTCGCATTTGATTGGTTCATCTGATTGACTTCTCGCATTTGATTGGTTCATCTGATAGACTTCTCGCTTTTGATTGGTTCATCTGATAGACTTCTCGTTTTTGATTGGTTCATCTGATAGACTTCTCCCATTTGATTGGTTCATCTGATAGACTTCTCCCATTTGATTGGTTCATCTGATAGACTTTTCCTCCCTCTCTCTTGATCTATGCAATATAGACCTAACTGAACTACACTTGTTTAGATTGTAACAGCTCTTGCGCTGGGCGGCAGCCTCAAGTTCAACCCGATGAAAGACGATTTAGAAGGAGCTAATGGTGCGTGTGTGTAAACATATTCCCTTTCAACCTTAAACTGCAACCAGAATATACAGAATTGTACTCCTTTTATTTCTTAGGTGAAAAATTCAAACTTGAAAATCCCAAAGGAGACGAATTGCCATCTCGCGTGTGTATTGATAAAACAGTTGTTTAGATAATCTTCTTGCATTGTATTTCATAATATTATGTTTCTTTTTGCATCTCAAAGGGATTTGACCCGGGTGAGGACACATACCAAGATCCACCTTCCGATGGTTCTGGTGTTAAGGTCGACGTTTCACCAAGCAGGTACAGCCTGTGTGAATTTCAGGGCTTTTGATTGTTGGGGCAGGGGGGACAGTGAGGTGGTGGGGGTACTCAAATGGGGGGGTGTTACCTAAAAATACGTATCTACCTATAAATTTTTTTCTAATCCCAAAATGCTGAAATATATATAACCGCCTCCCCCAATCGTTGCGAGCGAAAATTATTTTTAAGCGAATCCAATCTTTTATCAAAACTTTTTTCAGCAATCGCCTGCAACTTCTGGAGCCTTTCGACGCCTGGGATGGAAACGATCTCGTGGAGTTGCCCATTTTAATCAAGGTGATAGTAATGCCCATGAACCATTCTAGATATATAAACGGCCGGAATAAGGCTCATTACTTTGTCCAAAATGAAACATATCTTCAGTTGTTAACACACCTTTCCTACCTCATCACAGATCACCGGCAAGTGCACAACAGATCACATAAGGTGAGCTCTGGAGTTCAAGCAAATAATAACCTAAACTTTGCGATTTCTGATGCGATTTTCTTCTTTTGATAGATGTGAACGAGTGGACAAGTTACCAATGTTCACGATAAGGCACTCATACATCAAAGCATCCGTAACTGTTCGCTCGTTCACATCCATCAAACGAGGAAAATCGCACCGAAATTGCTAGTGTAACGTACGTGGGTCGAGGAATGTCGTGGCTTTTTTGTTATTTTTTTCATTTTGATTTCCCACAGTGCTGCTGGACCATGGCTGAAGTATCGTGGTCACTTGGACAACATCTCAAACAACATGTTTATCGCGTAAGTTTTCCTGGCAAGTGTTTAATTCTCACCTCGACTAAAAAAGAGTGAAGTAGTTTCTGCAATAGGCTGTCACTCAAACTGTACGTTTTGTTGTTCCTTCCAGTGCCGTGAACGAAGAGAATAATGAGGCAAATAACGTTAAGAATCAATTGACTGGTGACTACGGTGCTGTTCCGGATACGGCCAGACATTACAAGGTAGCTAATGTTTCCCCATTTCTGGCGCTAGGTGCGTTTTCAGTTTCGTGTTGCGATATCACGGTTTCGTGTTCTAATTTAACAATTCCGTGCTCTGATGATCTAATCTAAAAGTTTCTTTTCCGATACCCGAGCTTCGTGCTCGAACCCCACAATTTCGTATTCTGATATCTCTGTTTCGTGTTCTAATCTTTAAAATTTCGTGTTCTAATCCCATAATTTCGTGTTCTGATATCTTGGTTTCGTGTTCTAAACTCACAATTTCGTGTTCTGATGTCACGACTCCGTGCTCCGAACTCATCACATCGTGCTCCAATCTGGCATCTTCGTGTGCTAATCCTCATCTCGTTTCGTGTTTTACAGGCAAACGGCGTGAACTGGGTCGCGATTGGTGACGAAAACTACGGCGAGGGAAGCAGTCGAGAACATGCCGCCCTGGAACCAAGACATCTCGGTGGTAGAGCTGTCATTGTGAGAAGTTTTGCTCGTATTCACGGTAAGTAATATACACTTAATTTATGGTCCCGAGAGAAATTAGTGAGTTTTGTTTTTCCAAGAGTCTGAATGTTGAGACTCGAGGTAAAACAAAACTCACTATTTCCCGAGGTAGTGTACATTAAGTGTTTTGTTATATAAGAACAAAAACATACATGTTACACAACAATTTCATTTAAAAAAAACCCACTTTACTTTGTTATGACAAGAAGCGGGCAACAATTTTTCACTTGTTTCCCTGGCGGGAAACATTGCATTTATTTAAAGTCATGTGACTACGAATGAACCAATCACATTTAAAACACACAGCACCTATATAACAATGACTATTGTAAGTATCTTACCAGATGCTCTGATATTCCTTCGTACAAAGTAGATTGACTGTTCCATCGTTAGACTTTTTAGAGTCAATAGTTAAAAAAAAGACGTGGTTTTCATTTCTGTTACAAAATGTTTAAATTCGTTTTTTTTCCTTTTTCTGCAGAGACCAACCTCAAGAAACAAGGTAAGCCCCCCTGAAGTCTTACTCTTACTAAAGGCTTGGGTCACTGGTCGTTACAAATTATATTGCATTGGAAATTTCCACGCTCTGTCATTTTCCAATTATATTTTCCGTTTTTCTTCAGGCATGTTACCTCTGACATTCAGTGATCCCAAGGACTACGACAAAATCAAGCCGACCGACCGTATTTCACTGCTCGGCTTGAAAGATTTCGCACCAGGAAAGGTATGTCAAAATCCGATATCTTTTTTCAACGTTTTCTCAATTGAAATTAACCCAAACAAGATCATTTTAAATGTAGCCTTTTTGAGTACAATTATCGCCTATTTTAGCCAATAACGTGTGAAGTTTTACACAAGGATGGAAGTAAAGAGCAATTTCCTCTGAATCACACTTTCAACGAGACTCAAATCGAGTGGTTTAAGGCTGGAAGCGCGCTTAACAACATGGCGAAAATGAAATAAACTCTGCAGTTTGATGTGTGCAAAAAACAAACAAATGATTTGTATATTCGTATTTAAAACGATCTGGTCAACTGTGACGCATGTGAATGCCCTAGCAGTTACAGTATGCTTCATAATAAAACTTATATTTTATCTCGAATATCTGGTATGTCGCAAGAAAAATGCGTTTAGATTAGAATAAATTGCGTGGTTTTAGATTAGAATATTCTGCGCGCAATTTCGTGGGGTCCGCGCGTCGTACACGCGGGATTTAAATCCCTTCCATCATAACAACACATGACATATATTTCATAGCAACAAGATTATTGACTGCTCATATTCCACTTTACTAAAGTCTATAATGGGTCTAAATTTAAAACACTTCGAAGACGGTAACATCGAGCCGAGTTTTATATGTTCACACTGCCATGGTGTATTCGTCGATCCAGTTTTGTGCAAATGTACACATGTTTTGTGTTGGATATGTTTCAAACGGCGAAAGAAACGCAAACTGAATTGTCTTCTCTGTTCTGACGAGCTTGGAGTTTCCTCGGAAGCTTTACAAAGCGACTGGTTAAAAGAGTTGTGTTCATTAAAAGTTATTTGTCCAAAAGGATGCAAGAAGGTTTTCTCGTTTGAATTTTTGACGGAGCATTTCGACAACGAATGTGAGTTCGCATTAACAACTTGTACAAGTTTGGGATGTACTCGACGAGTGAGACGCACAGATCTCCCCGTTCATTTGGAGACCTTGACGATTTCAGGATAGTGTCTTGCTGTTGTGGTGTTAAGACAAGGTTTATGGACCTCCGCCAGCATCAGCTCGCACAGAAATGCGTTGTGAAACAAAATTTACAAACGATCGTGCGAAAACGACGAGAAATGGAGATGGCAATCAAGGAGCATCGCTTGAACATGCAGAGGAAATGCTTTGAGGAAGAATGGGAGCAAAGACGTTTGATAAGGTCAAAGCAAGGATCGGTCAGGTTGACCACCGCGATGTCGGTTAGATCTGAACCTGTGTTGAGCTGTGCTGCCAGAAATAAACCAATAACTAGGTCGAAATCCAGTCAAAGTGCTCCTGGCCCTCTTCAAAGGACTGCATTGACCTGTCGACACTGTGGAAAGGTGTATTCTAAGGATAGTAACCACGAGAGGGCATGCACTTGGCATTATGGGGTTAGTTCACTGAACTTGTTTGTATGGGTAGGCCTAGGTTTACGAGGATAGCTACCTTAGATATCATTATTCAATTCTAATCAATTCTTTCTTTCTTTTTATGTCCAATTTTAAAATGTATAGCCGGTAAGTCAGTGTGTTTTTTTTTGTTAAAGTTGACCTGTTATGTAGCATTTCCAAACAAAAACATCAGACAGAACAGACTTGCATATATTTCAGATGTTTTTCTTATTATGAACATATTGTCTAAATTTTAACCCATGAGAAAAATTTTGATAAAAAGCAACTTTTGCAGCACATTAGTCCCTATACATCACCATGGCAAGTTGGCTTGTGAGAGAACCATTGACATTTTGTGCCTGAGGTATAAATTGTTCAATTCTTAAATTTCCTTTTAAATTTTTTTTTCAGATTGCTGATGTTTTTGTAAGTATAATTGCTTGGTATTTCACTATGTACACAAACACTTCTGTTCTATAAACAGCCAGATTAACTATTTCTAATAAAGTTTATATTTTCTTTGTCTATGCTACCTGTGATTGACTGATAATATCAACAATAGGGGGTAAGTCTCTGAACTTTGTTTATTTACAGTCTGTGATTATTTAATGTTGGTCCAGCTTATTTGCATTGTGTTAACACCTATTTTAAGACCTGTATTAAGACTTATTTTCATTCCATTTTTATGTTTTTTCAACTTCTTGTCTTGGTTCATTAAGGGAATGGTGAGTTTGATTCATTGAACTAAATTGGAACCTGCCGTATGTTTAATAGACATATATGCTTATATAAACCTTAATAAATTCTGTGTTATGGCATAGTTTTATTAGTTTGTGGATGAAGCATGCTTCTGATTGGTCAATGCACCCAGTTGGGCAATCTGGAATGTGCTTTATCTAGGTCAATAAGTGCTTATATGAAGTTAAATCACATCTCAATTCGTTCATTCTTACATTTAGTGTCAAGCATGTGGTAATCTGACAAATACCAAAGGTTGTGTGATAGGATTTCATGAGGCTGTACGATCAATATAGTGAGATGCAAGAAATTGAAGGCAATCATGCGAGAAGAGTTTGTATTGTACAATGAATGTAGAGTGTTTAATTTATGTGTTCATGAAGAAATCCATGCATTTAATCCAGTAAGTAGCATCATACCCAGGTTCTGCTGATGAAACGTACAACTTGTCAGGAAAATAGTTGGTGCCACTCATTTGATTAAATGTCTATAATTTTAAGAAAGTTTTTAAACAATGTATATATGCATGTAATATTTATATCTTATAGCCTTAAAATGTGTGAAATTTTATTAAGAGATAAATATATATATTTTAAAGTTTTGTAAGTGTATAATCCAATATTTTATCATGCCCTTCAAACTTAAAATATCCCTCAAACTTTTCATCATTCAACATCATTGGAAACCAAAGATCATCATCAGGCCACATTTCTTTAAATGGAACTTGATCTATTTCAAACCACTGAGGTCTCATTTCTAAGGCAAACCAAAAGTTAAATATATCTTACGTTGCAGAAGTCAAAATTTTACGCAAATTTACCTTCAGACTCTTGAATAGTTCCTTCATATTTGCTTGTCTTGAAAACATGAACTTCCAAGATTTGAGGCTGGCCAACAAACTCAAACTTCAGAATCCCAACCTGATCTAACTTGTTCGTCTTTAGATTGCATTCCTCAGACAACTCCCTGGGTAATACAACATATTTGTTATTTAGTTGTGAATTCTCCATTGACAGGTGTACATTAATGATCAATCAAGGGGGGCAACCCACCATGAAAAGTTTTACCTGGGAATATTAAACCACATCATTTAAACTATCTTAGCAACTTGATTTGAACAGTCACCACAAGCAGAGTAAAGTTATAGTTTGCAGGTGAAGATAGCTTCGGCCTGTGTGAAGAGGTGGGGTTCTCCCTGTGGAGAGGGGCACTCTCTTGGGAGTTGGTCCTACTTTACAGAGAATATATAAGTAAGTTAGAGCCATTCTATATGCCATATATCTTATAGAGTTACCCTGCTAATGTACATCAAACCTTTTCGCAGCGTCTTCAATAGATTCCCCGGGGTCAACTTTCCCGCCAAACCCGTTCCATCTTCCCGCGCCGAAGCCACGTTTTTTCATACCGAGTAAAATTCTACCTGCGTCCAGCACGAAAGCCAGGGTATACAGCTTATTCTGTGTCATTCTGTTGATGCCAAAATTTGAAGATCCTGGGTATATCTTAGTCAAAACCCACGAGTATATTTCGCGGTCAAATTCAGAAATAGGAAAACCAGGGGGGGAGATGAAGATTACGGAACTTTCATATCAATGAAGTCAGCATGAGATTCTAGGAAATCGCGGAGGGAAGAAAGCTTCCGGTTTTATATGCAGAATAGTTAAATTGTTATTTAAGTTTCAAGTTTGTGATGTCCTTTAAGTCACAAAAACTCTTAAACTACGTGAAATTATGACGAGTACAGGTGTTCTCTGGCTTGCAGATGACGATGGGTTTGCTTATACTTTATCGCTGGAGGAAAATAAGCTGACATTGCGGTCCGAGGAAGCCGACATTATCAAACGAATATCTGCCGTGGACACATGTGCATTTGCAGTCGGTGGTGACCAAAGCGTTTATCTTTATGTAAACAACAGAGATGTACCGATACGCGTGCAAGTCAAGACGTACGAGAACCAGAGGTGGAATCCTATTCATAGCTGGTCTGAAAAATCAGTAGGTTTCATCTTTTAAATCATTAAATGTTTCTGTTAAAACTTCTGCCGGCAGCCGGACCTAATGGTTGTACCATCAGCTGTCTTCTTCAAACATCATCACCAAAATGCACCTTTTTCAAAATGTTTCATAAAATGTCGCATAAAAACTGTCTAAATTGGACAAAATATCTCGACATTTCAACCTAAAAGCCTACTTCACTATCATAAATTTTCCACTATCTCACCAACATCAATATGAACAGTTTTTTTTCAAGAGATGCAATCTCTTGTATGCCTTTAGTGAGGTTTCTAGTTCTAGTCCATAGGAAATATCCTTGGGAAATATTTCCCTATACGGACCTCCAATCTGGTAAATAACATGCATAATATTCTGCAATTACCAATGCATTTATAAATTATGAGGCCTCTACTGGCTATTCTTCCTCTGACTGGAAGAATGGTTGTGGACTTCATCATCATAAATACAATCCCATGTAGATGTTACCAACAGATCGCTGGTCATGGAGCACACAAGATGGTACAAAGAGAACACCAAAGGACTCGTTCATTTTGCCAGAAAACTGGCATTGGGAGGATGAGTGGTACATTGATCCAACAGTCCCAGCTGATGAAAAGGTGTGAAAAAGTTTAAAGCTTTAGGTTTATTTACTGAAATGTGTGCTTTAATTCCACGGTATTCTATAGTTATTCCAGCGTTTGTTGTAACAGTCTTGTAGATCTTAGGTCAAAGTTAATAAATGCTAGCCTCATGAGACGCATAATACATCTGGACGCATAATGCGTCTTCAATATTTTTTGTCTGGTTATTCATCTTCAGTATAAAGACGGACAACAGACGCATAATACGTCCAGACAATTAATGTTTGGTTTTTCGTATCAGAGAAAAATAACCAACGGTAGTTTGTCTGGATGGATAATGCGTCTGTTGTCTTCCTTTATACTGAAGACATTGAATACGTCTAGACGCATTATGCGTCTCTACTGTGAAAACGGCTATTGTTTCGAACTTATTACATGGTATCAGTTTGAAAATTAAATTATGTCAGTAAATATGAATAAGTTAAAACCTCCAAAGTCATCATTCATATTACCTGGAAACTTAGAAGAAAACTGGAGAAACTTCAAAGAGCTGTTTGAAATCTATCAAATTGCCTTCAGTTTGGCATCAGGATGAAATATGAATCTTTGATGTTTCATGGTCCATCGTTTTGTATGGTAAACCAGTTAAAGTTAATTGTCATTTAGCATAGTTTAACTGCAAAATATGAAATAGGTTAAATACAGTTATTGAATATAGTTAAAATAGAGTCATAAATATTTGTAATCCAGAGTTAAACTGAAGACAATTTATACAAAGAATAATATATTGTGAGGTTTGGTGGTAAAGACAATAGCATAAGGGACAATTAACCCTTGCTATTCAACCTAGATTTATTGCTCTACATTTTCACAGGGGTGGCAGTATGCATTGGATTTTCCCAGAGAGTATACTCCGGCCAAAGAATGGAAGTCCTGTGTCCGCCGGCGATGTTGGTCAAGGTATCGACGCTTTGGAAACCTGGAAAAATGGATCAAGGTTTGCATGTCTCCTAAAATATAATACTGGACAAGTTGGTAATCTGAGTAGAATTCTCAGTAGTACAGTGTTTTATATTTAGATCAGTTCACCAGCCACGGATCTTCTGGTTGAAAGAGCCATTCAGGATATTGCTATCGGAGGAATGGCAATTCCTGGCTGTGAATCAGGCTACATTGCATTATGGGCTGTCAACTTTGCTGGACAGGTAAGTCACTCCCTATCCACATTTACCACCCTCATTCCCTTGTATCCTCGCAAATCCACTTGCCGAGCAAAGATGGCACCTCAGGCACCCAGGGTAGTAATTCACATAGATCTTACATTTACATTTTGATATCAATACCCTATGTATGCTAAATAATTAAATTTCTTTCATCAATTTGAATATAAGCTATTTCAACACCCAGCATAGGAGACAAAGAGACAAAGTGTGCGGTTTTCAAAAGCGCACTCCATTTTAGATTTTTAAAGCCATTCCCTTATAATTCATAAAGGTGACCCTCTAAGCCTAACCCCCAACTTTAACTGACATCCTACCCCCCCCCCAACTTTACCTAACATCCTACCCCCAACTGAATTTTCCGGCCAATTCGACCATGGTCGTATTCGCCATTTTCCCGCCAATTCGACCATGGTCGTATTCGCCATTTTCCGGCCAATTCGACCATGGTCGTATTCGCGATTTTCCGGCCAATTCGACCATGGTCGTATTCGTCATTTTCCGACCAATTCGACCATGGTCGTATTCGCCATTTTCTGGCCATTTCGACCATGGTCGTATTCGCCATTTTCCGGCCAATTCGACCATGGTCGTATTTGCCATTTTCCGGCGAATATATGACCATGGTCGTATATTTGCCATTTTCCGGCGAATATATGACCATGGTCGTATATTTGCCATTTTCCGGCCAATATATGACCATGGTCGTATATTTGCCATTTTCCGGCCAATATATGACCATGGTCGTATATTTGCCATTTTCCGGCGAATATGACCATGGTCGTATTTGCTATTTTCCGGCGAATATGACCATGGTCGTATTTGCCATTTTCCGGCGAATATGACCATGGTCGTATTTGCCATTTTCCGGCGAATATGACCATGGTCGTATTTGCCATTTTCCGGCGAATATGACCAATGGTCGTATTTGCCATTTTCCGGCGAATATGACCATGGTCGCATTTGCCATTTTCCGGCGAATATGACCATGGTCGTATTTGCCATTTTCCGGCGAATATGACCATGGTCGTATTTGCTATTTTCCGGCGAATATGACCATGGTCGTATTTGCCATTTTCCGGCGAATATGACCATGGTCGTATATTTGCCATTTTCCGGCGAATATATGACCATGGTCGTATATTTGCCATTTTCCGGCAAATATATGACCATGGTCGTATATTTGCCATTTTCCGGCGAATATATGACCATGGTCGTATATTTGCCATTTTCCGGCCAATATATGACCATGGTCGTATATTTGCCATTTTCCGGCCAATATATGACCATGGTCGTATATTTGCCATTTTCCGGCGAATATGACCATGGTCGTATTTGCTATTTTCCGGCGAATATGACCATGGTCGTATTTGCCATTTTCCGGCGAATATGACCATGGTCGTATTTGCCATTTTCCGGCGAATATGACCATGGTCGTATTTGCCATTTTCCGGCGAATATGACCATGGTCGCATTTGCCATTTTCCGGCGAATATGACCATGGTCGTATTTGCCATTTTCCGGCGAATATGACCATGGTCGTATTTGCTATTTTCCGGCGAATATGACCATGGTCGTATTTGCCATTTTCCGGCGAATATGACCATGGTCGTATATTTGCCATTTTCCGGCGAATATATGACCATGGTCGTATATTTGCCATTTTCCGGCAAATATATGACCATGGTCGTATATTTGCCATTTTCCGGCGAATATATGACCATGGTCGTATATTTGCCATTTTCTGGCGAATATATGACCATGGTCGTATATTTGCCATTTTCCGGCGAATGTATTGACATCTACCCTCCACCAACTTTAACTAACATCTACCCCCTCGGAAATCAATTCTCACATATCCCGTCCTACACAGTTTGTATTAAAAATGTTGTTCTAAACTGCGCATTGTGTCACTCCAGGTATTATACAGACAAGGGATAACTGCTGTTTGTCCCGAAGGCACGTCGTGGGTGACAATACATCTACCAGAGGAGGTCAAGGCTGGACAGATCTCTGTTGGACCAACAGGAATGGTCTGGTTGATAACTTGGCAAGGATCTCTCTATATGCGCACAGGAATTTCTAAATTTCAACCTACAGGTAGAGAGTGGATTAGCGAAACACGAATTTTTGACTCCATTTTCATTGAAAACAAGATTTAAATACATGAAATGGCTTTCCGGAAACATTTTTTTGAAGTCAAAATTTCAGCATTGGAGTAGAAACCAAAGGTCCGAAATATCAGATTTTCAAACCATCTTAAACTGCAGGGTGTATAAAGAAATGCAATCTTAATAATCCCCTGGGGCCTACGATCTTTTGTTATTGATATATTACAACACAATATGAATATTGTGTGTCGTAGTTTTTTTTATACACCCTGTAGTAACTCAGTTTGGAAGTGCGTAATTTGTATTAACAAACCAAAAGTCGCATGTCAACCCCCCCCCCTTTGTCAAGTTGATTTTTCACCTTGTCTGGTAAGTTACTTTTCAAGGTAGCACCATCGCAGAGTGAACAATTCTTATTTTCTGACAGGTTTGTCCTGGGTTTCTGTCCCCTTCCCTGATGACAGAGTTTACCAACTTTCTGTGGGAACCAACGCGCTATGGCTTCTGTCTATGGAAGGAAATGTATGTTCATAAATAATGCTTCATTGTAGAAAGCACATATTATACGCTATCCTTTATTTTATTTGATATCTGACATACGATAATAGTCAAGATTGGTCGGACCTGCCTGAAAACCACCTTGTTGTGAGTGTGTATAGCTTCCTACTGAAATATTGTTATAATAATAAAAAACCCCACAGACATTGCCAAAAGTACAACGCGTTTGACGTCATTATGAGAAAGGTCTGTTGTATGTTTCTTCTCCAGTTCTCCTAATCTCCTAAACACCACCGACTTTTAACTTATATCTTATTCCAGGTTTATTTCAGACGTGGTATTTCAACATCAATTGGCTACACAGACGAGGAGAGTGCCAAGGGAACAAAATGGGTTGAAATGGTTGGAAGCTTTTCGTTGATTTCCATGGCTTTGAATGATCAGGTGTTTGCATTAAGCACTGGGTCTGATCACGTGTTCTTTCGGTCTGACGTCACCAGCTCCGAGCTTTCTGGCAAAGAGTGGAAGATTTTGAATGTTGGTCGTTCAATGACAGACAGTATGAGCAGCTTGTCCAGTGACTCGTCCCATCATGAGCATAAAAAAAGTATAGGTGCTGTGACTTAACCTTAGAGTTCTAAACTGTTCTTTCTAGAGATCCAGTAAGGATCATCGTTTATGATCCAGTGTTACTACGGGAGGAAACCTAAACTAAACTAACTTTATTTATACTGGATAGTTCTATCAGTTCTAAACTGTTCTTTCTAGAGATCCAGTAAGGATCATCTCTTATTGATCTAGTGTTACTACAGGAGGAGACCTAAACTAAACTAACTTTATTTATTCTGGATAGTTCTATCAGTTCTAAACTGTTCTTCCTAGAGGTCCAGTAAGGATCATCTCTTATTGATCCAGTGTTACTACAGGAGGAAACCTAAACTAAACTAACTTTATTTATACTGGATTGCTCTATCAGTTCTAAACTGTTCTTCGTAGAGGTCCAGTAAGGATCATCTTTTATGATCCAGTGTTACTACAGGAGGAAATCTAAACTAAACTAACTTTATTTATACTGGATAGCTCTATCAGTTCTAAACTGTTCATTATTCAAAGCAATCTATTCTTTTCCAGGTTCCATAGGCGATGATGACACGACGTTGTTTTCTGAAAATCTTACTGGATTGATGAATTCATCCGTAGAAGCACATCGCTGGAATTGGATAAGCGCCAGCTCTTGCAATGTCGTTGCGAATTTTTTCAACGCGCACAATTCACTTCATCATAGCGTCTCAGTCAGTTCCATCAACCTGAATAAATTAAATCTCGCCAGCGGACCGTGGAGGGGGGTTGTGCTCGAGTTGCTAGAGTCACGTGATAATGACGAGATGAGGCCTTATTGTGAATTTGAACAGGCGGTGGATAAGGTTAGTTTGGGTAATTGTGTTCGGATTATTGTTACTGATGCGCCGATCTACAGTCGTATAAGATCTTATTCTGGCGTATGTATTCGAATAAATGCGTGTAAAGATGTCACATCGCAGCACTGTTAACAGACTGACTACATTTCATACATCAGAAGTGAATTGGATCCGACAAAATTGGATCGTTCACACAAATTTTTAGTAAACTTGACATATTTTCATTTCACAATTTCAAAAAATATAATTCGACCTTCAAAAACGGGCCTTAGGGAAACTAAACACAGAAGCTTCACAGGTTCTCTCTCGTAACTATCGTTCCAGGTGTATTAGAGTCCAGTGCATACAATTAATCGTATATTGTAAAAAGACCTCAATTTTTTTTGCAGGGAAGTTGGTCAAAGTCTGGTACATTTCGAATGCTTTTGGACAGGCACAACAATACCTGGTGCCCTTGCAAGGTAACTCTAGCCAATGAGGGAGACGTTGAATGCTTGATAATTCAACATACTGGCAAATCACAAAAACCGAAGGAGACGAAGTTGATGATCTTTGATATCACGTGCATCTCGCGTGTTTACAACCAGACGCACACGAACTGTTTCACCATCGATACTGCGGTGAGAACTATGGAGCGAAACTATCTCATGCTGTCTGCTTTGAGCGAGAAAGAACTTAACGAATGGATGGTGGCTTTGAACTCCGCTTGCCAAAAGGCGAGAAAGTGTGAGGGGCCGCCCAAACCCTCGGCGCTGTGGTGCACAACATCCGGAGGGGATGTGTTCTTTAGCGACTCCAAAGACGAATCAGGTGTGTTGTGGGGGGGACGAGTCAGGTGTGTTGTGGGGGGGACGAGCCAGGTGTGTTGTGGGGGGACAAGTCAGGTGTTTTGTGTGAGGAAACGAGTCGTCAGGTGTGTTGTAGGGGGGACGAGTCAGGTGTGTTGTGGGGGGGGATGAGCCAGGTGTGTTGTGGGGGGGGGAAAGTCAGTTGAGTTGTGATCAGCATTTTCCCTCAAAACGTTTGTTCAAACTTTATTTCTGCCTAGACTAAAGGTAATGTTACACGAAACAACTTTCAACATCAACTCGCAACGCAACAATGTTTTGAAAAAGGTTTACGCGTCGAATATTATATATTTGAGTTAGTTTGTAACACAGAAATTGTTTTGGAAACAAGTTGAAAGTTTATGAAATGTTTTTATTCCACACAACATTGTTGTTTAGATTTTTGCTTATTGTTGCGTTGCGAGTTGATGTTGAAAGTTGTTCCGTGTAGCATCAATGACCTTTATCCTAACATACAATTTGTTTAAACAGATTTCAACAGCCTACCCGCCTACCACCTTTACTGGCGTCAGGTGGGGGGTCACCTTGCCCGAGTGGAGGCCGGGGTGGATCATGTTGTGTGGGGGCTTGGTGACGACGGCAGACCGTGGTGTTTCACACGTGGCTTTGGTGGCGGGAATATCCCAGCCGACATGAGCAGCGCCCACGGTATTTGTGATCAGAGTGATCAAGATGTGTTCTACACATACGAGAACCAGAGGTGGACCCCTTGGGAGGGGTTTGGGGGAAGGTAGGTGGTAGCATATGACAATTAGGGATAGACGTGAACATCTAGAGCGAGACTTCTTCAAATGTGGTATAACAACTGCCTAAAATAGACAAAAACGCATTTTCATGTTTCGTCCTAAGGGCCCTCGACAGACTGATATTGATCTTTTTTTTCCATTTTTGCCAGTCGGTTGTTAACGGATCGTTACGAGTGGAGTGACGAGACTGGGGTCCTGGAGCGTCGCAAGGAAGGTTACCCTCTCCCCAACTCTGAATGGCAGTGGAAAGGGGAATGGAAGGTCGACTTTGATACAGAAGTTGGAACTGATAGAAAGGGGTGGATGTATGCCCTTGATTTCCCAAGGTACGATGGAAGGTGCAGGTTGCAGGAGAGCTGTGGTAAGAGGGGCTGGTGTGGGTGGAAGGTGGGAGTGGCAGGTGCGGGGGGGGGGGTTGTGAATGGCAGTTGCAGGTAGGAGGTGTAGGTTGAAGGTGGAAGTGGAAGTGTGAATGGTGTGATAGCAGTTGTGGGCGGAAGGTGATAGTGGAAGGTGTGAGTGGCTGGTGTGGATAGTAGGTGTGAGCGGATGGTGAGAGTGGATGGCGAGAGTGCACATGTCAGTGGTATGTGTGGATAGTAGGTGAGAGTTGATGGTGAGAGTGTGCGGTATGAGTTGTAGGTGTGGATAGTAAATATCAGCAGGTGACTAGCAAGTGTATCTGTGTGGGTATCTTCTCAGAGATTCGTCCCATGTGTCCTTTGCTTCCAGCAGCCGTCTCAACGTCATAGGGCGAGTTTTTTTTTCATCCACAATTTTCTTTAATCCAGGGAATACAGCAACGAAAAGAAAATTATTGATTGTGTGAGAAGACGCCGTTGGTTGAGGTTATTATAGACACCTTAAGCATGTAGGATGGAAACACGATGACCGTGGTTATCAATACAATGATTCATTAAAAAAATGAATAATTAATAGACCTATGATAACTTTCGACGTTGTCCAAGCTCTTGCAAATCTTAAGTTTTCACGTCCTGTGTAGAACGTGTGCGATTGATAATATTCAACGAATCTTTATATAAGCATTCAAGGAGCGTTTCAGCCGTGTGTTTTCGTCGCGTTTCTGTCCAACATGCTTTTCCCAAATGAAGCTTTGACCGCTCTCTCCGATTCAGGCTATGAGCTGATCTACCGATAGCCAACGATACACGACACAGGCCTCTTCTCTGATTTCTCTAGATCTGCAAGCGTCAACACGACCGGTCCCTGGGTTGAAATCCTGCCCTCGATTCCCCTGAGGGATGTAAGCATTCAAATTGATCGAAGGTATCAGGAGGATGGCTGCATCGCTGTCTGGGCTGTTGGTATTAAAGGAGATGTTTTGCGCAGGAATGGTGTGACTGCTGATCTGCCACAAGTTAGTGTCTTTCTTTCCCTTCGTGAATTAGATCACTGCATTTCATTTCTAAACTGTTCTTCCTAGAGTTCCAGTAAGGATCATCTCTTATTGATCCAGTGTTACTACAGGAGGAAACCTAAACCAAACTAACTTTATTTATGCTGGATAGCTCTATCAGTTCTAAACTGTTCTTCCTAGAGGTTTCAGTAAGGATCGTCTCTTATTGATCCAGTGTTACTGCAGGAGGAAACCTAAACCAAACTAACTTTATTTATACTGGATAGCTCTATCAGTTCTAAACTGTTCTTCCTAGAAGCCCAGTAAGGATAATCATTATCACTTATTGACGTAACTGCAAACGAAAACCAATATACTAAGGTGTTTAATCTCATCTCGTCTTGATTAGGTTAAAAGATTAGGTTAAAATAGATCGCATATGGATCTAAGTCCACTATAGCAGGCCTTGACCCGGCTTTGAAAACGCCCACACTCCGTGGGAGATCTTATATATTCACACTACATTCCATCCGTTCACGCAGGGTGAATCCTGGCTGCATGTCACGACCAACACTAAATTCCTGAGCATCTCGGTCGGTTGCGACTACAGGGTCTGGGGCATCGGTGAAGATGGCGCGGCCTACATGAGGGTTGGGTACGAAGGAAATGACGTCGCAGGTATGATGACGTCATGTCGAAAACAAAGATTTCATAAAGATTTTCAATACAATGAAACCGTTCATAGGATAATATATGATTTTGAATGTTTTTTACCTGTTTTTTTTTCAGGAAAGATGTGGGATCGTATACAGCCCCCAGGCACGAATCCTTTGAACACGATATCGGTGGGGAAGAACACGGTGTGGGCCGTTGACAAGTTTGGGGAGCATTACTACAGGAGTGGGGTCACCCAGACCTTTCCCGAAGGAGTGGAATGGTCGAAGATTTTTGGAAGAGTTCAGTCAGTTTCCGTTGCCGCAAGCGACGAGGTAGGGCGATGAGACGATGAAACTTTCCCGCCGAAATGTGTGGGGAATTTTCAAAGCTGAATTTACTATGCTCTATGTACTTTTTGGAGTTGCGAAAATAGAAAATTCGAAATGGAATATTGCCTGCTGGGTTATGGAAGTATTTCTTATGAGTCAAAATGCGATTTAGGGGTCAGCGGCAACCGTGATGGCAAAACTGAATATCATTTTAGCAAAAGGCGTATAGAACTGAACATATCCCAAAATATGTATGTTCACATCTATAACTTCTCCATCAATTTTTAGTTCTATTCCTTTATTGTAGAAAGCACACATTATACGCTATCCTTTATTTTGCTGCGATTTTCCTCTTTTGATAGATGTAAACGAGTGAACAGTTACGGATGTTCAAATACGAGCTCTTATACATCAAAGCATTCGTAACTACTTCACTCGTTTACATCTACCAAAAGAAGAAATCGCAGCAAAAATTGCAAGTGTAAACGTGCCTCAAAAACGAGCCTTCATTTTGCTAATCCACAAGGGTTGTACTTTTCCTAATCCACTGCGGTAGCAGAGTACAAAAGATGCTTACGATATTCCCAGGGTAGGATAGAAAAGGCGATTAAGCGATTAAAGTTTTTACCTTTGATTTCGTAGGTGTGGGTCAAGTGTCAAGGAGGATTAGAGAAGTGTTTTAAAACCTCACCAGACAAACCGACTGGCGGCGGTTGGGTCTTAGCTTTGCCGGTGAGCGAAACTTTGTGAAAGAAATGCATTTAATGCACGTTTTAGTCAAGATGTTTAGCCTGATGGTTTCCAGTAATGTTTTATCAATCCAGTGTAATATTGGGGTCTAGGGCAAAAATTGTTTTTTGGGGGGCTATGGGTGGATCTAGCGAGGTTTAGGTAGTCCAGGACCCCATGAAAAATTCCCCCTTCCTCCTTTGGGTCTTGGACATAGAACTAATTCCTCTTTCCATCTCTTAAGCCTAGGACAGGAACAAATTCCCCCTCTCCATCACTTAGTCTAGGGCCCGTGACAACCCCCTTCTTCCTTCGCCAGTCTTTGGGCACGGGACTAACACCCCCCTCTTCACCTCTCACGGCTGGGTCAAGGGACAAATCCCCACCCCACCCCTCTCTCTCAGAGGCGATGGAAAACGAGGTAGCCTGACAAACCACATCGTACATTATAGAAATTTTGGAACAGTATTACTGCGCGTTCGGTCGGAATCGAGGCTGCGCCGTCAGTTTCCGATGAAGCAGCGACTGCGACGAAGACGGATGGCAATCAACCGTTGAAACAATATGAAACTGTCAAACAACAATCTTACAAAGATATCATGGAGAGTGGCGATATTTACACCAGTGTGTACGGTGGAGAAGAGTTTATTCCTAATTCTGATGATGAAAGTTGATGAAGACAGGTAATATACCGTTAGTCTTTGTATTTTGTTGAATTTGTTCTCAATAGTTTTAAACTGTTCTTCCTAGAGGTCCAGTGAGGATCATCTCTTATTGATCCAGTGTTACTACAGCAGGAAACCTAAATTAAACTAACTTTATTTATACTGGATAGCTCTGTCAGTTCTAAACTGTTCTTCCTAGAGATCCACTAAGGATAATCTCTTATTCATCCAAATCTGAATTAAAAACTGTTTATTTAACTGTGGTTTCTAGAAAGTCAGGCAACAAAAGAATAAATCGGCGAAAGAGGACAGGTTTGATATCTTAGTTGAGTAAACATGTGGGTCGCATTTTAGGGTGAGTTTCTATTTTTGGCTCTTGACTAGGATTAGGGACATGGTTAGGCTAGGTTTAGGGGTGAGGGGGGAGTTAGGGAAGGGGGAGAGTTAGAGGATGGGGTATCTTTCGAGCAATGACGAATAGAACACGGTGCAAGGAGTGTTGAAAATAGCAATTTTCCCTTAAGACGCGACACGTGTGAAGAGTACTTAGGGCAATGCGGCAGCATTTGCAAGCAATTAAAAATGACATAAAATGTTAAATATTTTCAAACACGATGGTTAGATTATCTTAGCATGACCAAAGGCTCAATGAAACGTCGAGACCTGACCGCAATGAACTAATAATGAAATAATGAATTTACCTAAAAACATCGCTTTGCTTAACGACAGAGTTCACTGCATACAGATTCCGATGCATACGCGGGGAGCTTCTGTCACAACTCATACTTGTTTTAAAATTATCTTATTATGTAAAACAATTTCTTATCAATGAAAACAGAATAATACTTTATATACAAATAATAAATAATATCAGTCTAACGTTTGGCGCGCAATTTCAAACAGTGCTACGGCCACTGAAAATTTCTTCCTGTCATTTTGTACAGCTGTTCATTGAACGGTGCGTAATAGCTACGAAGCTCGCTTAGAATTCTGGGATGGACCGTTGGGTGTGCCCGTCCTTTAGTCTTCCCCAGGCATCGCTCGTTTTTATTCTCCGTTCCGCGAAAGCAAGGGAAACCTTTCTGTGCGTTGAAGACGAAATTTGATTTCTGGAAATACGGTGAAATTTCTAGGAATTTCTCGACTTTTTTAATTTCCTGGAAAGGATCGCGAACCAGCTCTTCGCCGCTCACGAAGTGAAACCATTCCCGCGGAAAGTACCGAAGCCATCTTTCCAAATGTTTTGAGTAAACGCCCGTCTTCACAACACCCCATGAAGTGTCGATCTCGAATGCGGAGTTATTCTTCATAACCATCTTCTCGAATGGTTTCAACACTCGATTGTATTTCGCTTGAACTCCCAGGTTGAGTTGGACGTAATCCGACACAGCGCGTATCGTAGGATCTCTGAAGATGACCAGAAACTTTAGAGTTTTGTTGATGGCTTTCGAGTACTCTAGAACTCGTTCGGGCACGCCTCGAACCACGAAATAACTGGGGGTTTTCTCGATGGTCTGTTGTTCGCTTCGTACCTTTGCGGTTTGTTCTAAATACCATTGCACACCGCGCGGGTACCGTTGGTCGAAGTAATGCACCTCAGGCCCGCACGATTTCACTTGCGGGTGCAGCCTGAGTATAGCCAGCAAAGCGCGGGTACCAGCCTTTCGTACACCGATGATTAAGGTGGTTGGAAAACGCTTCACAGGTTTTCCCAGCTTGCTCGCTATTTCAACCGCAGTCTCATGCTGGCTTATGAATTTCCTGTCTACTGCGAGAGATATTGAATTCCCGCTTTCGGCTGGACGGGTTATCGCGTAGCAATCAGGAGAGAGCGATACGTTGTACTTGAGACGGAATTGTAAGTTTCCAAGTTGCTGTGAGTATGTACGCGTCGATGGAGACGCATCTTCGAGCTTCGTGTTTGCGTTACGCGTAATTTCACTACTGTTGATCATTCCATGTTGAATAAATTGCATCCTCAAAAAATTACGCGTTTGCCCAAACGGAATGTAATTTGTCTTGACGAGCGCTGTGACCACGGCGTACAACACGAGGGACGAAGCGATTAACAGACAGAATCTCTTCGCGCTCATCACACTGGCCAAAGATATGCGTCGTTGTTCGGCGCGCAATTTATTCAACCACTGAATAAATTGCGTCTTCAAGCTTTCTTGCGCTTCACAGGCCAAACGTACCTGCAGACCATGCGACGCACGCAGCAACACATTCGACGAAAACGACTGCTAGGATTTGAAAGTTCAATTTAATAAACACAGCGTCACCGCTGGCAGTGTGCGCAAAGCCTCTTTGGAGGGAAATTATTTGATACTCGAGGAGCAGCGAATATATGTCGACTCACGATTGGCTTGTTCTGCACCACCTTCGATTAAAGACCTATCAACACAAACAAACACTGATACTTATTTAATGGCCTTTAAAAACGCCAAGGAGCATTATAACAGCTCCTGTGCTTGTGTCATGCCATGGGCGAAACTGTCAAATACGTTGCACTCTCGCAAACAAGTAAACCTGATTCCAAGTGAAATTTATCGCGAGAAAATCGCGCTAATCAGATAATTCTAATATAAACAAATGGGTCGTGTTTTGGGGTGTAAAAATAATACAATTTAATCCAATTATAGTGGGGAAAATAATCGGTTCGCGCACCGTAAATGGCCTAGACTCGAACTGCGTGAGGATTCCTTATAAACCATTTGAAAGCCTTCCGTCTTGCGATAATACGAAAACTCAAAAGCAAAGAGGTTCAGGAAGATATCTATTTGTATTTGTCCCATTGCTATTTATAAACGTGCGCGCAAAATAACTAAGTGTATCTTATGACAATTTAATTTCTAGAGTTTACCAGTATCGTTTAAGATCGCATTGCGCGCCACGTTTCAATGATTTGAAGAGTCACCTTGACTATCTAAACACTAAACAAGTAGCCCAATACGACCTTTATTGACTAACAAGTTTTAATGTCAAATTTCTAAGGACACAGGGCAGGCTGACTGCATAGCTTTGAGTTCTATTGGAAGTGTCGCCTATAAGTTGTTTTTTTTTAACGAAAAGGTTACGTGTACTGAAATTCATGCCGTTCATACCAGACGGCAGACGTTCAACAACGAAGGCCGTACGATTTTGCCCAAGGATATAAACAGCTGTAACCGCAGCGTGATCTTACAACATCAATGCTAAGCAAGAGTTTCAATATATCGAACAATTCCGTCGTTGAAATATTACAAAAAGTCTTGGATTTCCGTGCGTACACTCATCATCTCCTCATTTCCGCCTTTTATGCTAATAGAACAAATGAAGATAAATTGTAGCGAAAAATGTCGGAAGGAATATTTGATCCGGAGCGATTGTTTATCGCCGCGATATTATTACGCGACTCACTTGAGCAAGTTTTCAACGATCATATAACAACACAATTCAGGAAATTGGGAAATTTTTGTTCGTTTAAAACCGGACGAAACTCATCTCATGCAATCCACTTCAAAAATGAAGGCCTTGAAAACATGGAAGTCTTAATTAATTTACCTAAATCCAACTAATTTTAGCCATGTTCTTGTTATAACCTGCGTAAGAACTATCTGAAATTCAAGCGACCACATGCATGTTAGTCTAATTGTTGATGGCAATTAACGTCGAGTATCATACGTTTGTTCAAGTTAGCAGAAACATATTCTAGACATCCTCTTGTGAATTAGCAGCTGTTGTTTTTTTTACGAGGATATCGCCTCTGGCTTGTTTTAAAACAGATATTTCGTTCCACTAACAACAGCGCACTTAACGGACAAAGCTTACAATGTGTCCTTAAGTTATTTTTTCAGATAAAACAAACTGATAATATCTCTTGGATAACCTATCTTGCATGCATGTGACAACAGCTTCGAGCTCATCACCACGCCTGTTTGATTACGCGAATCATTTGAAAGGAACTAAGCCAAATTCTCCGGCTAAAATTACCCTACGCGAGCGAGCGTCATGTCTCGATAAAGTGCCAAAGTGGCGGCTTTTTATGAACTGAAATTGACGTAATATTCCATCGACGTTTATGGAGAGCATTTTTGGATGATATTCGAGCGTGTTTTATTATTAAAAAACTTCTCTTCATCACTCGACGTTTCCATTGTATTCATAATCGAAATCAATCTGGTTTGCGTCAAATGTCGCGAACCATTCATCAATCACAACTATCAACACGCGAGACATCGTTGGAACGCACAGCGGAGGTCCCGAGAAGAACGGTGCGGGAAACTTGCCACAGCGTGTCTTTAGAATGTGTCGAAGTTTTCATTATCCCGCTTAGCCGAGATTAAAGAAGGGTAAGATGACTTTGGGGTATTGAAAGAAGTATTTAACATGATTCTGGCAGTGGTGGAGTTATCCCGACGATTGAATGAGCTTGTTTTGTTTCAGGAAGGCTTGTTTCAATACCTCAAAATGAATAAATCATTCCACGCTTCGCTGAATCTCGAGTAACCAGGCTCATGTAAATAGCACTTAAATGAAATATCAGTTGAAGAGCCAGCCTATTTGCTTGTCAAAATATTCTATATCGTGAAAAAAGAAGTATATTTTCCTACAAACATCATACCAGAACTGACGAGTAAAATTGCGAAATTTAGCGACAAAAAGTTGCAAAGTCGGCTACAATTGTCAACAATGTTGTTGTTGGCAAACATTTAATCCGAAAAATTAACTAATTTCCGAACGCAAAATACAAAATATGCGAACTTTCCTGACTATATTTTGTTCGTATGCTACAATATTTGAGAAGTAAAGTTTATAGTTTATGCTCTCTATAGTCAGGACGGATTTATTATAATATCCTTGCCTATAGATAAAAAAATCATCTTATATTAAAACATGGACATAATTGTTACATACTGTTTTGTTGGTTGATTTTTCTCGAACATATTTTCCTCGGAATGAAGTGAAATTGAAATAAACTTTTGACGCATACATGCACACTATTTTTCACGCGTTTTATTATCATTCGAAGAGCCATAAAATTTTTAAAAACATGGATAAAGAATAATTATTTTATTCCAAATATTTAATGAGCTAATTTTCGCGAAATTTTCAAGTCTGGAAAATGTATTCGAATTGATAAACAAGTGTGGCAATATCTGGGCTTGGGAAATGCGCGTGTTACGTATCAAAATTTCAGTTCGACCTTTCGGATTCAACATTGCTTTTACACCACACACAGACCAAACGTCTGATCTCCTTGTTTTTGCGCCACTCGGTACAAATATATGAAAATGGTTGATAAAGTACGTCTGCTGCAGTTAATTTGAATATTAAAATGTTTGAATATGTCGGTTACTTATTTGGTGCGCTCTATAAATTGCTAGACGTCCATATGTCGACTTCCTAATACCTGTCGTCAGCTAGTTAGTACGCAAACTCAGTCTTTTGCTTACGCCATCTGACGACGAAGCTCGTAGTCGTTGCGCTTTTGAATACGAAATTGTTCATATTCTTCAACAAATTCGTACTCAAAAGTTCAACGATCACGACGAGTTTTGGCCGATATGGCGTAAGCAAACAACACGCGGGAATGACGAATCTCGTATTCGTAATTCGTGGGAATTGTACACCCTGATAAAGACGCTGATACTGTAGGGGTAGTCTAAACTAACAAATATTAAGGATATATCATTATAATGCTTTTCCTAAAACAGTACAACATTGCATACACTGATATAGTATTACTACTTTACAACAATGAGGATACCGCGACGGTGTATTGTATAATATCCACTTTGGTACGAAACATTAAACATATCACGAATACTATATTACTCTATTGACCAATGAACATTATTTTTACTGTACCCGTTAAGGACTGTTCTTCGGCAGATTCGCTGTACTGATTCATAAATATTTAAAGAAAATCGTCTATAGGAACTTTACAAATGTTCTCCATTTAAAATCATCTCATTGTCGAATTGTTTTGTACTTTTATATAAATATACTCAGTGATCACTTGTGATTTTTCGAACAAACGTCAATGTCTAGGAACTTATTAGGTGAAATCTCACGTCTCAAAGCCAGAAAATGTCACAAAATGAAATAGCACATTGCAAGTTGCAACATAAAATATTACTGACTATTTATAACACATTAATATAAGCACAATGCGATACAAGATATGAATATAATGAAGCCATACCTTTGAGATTCAAAATTGCCGATAAAACAGCGCTGTCGGGATTTTATAAAATATATTTGTCCATACTATGTTGGCGATTTCGAATTGTGTCATAAAACATTGTTTTAAACAGAACCCGTCTGATACGGGCTCAATTAAACAAAAAAAATGAATGTACACACACTTGCAGACGATATTACGTGATACAGTTTTGGGCATTAAATTTCACACTTGACGTACCAACTTTCAAAAATCACAACATCACATGCAAAGTAAAACCATCTGTCAGCAGATGACGTACACGCTTGATGCAAAACCACAGGTAGAGACTAGAGGCGAGAAGAATAAATAAGTGGAAAATATCCTAAGGCTTTAACCCACACGAGCGGGCGTGCGGTGAAAGCAGTGGTTGCGACTGTTTCCCTCGCATCCAATCATTCCAATGGCATAGCCCAATTTCTGATTTAGGCAACAAGAATGAAATAAATCACAACGGCTAAAATGAGCATACCGAAATTAGTATAATTGCCAAGTTTGGCCGCAAAATGTCAAGTAGGGGAACGGAGAATATATAGCCATGCAAAGTTGGACAATTTTTGTGTATACTTTTGTATTTCGGTGGGAGAAACTGATTTAGTCAGGGCAACTTTCCACTTACGCGTTTTTCATACGCACGTACACGCACGTAAAGCCGTTTAAATCCTTATAAATGTCATATTTGAAAAAGTTAGGTGAATAAATCGAAAGAACTTGGTTTTCCGCATATTTTAGTATGCATTTGTTGACCCATGCATGGTGTTATGTAAATAATAAAAATTTGGGAGCATTTAAAATTTTCCGCGCGTAAAAAAGTAGAACCGCTTCCATTTTTTTATGTGTTCGCGGGAGCAAATCCTCGTAAAGTCAAGAATCGGTTTATTAATATATTCTGAGTATATATATAGGCGGTAGCTTTCCTTGCCAAAATAGTGAAACCGGTCATATTGAAATAGAGTATTTTGTTAAGAATATAGCGGGGAAACTGCATTTTCCGTTTTAGGCAGATGTAAATAACGATATATACTTAAATGCAGTAACGATATACTCAAATGTTCTTGAACATTCAAAAATACCAGTATTCTGTCTGTCCCAAAAAGAACAGAACCGGTCGCTTTTTAATACCGCTAATAAAGAAGGCGCCCTGTGGTTCTGAGCATGTACTAGCTACCACCTCTGCATGAGTTAATATCACTTTGTTTAACTGAAGAGTCATTTCTGTCCAATATCAGATCTCTTCATTTCAGAAACTTACATTTAAGAACGTGTACTTCCTCTACGTGATCTAAACATGCCTTACTCAGCAACTCAATCCTGTTCAACACTAGATCACGTTTTAAAATTAAAAAGCTTACATTTAGGAACATGTATACTTCCTCTACGTGATCTTAATAACATGCTTTTGCAATAAGTCCTGAATAACACCACTTCACTTTAATTAAGAACTTAAACTAGTTTAGACCAAGCGTGAGTTCTTTGATGCAATCTACATGCGTTATCGATGGCCTTTGAAACGCCTTCCATCTTTCTGCGCTTGTGGAAAATCGTTCACGGTAGATCATGCCCTGTCGTGCCTGAAAGGAGGTTTTATCCATCGAAGACATAATGAGATCCGTGATCTACTTGCTGCTGCTATCGATGACGTTGCTTACGATGTTTCAATTGAACCTGCTCTTGCTCCTTTGACTGGCGAGGTTCTTCCATCCAGTGCTAACTCAGCCGATGACGCCAGAGTGGACATTGCTGCGAGAGGTTTCTGGCAGAGATGTGAAAAGGCATTTTTTGATGTAAGGGTGTTTAACCCATACGCCTCTACACATCGACGCCAGACGTTGAGCAGCTCGTTTAAAGCCAACGAACGGGAAAAGAAGCGACATTACAACCAACGGATTGTTGAGGTCGAGCATGGCTCCTTCACACCGGTCGTCTTCAGCGCCTTTGGCGGATGCGGAAGAGAGACCCAACATTTTCTTTCCTTCCTGGGTGCGAAGCTGGCTGACAAGAAGAATCATTCTACATCTATGGTGGTTAGCTGGTTACGACGAAAGATCGCCTTTGCTTTGCTTAGAGCTCGCGTGGTGTGTGTTCGTGGCAGTCGAAGTTGGAGGACTGCATCCATCACATCAACTAACGACATTACGTTGTCGGAATGGAACTCCAACATTAGCGAGTAGTCTAGTTAAGTTGTTTTTGTAAATAGTCTGTAGAACTATTATACTTAATTTTAATGCATGATTGATTATTGTAAATTTCCCTAGTACTAATAATGTGAATAAATTATTATATATTAAGAACTTACATTAAATAACGTGTAATACTTCCTCCACGTGGTATAAACGTGCCTTTAAACAAGCCTGTTTTCCACTTCAATCGTAGCGAACCGTAGCGTATTTCTTTGTTTCAAAGTCATTAGTTTTATGTCCAGGAAAGAGCGATATTCGCTAGGTGTCGCTACGGTAGGGTTGAAGTTGAAAACAGCCCTTATACTCAATATGTTTTACCACAGTTAATAGGATATACATGATTTGAAGACTAAATGAAAAGTACAATACAACTCATGCATTAACTTTGTTGTTGTTCAGGTTTATGCAAAAAATGGTTCCTTTCTCAGAACGTGTCTATTGAATTTTAGCCAAACTTACCAATGGTCTTCGTCTTGCTAAGTAAGCTCTTTATAAGATTGCTATTGGTTTATCTGTGCAAAATACAATAGACATGTGATGAGAAAGGAACAATTTTTTGCATAAATCTACCTCAACATAGTTAGTGAGTTGTATTGTAGTTTAATGTGGTCTCCAAACCATGTATATTCTATTAATTGTGGGTTTTGTACTCAGCAATGAATCCTGTACAACACTATAGATCACTTCATTTAAGGAACTTACATTCAAGAACATGTATACTTCCTCCACGTGATCTAAACGTGCTTTTGCAATAAGTCCTGCACAACACCACTTCACTTTAATTATAAACTTGCATTCAAGAACGTGTAATACTTCCTTTACGTGATCTTAACATGCTTTTGCAATAAGCCCTGTACAACACCATTTCACTTTAATTCAAGAACTTGCATTCAAGAACTTGTTATACTTCCTTCACGTGGTATAAACGTGCCTTACTCAATATATTTTACTCAGCAATGAGTCTTGTACAACACTAGATCACTTTATTCAAAGAGCTTACATTCACGAACGTGTACTTTCCCCATACGTGGTCTAGACATGTTTTATTCAGCAGTAAGGTGCTTACAATACTCCATGTACGAGTGGTTTAAACTGGCTTTACTCAGCAACGAGTCCTGTACAATACTAGATCTCAACACCCGAGATAGCCAAGACAAGTCCACACTTAAAGTGGAAGTCAAGTCCGTATGTAAACAAACGGTTTGTTAAGATTTTGAACTTCGCTATTTTTTAAAATACGATGTGCTGTCTGAATATCTGACACTATTTAGGTTCGTTACGCTTCTAAATTAATATAAACTAGAGTTTATGTTAAGAGAAAATAAGAAACATGCTAAATTTAGGCAATTGAGGGCCCTCAGAGCAGAACCTATGCCCAGAACGGACTTGACTTCCACTTTAGATACACTTGTAGTAAATCCGTACAAGATGAGATTGCTTTAATTAAGGTCGCCTACATTCAAGAACTACTTCACGAGATGTAAACATGCTTTTTTCAGCAGTGAGTTGACTGAGTTCTTCGGTACAACATCGGGTCACTTCAGGGTAGCTCACGCTTAAAAGCACGTGCAACTTTTGCATAACACAGCCATGCTTAACTCAGCAGTAAGCTCTGCACAACATCAGATCACTTTTATCAAAGAAGCTTACCGTTAAGAACGTGTATACTACTTCTGCATGATGCAAAAATTCTCAACTTAGCCGTGAGTTCTTTACAAAATCAGATCACTTATGCGCCATTTAAACTACACACAATTTTCGGTACGGTACTGAAAGAATGGTACGGACGAAAATTTAAACTGCCCAAACACTAAAATTTTAACATCAGTACCAACACACTATGTTCAATCTCAGTTTTGGTCAGAATAAAATAATTTTACATTGATGAAATTTGGACTACCTAAATAGATGGTCCAAATTTCATCCGTACCAATTTTATCCATATGCCAAACCTAAAATTGCGCGTACTGTAAATAGGGGTTTAAAGGTAGCTTCATTCAAGAATACATGCACTATCTCTGCATGATCTAACCATGCTTAACTCAGCGTTGAGTTTTTGAGACAAGAATGAAATCTATCTAAACTTTACTAGTTTCATTCCCAACCCTCCTTCCATTACTCCGTCCGTCTACTTTTCCTAAGTCTGTGAATGCCATATTCGGCTTGGATAGGTACCAGGCCCTGATCTGCTGGGCCGCTGGGGTTAGACTATCTTTGCGCAAAGTTTGCGAATCGTGATCACGTCTGTGCTTGTTAATCTCCATGGCAACACGACTACTCGCGATTGAGTGTGGTATCGGGGATTTGGGAGTGGTATACGAGTTTCCTTCATCTTTGAACTTACACGAACAAGACTGCACCAAATAGTTGTAGATGTGGAAAATTTTCTGTCTCAGTAGGCGAAAATAAATCGGATTTCGTAAGATGTAAACCATCGGGTAGGTCGCAGAACGCAGCCAGATGAAGAAACGATAGAAAAATGAATTGGATTTGCTCTCTGCCGATGACGGCGAGATTATGATTGGAAGGATAAACGCATTGCATATCAGATAGACGGTTATGATGAGGAGTGTGGTAAACGCTGATCTGGCATACGCATCGGCTGCGACATGGTGAATGTTATAACTCACGCTGACTTGACGTCGATTTCGTAGAGCTGACTTCAAGATGTAATAAAAGCAAACAATCAGGACAAGAATTGGTACGCCAATGCACAGGATGTTCAGAAGCAGGTTCACGATCACCGACGGAGATGGGTCGTTGAGGGAATCAAAAATCCCCGGGGATTTCTGACAGTACACTAGCCACGCTAGGAAACGACTCTCTGTGACCGGCCTCCATGCGAAAATTGTGCCCCAGGGCAGCGAGGCCATCAGGGAGATCAACCACAAACCACAAATGACTATCTTCGCTTTCCTGGCCGTGATTTTGTGATGGACTTTCTTCACCACCGCCAAATACCGATTTACTGCAATGGCGGTCAAGCTCAGAAAGCTCGTGTTGAAAAAGAATATGTTTTCACAGCCAATGAAAATGCAAGTGTTCATCGAGAACACAGCCTCGCCGTTCATGGCGAGCACGTAGAAAGAGATGATGAGACCTTGGCAACTAGCGAAGAACTCCGAGATTATATGACTTATTACAAAGAAATTTGTAGTTGTGCGCATGCGATGATCCCGAAGGAATAGAAATATCAACAAACCGTTTGCAAGAAGAGCGAATATGAGTACTATTATTATAACGGTGCTCTCGTAGAGGGGAACACGTATACCATAATTGTCTTCGGGTGAATTTGAGGTAGTATTGTTCATCGACATTGTTGCTCTTTTGTTGCCCTATAAATACGGCTGAACGGATATTTCCAAGTATCGTGATCAACAGTACCAACTCAATTCAATTCTATGTATTTCATATGTATGTAATTCTAATTCAATTCTACGTCAAACGATCCCTTGAGACTTTTAATCACTGTGCTTGAATGAAAGAATGTGAATCACTTCGTATAAACAGAGGATATCTTTTCTTATATTGCTTTCATATCTCCAATGGTCTTCTCGTTAATTAAAAGTTCTAGTATTTTGTAGAATCCTGCTTGAAGCACGAATTCGTCAACTGAAATACAAAGCAGCGATGAAACAAATGATTCTTCGTGTGCAGCAGGTAACTTCCGGCGTACTTAAATCTCTTTTCAAACGGTAAAAGCTGGCTATATAAGTTTCGTTTGCTTGCTCGAGATGTCCGTCACAAATCAACAATGTTTCTATATGTTTATCTGTCTAGATTTGAAGATAATACACGTACACTACATCGGCTGATCTTTTCCTCCAGGAACATATCTCGAAATTTTTCGACTTCTTTTTAGTTCAAATGTTATTTCGCCTCGCCGTCTTTCATAATACTTTCATCTTTCAAGCCCAAACAGTATATATAACTGGTATAATATGTTTCAATACCTGATCAGGTCAGACAAGATCTGTCATTCACAGGAGAGACTTGATTTGCCGTTCGTAAATTATACATCATAGCATTAATTACTTTAGGCATAAATATTAACAGTCGTCCTGATTCGAGCCCAATTCTTCAAGCTAACTGAGTTCACTTCGTTGGCTGTTCAAACATCCAGTTTTTTGTTATTTAAACCCGTATTAAAGCTGAATTTCTGCTCGTAGTTAGCGTTCTGTGGGCATGCATGCAGCTGTGCTCTTGTACTTTGTTTTGAAATTTAAATTTTATATTTTTCACCAGCTGTTAATTCGGGGACAAAGCAAAAAGGGAAGGACTTCACCGCAACGATAAGACAATTGACCACCCGTTGGCCGAATCTCAAATATGCATTGTGATTTCTGACAGTTTTGTGTTTACTTTTCGCGCCCTCAAAATAAAGGCAAGATGAAGGTTAAGGAAGATTACAATGAGTGTGTTTGCAGGTTTAGACCAAGCTGTCTGTTCCCTGCCACATTGGGTGAAGTCTATAGCATTTAAGAGACACTAGAACCAGCTGTACGGTGGATTATAAGACAAAAATCAAAGAAGAAATTGTTGATAACCGTATTAGGGAACTTTTAATGACAAGATCAGAGTGAACGAAAGACGAAAATAAGCCAATATTTAGCAAAATGCATATGTGTAAAATGTTGCATATTGCTTGTAAATTTTGAGCGAACTAAAACATATTCGAAATTAGAGACTAATTCATACGGAAAAATTATTGGTGGGGCTAAAGCCCCGCGAGCCACAATGCTCCGCGGTCCCCTGTCATCTTAAAATCACCGGTTGTGCGGGAGTATATCTTGTAAATAGATTTAGGCTTGAAAGGTTAGGACACCCCGTGTATTTGATTTCAACAACAATAACAACAACTGAGGATGTAATCCAGTGAACCAGTGAATGGTTAGGGATATCAGTTGTCATCTAGGGGAATGAACCAGGTGAACTCAAAGGCAGGGGATATCAGTTGTCATCTGGGGAAATGATCTAGGTTTAAGTCAATCTGGTGAACGAGGTTTCACTTGGTGAAATTATCCAAGATTACCTCAATAGCAAGGGGTGCCAGGGAGATGATCAAGGTATGAAATGGCAAAGGTATCAGTTGTCATTAAAAGATTACCAATTGTTGCTCATGAGAATGATCCAAATTGACTTAAAATAGCATGGGATATCAGTTGTATATTACATAAGAAAGTGATATTACCTAAGGTACTCGTTGGGCATAAGATATTAGTTGTTACTTGAGGAAATTATTCAGTTTTACTTCAAATTTAGTTCAATTGAAAGGGATACTAATGGCTACCTAACTATTTCGTCCAGGTTTAACGATATAGAAATGGATACTAATTGTTAATTGTGGATGTATCAAGGCCTAAATCCATACATATACTATTATATCCCATTGAACTGTTATATCCATGCTTAAGGGACACCATATTACCGGAGGCACTGCAAATAATATTCCCAGCATGCAACGCATGCCAAAACAGACGCGGAAACAAACATTCTTTTAAGTTTAAATATAAATTTAGCTGTTCACTTATGTCTCAATATAAAAACGTTCTCGCAAAAGGAACAAGCTCAATTAGGAATACAAAAATAGTTATTTGCAACAAACGTTGCATCCGGTTAAAAATAAATAAACTCAACATAAATATTATGAAACGGATTATCCTCGTTTCTATCTTCCTTCCTCTCCTTAATTACAAATTATGGCCACCCGAAGTTTCGCCCTATCAACCTGTATAACTCCTCGTTAAAAGGTTTGTAATATTCACGAAGCACTCTTTCGGTTTCGTTCGACACAGCAATATGAAGCCTACCTTTACTGCTTCCAAGGCACCTTAAATTTGTCGAATTCATACTGGTGTTCAACTGACCTATTCCTCTGTCAGTGCAATAAAACCCCTTTGTCTCATTGTAAACAAAATGTTCCGGCCTTATAAACGGAGGGAGATTTAGAAATTCTTCGACTTTTTTAATTTCATCGAAGGGTTTTTTGATTAATGCCTCTCCACTTACAATATGTATTTGAGAGGGCTGAAAGTATCTGTACCACCGCTTGAGATGCTTCGCATAGACACCTATTTTTATAGCACCCCAACGTGAGTTCACGTATGGCCTCCCGTCGATCTCTTGCCTCAAGGCCGACTCTTTAAAACTTGGTTTAAAAGCGTTTCTAGCATGGGATAATACTTGCGTATAATCTGAAATGGCACGTTTTGTCGGATCACGAACTATAACGAGCAATTTTAATGTTTTGTTTAGTCGCTTAGAATATTCAAATACGCTTTTCGCGACACCGCTTGTCACAAAGTAACTCGGAGTTTTTTCTATTGTAATTTCATTTTCATAGCACAATGGCATTCGGTTGCGATACCATTCAATTCCTTTGGCATAGTGTCTGTCGAAGTAGTGAATCTCTGGACCACAGCTGCAGATTTGTGGATGTAGTTTGATCATCTCCAGCAGAGCCCTTGTCCCCCCTTTCTTCACTCCGATAATTATAACATTTGGAAAACGCTTCGTAGGTCTTCCTCTTTTTTTAAAAATTTCCGGCACTTTGTCGTCGGAGTCCGTAGCTAGCCCGTCTAAAATTCGCTCGATACTTCGTTCGTCGCTTCTTAAAAATTTCTCATCCAAGCGTTTATCAGCCATGCCAAATTTTCGCTGCATTTTTCCAGGCGATGGTTTTGATACCGTGTATAATTCTAAATCCTCCCAAGAGTCTTCGCTTGAATGATTCCCAATATTGTTCGCCTCTGCTCGCGTGCTTATAACTCTCGGCGAATTTCTGGACGATAAATTGGCTTTTATAATATGTAGATTTCCATTGTAGCCTGTTTTCGAGTTTAATTGATGTTGACTGATCGATAAGAAACCAGTTAAAGCAACGACGCCGTTGACGGCCACCGAAGGAGTACCATTAATGTCGACAAAGAAATTTCGAAATAGACTGTAGTAGAATATCCCAGCAAAGCCACATGAACACGCGATACATAAAAACATCTGTCTCGTGTTCATTTTACAAGGATTTATGCTCATCATGACTTTGAATTAACTCGATCGACGATGGATGTTTTTGAATACACATAAGGTTGCTTGTTCCAGTCCGATTGCTGTATTCGTAACCCTTATGCCTAACATAGTAAACAGCGTGTTATTCCTGGCGTTTAGACAAGTATAACGCTCCTTCCAAGGGTTTTACAAAGCCACTACACTCGACAGAGTTACCAATATGTAAACATACTAAAATACACTTGTACACCTCGTGAATATGCGTGTCAATACGTATTATTCAAAGCCTCTGAATCGAGACGCTTTTCAAATGTAAATTTTGTATAATATGCAAATTTACAAAAGGAAATATTGACCACAAAGACGAGTCCCCGGTCTGCAACGAAAATTGATGACGAACTTGTTCAAGAATCAAAGTTGACGGAAAAAAAACTATGTGAGATTTTTCAATGCATGTTCGGTATAAATAATTTGTTACAAGTGTGTACAGAAAGTGTTAGTTCCGAAAAAAAACACTTCATAAACAATTTGCCCTGACATGGGTCAGGAAAGCATTTTTATTGAAAGAGCAAAGTGCTATTGAAATGTATAAAAATTCCTCTTTAAATGGGCGTCACTTTAGACCGCTGTTGACACAAAAACTACGCTACATTTAAACTAAACACAAATTTACTTATCACCTCCAAAACGCTTGTCTAAACAAACTGAAAGACACATAAATTATCGTATGATCGTCAAATGTCCTAGTATTTTTATGTGTGTTTATAGAGTAGATGAACTATTCAATTTTGTCTTTTATTTATGTACTTTGGTAAAAGGCTTTTTGTTGCCATGAACACATTTCCGTTTTGGCCATTAAGGACTCCAACGATTGAAGTATTTGGCAGACATGTGAATATTAATATGTGAATTGGTCTGCTCAATGAAATTGTAATCGTGCCACATGATTTTGAAGTTTCGTCATTTATGAAGTTTCGTCATTTCGTCAAATGTTTACAAGTGCAGAAATTAAGTTAAAACCAGACTAGAACTGGGCTTGGGTGGTAAAAAACGGAAAATGGGATAAAAGTATGGAAGTTTAGACGTTTCCAAAACTTCGAAGTTGGTATTAGTCAATGAGTTGCAGTTGCACAAAGTTTTCAAGGCTAGTAAATTCTAAATACACAAGATTAGGTTTAGGGATTAGGTGTTGGATTATGTTTATGATTAATTAGGACTCTAATCTTAACCTAATGTCAAGGATTAAATTCATGGAATAAGGATTTACTGGGCTAGATTTATTAATAAGGATTTACTGGGCTAGATTCATTGAGGATTTACTGGGCTAGATTTATTAAGGATTTACTGGGCTAAGGATTAGTAGGGCTAGATTTATTAAAGATTTATACTGGGATAGATTTATTAGGATTTACCAGGCTAGATTTATTAAGGATTTACTGGGCTGGATCACTGAACTGGGCTGGATTCATTGAAGATTTACCGGGCTGGATTTGTTACTCCAGTTCTGTTCGGGAGAACATTAGCGTTCAGTGTCAAATTTTCGACGGCTCAACCTGCGAACGGGCCGGGGTTCCGGCGTGATCAGGGCTTCCCACTCGAATAATGGCGAACGAAATTTCAGACGAAACAAATCAGAATTTATCTGAGGAGGAAACGCCGAAAATAAACGGCTACGAGGATGAGGATGAAGAAGATGAATCACAGTTTAATGACCCGGAAGGGTTTGTAGACTCAATAAGCGACAAAGGTAAGTTCAGATAATTCATTTTGTACAAGGTCCAATCACTCAGGTAAAGCCACGTGTGTATTTTATTTCACATCTTTCAATGCTAAAATTTGCTTAGAAAGTACCCGTCATCCTTGTATGTTTCGAAGTTGCGTGTGTATTTTTATCAAAAGTGTAAAGTACGCGCCTTTTGAGCTTATAGTTAGCAGTCGTTCTTGGCAAATTTAATAGTTAATAATATACATATGTTCATTACTAAATTAGTATGAAGTTGAAACGTGTACATTGAACTTGAAAATGATTTTTTTCAATGAACCGGTTCAATGTATGTTTTTTAATGAGGTGAGTGTTTTTTTGGGAGGTAAGATGCTACGAATTATAACCGTGGAATTATGAGCTTCTAGTTATGTCTTCCCAAAAGAAAATTGGGTGGTGACCTAATAGCATAACAAGGGTGATCAATTTAGTATCAGCATTGTGTCCCCTTAAATGAAATGGATATTAAAAATGTGACATCTGCACTTTTTAAAATTCTATACCCCACGAGTGTGTGTCAATCTACAGGGGTGCACCCTTTTGTGAACCCACCGAAAAATCCCCCACCGAGCTTTTTAAAACATGGTAATGTTGCTATGCCACCCATTCCATAACATTGCAACCTTACAAGTGTTTTCACTCACAAAATGTCTCTTTCTTTCCAGAACTGCTTGGAGATATTCTTGAGAAGCGGCCAGCCCCAGAGGATGGCATTGATACTTTAATTGTTGTGGACAATGTCCCTGTGGTTGGACAAGACAGGCTGGAGAAATTGAGGAATGTCATAAGGAAAGTTTTCTCAAAGTTTGGAAAAATTGTGAACGAATTTTATCCGGAGGAGAATGGCAAGACGAAAGGGTAAGGAGCTTTCTGCTTAAAATATTCTTATAGTCATGTTCTCAGTTGGATTCATTTTGAGTTCAACAAAGATTTTCTGTGTTACAGATATATTTTTATTGAGTATGCTAATAAGAAAGATGCTGAACAAGCTGTGAAAATAGCAAATGGCTATAAACTTGACAAGCACCATATCTTTATTGTCAATCCATTTTCCTCATTTGACAGGTGAGCGATAAGAAATTATCCTTACTTGACTTCTAGGAAGAACAGTTTGGAACTGATAGAACTATCCAGTATAAATAAAGTTAGTTTAGTTTAGGTTTCCTCCTGTAGTAACACTGAATCAATAAGAGTTGATCCTTACTGGACCTCTAGGATGAACAGTTCAGAACAAATAGAGCTATCCAGCATTAATAAAGTTAGTTTAATTTAGGTTTCCTCCTATAGTAACACTAGATCAATAAGAGATGATCCTTACTGGATCTCTAGGAAGAACAGTTTAGAACTAATAGAGAGTTATCCAGTGTAAATAAAGTTAGTTTAGTTTAGGTTTCCTCCTGTAGTAACACTTGATCAAAAAGAGATGATCCTTACTGAACCTCTAGGAAGAACAGATTAGCTATCCAGTATTAATAAAGCTAGTTTAGTTTAGGTTTCCTCCTGTAGTAACATTGGAGTTTGTGTAGATTGTAAATGAAGTGTGTGTAGATTTTGTCTTCATTTGTGAACTTACTTTATTATTATTTCAGTATGTTAAATCTTGAGGAGGTCTGGAGCCCACCTGAGAAGGAGCCTTATCAAGACAAAGTATGTTTTAAATTGTGTGAAAAGAGGAAAAAATATCTTTATTTCCCTATTTGCTTTGATGTCTTTAAAAATCACATCATATATTATCTGAAGGTCGGAAAACCTCTTTTATCATTTAAGACTGGTCTTATTCAGTGTAAAACATCTTTTTCATAGGGAAACTTGTATTCCTGGCTGCTTGAAGCAGATTGTAACGACCAATACTCTGTTATTCATGGTGGTGGTGAGAAAGTCGATATATTCCTAAATACATCAACTGAACCTGTGCTGCTCAAGGGAAGACCTGTAAGTTGATCTTGTTTTGTGCGTAGCCAAGGCTGTTATGTGATACATTTGGTAACTCATTCCAGCTAGACAGCCCTCTAGTTGAGCCATACTTCAGTATTTTACTCTGCCTAAAGTTGTATGATTTTACTCATCGCTGAGTAAAAAGGGTTCTGTGGTTTAATTAATGAGTTAACAAAACTATCTGTCAGTGTTTCTTGTTAACCCATTAGCTTGCAATGCACCCAGATGTGACCTGCTTTAGTATCTTACTCTGTCTAATGCCAGATGATTTTACTCATCTGTGGAAGAGTACTGTCAGTTAATAAGTGATCAAAACTATCTGTCAGTGTCTCTTGTTAACCCATTATGCCCCCAGATGATCCCTACTCTAGCATTTTAATCTGTCTAATGTTAGTTTATTTGACCCTTGGTGGGACAGTTTGGGAGAAAACAAAGCTATATGTCAGTTGACCAGCTAACGTCGGAGATAAAGTTTCACAGCAACTTCAAATGAAGCTCTTTTGATCAGTCAAATGTCTGCGAAAAAATAAATCTTATTTTCAAACACAATATATTTCCATTCTTGAAGGGTTGGACAGAAACCTATGTCACCTGGTCACCCCAGGGTACATACCTCGCCACATTTCATAAACAAGGTATTGCCCTCTGGGGCGGTGATGAGTTCAATCGTATCGGAAAATTTGGTCATCAAGGAGTGCAAATGATTGATTTTTCTCCGTGTGAAAGGTTTGAAAAGCTGTATTCATTTTTTTTTCAATTTTTGTCAAGAAATGTGAATTTCTTATTGATATTGAATTTGAACATAGATGATTTAGCAGAGGGTGAAATGATAATTTTACGCGAAATTTTATCAAAACGTTGCCGTTTATTTTATTTGCCCCAAACCTAATAGCCCAGGAGTATGTGCGTCTTGTTTCATATTGCGGTCAGTGACGCACGTTTATTCCATTTATTCATTCAAGCGTGCGAGTGGCGTCACTGACTGCAATATGAAACAGGATGCACATGCTTCTGGGCTACCTAGCCCCCAACTGTAGAAACCAAGCTAAAACCTTAAACAAAATTTTATTTCAGATATATTGTGACGTTCAGTCCATTACCAGACACCCCAAGCGATCCACAGGTAATTTTATACTTCAGAGTCCTATTTGATGAAGTTTGCGTGTTCCTGGCTGTAATAACCAGTTACTGCAATTTCCTACTTTTGATTGATGTGATCGAATGAGTAAGTTACGGATGTGTAAATTAGAGCACTCGTACGCTGAGCATTTATAACCGTACGCTCGTTTGCATATGTCAAAAGTAGAAAATCGCCAATCTGGCCCTAATGGGCCTCATCATCCACACTTCTTTTGATAGATGCAAACGAGTGGATGAGTTACTGTTTTTGAATCATGGCTCTTGTACATCAGAGCATTCATAACTATTCGCTCGTTTGCATCTGCCAGAAGGCGGAATTTACGCCAAAAATTGAAGTAATAGTCGCAGTGTATATGGATCGTGATACACAATGTATTTTTTGTTGTTGTTTTTTTCTATATCAGGGCATTATTATCTGGGATGTAAGAACAGGGGCAAAGAAGAGAGCATTTCAGTGCGGGGATTGTTCGAGATGGCCCGTTTTTAAGTAAGTACTGTGTATGAAGTTTATACAAGGGCTGCTTTCTACTGTCGCGTTTTCTTTGCACGTAGCTACTACGTACACGAACGTAAAAGCTTAAAACCTTCTAAGTTGTTGTATATAATTAATTTTATCCCAGAAAAAAAACAAACCAAATCTTCAACAGAATCCCACCCTATGCATCTATTCAATCGTATTTCATTAGTGTCATTCAAATCATTTTGAACTGGAAAGCAGCAGCCCTAAATGAATATAGAAACTTTTTAACAAATGGGGATTGTGGCTTGACACTAGTCCAAATTCCAACACTTTGGTTTTAACCGTCTAAAAATATTTCGAATCAGGTGGAGTCATAAAGGGGAATATTTCGCCAGAATACGAGACGAAGCCATCAGCATTTATGAAACGCCAGTAAGTAATGATAATTTTTTTATTAATTTTAATAAAATTTTTATTATTAATTTTATTAATATTAATTTTAATAAAAATTTTATTAGTAATTTTAATAATATCATTTGCTTGATGAATCTCGTATGTGATTTAAATATTTCATTTTTATTTGTTTTTTCTCTCTAGTCCTTTGGTTTGCTCGATAAGAAAAGCATAAAAGTGCCTAGTATAAGGTAGATGAGGATTGATAATTGTCATTTTGTATGTTTGACTATTTTTTTATTCAGCTAAAAGATATGCAAACGTGTCACCAGAACTAGAAAGAGCTTGCTAAAATTAGTCAAGGTCAAATTGTAAAGTCTAGTTGAAAAATTTTGAAAAATGCGGAAAATATGCAGCCTTGTAAAGTTTGCAAATATTTGTATACTTTTGTATTGCGTGCGTTACTATTTTCGATCTAAAAGTCGTAACAATATCCGTGCATACCCACTCAAGAGGCCATTAGAGAACTTTAGTTTAGAGAGCTTCAGATTTGACTACGGGCCAACGGAACGGCTCCCGCCACAGCCACGGGATTCGTCATCATGGCGCGAAACCAACGTTTGCTTACGCCATCTCGTGTCGGACCTGAACAACCTCGGCGCCAAATATAGTGAACGCGTGTTTATATTTTCAAATGTCTCGCAAATGTCTACGCTAACCGTTTCAAAAAATACACATGTCACGAAATGAAGTTCTCTCTCAAAAAAAAACTCTCAAAAAAAACAAGAAATATCAACTCGTATTGTTTCTCAAAATGCTGTAGTCAGATGGGCGACGGTACGAGTCTATGGCGCCAGCACGAATATCCACGTGAATATGACACATCTTGTAGCCGTGCAGGAGCCGTTAGGGAGCTTCAAATTGAAATACGGCTCCCGTTACGGCAACGAGGTTCATCATATTGACGTAATATTCGTGATATTTCGTGCTGACGCCATAGGCTCGTAGCCGTCGCCCATCTGACTACATCATTTTAAGAAAACTTCGTAGTCCCTACTTCGTGATTTAAAAAGCAATACGAGTTAATATTTTCTCGTTTCTTTCTGGAAAAACATTTGCTAGAACTGTTTTTCGTGATTATTATGTGTATTTTTCAAAATGGCGAGCGTAGATATTTCTGCAATACTTGATGCTATAAAAACGTGTTATTTAAAGTGGTCAGACAGGTTTATCAGGATAAAAGATGCGTTTCGCGCCACGATGACGAATCACGTAGTTCTCCAATAGTAACATCATCTAATTATCTTTATTTTCAGTGACTTTGCGTGGTCCCCAGGGGACAATGTAATATCCTATTGGCTGCCTGAGATCAAAGACACTCCGGCTCGCGTTACCATAATGGCTATTCCTAGTCGTGACGAATTGAGGGTGAAAAATCTTTTCAACGTCGCCACGGTGAGAAACAAACAAAAATACTCCAGTTGTTTTATAAGATCCCCTAGACTCCGACCTCTTTATAACTAGCTGGATGTGAACTAAAAGCTCCGATATTTTATTTGATTGTAGTGTAAAATGAATTGGCAGAATAAAGGAGATTATCTTTGTGTCGTGGTTGACCGCTACACAAAAAGCAAAAAGGTAATCGTATTGTTTTTACCGTAGCAATCGGGCAATGTCTGATTTTAGGGACAGCCTGCATGGCATGCAGGCTACTTCTACCGTTTAAGGATCTCAGCAGGCAAAAAAATAAAGAAATTTTTAAAAGATATACTTGCGTGTTTTAGAACAATCTTTTGATTTTTAAGAGAGATGTGTTGTCAATTTTCAGTGATGACAATGTCGTGCTGAGCCCACAATTTGACTTGTACAGCGGGTTTTCTGCTGCACAGTCGTCCCAGGCTCTTCAACCGTGATGACTGATCAACGAGGCATTTGTCTGAGAAAAATCAAACGTTGATTTGGACAATTTCTAAATCTCGCATCCTAAAGCTTAGAATATCTTAATATAAACTATTCCCAGACTCCTGTTAATTAACTCACGGTTAATTTCCAAAATGGTGATTTGAGATTTTTCAACCTTTCCAAATTTCAGGCTCTTCACTACAACATGGAAATATTTCATTTAAGGGAAAAACAAATACCAGTTGATACACTGGAACTAAAGGGTCAGTGAAAAAATACATTTGAATATGTTGTGAAGGGATTATAACTGTCTCCCCCAGCTTTAAAATCTTGTAAGACCTTAAGCCCGCCGCGCACGAGAGCTATCAGCTGAGGTAACGACCTCGCGAGGCAGTTAGCTCAGCCCGAAAACCAGCCGCAACATTAGAGAAACTTGCCTCTCGGGGTGAATTCCTCATGAAAACTATCCGCACACGAGAGAATCTTGCTGAGCTAAAGATCTGTTCACATGATCCAATTTTGTTGGATCCAACTCACTTGTGACGTATGAAATATAGTTGGTTATTGATAAAGCAGTACTGCATTGGCTTCAGTGGATTTGATACTCGTATTCATTACAAGACAACAGACTATAAAACATCCATCAGAAGTGAATTGGATCCATCAAAATTGGATCGTGTGAACAGACCTTAACAACCTCGCGAGGTCTAGCTTTGCTAATAGTTCTCGTGTGCAGCGGGTTTTAAACAACTGTGAGAGTGGCTGGTGGCCTGTTGACAGCTGTGCGAGTGCCTGGTAATATTTGTCCATACAATAACGTCCAATTTACCAATTTTTCTATTTCATTTTTTTTCAGAGGCTGTCAGTGCATTCGCCTGGGAGCCCCAGGGTGATACCTTCGCTATTATTCATGGTGAAAGTCCTAAAATCAGCGCCAGTTTTTATCGCTGTCAAAAAGGAGGTCACACTACCCTGCTTAGTAAGTTTGTTGATGTAAACACTGTTCAAGTGACGATTCCAGCCGGCTGATATGAAATTGCGGGAAAGGACTAGAAATACTAAAGTTGAAATCCATGAAAGAACTTAAGCCCTGGTCAAACGAGAATGATAGTTGATGAGAGTTGATGAGAGTTGCAACTCTTGCTTGCGTTTGACCGCGAACTCTCATACACTCTCGTGCACTCTCATCAACTCTCATCGACTTTGAACTGGTTCAAATTTTGATGAGAGTTGATGAGAGTTTGGGCGCGTTTGATCGGTCATGAGAGTTGATGAGAGTTGCAAAAGCGCCAGCGGTTTGCATTTCGTAGCAGACTAGACTTTGACTAGTGACAGAACAATAGTGCAAAATGTTTGGAAAACTCTCGTGCGAACTCTCGCTTCTCAACTCTCATCAACTCTCATCAACTCTCATTCTCGTTTAACCAGGGCTTTAATTTCTCTTGAAATATACTTTATTTCGGTTTCAAAGTTATGTCAGAGCTATACTAAAGTGTTAGAGCGATATAACCTGAAATGAACACCGTGAATTCTCCTTCATCTCATAATTTCTTTCTTCAGAAACTTTTGAAAAGAAACAAGTTAATAATATATTTTGGTCACCCCGGGGCCAATTCTGCGTTTTGGCTGGTCTACGTAGGTAAGTCTAGAGTTTCTTGATATTTTGTTTTTTTTTATGAAAATGAAAAATTAAACGTCATTATAGATAATAAAATTTACATCAGCAGATATATATGACATTCTATAGATGAACAGAAAAAAACTAATCAATTTGAAGTAAACAACTAGAGCAAAGTCGAAATATACACGCGCGAAAACGCACAAATTTTAAAACGTCTGCAAACAAGTTGTTACAAGTTCCTACACAATTTGATTTTTTATTTCTCAACAGCATGAATGGTGCGCTGGAGTTTTACGATCTTAACGAGGTGTCTCTAATGAATGTTGGGGAGCATTTCACTGCCACTGACGTTGAATGGGATCCATCAGGAAGATACGTTTCCACGTCTGTCAGTTGGTGGGCTCAAAAGGTACACAAACACGAAGCTCGGTTAGCACCATCAGTCCCTAATGATCCCTAAATATCCCAATGTGTAATATGATTGTCATAGGTCGACAACGGCTACCATATTTGGTCATTCCAAGGCAAATTACTTCAAAGACACGCGGTCAGTCAATTCTGTCAAATGCTCTGGAGACCCCGACCGCAGACCTTGTTGACTGATGATCAAGTGACGGTACGTGATGTGACGTCATTATATGTTACGTCGCTTTGTGTGACGTCATTAAGGGTGACATCACTTTTTGTGACGTCATGACCTCTCATCATGTGATTTGGATACGTTGAGCTATGTTAAGCATTGGCGTTGCTTTGAAATATTTCAGAAAATCAAGTCGGAAATTAAGAAATATCAAAAGATGTTCGAGAACAAGGATAGAATGAGCCAAAAGAAGGCGTCGAAGGTAACGCCCGTTTCCGCTGCGATTTTTTTCTTTTGGTGGATGTAAACGAGTAGACAGTTAAGAAAGCATCGATGTATACGTGCTAGTATTTGCACATCCGTAACTTATCCGCTCGTTCACATCTATCAAAAGAAGAAAGGTTCACCTCGCCCTCTTGAAACGCTGCTTAGAATCTTAGTGTTTATTATTTTGATTACGAGAATCTCGTCTTTTTCCAGGAACTGATCGAGAAACGTCGCAGAATGATGCGAGAATTCATGGAATATCGCGATCGAAAGAAACAGGAATACGAAGAACAGGAGGATCAAAGACATGAATTACGTAAAGGTTGGAGTAAAATCTTCCTTCATTGACGACAAATTTTACTTCTGGGATTTAAGAATATCTTGTATCCTTGTCATTGGAATAGCACAAAAAAACAAAACAGTCGAACTTCGAAATCCCAAAGCATGGTGAATTGTGTTTTACAATTTGGGATCAAATAGTACTAAATTATGCAACTTTCATAATTATCTTTTATCCTCCTTCAGGTTTTGAAGATTTGCAGGAGGAGGTGGATGATTTTGAGGAGGAAAGTGTTGAATTCTTTATCAAGGAAGAAACCATCATCGTCGAGTGATTCCCCCCCCCGATTTCGTCTCCGCTGGCCAGGGAAATTTCGTGAAGCTCTGATCAACTCGTTTACTCTCCTTGGTGACAGGTAGCAAAGGGAATTGTGGGAAATATTTTGCTTGAGATTGGTGAAATCGATTCGGAAATTAGGTGGTTAGAAAAATCCTTACTTTTATTAATACCTTGAAATTTTGCACGAAATCTAGGAAATAGCTGATATAAATAATATATATTCCTAAGTTTAATTATCTTAATACCCCCACTATAATCCTTAAACTCTACACATACAGTATGTGTGCTTTGAAAAGCCCTAAGATCCTTATCAATCAATCTTTGAACATAAAAAACATCTCGAATATTCTATCGTACAAATTATCAGCATTACGTTTAATTAGATTTTTGCTATACTTTCAAGTTTTGCTTTGCTGTGGTCTTTTTATTTGTTTTTTTTAAAATTTTTTTTGTGCCCATTAATTTCATTACAAAGCAGTCGCACATGTTGGACGTAATATGCATGAGGCAGCCGTAAAAATTGTTCTCTATTTAGTCCGGGTATAGCTTTCGTTTAAGAAGTTCCAAGATTTGCTTTGCGGTGTTTTAATTCCGATGATTTACGATAAACACGAAGGATATGGGCTTATCTGATTGGTTCGGTAAGGCTTATGCAAGCCAATCAGAACTTAGAAAGCTTTGTCATCGCATATTGCCGGGGAAAAAAATTCTAAAATAGATTTTGGATATGATAAGAAATAACAATTTTCGCAATATTCCAAAGAGGAATCCTACCCAAGAATTACGCACACACGCACACTTTGCCTTTTTTTTCTCTGAGCATATGTGCGTTGAATTACAACACAATGTTTATTAAATTTCGATTTTACTCTTTCTGCAGCTGATATATTGAATATTGCATGCAAAACGCGATCATTGCTCGCGAACAAGGATTTGTTGACTCACATGTGGTCTGAGACCCTACTATGCTAAATCCATTTAATCTATTTTATCACGTTTTGCGGTCGAATTTTCTTTCGAGATCGTTTTCTTTGCGCAATTCATTAGAAAACCGTTACGAAAACAAAGTCTTTGTAAAAACGATGGCGTGTTGTCCCAAGGGACTTTTAAAAATGTACCCGCATTTACTCAAAGCAGAAATAAATCTTATAAATTAAACCGCAGACAAATTTCGGACTTGCCATCCGACGCCGGTATATATAGACTGGTCTCATTTGGGGCTCATACAGTTCCGGACATTTTTCAAGCTGTGTAGCGCTGAGTGATGACTTTTTAATAAACTTTTTACATGCCTGTTTTGACACAACGTAGTTTTTTTTAACAAGGAAAAAATATCTTTTAGGTTTTTAGCCGACCGATCACCCCGATTAAAGAAAGTTGCAAAATTCTACGACTGCGTGTTTCTCTAAATCAAAATTAAGTTTGAATAAAGAAAAGGCTGACTCATTTCGTTTATTCAATTTATCAAATATAGACTTGTGAGATTTGTTTATATTCTAAATAAATACAGAATATTGGGTGTAAAATATCATTTCTGTCAGCGAAGAAAGACGCTAAAACTATAGATTTCTCGCCGTTAAAAATAGCTTTTGTCTTTGAGAGGGTAGCTACATCCGTAATATTCAGGAGCAAAATCAGATAAAATAACCGCCGATAAAACTAATGAGTTCTTCAAAGCTCCGTTGAAACGATGGCTTTCGATAATGCGTGAAAATTAGCAACGATAAGCCAAAATATTTGGTTTGTGTTGTTCGTAATTATTCATAAGCTGTGTATGTCCTTCACTGCACTGTTCCTGTGGAATCTAGTTACAAGTTGAAAACAGTTTTCGTTCAAAGTTGGCCGCATCGTGATTACGTTTAGAGGTACGCATAATTTTGGTTTTTTGTCTTATTGATTGATTAGTTGTACCTTTTTCTTCTCCTGTCTCAAGACGCCCGCTGTTTGATATATACATCTCAATTTATTTCCATATATACATACTCTCATTAATATTGGATTAAGACTGATAAATTGTACTCATAACAATACAAAGTAGTGTATAGTGCACATAATTTCAAGTATTGGCTGGAATAGGAGAAGGCAAATTGATTGTAGGTAAGTTTCAGAGTTCATTGTATAATTCCTGTATTTTTTACTTCATTCTTTTTCAAATATAAATCGTCCACCCTTTTCATATTTAAAGATTTTGAAAGCCCTTCTTGATTACTTTTTTTCAATGTCTCCTATTTGATTACTTAAAAAAGTACAATTTGTCTCATTTTCACGGCGTAAAGGCTAAAGCTTTGTCCCATTTATTGATACCCATGTATAGTCGTATTTGTCTCAAAAACGTATTCAGATATTATGTTCTAAAATCATGGCCCGTTTTCGTCTAGTATTTTTATTCTTTGTATACATTTAAATAGACTTTAGCTATAGCGTGCGTTTTGTGTTTACAAAATGATTACAAGACCGTCGAGAATAACATCGCATTGTTCGCTTCGACTTTACCTTATAGTAATTTTCAGCTGCCTAAAAATTTGTCTATATTGTCTTACTGAATAAATTATAACATACACCAGACTGATAATTTTTGTTCGTGTTTCAAAGCTTCGATATCTTTGCGTGAAAATTATGAACATTCAAGTAGAAAAAATGGTAAAAAGAAAGCTTCATGAATGTAACAAACATAGGAAGCAGCCTTAATCATCCCTTTTTTTAAAGACGTCCATTTGGCATTGTAGGCTAATGCCTATATTGATAATAGGAATGATATTTGCATAAAAGCTGCCTGCTCAAAAAACTAAATATAGATTTCCTATAAAAATATATAATATTAAAGAAAAACGGAATGTTAATGAATATTGCCTATCCTAGTGGGCAGTTTACAATGTCTAAGCGATTGTCCCTTCATTTTTTAACACAATTTGCAGTATCTGACCTTTTATATCAATCATCACTTGAATCGGTATAAATGCAATATATGTCATCCAAGCCTTCGTGTATGTTATTCACCCCATTTTACCTCCTTGATATTTTTATTCCTGTGTACACAATTTCAGCTAAAAATAAGGCATGCATCAGCATTACACATATCTCCATTACCAAGTTAATACTTAATAGTAATACGCGTAATTTACGGGTATGGCAATTTGTTTCCCAACGGGCGGCCACGAAAGTCTACGGTGACAGTTTAACTTCAACCGATCGAGATTCTCGTCTCGAATTCTCGGCCTTTTTCGAAATGAAAACAAACATCTATATCGAATATAGTAAACGAAAAATGTAAATAATGATGTCACAAAGCTCTAATATATTCTTCCATAAAATTTGCCACATTTTTCTGTCTCATCCCAATTCTAAATGATTTCAATTAAAAACGATGAAAATAGCAGGGCGCCTATGGCGTAATCTACGGTCGAATGAAGCCGTCTGATGTCTACCGACTTCGCTATGAATAGTAATGTGAAAGGCATAATATGCCAAACGTTCTCGCCTTTAGTCTAAATTAAGCTCTTTCATGTTGTAGGCGTTGTTAAAGTTGAACGTTTTTTGGGCTGGTGTTCTTCGAGTCAGTGATCCTAGGTAGGTAGTCTGATATTATTACTAGGCTATATTTAGGATAATATTTAGGTCAATATCAATGTTTCAGGACGCGTTGTAGAGGCCAGCAGATGGTGTTCGGACATACTAAATGACGAATAACAAATAAAGTTAATAAAAACAATGTGTTTGACAACTCACCGTGCAAATTGGTCGAAAAAAACTGCCCTTGTTCATTTCCTGTGCCGTAAATTTTTTTATGCCAGGAAGCTGGCTTCGTGTATAACTCTCAATAGCTTTGTTATTTATTCGTGTATAACTCTCAATAGCTTTGTTATTTATTCTTTTACTTGATTGGGAAGGCCTGAACTTTTACGCCTTATTTATGCTGAAGAATAAAATTGGATTCCCACCGTTTTCCCCGAATTTATACGTCTCACCATCAATATAAAGCAGCTTGGATCGCGCATTCAGTAAAGTTAAGAATTTGGAGCGCCAATATGGCAACTATCTCTCGTTTTCAGTGCTCTTTCTTGCACATCGACTGTAGACACACGCTAATGTTTGAAGAAGCGAATACGATAAATATGATTCAAGTGAATATTGCAGCGAGTGCATTTAAAATTTTGGCTTCTGGACGACTGAAATGCGTAATCCTTTCTGGTCATCTTGAGGAACTGGGACCCACATTAAATTCGTATTTTGGCGGCAAAATATTCAAACTTTTTTCAATGCTACATAGTCTATAGATATATGATATGGAATAGCCGCCATCTTGATGCTCCAGATTCGGCGCTCTGATTGGCCAGATATGCCACTGAACTATATATGGTCCAGTCAAAACACAAAATCCAGGTTTATTTATATCGATGAGAGCAGCATCAGCAACATGTTGTAATTAACAAAATTCGATTGTCCTGAAACATGATTTTCCCGAAAAGTTTAATTTTTAGACTATAAAACTTTTAGCTGTAGTAATGCTTAACTTCGAGCTTAACTTAATGCACTGTTTGTTACTATACGACAAAACTTGTTTAGCGACAGCTAGCAGGGTAATGTAAGTTGATCACTTGGTTATGTTTTTAAAATAATTTGCATCGCGAATTATCGGCGTTAAAGTTTGCCCGCGTGTGGCGTCAAAATTATTCACTTTGTTTGTGATTTAGTCTTTAGTTCTGATTCAGTTACTTCAGTGATATGTGAAACAGAAGTTTCTAATTTGATGTAAACTCTTACAATGGCAATATACTTTATATATATATATATATATATATATATATATATAATATAATATATATTATAATATATATATATATATATATATATATATATATTGTTAAAAAGTCAAAGAGCGTAATAAATTTTCTGTTTGCAACGCAGACAAGTGGAAAAACAACGAAATTTTATTCTCGATTTCATTTATAGCGTACCAGGCGATAGAATTGGCTGTTTTCACACTAGACGCATAATGCGTCTTCAATATTTTTTGTCTATTACAAAGGCGGGACAACTAATCAGACGAATAAGTCGTTGGAAACACGCGCGAATAGATTACATTAGAATTTCTCGTTTATTTTATCACTGTCTCACTTTCCAGAATTATTCGTCTGACGCATTATCCGGGCAGACGCATTATCCGTCTAGACGAACTATCGTTGGTTATGCGTCTCTGAGACGAAAAACTGAACATTATACGTTTGGACGTATTATGCGTCTGTTGTTCTCTTTATACTAGAAAAGACGCATGCGTCCAGACGCATTATGCGTCTCTAGTGTGAAAACGGCCAATGACTAAAGATTTGAATGGCCGATCAAGATAAAAGCACAATATTTCCACATGCGTTTTTTCAATAAAAAAAATTGTTCCCCGCAATTCTTTTTTGTGTTCCGAGGAATATGCATAGCCTAGTGTTGCGGGATTCTCACAGATAATTGAATCTTTACGTGCAAAAAAAGTGACCAAAATGACAAAGGTTGTGGAAAAGGTTGTGTTTTTTGCATTGAATTTTAATCAACTTAGGCAAAATGATTGCCTTAAAACTGACGCGAGGTTTAGTTCAATCTTTATTGCATATCTTGAGTAAGATTATGAAGAGTAAGATTTAGAATCGTAACGAAAAACACGCGTGCATAAGTTGTTATTGAATAGCCCAGCAGTGCTCGCGACTTTGAAAACCACAATCAAAGCAGACTTGGAGTCGCTGACGAAGAGTTGAATGCAGTTGAATGCATGACATTCAATCCGCGTGCATATATACAAACCTTCAAAACTCACTCACGCGCAGGAAGAAAGGAGAAAACATAAAGTTATACTGCTATGCATATGCGGCCTATATATATCAATGATGGCTCATAACAGGGCTTTGCGTTAATGGTCGGAAAATTTGCAAAAATTTTGAATAAATTTTGAACAAATTAAGCCGCAGCTGGACTACCTATTGAGTGAGAAAAGATGGCGTCACTTAAATAACAAAGATTTTGCGAAAAATTTCTTGGTTTCGCAAAAAAATGCAGCGTAATTTTAAGGTTAGAAGTTTGATAATTTCATATGTAAATAATGTGAGGTTTTGCATTGAATTTTAATTAAATCTATGTGCCACGGACACGGGCCATAAAACGGGGAAGTAGAAGGTAGCTATATATGACGATTATAAAACTATATTGATTTGTAGGAAGCGAAACTAGATTTCTTGTGGGCTAGCCCCCTGAGAAGCTCTTTTTTCTGATGGCGATATACACCACTAATCGTCACAGCTAGGTCTAATATTGATCCGTATAATTCCGCCATCATAAGTAACTCGTATATGCTTAGTTTAATTTTCAATTTGAGGAAATTTATGCAATATGGCTCTAACAAAGCTAGAATTACTATCGTAAATTTAAGAAATTAATTTGACACTCGAACGGTTTTATATTTTCGACCACAATATTTTGGGCCTATATCGATCGGTGCTTGAAAACAATTTTTATATTGATTACTAGTGAAGACTCATGTCAAGAAAACTTAGAAGAACAGCTAGCAAATTCTCACGACATATACTGCCAGCACGGATTGTTTTTGATTTATTGTTAAAATGTAAAAAGGTGGACAAAATATCTCAAGTTTTCGCCCATTCATCAAGCTTTTGCTTGAGTGTTTAAATAATTAAGTCAGTTTCCCAAATCTACGGTTTCTAATTATTGAAGAAATGTACATCAAAGAAGATTACTGCGGGATTTATCTTCATGTCTGTTTCTTTATCTTTTTGAATATTTAGTATTTATGCTATGAGTTCAAGAGGGCAGATGGAAAATGAAATAAAATCAAAATAAATATGTCCTTGCACGAATATAAAACATCCTATTTTGAACCCTAACAGAAGCGGTTCAAAAGTAGCTGTAGGATATAGATTTAGGGATAGAAACTTATATAATCTATGTGACAAGTTGTCAGTTCGCTGCTTTGTGCGTGATACATTTCAGAACATCGGGTGTTGAAGATTTGATACTTTTCACAATCGTAAATCGCGAAAGCTATTGCAACCTTCACAAATGATACACTTCACAATTCAGATGTGTCAAAACTGTCGCATTAAATGTTCCTAACGTGTCGCTCTTCGCCGTTCAATTATTGTAATTAAGCTGAAGATAAGTTTTGATAAATGCAATTCTGTTGTTGTCCATTTAATTAATATGTGTTTGCTTGACAATTTAACCCGATCAGCTGCGTATTGTTGAAACTGGTCAGCTGAATGCCATATTTCACCCACTTGAAGTCATATCAATGTGTTTGTTCTTCTCATTCCAAATAGCAATGTAATTAGAAATTCGTCAGGCTTACGTTGACAAAAACACTTTGCAGGAAAGCGTGCCCAACCAGTGATTTGGCCGGGTCAAGTTTGTTCGCAGTCGTAAAATAGGGTGTTTGAACTCGCGTTCAGATGATGAAGAAGGCGCTTATATGATCTGGAAAACACGCGTTGGCTTTTCCTCAAAAGTAAGTCGACAAGGTACTCTAGACACTAAAAACCTTATAATCATGCTTTTGATTTTTCCTGATGTTAATTTTATGCCGAGATCAGTTCATTATCACATGTCTCAACAAAAAAAATTCAAATTTCAGCCGATTCAACGCAGTGGGTAGAAATGAAATTGTCAAAGAGCCCATGTGTTGGTTTGAACTTTTCTTATCGATTGTTCTGGATCTATTTTTACATGTTTTTTAACGCCCAAATATATCATTTTCTCGTGTGTTTCCCTGTTTAGACTGTCGTCAGCCCACAGATATGACGTGTAAATTCGTGTTTTGCAAACAAATTATTGATTGGAATGAAATATTTATTGTTCCTCCTTTGTTAATAATTTGATGACCAGAATTTCGCACTGGCGGCAAGTTGCCAAAAAAGTTGTCCTTTTTCAGGCTTAGCAGCGATTTTTCATTTGATGGTATTTTCAACAAGATCAACACAGTGTTGATTTCACTGGCTACACGGCCATTGTTATTCTATGCAGGTGTGATACCCAGCAACGCATGTTGCGAGGGGAGAAACTATTTACTTGCGCCGGCCAACGGGAACTCGTACGCTTATCTTCCTAACTTCCATTTCTCTCCGTAGGTCCGAGGATAAAACGTCTTGAAATTATTTTCAATCACTCGTTGGAACATTCAGCATTCCGTAAAGATATCAGCCGGAACAAGGGAATATTTAAGCAAAGGTAACGTTTTGTTAAGGTGATTCAAGGGTATACGTTGCTTCACCGTTTCGTTCAAATATATGGTGAAGTATGTTTATTAAGTCGGCAGAATTGGGATATATCATAAGTCCTAGTTTATTTGTCCGTTTTCAGTTTGAGCATGCAAGTTAGTAAGTTACGACGTAATAATTCGGGCAAAGAAAGGTAGTAATATAATAGTACTTTCTTTTGTTAATACAAAATGGTAAATAATTCGTCAGTTGAATGTTTTTTCAGGCATGATCTTACCAAATAAATAAATAAATAGATCAATCAGGAAACGTCTGACGGATTGTAGATTTTATCACATGACCGGATTTTATAATTCATGTGTTTGTTCTTCATTATAGGGCACTCCAGCTTATCTCAGCCAGCTCTTGTGAAACACCCACTTGTATCCCTCGGGGTAAGCAGCGACATCTCCCCCCCGTCCCGCTGAGAATGTTCAACAACACAACATCTCTTCTGGGACCCAGTCCGCAGCTGCCAAGCACATTATTTCGTGTCGTCTTTTGGTGCGGCCTCGGAGTTGTCGAAGCCTTCTCGTTGCTAGGCAACGCGATAATAATATACATCATAATTACACATAAGAACTTGCATACAAACACCAACTGGTTTCTCCTGTCTCTGGCTATCAACGATCTTGGGGTACCTCTGTTTATAATTCCATCCCACTTACTCTGCACTGAAACGGGATTATCTTGCAACATCGATGTTATTACAGCGTTGTATAATTTTGTCCTGTTTGCATCCGTGTTGAACCTTTGCGCATGTACCACGGAACGCTACATCGCTATATTGCACCCGTTTAAGTACATTCACCTTGTGAATCAGAAACGCGTGATCGGAGTACTTATAAAGATTTGGTCACTCCCATTACCCCTATCGATCCTACCTGTGATCCTTATTCCCAACCCGAAGCCCGGAGAGCCGACGCAGCTGGTAAACCGGATTTACTGGTTAACGCAAGTGATGCTGTTTATGATAATTCCCAGTGCTGTGATGATGGCCGCGTTTTGGCGGATTCATCGAGTCGCGACGTGGCACGCGAATCAAATCCGAAGACTGAGTCTAGTCCCAGAGGAGGATGCCCACGGTGGGCGACAGAAACTAGTCCTCGAAGCGAAATCGACCTTGAAAGTCTACGGTGTGGTCGTATTAGTGTTTACTCTGGGCTGGCTGCTGTCCGCTTACAGAATGATTAAGACGAAATTTCTATTGCATCATGTGCCAATTGAGGTGGATTACATCTCAAGATTTTTGCTGGTTTCAAACGCCTCCATAAACCCCTATATTTACGGGCTGCAAAAGTCTGACATTAAGAAAGAGTTTTTGACAGTTTTGAGAAAAAGGCACCTGCATCAGCCAAATTCTAGTGCAAGTAATGCAAATAGTGGTAATGAGTTTTTGAGAAATGATGCTGACGCTGTTTGATTTACAATGTCACTGAAGCTACTAAGAACATTGGCACTCGTGTTGAGACAGGTATCCACACGGGTAGCCAAACAAACGGAAGCATAAATATTTTCTAGCCATTTTATTGAAGGTGGATGCTGAAGACGGTCTCCTAAGGTCACCTAGGCATGTTTTCCGAAGGTAGTTAACTATTTAATCCTTTTATATCAGCAAATCAGGAATTTGTAAATATTTCTGTATAAAATTCGTTCCGATTTCCTCAAGGAACTTTATGTCATGTTTATGTGTTTTTTCTTTGTGCATCAAGCTAGCCGAGGTGGGAAGTCAGCATAGACTAGAATGTTGTTTTCCCGCCTTTTCCGTGATAGGTGAGTATAGTGTGAGAGTTCGAGTGTCAGAGTTTAGAGCCTGTCGGGGGAGGTGTGTATTCTATCATGTTGCATCTTATCCCCCCCTGGAAACAGGGCAAGCATAGATTATTTGATTAAATTCAATTTCAACGCATTTCCTTATTACGGCCTAACAACCGGTTATCAAATGAATTTTTAATCTTTAATCTTTATTTGCACTGAAGATGGTTCTCTAAGCACTATAGATACGGCGAACCAAAAGGTGAAAGGGGGGTGAAAAATAGAATAGCCGCCATATAGTATATATATAGCCCAGCGGCGAGCACTTGAAATGGCGCGATTGCGAATGGCGCGAACATTTGACCGCCGTGTAACCTGGGAACTAGACTTGTCTTGTCTGTCATTAATGGGGTATTTAAAAGGCAGAGAGATGGCCTTTTATAATTTATATATCTTGCTGTGTTTTATAATATTTCAACTATGAGCGCTCACGAACATTGTCATAACTGTTTCTCACGGTGCTGTACAGAAACAGAATGTCCTATGGTTGTTTGCCAATTTAATTGCGGTCAAAAATTTCACGAGTGTAAGTCGTTAGATCATGGTTATATATGTCAAAATAAAAAGGTACCTTGTATTAACGTTTATTACGGCTGTCCAATGGTTCTAGCACGTTCACAGCTGGCCTCTCACATCCAAAATTGTCCGGCAAGTGTTGTACACTGCACATACGAGTGGGTTAGGAAACCAGTGTACTCTCAGGAACGATTAAGATGGGTTCCATTCGAACAACCGAATCCTGTGCTGGTAGAAGGATATTTGGATGTGGAACTGGCGTTGCATGATCAAAAGGTTGTTAACAAAATGGTCCAAGTGCAATACAAGCAAGGCGTTGCACGAAAAAGATCAGAATGCCATGATTCAAGTTTAAAGTTGTCCTACGAAAGGGCCAAGTCTTTTCGAGATGAGGTAAAAAGTGCAGAGATTGTCGCAAATGATCTCCCAATAACTACACTGGACTTGGTGGAACGTAAAAAATTGGTAGACAATAGTATATCTTCACCAGAAAGTGATAGTGACAATTGTTCCATGTCCGCTGATGTAGATATACCAGAATGCCCAGCTTTACCAGACACACGGTTGGGATTAGGTCTAAATGTTAATATAGAGATGTTTCCAAAATTTGGACGGCATAGTTACCCTTATATGATTCCCTGTGGCCAGGTCCTACAGAGACGAGAGTACCCAGCACATTTTAAGAATGTCCACAATGATGTTCACAACGGGTTAGGTTGGATTGAGCGTCGATGTCCGATGGCTCAGTATGGTTGTCGCTATGTTGACCATCCACTTTTACCATCCTCGCAAAATGGCAGCGTTGTGTTTAATCAAATCCTAGGTATTGTTGGTGTTCGGCTCTTGAAGACCACAGAGAGTGAGGGCGATTGTTATCTTTTGTGTCTACCATCTGAATTGCTTGAAGAGATTTGCAAATGGCTTGACGGATTCAGTTTGAATAATTTAATGCAGACATGTAGGACATTACACAATAATTTAAAAGGTTTGTTGAAAAAACAGGGTGTGGTCACAATGCAGTGGAGGAAACGGATTTATGAAGATGGATCAGCCTCGTGGACGTTTGGTAAAAAAGTAAGTTTATTACATAAATAATTTGATGAAAAATAGAAGAACCTGAAGAAGAGTTTATATCAATAAGTTTGATTGTTAAGTGATCAATTATAGTACGGAGAACTGCTTGTGCTTTCTAGAATTTTTTGTTCTGACTTCTGAGAAGTTGTTTTTGAGTTGAAAAGACCTTTTTTGTCTGAAACTCTTATTTGCCTTGTTCCCTTTTAGGCATGGCTGTTCTCAAAAGCTTCCTCAGAAATCAAAAAGTGGGTATTTTCAGAGTCTCCAGGGCTTGCTGCACATTTTGAAAAATGTCCTTATTTCGAGAAATATTTGGCAAAAGAACCCTTCCAGTATGTTCCTAATCACCCAAGTGTTCACGGTCCGGAAACTTAAGATGTTCCATAGCTTAATTTGGACAACATGATGATATAATAATCCATGCTTTGTGAAGTAACATAAAGTATTTCAGTTTGTTCAAGATTTTCATTGTGAAAAATGGTTCTGATCGAGGCTTGTTGTATAAAGCAGGAAACTGAGTTTGCATAGTTCACACTGTTAATGATGCAGGATTGTGATTGGCCAATTCTACCTTAATTCAGTTAATTGTCCTTTTCAATTTTACAACTGAGTCAACTGACCCCTGTAGTTTGTTTTGAAATTAGGCTAAGGTCAAGATATTCGTCTTCCTGTTTGCCAAATGCATTAAAGACAATAATTGATAATAGTTAATCAGTTCTGGATGCTTATTGTTAATGCATTTTGCTTTCTAGAAAGACAGTCTTCTGGTAGATATCTATTGGTTGGTAGTTTCAATATATTTTTAGTCATTTTAGTTTTCTAAATTAAATGCACACCAATTATCAAGGAATTTTCCCGGAATATTTTTTTATACTGTCAGACAGTTTTATTGTTTTGGTTTCAAAACAATCACGAACATAAAAGTGAAAAAGACGAAAATATCCGGGCAGAATACTAGGCGATTAAAAATGATCAAATTTGTGAAATATAATTGATATCATTCTGCGATATTTGTTGAGTAAAGTAGCAGATAAAGTACGTTAAACTTGCTTTGTAGAACAAACAAAGAAACGTCCATTGACCAATGATTTTTGTCTCTTTATCCGTGGTATCAAATTTCCTGTCGACAAGGAAATACTTTACATATTTGTGGTATATTATATATTACGATGGTAAATCGAGAATAATACTGCAACAAGATAGAACACGTATCTGTGTGTGTACAAAATTGAGTTAAATTTGTTTGCGAAACCTATAGTGCGCTGTTTATTCTCTGGGCTGTGTGTTGAAAGAGTTGTTTGCAATTCGGCATGATGCTTTGGTGAAAGAAACTCTAACTAGAATTTAGTTTAAGCTGCTACAAGCCAGCTTGGACTCTACGCAAGACGGCATCCTTGTCATGACCGAGGAGAACCGAAAAGCTCTTTTTGAGCTGCGGAATATCCCAACAAACAATGTTTGTGCTGATTGCAAGACAGCAGGTTTGTATTTCTATGATATTGTAATATTTTGGCCTCGTTTTTAACGCTTTTCCGGTCGCGAAGAACACTGAATTTTTTCCATTTCTTCCGGGTTTAGAACCAGAATGGGCCTCCGCAAATTTGGGGATATTTGTCTGCATAAAATGCAGCGGTGTTCATCGATGTTTGGGAACAAATTATTCTGTAGTCAAGAGTTTAATTCTTGATTCTTGGACAGATGAGAAATTACGTGTAAGTTTGCTCTGTACTTTGACTCTTGGCGGCACACATCGCATGACCTCGTAAAATATCGTTTATTGGGTACTTAGTAAATGTACAAAATATCCGTGAATCAATGCCCTTAGAACTTTACTTTCTTCAAAGGGAAACAGTTTGTTGCAATTGTATTTTAATACTAAACAATTAGAATACCCGGTATAACAATTATGCTAAAAGGGCATGAATTTGGTGTGTAAAATCGTTTAACTATGGCAAGATCTATTTTTTCTTCGACGAGAAATTAGGTAATGTGATATTACCAACACAGTTGATCAATTACGGGCTTGGCTCACGAAAATCCATTTCCTATATTTGATTTACTTAAGTAAACATTTTCAAGATCTCAAAACAGCCATGAAAGCGTAGATATTGTTTTTTCATAGAATTATAGTCGTTTAGATAGTAATGTAAAGGTAGATTAATAAGTTAACAAGATGGGACAGATTTTAAGGGGGTCAAAGAATGAAATATCACAACACATTCATACATTTCTGGCATTTCGACATATTAAATCTGTTCACAACAGTTGTGTAAGTAAAGACAAAATGCAAGCCAAGCCTGAGTCTGATTTGATTTTTTCCTAGTTTTGACTAGTGTATTCCAAGTTTTATTTAAAGAAATGCAAATACTGAATAGTGAAATAGCCTACACATGTAGTTTAGACACAATTGCACAAACCAGCCACGCTGTCATGACATTTGTTTGAAGTAGCCTTTATATTTAACCAGGCAACGTAAATATGTATGCAGTTTCCTAGACCGTATTTATATTTCCTGTTTGCTTTTTAGAGCATGATAGAGAAAGGTAATGAATTTTCCAATAAAATCTGGGAAAAGCAAGTCCCAGTGTGCTACAGAAGACCTTCCAAAGACTCTCCACAGTAAGTTAATTGTATTTTTTTGTGAAATGATGAGTAAACAGTGGATTACCATGCTGCCCCTTGGTAATCTGTTGTAGCATTAGACCATAATCTCCCTTGTATCCTTGATACTGCTATTTTAAGCTTGAATTTTGGATTAGGGATTAAATGGTTTACAAAATGACAAAAGAGATGCGAATTACTAGACATATGCAAAAAAAAATAAAGGACCTTCTACATTATAAGTTACCAACAACGTTTTCCTAGCTATGGGTGGGTCCCCTGGGAAATATTGAGGAGATGTTTAAGTATTGCCCACAGCAAACCCATGGACATTTTGAGATATTTTTCAATTCAAGGGCCGTCAAATTAGTGAATGTTCCCTCATTGTTGGGTCCAACCCTTATTGACTTAAGCGTTTCCATCATACCAAAAAATTTTGCAATTTTTTTGGTGCTTTTTAATAATTACATTGCTAATTCTTGTGAATACAGGACATAAAATGGTGATAGACCCCTTTTTACCAATCTGGGCCTTCGGTATTTGTTCTCTGCCAACTCTCCTACACCATTGCATCAGCCTGTCCTACAGGAAAAGAAGCTGGGTCGACATGCTTCACATTGCTGACTTGAAACAAACTTTTTAAACTGTTGTCCAGGACTTTCATTATGCCCTAAATGAAGTGAATGTTTTTTTGCGGTTTTTAGTGTTATGGATTAGGTTGAAATATACTCTGAAAACGTCATCTATGACTTCCATTGTACCTGAAATTAAGTGAATGTTTTTATATGGTCTTTGAAATCTACTTGTTCTCTTTAGTGTTTTGAGAGAGCAATGGATTAGGTCGAAATATGAGAGGATGGAGTTCATTGAAGGGGCACCAACACCCTCGTATTTGATGGGTGAAAAGGAAGGGATACTGTGGAAAAGGGAGAAGGATCAAAATAACTGGAATCAGAGAAAATTCATTCTTTCAACCAAAACAAATTCCTTTGCCTACTACATTAAGACCAGTGTAAGTATGTCTTTGACATTGATCTAGACTGGATATATAACAACCATGCCTCACATAGGCCAATTAAACCAGCATAAATGAACTCCTGGGGCCCAGAACAGAGAAATATGCTATGTTATGGGCTAATTTTGATGGTCACTCAAAATCCTTCCAGGGGATTGTGTGATCATAGGTGACCCAGAAACAATGTTCATTGACATAGTTAAACTAACAACATTGTTTACTGGGTTCCTATGGTTAATCATTTTTACTTGGTCTCTGAAAGTTCATTACACTGGTTGTATTTTTAATTGTTATCTTTGCTGTATTGACTATATTATCACAATTTATCAGAGCTGGGGTTTTAAAATGTGTAGAAATGTACAGTTTCAACTAAAACAGTTCTATTTCAGATCATGGAAAGTTATTGTACAATTGTGTATTATTTACTTCGGACAAACATAGTGAGATTTTAATAACTTTTCAGGATCCACATCCCAAGGACCGTTGGCTGCTCAGTAAGATTAATGCCATCTTTGCTGACGAGAAGACGGACAGACCAAATTGCCTGCAGATTATGAATACAATTGATGGCAAAACGCGCAATTTATTTGTTTCGACTGATACAGGCCAGGTATGGTGTTATCGTGGTCTCAATATTTTACTTATTTTTGGCTGTTCAAGAGAATGTTTACCTTATCTCAACTTTTCTCGTAATTGTTCTAGGAAATTGTCGAATGGTACATGGCCATTCGTTTCGCAAAGCTGAAGATGTTGAAGGAGAGCGATCCTAGTCGTGATGAAAGCGAATTAGCGGAGGAAACAACCAAAGATTTCACCCACGAGGGGAAAGTTTGGAAGAGAGGCCCACGCGTAAGCCATAAAATAATTTTTGTATAAATACAATGGTGACAGGTGATTATCGAAAACGGTGGCCGCCATTAATTGTGGCCGTTGATTGGTCGAGAAACCTCGGATTATTGCGCAATAACCACTAAGCGGTGTTTTTTTTAAAGAATAGCGAAAATTTTTGTCAGACGAAGGAGCTGTAGTGCTGATCATTAAAATACATAGTTAGGACTGCTTTTTCCCGCAGTATCTACCTTTTTACATACGTACGAATTCGTACAAAAATGCGCGGAAAATTAAGTTTCTGCCGCCATTTATTTCTAGGATAGCAAATCCTGGAAAGATCGATGGATGACCGTGGATGGAAGAAGAGTGACTTACTCTAAGGAACCAACGGTATGTGTTCTTTTCTACAAAATAGCCCCACTATTTTTTAATTTGCTGTTGTCAAAAGATGTCCGAAGGCAAAGATATGATATCCATAATATAATAAAATAAAATATAATCCTAACTACAAACACTAAGGGATTAGATTGAGGATTAAATTTGTGGATTCTGGACTTCGGATTATTAACGTTAGAAGAAGAAAATATTATACAGATAATTATTTATCCCAAAAAACCAATATTAATATTACAAACTGTTTTTTACATGGTACGTTGGAAAACTCTGTAATCCAAAAAATTATATCCAAATAATCTGTAATCCTGGATATAATATCCAAATTTTTTACAATCCTATTAAAGTAATCCGTATTAAATCCTGGATGTATCCAAATAATCCACAATAATCCTGGATGTATCCAAATAATCCACAATAATTTTGGATGTATCCAAATAATCCACAATAATCCTGGATGTATCCAAATAATCGACAATCATGGATGATGGATATAGTCATCCAAATAATCCGTTATCCCTATATATCCATTAATCCGTAATCCGTAACCCCCAACATATTTAAGTTCAAGTTATTTATTCCTGATTTGTTTCCCATCGTTCAGGATGCATTCGCAAAAGGGGAGATCGTTTTGGGCACAAAAGATGAAGGATATGAAGTGACGTCAGGTTTCACGGCGAAGCAGCCACCAACTGGATATGGCTTTGAGATTAGCACTCCAAGTCGCGTGTACGAGTTCAGCGCGGCGTCCGAGGAGGAACGGGACGAGTGGACGAAAGTTTTAAATGGCATCATTTCTATGTCTTTAACTCCTGTTGAAAGGAAAGGTTGGTGATTCTTTCCGAAAAAACTGTATAAGAAATTATTTAGCTCTTTAATTGAAAGAAAACTCTTAGCAGCCATTCACCCTCGTACGGTTTTTTGTGTGATTTGTCTTATTATGTCATTTTATCGTCTCAATTTAGCGTTAACTTTGAACATGGATCTTGCAAAACAGAAGTCGCAGGGCAAATCCCTGCCAAGGAAGTTGTCAATCAAAGCAGGGCTGACTTGAGACGGGGGGAGGAACTGAAAGAGGACATAATTATACCCAGGTGATCTGAATACACGGGAAAGGACTGGGACAAGTTGTCAAATATAAATTCATTTCTAAACCTAGTGTCTCTTGAAATATACTACATTTTTCGTTTTAAAATAATGTCAGAGCTAGTGGTGGTAGTGAATAGTTCTCATAACTAAGCGTATAATTACAAAATCTCAGCTAGTTTCATAAGGATGTAGTAGTTGCAGGACCCCACTGAAAAACACTATAAGGTGATGTGGGTATCCTGGTTAAATATAATAATAATGTAAATCATAAATATACTTCAGCAACTAATTAACTCGTTCACACATATCAAAAGAGGAAAATCGCACAATCGCAGCAAAAATCGCAAATGTAAACGGGCCTTAAAGTTATTCGTAAAGACATAACTACCAAAAAAGGTGTAATCCGTTCAGAGTTGCAAAACGAGTTCAACCTTCCTCCGCTAGGATTTCAAGTTTTCAAAACCTTCCTCAAAATGACGTTACGTCACTGAGTCAAGTGAGAACCAGCATGAAAAAATATTTGGTTTTTTGGTACATGCATGTGATCAATTAGAGTGTTCAACTTTGAACCTTCCTCACAAACCTCATTCAAAGCAAACCTTCCTCCGGGTGGCACCCGCGTACCCGCAGCTTTTTTGCAACTCTGAATCCGTTAAATACTAAAAAATGGATTTTTATTGACAACGCTTCTGAGCGCTGATTGGCTATTATGGACAACGCTTCTGAGCGCTGATTGGCTAAGCTAAAAAGCCTAAGATCACCTGGTTGTTGTAGGAATATTTTAAAAATATAATTTTAGTAGATTTTTTGGCGATACCTTTTTAAGAGTCGACCTGCTATATAAGTAATAGATTAAGAATAAACTTTGCATTAAAATATCCATCTTTTCAACCGTATTTTATGTACTTGTTGTTTTCTGAAATTGAAATTCTTATATTTGAAAATGCAGTAGAGAGTTTCAAGAGCTCTGCATTTAGGTATATCGTCATTAACACCTGTCTAACACGGAAAATGCAGTTTCACCACTATATTGTTGCTATTTCAATTCAAAATATGACCATTTTGACCGCTCCGAGGAAGGCGACCATATTCTGACAATGATTAATATCTAGATGTCAACTAAAAGCTCCTTGATTTTGATCACGTTGTATGGTGCTAAATAAACAACGTTATGCTTTGTTTGGGAGCTGTCTACAATTTCCATAGGTGGGGGCTTCGGGTGTTCTCCCCCCTGCTCAGCCCTTCCAGTAAAACAGTGCGGGTAATTTTTTCTAATTATAGGGATTATCTGAACAACCATCTTTAAAGATAAACGTGAGAGAGAAAAGATGAAATAGAAATGTTTTTTAAATTTTTTTAAACACGTTTTGTTCATTGGAGGAGAGCTGCCTCGTTGACTGGACTGCCTATGGTTTGAGCTCAGTTTCGCGGTCAAATTCAAAATGGCGATGGAACAAGAGGAATTTGTGGTTTTCGCTTTTAGTTTTAATCAGAGCACGTTTGCTGTTATTTATATTGTTATTTACTATGTTTACCTGCAAAATCATCTCCAGCTGATCATTAATAGACACCAAGGGCAAAGTAGTGCAGTAAATCTGAGCAATGTGCATTTCAAAATACATTCAAATGCATTTCAGCATTTGGAGACAAGACTTGTTCAACTGGACAGGGTCATTGCCATGGAATTATAGCAGGTGGGTGTCCTAGAGCATATTCCGTATTTAGACCTTCTGCTGTGACCTTGTGCTGTCAAAAATTTAGTCCCATTGCACTACTAGCAGTGAATACTCTCAGCCTAAGGTCACCTTTTTCAATTGAGAGTATATAAACACTCCTCTTGGTCCTGGAGAGGTTTTTGACGTTTGAGTGTTACGAGTGTGTACATTCTCTTAGCATTGTAAACATTTTTGTGAAACGAAACCTTTACCACATTTTAAGATTTTCACTCATACTGGTAAAGGGGGGGGGGGTGGGGGTAGGGGCATGGGGCATGTGAAATAATCTCTATGCATGTGAAAGGATTTAAAATCAGGCATGTGGATTTTTCAGTTTTAATCTGATTGATAGGACTAAGTGCAGTTACTAGCTGATAACTTGTGCATGATTTGAAGGTCATCAGTCATAATTTTTTTTGTAATTTTAGAATTTTTTTTGGTAGAGGTGGGGGCTATGAGGAGGGGGGGAGTATGAAATGCATGTGAAATTAGATTTGGGGGGGGTATGAAATGGATGTGAAATTAGATTTTGGCATACTGCTGGTGAAGTTTATATACCATTTTTAGATACTCTTTTCTGTTACCTGACATTTCCTATTTTCAATTAAGGTCAGCCCAATTCACTGGGCATTTCAATCAGCATTTAATGTGTGTGATGAATTCTATGTATCATAAATTTCTGGTCGTGGAAATGGACAGAGTAAAGATGTTTTCTTGTACAGTTTTACCGTAAGATGAAGCCAGTTTCACAGGAAATCTTACAGGATGCAAGGCAATGGCCACAGAAGGTACTGTGTGTTATAACATTTTTTAAATTTTCAGATGAATTAAAACTGTAGTTGTATCAAAACAACTTAACATTTTGCACACTTTTTTCTTGCAAAGAGGTTTATCAAATTGTGGGTGATTTCATGCAAAGTTATTTCAGTTATAATAAGGCTATCTGAGGGGGGGACTTAAATTGGTTGTATTGGTTGGATTGTCATTTTGAATTTGACCGCGCGAAATGGGGCGAGTGACATCAGAAATTAACTGTATTGAGGTCAGCGATTTCAAACCAAACTCCATCCAGATTCGTTTTAATTTCTATTTCATCTGTTCTGTTTACATTCATTATTCAATCATTTTATTCATCACGTCTTTTCACTTTCTTGCGTCAAGATTTTTGCTTCGATCGCAGCAATTATTAAAAAGAATTTTCTAATTTTCGGCCCTTAACAACGACCGTGTAGAAACTAGGTCCTGTTCAGCAAAAAATGCATGCAATTGGACCAATAACGTATTAAAAAAACCTTCTATATTAAACAAATAGTCAATTTTTTCCCCGCCATCTAATCATCATAGCCTCTTTGAGAACGGGCAAAGTTGAGGAAAATTTGTTCGAGCGACGTCTGTGTGACGGCGTAGTTTCCAATGATTCCTCTGCTATGGGCATCTTCTAGCGTCGCGAATAACACGGACCAGGAGCTATTGCTGCCTGCCAGATGATAATTCAACAGTCCATTGTGTTCATCACGGAGTAGACTGCCTGGGAAAGTGTTGGCGACAAATTCCTTGAGCGAATGCGTGTCGTCCGGTTGCGTATCGTCCGGCACGTTCACTAACAGGGTAAAGCCCTGCACGAACTTGTTCTTCAGGTGTTGCGGGCTGCCAAGACAACGGAATTTCCCATTGACCATGATGGCTAGACGTGTGCATAACGCTTCGCATTCCTCCATCGAGTGGGATGTTATCACTAGACAACGACCTGGGAAAATGGAAAATATATGACTGTTATCCATCTAGGGCCCGGTTGTATCAAGCCCGTTTAGCTTAAACGGTGGATAAGTCAAAATTAAATAACACTCAAATCTCTTGAATTCAATGAGTCAACTTGAATATTATGCACTGAATATGTAATTGTAAACAGTATCTTTGTATTAAGGTGAAAAACATTTAGTTCGCTTGTGGAATAAAACTGCAGACTTGCTTTTTATTTTGAACTTATTCACCGTTCAAACTATAAACGGGCTTGATACAACCGTCCCCTGGTCCGCAAGAAACCTCTTACTGGAGTTCTAGGAAGAACAGTTTGAAAACTGATAGATAGAGCCATATATATCTAGTATACCTTCAGCTCTAACACGACATAGTGTGTTCCACAACAATCGTCTAGCCACGGGATCCATCCCAGTCGTAGGTTCGTCAAGAAAGACAACCAGAGGCTCCCCAACCAAAGCAATGGCTGCGCTCAATTTGCGCTTGTTTCCACCGCTAGAGAGAGAAATGAAGCGTTAACTAACTTAACTAACGAATGGCCAACAACAACTAACCACCGCGTTCCTCGTACATTCACCTGTAAGTTTTTGTCAGCTTATCCGCGTGTTCTGTCAAGAGCACAGACTTCATTAGATCTTCGACAAGTAGATCGATCAGCTGAGTCGGAACTCCTCGTAAAGCGGCGTACATTCGAAGCATTTCGCGCCCTGTCATGAGGTCGATTAGAGCATCGAATTGCGGACAATATCCAGTCCTTTGACGCACCTAAGTACAAAAGAACATTTACATCAATATTTTAAGTTCATTCCGAGAAACTGATGTTTCTGTGAATCAAAATGAACAATGTTTTCTCGTCAAATCAGCCTCCGGAAAAACGTGATCGGTGAGCGCAACATTGGCGCAAAAAAGTAAGATGTAATGGTGTACCATATTTAGATCCGCCTGAATGTCGAAAGAGTCGACCGAAGCTGTTCCAGACGTCGGAATCTCATCTCCAGTCAACATTTTGAATGTTGTAGTTTTACCCGCGCCGTTTACACCCAGCAGGCCAAAACATTCCCCCAGGGGTACCCCAAGAGTAAGATGGTCGACAGCTGCAAACTTTTGACGTCCTAAAGCAAGAAAAATGGCAGAACTTAGAAAATATGTCAATGTTGTAGGCAGATATCACAAAGAGAACCTAAACCTTTCTTTTTACCCTTTACCAAAAATCTTACCGGGTACTTTGAAGACTTTCGTCAAATCGTTGATCACCAACACATCTTCTTGCGCCTCTCCGTCAAGCACCCGTTTCTGCTCGGCTAGCACATCGGAATCCGTCGCCACCTCCTGATGAATGGCATCGAACGGATCGACGTGATGGCCGCGCGCCAAACTTTTAAGACTACGAGCAATATTGTAGTCGATGAAAAGCACCATTAACATGAACAGAATTCCTTCCAGCGGTAGAATTAACACGAAACGTCCAACTCCCGGTGTGTCCCAGGCGAGATAATCCCTCTGGAACTCAATGCTCAGACCGTTTTGTTTAATTTCAGCTATACATTGTTCCTCAGTCTTCACCTTTATACAGAGCGAAAAAAAATCGTCATATAACCTTATACGGTTATAGTTAGTGAAGATATTGGAGAATGTTTGACCCAGCGAAAAGTTGGGAAGCAGAAAGAATATCCAGTTGAACGCATCGGCGGTGTCGGCGTATCCTAGGGCTTGGATAATGTAGACCAGGAGAAGCGCCACCAGCCCAGTGACTATGTTTAGTAGAGTGAGACGAATGTAGGCTTTCGAGGCCATTTTGAATAGGAATGAGAAGAGGTACATGAACGGGATGATAGCAAAACCGTATAATATCAGAACCAAGAACACGATACCAAGACGATTTCCTCCTAAAGAAAAGTGTGGTTATAATATCTTAGTCAATGGTTACAGGACTGTCAGGTAGCTCTATTTAAACACTGGATAACTGTTCTTCTTAGAGGTCCAGTAAGGATCATCTCTTATTTATCCAGTGTTACTACAGAAGAAACCTAAACTAAACTAACTTTATTTATACTGGATAGCTCTATCAGTTCTAAACTGTTCTTTCTAGAGGTCCAGTAAGGATCATCTCTTATTTATCCAGTGTTACTACAAGAAGAAACCTAAACTAAACTAACTTTATTTATACTGGATAGGTCTATCAGTTCTAAACTGTTCTTCCTAAAGGTCCAGTAAGGATCATCTATTTTTGATCCAAAATCCAAACCATAGCTTTATCAAGATTGAGTTTAGTTTAGGTTTTCTCCTGTAGTAACACTGGATCAATAAGAGGTGATCCTTACTGGACCTCTAGGAAGAACAGTTTAGAACTGATAAAGCTCAGTTTAACTATCGAATTACCTGTATAAGCGGGGACATCAAAACAAGCAAACAAAATGATGATACAAATACACGGGAATGTAAAGTTAATCAAGTCCCAAGCCCAAGACGCCGTCCAGTAGCTGAATGGATCTACACCGCTGACAAATTGCACGTGTTTAGCGCCATTCGTTCGCTCTTGAACAACGAAAACGACGAAACTCGATGCAAGAAACGCCATCCCAAAAAGAAGGTTAAATGCGACGTTCAGACCGACAGCATTACTACAATGATTAAGAATGTCAACGGTGAAATGTGGTAAAAGGGTGATAGGAGGTGAAGATTGAGGCGAGGGAAGAGGGGTAATGGGTGATAATGGGGGAAAGAAAATGAGGTGAGGGTTGAGGCGAGGGAAGAGGGGTAATGGGTGATAATGGGGGTAGGAAGTGAGAGGAGGTGGGGGTAGGGGGGGTTGAGGCGAGGGAAGTGGGGATAATGGGTGATGATGAGGAAGGACGTGAGTGGAGGTGAAGATTAAGGCGAGGGAAGAGGGGATAATAAGGGAAAGAAGAGACGGATGAAATAGGTGGGAAGGAAGAACCAACAAAAATTTCAACGCTCTATAATGTCAACATACTTATCTAAGTCGTCTGACTTTTGCTTCAACGTTCGTGGTAATGGATGATTTGTGACCGTGATCTGTTTGCTTGAATTTTTGGATACATCTTTCAGGATCGCATTATCGACAGCGCTTAACGAGACAGCGACGGCATGATATGCTTGATCATTAAACCAGGACTTCGCCGTCACTGCAGAAAACGGAATAAATATTTATTTCGAAATGTCGTCGATATGAAAGGCTCTAGTCAAGATTTCCCACGTGACTATAGCAGCCAATCAGAGACTGACTTTTTTTCAATCAGAGACAGATTTCTTTCAAATAAATAATAATTACCGTTGTCATCGCGACGCTCAAAAGTAGCTGCAATGAAGCAATGTCTGTTGAAGGATCCAAGCTTTTCACCACTTGCTTTATGAATCAAATATTTCGTCATGTTTCCTTTATATCCAGCTTTGTGGGTGATGTTTTGGTAACGTGTATTAGAACTGGCGGACTTTGTATACGACTTGGCTAAAGAACTGGAAACGCTGTTGAATACACAAAGAGATATCTATTATCAATAAATAGACCCTTCTATTAATGGCGTCAGTCGTCAAACGCGAAAAGACTTAAGGTCGACACAGACCGGACGCGAAGCGGCAACGCGACGCGAATTTTCAGTTTTCAGAAGCATATAAATTAAATTCTGGGATCAAAATTTGGAATCTATGGACGCTAGAGCAATCAAAATTTATTATTTTTATGTAATCGACAAGAAAATTTTGATAAGTTAAAATTTATTTGCTTTTGAAAAATATAAAACGTTGAAAATTCGCGCCGCGTTGCCAATTCGCGTCCTGTCTGTGTGGGCCTTTAGGCCTTGTTCATGCCACTTGTCCTAAGAATCGGGGACCTATATTGTATCAGTTACCTTTCGATAGGCAAAGCATTTTGCGCACTAGTGACCTCAGACAAAGGGAATCTCAGATTCTTACGACAAGTGAGAAGTAGGCCTAAAGAAGAACTGCTGGAAACGAAACTTTTGAGTAATTTTGTATTTTTCACCTTGAGAAGCTTCCAACAGTTCCAAAAGGTGCATAGTTGGAATCAAACATGGCGGTTGTCAAAAAAACAAAATCTCTGGGGGGGGTGGAGAGTCTTCTGGTTTAGGAATTGTTTCTGCGGCGATCAAAGCAAACAGCGTGAAGACAAGAGGCATTAATAATTGAGAAATGATAGCAATTTTATGCCTTCGGGAATGAAGGTATCTTTTCTTGAACATTGCGATCCAGCGTTGTAGATACAAAAGCATGCCAGTGTTCAGAACGAATGCTGATGGTTTGCCAATGGCGTTTAGGCGGTTGTTAACGCCATTTGGTGTTTCTTCTGTACCTATTGAACTGACGGAGGCAGTGATATCTTCGGCTAAATAAAGAAACATCATCGTCATCAGCAATATCATCATCGATATCGTCATCAATATAATCATAGTAATAATCGACATCATCATCATTATAATCATAGTCATCATCGATATCATCATCATTATAATCATAGTCATCATCGATATCTTTTTCATTAATTTCATAATCATCATCATGGATATCATCGTCATCAATGATATCATCATAATCATCATCAATTTTATCAATCACTATAATCATAATCTCTTACCATTCCCACCATATGTTGCCTTCAATTTATCATCTAAGGTCTCGTCACTCTCAATACCAACTTTCATAAACACTTCTTCCATGGTCGTCATTGAAGCCCCGTAACTGGCGATTCCGAGCTCTTCATGTTTGTCCTCAAGTTTTGCAAACAGGGTGGAGAAATTCTGCGAGGATTGTCGTGGCAAAATGTACGATAACTCAGCTCCTTGAATTTAAAAGCAGGTATTTTGAATATCACAAGACAATAACGGTGCTGAATCTAATTGGAATAATCCTAAAGAAATTCTCACATATGCACTTTTTGGTGCGATTTTATATGCGATCTTCCTTTGATAGATGTGAACGAGTGACTAGTTACTAATGTTCTGGTGTATAAGAGCTCTAATTTGAACATCCGTAACTAATTCACTCGTTCACATCTATCAAAAGAAGAAAACCGCACATGAAATCGCTACAAAAATTTCAAGTGTAAACTGGCCTTCAAACTTCAACAAAACTTCGGGAAAGAAGATTCAGGTTGTTTCGTACCTGCATTGCTCTCCAGCTTGGCATGTGGAACAAACTGTCTCACCAGCTCTGTCACTTTCCTAACCTTACAATCGGGTTGTTTGACCATCACAATATGGTAACCAACACCGTAATGGTTCTTCAGGAACAAGGAACTACCACAACATTGAATTTTTCCATCCGCCATGATAGCGATACGATCACCAAGAACATCAGCTTCGTCCATAAAATGAGTCGTCAGCAGAATTGTTCGACCGCTTCGGTAATTTTGCAAGAGATCCCAGGTGAACCTACGAGCAGATGGATCCATTCCTGAAGTCGGCTCGTCCAACATTAAAACCTAAGAATTGCCATAAAAAAAGACAGCTTAGCGTCAAATGTGGTATAACATCTGCCTGAAATAGACAAAAATAGTTCTCGACGTTTCGACCTGAGGGCCTTCGTCAGGAGAGTTAGGCCGTCAGGTCGAAACATTGAGAAGTGCTTTTGTCTACTTTAGGCAGTTGTTATACCACATTTGATGCTAAGTTGTTTGAAGACGCTGCCACGCTGCTCCTTGGTTATATTGGAACATAAAAATACATATAACTTCTTCTTTTCTGAAGCAGTGTTTGCAAATTCGAGCAATAATCCTGAAAAAGAATTACTCGTGCACCTGGTTGTCTTTAAACTTCGTTATATTCGAGGAAGGTTCAATGGAAAATGGAAGTCGTTTACACTTGCGATTTTCGCTGCGATTTTATGTTACTTCTTTTCAGTGATAGATGTGAACGAGTAAATTAGTTACGGATGTTCAAATAAAGGTCTGTTCACATGATCCAATTCACTTCTGATAGATGTTTAATAGTCTGTTGACTTGGAGTGGTATGAACAGCAAATCGACTGAAGCCAATTCAGTGTTGCTTTATCGACGACAGACTACATCCCATACGTCAGAAGTGAGTTGGATCCAACAAAATTGGATCGTGTGAACAGAGCTTAAGAGCTCTTATACATCAAAGCATTCGTAACTAGTCACTCGTTCACATCTACCAAAAGAAGAAAATCGCACCTAATAAATCGCAGCAAGTGTAAACGGGCCTTTAGACAAACACATACTTTTGCTTTCCCAATCAAGGCTAATCCCAATGATAATTTTCGTTTCATTCCACCAGACAGATATCGCGTCTGAGATGTACATTTATCAGCGAGTTTGATCGAATCTAACATTTTTTCGATTTCTCCCGCAGATTCGGCTCTCGTCATCCCTTTCAATCTTCCAAAGAACCACAGATGCTCCTTGACCGTGAGGGTATCATACAAGACGTCGTGTTGCGGACACAAACCTTGTGGAAAACAAATACCAAGGTCATTAATGATTGCTTCATATTCTAACATCAGTCACGATTTCAGACTAAATCATCATTTCAGGGGGTGCAAGGGGTGTACACCCCTAGAAAATTCCCCACTCCCCACAAGAAATCGTGATTAACCAGCTGCCAATAAAATTTTAAAAATCTATGATTATTATGGCATAGTTTAACGTGCAAAATAATTTGAACAACTGGGCTCAGTTGTACGAAAGCTATCCACCGTACGTATTGTGATTTTTTCAATCGCTCTAAAAATACCCACTGTTTGGTATAAACTGGATTAAACCTAAGTATTTTTGAATTAGGGACTCGTTTTACATATTGTTATCGTTAAATCTGTTGCTTTTTCACTTTCCTAGCATTTTCCCAACGTTTGAAAAAGGCACTATTCAGCGGCTCTCGTAAAACCGCCCCCAGCCCCCTCAGCTGTCTCCGCGCCTGCCCCTAGCTCTGACTCACCCAGGCTAGATCGAACACCATCCATACTCGTTCGTATGTCATATCCGTTCACAGTCGCTGTTCCACCACTGGGCGAGTAAAACCCGGTCAGAACGGACATCAAGCTGGTTTTACCAGCGCCATTGTGACCGAGCAACACCGTTATCTGACCCTCGTACATCTTCAGGGAGACTTCATTCACAGCGACTTTCTTTCCTGGAAGATAATTTGAATGTAAAGTCTAAGGTGAATCTTATAAAGCCCTGTTACACGGTGCTATTTAAAATGCAACGTGCAATACAATTCCACCACAGAAAATCCTGCATGGTACCTGTTTCACCATCGTATATTTTGACCAAATCTTTTATGTCAATCCCAACACCAAGTCCCTCTGGATCCTTCTCAAATTTTTCTGATGGTTTGTCATGCCGATTCCCTAGCAAAGGCAGTGTCTCCTGATCTGAGTCTGACACCTTAAATACATAATTATTTAAGCTGATTATCACATAGTAATTACTGCTAATCCTGGAAAGTAGTATAATGCCAATCAATCGATCAATCAATCAACTGATCAATAAATCAACCAGCCAGTCAATCAATCAATTGATCAATAAATCAGCCAGCCAGTCAATTTCTGTCTGTAGCCTGTAATAGTTTTATGTATACTAAACAGTGAAATTGTTGGAGATTTAAAATGCTGATACCTTCTTAAAACTTCCACACCAATAGCTTTTCGTGAAAGGAAAATAGCATGGCTTTGGAGTACCAAACTCGCCTGGGAATACATTCTCAATGTACCATGTAAGTATACCATAGATTATACTGTTGATTATCATCATTATAAATACAATACCCAAGGAGAAATCATCGTCAACAGATGCACCTTTCGACAGATTGTCCCAGTGAACACCAATTCCTGTCCCTTTATATATAAAAATGTATGATTTTCAGCACTTCAAAGAGTGAGCACATTTACAACCAAAGCAATACAGCAGTTCTAGAAAATATTGAGCAATTCATTTGCTTTAAATTATTTTTACCTTCAAATTTTCCAATCACAATTGAACCAAGAGCCATGCCAAGATTTGGGATCAAGCAGGTAGCAGCCTTGAGTGACAATGACATCTCATCATAACTTTGGGCGATGAAGAAAAATGGTATGAAGGTGAGGTACCATAAGATACCGCCACCAGCGGCAGCTGTGCTAGCTTTGGAGAAAAACACACTCAAAAAGAAACAGAACATTATTCCAGAGTGTATGTACAGAAGAAGGAAGACGAAAAACACGGTCGGAGAAGACTGGTTGATAACTTTGCCATGATCATTGAACTTGATGGTGAACATTAAGGTCATGATGATGATGCAGATCAGGCAAATAATCAAACTCTGAATGTACCATGCCACCCAATGCAACCAGTTGTCCACACCAATCATCTTCAATGTTTCCTATATGGGAAAGAAATACCTGTCATGTTATTGTTCAGCCTTGGTAGACAATAAGTTTATGTTTTAACTTCACCTACTTTCAGTCGCTTTTCTTTCTCATAAACAATGCTTCGTACAATGACAAGTGCTGTATAAATGAAAGCAATGACAAAAAAGTTTGGCATGAACTGTTGAATGATCAGAATGAATGCGTCTTTAACATAGCTTGGAAATGGAAACTTCTGCATAAGAACTGTTGCTGGTATCGGACCAAATTGTTTTATAATTGCTCGATCGACAGCATATTGCGTGAGCAAGAAGCCTGCTTCATAATAGCTCGGCTTTTCATCCACAGATTTGTCTTTGTTTCGTGGTTGTGGGAGCTGAAACTTTGGGAAAACATACTTTGTCAGCCATTCATGTCCATTCTTTGCAAGGGGATTATTACTATCATCAGAAATCGTGAATCTGAGGGTGTAATCAAATATATTGTTTTGATCATCGGGCAGCGTCGAAAAATATATACCACCGATGAATCCTCCTGAAGCGTCGGCGATTTCATTTACCATTAAACTTTCAGATTGGAAGAAATGAATACTTATATTTTGATTATATCTATGGTATGCATTTTCATTTAGATAGTATTTGAGATCATCTGTAAAGTTCTTGGATAAGTCTGAGCCATTGTTAGTAGAATAGGCAATCTTGAATGATCTTTTAAGGTTTGGGGGAGGGCTGGATATGTTATATTCGGGCCATGTGACAGCGTCATAGTGTGTAGCATCGATAAGATACAGTCTCAATGCAAGGTATATTAGGGACATGAAAAAAGGCAACCCAATTTGGACGAGAGTTCCAATTGGTCGTCTCCTTTGTAACATGAAATTCTTCCACATCAACAGGCCCAGCTGCCTGAGCTTCCTCATGGTTGAACACAAACAATCACCAGGGAAAAAAACAATGATCTAAAGGAGAGATATAGACTATCATAACATATCCAGTTTCTTGGCAGTTCAAAGACATTGCCTCGTGACCTAAGTATGGGAACTATGTGTAAACATTGCATGTACTTGTCAAAGTTAATACAAGGTCAAGAACATTACAATAACCAGCTTTAAATAATGCCAATGATTGACACAAAATTACAATGCTAGATTTTCAATGAAATGTTACTGAGTCTTCCCAATGTCATTTTCATTGTTGAATTGAATTGAATATTGGACCTGATATCTTGCTCACAAAATTCCAAAACTTAACTTTTACTATAAAAACGTGCCTTAGTCGGGCTCAGGAAGCAGATTTATATAAAGCAACTAAAATTCAGAAAACATCTCTTGTCCATATATATTACTCACCTAGTGAAATAAACAACGTCTAACGTTCCGGAGATATACAAGGCAAAATCCAGTGGAACAGAAGAAATAGAAGAATAATGCCCCTTTCAAAATTCAAATAACAATTGTATTGCCCACACTGTAGCTGTTCCTAGACACTCATTATGCAATATGTAAGTCTTCAGATTCATGTGACTGTCACAGCTTCTGGTAAAATTAGTAACATTACATCATGATAGATAAATTGTTACATCATTGTAAGTCAGGTGATTAGGGTCAAACATGACGCTGGAAAACGGATCTGGGATGGTTTTCGAAAGTTTGTCTTCTCGTGTCTTTAGTTGATAAAAATAGGATTCAACAATGTGATTGTTGCACCCCGTTCAGTAGCAATTAGTCATGCTTTGCAAACTTCAGGTTGTAATTATTAGTTTCTTTTAGAAATTTATTGTTTTCACATTCAATGAAATTTATTGTTTCACACCAAAATAATAGCATGGCGGGGCTAAATCTTAAGGTTGGCTGAGCTACTAAGCCGTTAATCATTATTCATTTCTTTAGAAATTCATTGTGTTCACAGTTAGTAAACAACAAAATATTAGCATAGCATGACTAAATTGTCGGGCTGGCTACGCCACTGACTTCAGAGATCTTGATTTTTCAATTAGGAACCTACTCACTAGGGCTCAAGTCTTAGGTTTCCTTGTAAGATTCTATAGACTAAACAAGATTCCTGAGTCATGAAAAGACACGCAAAGGCAACATATGAAACTGATTTATTTCCCAGTGTAACAAGCTATGAGCAAAATATAAATTGTGAACTTTGTAACAAAGTTTGAATGATGAGAATTATTGAATGTCAAAAGCCATGCGTTTCACTTCAAAGGTGTGAAATCTCGTCCTATAAAAATTCTCAATCCATTTCTTTGAGAAATTTCCGTGAAAAATTGTAACTGCAAACTACTGGTGCTTTTGGTTAAACGTCACTTAGAAGCATTTTCTGTGAACTATAGAAGGTCCGGATTCGTCGTATTCCGTTTTCGAGATCCACATCTGTTGGAAGGTGGAGAGAGAGGCCAAGATGGAGCCACCAATCCAGACAGAGTACTTTCTTTCAGGTGGAGCGATCACCTTGATCTTCATTGTCGGTGGAGCAAGGGAGGTAATTTCTTTCTGCATTCTGTCGGCAATACCAGGGTACATTGTGGAACCACCAGACAACACGGTGTTAGCATAGAGATCTTTCCTGATGTCAACATCACACTTCATGATGGAGTTATAGCAGGTCTCGTGGATACCAGCAGATTCCATTCCGAGGAATGATGGTTGGAAGAGAGCCTCAGGACATCTGAATCGCTCGTTGCCGATGGTTATAACCTGGCCATCAGGCAGCTCGTAGGCTTTCTCCAAACTCGAACTGGTCGCGGCGGTTTGCATTTCTTGTTCAAAATCCAAGGCAACGTAGGCCAACTTCTCTTTGATGTCACGAACAATCTCCCTTTCGGCAGTTGTAGTGAAAGAGTAACCTCTCTCGGTCAAGATTTTCATCAGGTAATCGGTAAGATCACGGCCAGCCAAATCGAGACGAAGGATTGCATGAGGTAAGGCATAACCTTCGTAGATTGGTACGGTGTGGGAGACACCATCACCACTGTCGAACACGATTCCTGTGGTACGACCAGAAGCATACAGGGACAACACAGCCTGGATAGCTACATACATAGCTGGGCAGTTGAATGTCTCAAACATAATCTAAAACGAAAGTTTACATGTCACACCAAATTGTTACCTGAAGTTTAGAAGTTTTGTCGCGTGACTAAATGTTACAGTTTAATCACGTGATTCTATGGTGGTACCTTACCGGCAAATTGGCAAAAATCCGAGAGAAAATCTAGGAGAATCTACTCAGTTGTATAATTTTAAATGAAAGAGGAAAGATAGTCTGTATTGTATGAGAGGAATTTGTTCATTTTTAAATGTCAAAAGGATGTAGTCTGTTAGTGGGTGTTTGATTATATTAATCGATAGTTTTGGTTTTTTCAATTTGATATTTTATTTTAACGAAAGCAAATAGAAATACGTATTGGTGTCAAAAATAGCCGAAGACGTTTATATATGCTCTCAAGTTTGCTAAGTTTTCTTACCTGGGTCATTTTTTCCCTGTTGGCTTTCGGATTCAATGGAGCTTCCGTCAACAATACGGGATGTTCTTCTGGTGCTACTCGAAGCTCGTTGTAGAATGTATGATGCCAAATCTATAAGGTAAAGCACAAGCCGATAAAATAAAAATATGCGTGAACTGCAATGTTTGATAAATAAAAGTGCAAGAACGAATTGATAATTTAGCTTTTTATATCAAGTCGACCGATTAAATCGGCATTAGATTTCGATTTTTTAAAAGCTAGTTTATAAAGGTTTAGCATTTGAGGTTTGCAAAGCCATGAAACACTACTGTGTGTGAATACAGCTGGGGTGATGCAACAGAACTGAATAAACTCTGTAAAGGTAAACGAACGGCGGCGAAATGTTTGCGGTATTTTTTAGGGTTTTTTTCGATCAGATAAGGGGAAAGAAACCTACCTTTTCCATGTCATCCCAGTTCGTGACAATGCCGTGTTCGATGGGGTATTTCAAGGTTAGGATACCTCTTTTGCTTTGAGCTTCATCGCCAACATACGAGTCTTTTTGGCCCATACCAACCATCACACCTTGATGGCGAGGACGACCAACGATGGAGGGGAATACAGCCCTTGGCGCATCGTCTCCGGCAAAACCAGCCTTGCACATACCAGATCCATTATCAACAACTAATGCTGCAACGTCGTCATCCATTTTTCAAGAGTGTTGGTGAAAATTCGCTGCGAAAATGGTGTGGTTTTGTCAGAAAGACTTTCGGCAAAAAGAAAGATGGAGGCAGTGAAATCTTTTCGTACGTGCTTTTATAGCACTGTCCCTTGTGTGTCCAAATATGGTAATGAAGTTCCCTGATTGGTCAGAATTATTGTGACGTCATGAAAGTGGCAATTGTTCGTTGTCAAAACTAGGGAAAAACTGTCAAATTACTCAAATATTATTAAAAAAATGCAAATTTTTTTTGCAAAAAATATCCCTACATGCTTCTTTCATTAGTTTTCATTGGTTATTCCACTGTTCGCACTGTTTCTTCCTTGTGTTTTATGAGTATTTTGGCAATTTTTGTGCTGGTTTTGGCCGTTGAGCGAAAAAGACTAGGTTCTAATTCTGTTGCTATAGTAACTACAAACAATCCAAGATGGCGGACCAAAATAATGAAACAGTAGATAAAGTACGAAGTTATTAGCTTAGAGAGTACATTTCTTCTTATTATATGCTGTAATATCAAGTGTGCACTTTGAAGATTGTCTAATGTTCACATTTATGTGTAGGTCTCGGAGGAAACAAGTCTAACTCCAGCGGAAAACGTTGAATCGGGTTCGCCGAGGAGGCCAAGCATAGGTATTGAAGATTTCGACTTCACAAACAACACGGATAAAACCGTAGAAACTGGCACCAGTCCACAAACTGGAGACCAAGGTAGATTGAAATAATCCGTATGGACTGGAAAAGGGAGGGATTGAAAGAATATTTGTAATAAACTATAGTTAATGTATGAAACACCATCATTTTTAACTTTCAAAGACGAACAAGCACCTGTGTCTTCAGACAACAAAGAAACCTCTTCAAATGAACAAGTACCCGAAGGCAGAATGGACACAGCATCTGCCAAAGAAAGACCATCAATAGAGGCTATAGAGGTGTGTAGAATAAGAATTTATCTTTTTTTTATGATACTTAATTCTGCCCCAATGACGTTTTTAAATGTCTACCTAATCCTTCGTAGAACTTGGCGATGCCTGAGCAAGAAGATGGTCCACCAGTTGAAACAGTTGCGCAACCATTGTCAAGAGAAGCCAGTGTTGTTTCAGAAAGGAAATCAGCAGATGGTGATGTGGTTGGTAGCAAAGAAATACCAGACCCAACCCAGACACCACCACCACCTGCTGTAATGGTGGATGGTACAACGATAGATGAGATTGGTGAGGGAAAATAATTTAAAAATATCTTAGTTTACTGAATGAATGCATTATGTGCGATTTTCTCCTTTTGATAGATGCGAATGAGTGAAAAAGTTACGAATGTACAAATAAGAGCACTTATACATTAGAGCATTAGTAACTTTTTGCTCGTTTCTATCTGTCAAAAGAAAAAAATCGCACTGAAAATCGCTGCAGGAAGTGTAAACGGACTTTATCACAGAATAAGATTACTTTTGATAGACAAACAAAAGTTATTTGGAATTCTTCAAAGACAGCATGAATTAAGTTCCTAAACTTTCAAACTTTTTTTCGCAGATAATACACAAATTATTAACATCTTATCACCGGAAGATGGCGAGGTTCAATCAATCGCGTCTTCGATTGAGGTTCCAGTTTACAACAGAGCAGAACTTTTGGAAAGATACCAGCAAGCTGTGGAGGAACGGTCCGCATTACAGACCTTAAACTCGCAATTCCAACATAAACTCGCGGAATATTTCAAGAAGAAAAAGGTAAATACGGCTGCGCTGTTTGAAAATTGATGATTCCCGCCTAATGCCACGCTCACGGCGTACCTTTTCTCCTCTCGTAGACGGACGACAGACAACAAGAAATTGAGAAGAATGTCAGCGATCAGGAACAAAGATATATTAAATATTTAGGTAGATACTACTATTCTTAAAAAATCTCTTAATTATGACTAAAATATGGTGTTGCCTGACGAAGGCCCGGGTTAACGGACCGAAAGCTTTGCAGTATTAAATACTTACGTGGTGTACCGTAAAACTGTCTAGTGCCAAGGTCCCTTAAAGCCTGTTTACATGGAGCGAGTTATCCCGGCTAGGCGAGGTAAAAAGCGCATCACGTCAAAGGCTTAACCTGATTAGTCTTTCGTTATATGCAGTTTTCACCTCGCTCCATGTAAACAGGCCCTAAACCTCCCTACATTCCTTCCTAAATGTTTTGAGGTAAAGATAGACGGTTCTTTTGTTATTTCTTCAGCAAATTTGGATGAATTGCAAACTGATCTCTCGAGCGAACAAGAAAGCTACAAGGAACAAATCGAGGAATTGAAAGAAAGATGCTCAGAAAAGCAGTCGAAAGTTCAGGAAGTGAGGTGCGTCTGAAGAAGGTTTCAATAAGAAGGTTTTATGTGATATCGTTTAATATTATTTCGTTTTCACTGGAAATTCTTTGCTTTTGTTTGTATCTAGGGACGAGTTCAGGAAACACAAGTCAGATATCGCGAAGCAAGCTTTAAACAGTAGATCCGGACGGCAAATACCGATCAAAGATATTGAACAATATCAACAGCTTGAACAGAAAAAGGACCACGAAGTCATGTTGGTAAGAGAATAGCAAAAAATATCCTTTGGAAGAAAAGATGGTTTCTCCAGTTGAGATATCGTTTGTCTTGCCTTGTTTGCATGCATTTAAGCCTCGTTGAATGCGAATTTAGATGCGATTTACTTCTTTTGATAGATGTAAACGAGTGATAAGTTACAGATGTTCAAATAAGGGCACTTATAACATTTGAGCATTCGTAACTATTCGCTCTTTCACATCTTTGAAAATACGAAAATCGTGCCGAAAATTTTAAGTGTAAACGAGCCTCAAGTCCTCTGTTTCAACGAATTTTTGTTTTTCAGGTCCGTCTTGAAAACATAAAGCTTAAAAACAGACTTAAAAAGAGAGAGATGCAACTAAAAGCGAAGGTTAGAATAATAAATGATCATAAATATATCATAATTAATGAGACTAACCGGTACTCGATTCGAGTTCTGTGGCCAGTTGTTCAAAGCTGGGTTAGCGCTAACCCTGGATTAAGTTTTAATCCAACCATGGATTAAGTTTTAATCCACTGTTTTAGTTTATGTGCTTCCGAACCACTGTTCGTTTTAAAACTATTAAAAATATTACCTCTGTCGGTCCAGAAAATATTTATGAAAAAAGATATTCAACTTTGTAAACAAGCGAATAAAAAATTGGCGTAAAGATTTGTTTTAACCCAGGTTAAGCTAACCCGCTTTTGAACAACCAGCCCCTGGAATAATTCTGATATAAATAATACTGCATAAAATAACACTCGTTTTTAATAAAACTTGGTTGAAAGAATAATTTTCTTTTGCATCACAGGAGGAATTAGCCGAGGGCCTTCATCTCATCGACTTTGAGCAGCTCAAAATCGAGAATCAAACTTATAACGAGAAAATCGAGGAACGAAACGAGGTACAGAAGTTGTCACAGAGGAGAAAGTATTCCAGAAACCTCACTCGGGAATTTGTTTATATTTTTAATAAACCAATCAAAATGCATGAATATTTTAACCACTTTTGGTAAAAAGGTACAGAATTCACCATTTTACATGAAGTATCAAGAATTCAGCCATTCTGATTGGCTTAGCCTGAAAAATGTAAACAAATTTACCGATTAGTTTAAAACAAAATTCCACCTTGTTTCACACATAATTACTTCGGCATTTTCGCACGCGGTATGGTGCGCCGACGCCTGTATCCTGGTGAGTGTGGGTTACATTCAAGCTCTATATTTATCAAAGAGTTCCACCCACACGTCCTTTCCGTGCGAAGTACTTCTACACATACAAAATTATCCCGTCGCTAATATATATTCCGTTCCCTGTACAGTTCCTTATATACTTGATCTCACGCAGCGTAATTTTCCGGCCATTCCCGCCATTTTTGATGGCGAATTCCACTGGGGAAAAAATCGACGCGTGTGAAATTCAGAATCTGAGAAAATCTAGAATGCGTCCAAATATAGTTACTTTGAAATAGTTTGCTGCTAATGATGCTAATTACTATCAGGTGATCTGAAATGGCGGGAAAAGACTGCAACTAGTTGTGAAATGAAAATACAATTAACTTTTTAGACGTCGAATTTTTCATGTGCCGAATCGAATGCAAATGAACTTAAACAAAGACTTTAGCTCAGTAACATTAGGTTCGGCACATGGAAAGTTCGACGTCTGAAACAGGCCTTAGACTGTCGTTTTACGTGTATTTCTCATAAACTAATTCACTGTCTATCGACTTTTTGTAGGAGCTACTAAAATTACGTAAAAAGATCACAACGACTGTTCAAGTTTTAACCCATTTGAAAGAGAAACTACAGTTTGTTCAAGGCGAAAATGGAGAACAAAGAAACAAACTTAAAACTGTTGATGCGAACGTTGCCCAGGTAAATTATCCGAGTTCAATTGGTCACGATTTCGAGGATTAAATCCAGCCAGCTTGCTAGGAGAGTTTCCCACCAGGGGTGGAATTTTGCCAGCGAAGCGGAGTTTCATTGTCTATGCGCTGTCGTGCCAGAACTAATATCAGAAAAACAAAGAAGAATTCGGCTCCGCGTATAAAATTCCGCCCACTGGGAAAACAACCTTTAATTATAGGCCGGCACAATTTTAGCACTCGCGATCTCTTTGTAGCAGCGGTATTTCCGTTTAGAAACGTGACATCTTGACCAGAACAAAGCAAGCCAGAGATGCATTGCGTATCGACAATGTGAAGCTTCGTCAGAAGTGCGGTCTGCTTGGAAATGAACCTTTGCTGCGGGATTACGAAGAGAGAAGAGATGAGGTAAGAAAACTGTATATTTTCTCTTTATACCAGTCACCGCTTAGAGATAAAGAACGTGCTGAAGGGTCCGCCCAAGTCGGAACCTTTTAAGTTTGTGTTCCTGCGGATATCGCATTACGCATCATTGCCACTTATTACTCTGGCCAGTCAATGGCATGTTCATTGGCTTTCTGGCGATGAACTCTATTTACACTGGAACGATAACAGACGCTATTTGGCCGCCGCCATCTTTGAAACCAAATTAAAGACCAGGCCCAATTCTATTTTTGCTCGGCGCAATCGTCAATCATGCATGGCGACAAAAGCAACCGAAAGAGGCCTGGCACTGGTCTTTTAGTTCGGCTTCAAATATGGCGGACTATTAACGCTCCAGTTCATATAAATAGTTCAATGGCTTTCTGGCCAGTTTATACGCTGAACTGGCTTGTTCGCCATTTCGCCAGCCAATGAATTCCAAAAGAAAATTGGGACACTTGGCAAGGCTGACTGGCTGACAGGGGCCACGAGAATTGAATGAATAGGGCCACTCCGCAAAATTCCTGTTATTCTTCTATTCAACTTCCGAGATCTATTGTCATTTCGTTCTCGCAGACACCGATTTCCTATCTTGGTTAAACGGAACTTCAATTCGAGAGTTCTGACGCCACCGGCAAAGCGCATCTGCGCATGCGCTCCGTGTTTATTTGCCCGTAGTTTTTCCCGTTGTCCGGGTGGGAATTCTGTCTTTTTCTTTTTTGATGTTTTTTCCCCGCAACGGGTCACACCGGCTCGATGGATGAATGTTTTTCATCATACATTCAATCTGATTTGTGGTCTTGAAGGTTGCTTTCTGGTGAACCACTCGTTATCAGGTAATAAAATATTGCCTCAGCGTGACACGAGTGTTGGGAAGCACGTTCTTAGCTCATTATATTGAGATAACCGCTTCAAAACACAAAAAATGCGCAGTCTTCTGTCAATATTTGGATTACACTCAGAAGTTTTTCCCATTTATACACACAGGCAAACATCCTGTGGAATATTAAATTTGAATAATCGAGCAAATTCAATTATTGTTGGTGTTTTCAAGTGAATTTCTTATCGCCAGCGTAATTCAGGTTCGCTGAACTATTTTTCACCAAACTCAGCCTGATACGAACTAAATTTATACATCAGAGGTAGACACCTGTTGTGTTTGAGAAAAACTGCAATTTCTATGTAAATAGATGTGTGGGCGGTCTTTCCCTATTGGACTGTAGAAAGTTCGGTGAAACAACTAGAAGCCGTTTCAATGCAAAGTGTTTTGTGATCTTCAGATAGAAATTTCTTTATAAGAATGCATATACCCCGTTTTCTTTTTGCGAACGAAACGAAAATTTTTAGTTTTAGTACACTTGTGATGGGGTGTGGGGGGTGTGTTTTTGACAAGTGAGCTTGCTCCTATTACTCGACGCATGCGTGGGCGACTCATATCCGGGAGAAACGGGGGGGGGGGAATCGACTCAGATGTAGTTTCATGTTTCACTTTAGCCGAGGGAGCGCCGGAACGATAAAAGCTTCTCACGATGCAAACGAGCATTATTGTTGAACCAAATTCTATTGCTTTTGCGGTTTTTGAAGAGATATATTCACATTGCATTCCTCGATGTCTTGGCTGATATATTGCCAAGTGTTTTGACACTTGCAAGCCTCAAGTGGGTGTCTACACTCCATTCTTACGCCTGGTCATTTACGTCAAGCAAGAAACATCTGTCGATTATGTTGTAGACCGCTAACCCTAAAATCCCTTAAGACATTCTGTTCATTTCTATGGCCCGGTTTACGCTGTCAATTTTTTTTGCCGGATCACAGTTGGATTTTTCTTTCGCATCACCGAATCACGCGTTGGTTATATAAAGAATTTGTAACGAATATCACGTTGAAATAGCTCTGCGAAATAAACCAGTTCATCTCCGTTTTAGCTCGCTCAAATGCTACGAGCAAATCACTTAACACGTAGAATTTATCCCTGGCGAGATTCCAATTGTAGCCACAGAAACTTGACGGTGTTTATTTACACCTACAACGATACGATGTGCGCATGTGCACATGGTCTTTAGCTCACAATGCTGACTCAGCATAATTATACCAAAAATAAAATCTATTAAAATCCATCACGAATTGTGATGTTTTATAGAAAGTTCTGAGTTCTGACTGTATGAATTGCTATCACAAGGGCCAACCAACGGCTATCACGTCTGTTCAGTTTATTATTTTCACAGAAACGCAAGTTCAAACATTTACTGGGAAAGTGCTATTTTTTTCATTGCATGCTGACCAGGCAGTGTCTGCTTGGGGAAATTCATCGGTTTTATTCCCTGTGTTGTTTAGATGCTAAAAATCTATTTTGAATCGTGATAATTCAGGCGTGCCTAGCACTTGATATTACATAAACAGTCCTTATTAAACTCACAAAGGTCCACAAAGGGGCAGAATACTGGCACACGCCTCTATTCATCCATAGAAATGTACCGTTAGCCTCTCTATATATTGCTCTCTGAATACACACGAATGCATTCAATAAAATTCACAACGAATATCGTTGTTCTTGTTATAACATATTGCACTTTAACTGAATTAAGTCCTATGTCAAATACACTGTCCGTTTCCTTACTGATAATGGACTAAATCGGTAAACAGAAGATAGTATATTACTTAAGTGATGTCTATAAACCAACATACTTTGTTTACAATATGCTTTTGGCTATCCATTGCCTTATTTGGTCATTCAGCGTCAACCATCTCGCGAGCTAGCTTGCGCGCTTCCGTGCGCATAGCCGACAAAATCACTATACTTAGTCAGCTCGTGGGCAAAAATCTTAAACGCTTCTTCTACAAATTTCCATACTCGGTTTTCTACCCAATTATGTGAGGTAATTCTGAGCAACCAACTAACAGATTAGTTTGGTATGTTAGACCATAACTCATGGACAGGCAGCTTCGTTACCACGACAACAACGCGTGTTCGGCATTGCCCGTCTTGGCAAATCTCTGTTGACATTTCATGTTCTCTACTTGAAAGCGTTTTTAACGATATTTTCCCGATTAGAAAACATTGATATTTTTCTTGACGATTCCTAGTTTAACGAGTGCTTCCCAATTTCAAATTTCAACACAATTTTACCCGAAATTGATTTTATTATTGACCTGAGGTCGGCTAGGCCAGTTCAAGGGTAGCTACTCTGTTTTACTTCATACACAAAGTTTGGTGCAAAAGGTCACAGATTCGAGCGACAATAGTCAAAACATTTTTTAAGGGAAGAGAAAACAATAAATAATAGCACAGACAGAATATAGTCCCACTCTGTCCCTGGGTTTTTCTTAATACACCTTATATTATATGGTGGTTGTAAAAATTCGCCAAAGTACTTAGTATATGATAATAATTTCCGCCTAAAAATTATGCTCAATTTAAGGCCGAAATATGGTCTTACGCACGTTGTTTGTATCGAAGTATCAGACATGATTTAGTGAGTATCAAGGGTTGACCTCCCAGCATGAAATTGTCCGAAGATTTCAACACTTCATTTTAGCACATGTGTATCTGTGAATACATTATACGAAGTTTTTGGATAAATATGCCCACGAAATCTCCTTGAGTTTCCCTCAAAAAGCCAACCGCATATGCAAATATGTCCATAGAGAAGAACGTAAAATACACCCACAGGAAAGAGGTTTAGAGTTTCCAGTGCTTATATGTAACAATTTTCAAAACGACGGAAGCATTGTCATTTGATAATCGCATGTATTATCAGCAAGGGGGTGGGTGCTTTTAGAAATTTTTCGCCAAGGCGTAGACGCAGGACTACAGCGCCCAAACCGGTTCGAAATTCGCTTCAATTTGAGCGTAAAATTCATAGGGCAGATTCGATTTTACACTGGAAATTGCTCAAAATTCAAGGATAACACTACGGACCGTCCTTTTTAACGATCCACAAGGTTTCCCGGTCTGAGCGTGGATCTGACCAATGAGCTTCAAGATGACCAAATATGGGCACCAATGTTGTACTTTCCGTACGATTGTACTATGCAAATACGGTTGCTTTATTCGTCTGTTTACAACATACAAAAGATTTTTACAGCAATCGAATTATCTAGATATTCCCTGCAAAATATTGACCAGTTAAGCGCAAAATTGCGCGAAAATGCAGGCTTTGTTCATTTTCAAAGCGCATCCGATGGGCACACGAAAATGCATTCGAAAAAGGGTGTTTTTCAGTACGTTTTTGCCCTCATATGGCAATTTTTTGTCCCCCACATGTCAGCACATTTCCCATGAAGCCGAGTGGGCGTGCATTTCCTTTTGTGCAAGCGGTTAAATAGCACAGACAGTCGCATCGGGTTTGTCATTTCACCGCTGCAGAAGCCCGTGTAAGGAGCATCAGTTCAACTCGAAGAACGACTTAAACTTTTAAAAACATCAACTAAAATGGAAGACGACGTTGCGGCATTAGTTGTTGATAATGGATCTGGTATGTGCAAGGCTGGTTTTGCCGGAGACGATGCGCCAAGAGCTGTATTCCCCTCCATCGTCGGTCGTCCTCGCCATCAAGGTGTGATGGTTGGTATGGGCCAGAAAGACTCGTATGTTGGCGACGAGGCCCAGAGTAAAAGAGGTATCCTTACCTTGAAATACCCCATCGAACACGGCATCGTCACAAACTGGGACGATATGGAAAAGGTAGGTTTTTGTACGAGTTAAAAGTCCGCTAGCATTCCTTTAAACACCTCCGTAAATTATGAAAGTGAACGCCCTCTTATACAACTTTGTGTCTGCGTGTTTAGATCTGGCATCATACCTTCTACAACGAACTTCGAGTTGCCCCAGAAGAACACCCTGTTTTACTCACAGAAGCTCCCCTTAACCCGAAAGCCAACAGGGAAAAAATGACACAGGTAATAATCCTTTTACGATCCGTATAGAGAAGATACCGGCGTTTGAAAACGCTGTACGTCTGGTACGCGCTTTCAACACGCCCATATTTAAGTATAATTTCTATATCAACCACTTATTTTCATGGTCGATAAAATACCATTTAGCGTAAAAAATAAGGATGTAACAGTTAAACAGAAAAGTCGCATATTAGCATTAGAATGATCAGAGTCGCCATAGCGTGAGCATGGGGTTTAAATGGCTGTTTGTTATTGCGAAATCAAGTGGGCGTGTTTTCAAGTCTGTTCGGTGCTCAGCCCTTATATTAGCAGTTGTTCCACGATTTCTTGTTGGAAAATAACGCCAGAGACAAGTTACAATTCGCGCCCGTGACCGTAAAATTGATATTTCAACAAAATGTGAACACTTCTTTTGTTGATATTTTTTAGATCATGTTTGAGACATTCAACACCCCAGCTATGTATGTAGCTATCCAGGCTGTGTTGTCCCTGTATGCTTCTGGTCGTACCACAGGAATCGTGTTCGACAGTGGTGATGGTGTGTCCCACACCGTACCAATCTACGAAGGTTATGCTTTACCTCATGCAATCCTTCGTCTCGATTTGGCTGGTCGTGATCTTACCGATTACCTGATGAAGATCTTGACCGAGAGAGGTTACTCTTTCACCACAACTGCCGAAAGGGAGATTGTGAGAGACATCAAAGAAAAGTTGGCCTACGTTGCTCTTGACTTTGAACAAGAAATGGAAACAGCAGCAAGCAGCTCCAGCTTGGAAAAAGCCTACGAGTTACCTGACGGTCAAGTTATCACTGTTGGTAACGAGCGATTCCGATGTCCTGAATCTCTCTTCCAACCATCCTTCCTCGGAATGGAATCTGCTGGTATCCACGAGACCTGCTACAATTCAATCATGAAGTGTGATGTTGATATCAGAAAAGATCTCTACGCTAACACTGTGTTGTCTGGTGGTTCTACCATGTTCCCTGGTATTGCCGACAGAATGCAGAAAGAGATCACTGCTCTCGCACCACCAACCATGAAAATTAAAGTTATCGCTCCACCTGAAAGGAAATACTCCGTCTGGATTGGTGGCTCCATCTTGGCCTCTCTCTCCACCTTCCAACAGATGTGGATCTCGAAACAAGAATACGACGAGTCTGGACCATCAATTGTCCATAGGAAATGTTTCTAAATATCGGACTGTCTGCAGCAAAAACACTGACTTTTGTTCAAATTTCTGCCACTTTTTTTTGGTTCTGCATATATGCACTATAAGTAGCATTGAATTGAACGTGAATAGGAGAAAAATAAAAACTTTTTTGTAGAGTGAAAATGTGTGACTTATATTCATTTTGTAATTAAAATCCTGTAGGAACAAATTAAAAATCTATTTATCAAATGCTGAGTATATATGTCATGGAATGTAGGCAACTAATGGTTATATTTTCCTTGTTTTTACAACAAACAGCATGGGTTTTACTGCAGTGATGTGTGGTAACATTTGCATAGTGTTCAAACTTTTTCTGTTCTGTCCTTGCTATAGAAGTGTAAGGATTAACTGACATGTTTTGTTTTCGTGAATAGAGAAAGTGGTTCAGTACTTATTCCACTAGTGCTAAATTTTCAATTTCATAACTTATGCAACCTTTTGATTTGATCCAATATAAAGATGTATCCTGATACTGCATGCTATATTCTCTTAATGTCACATTGTTATGGAGACTAACAACAGATATCTTATGGATAGTACTGTTTCTAATCATAGCCTAGCTGCCATCACTCCTTGTTTGCAAGTAAAATCATTTACCCAAAACTAAGGTGGCTGATTTGGGTCCATTTGATTTGGCCCATTACCTTTTAGCTACCTTAGCTAACACAATAGCCACCTCATGCTAATTGATGGTTTATAATCCTTTTTAAGCTTTGGTAGAGTAAGGGAGGCTTCTCTTTAATGTCCTTTTGTTTTATGCAATTGAGTATGGGGAAGTTATGTACTGTGTGAAGTGGGAGAATTCTCAGTATCAACTAGGTTAACATTTAGAAATTTTAGGGATGGTTTTCACATTGCATTTACATGTAATATTCCAGAGTGTTGTCCTGACAGAGAGGGTGGAGAAATTGAAAATGAAGCATGCAGAGCTGACAATGAATGCAACAGGAGTAAAGAAGAAAATCGAACACACAAAACTACCACAATAGCAAAACTGGTGAATTTTTATTGATTATTTATTACAATTGCCTTGATCAGAGGGTATATAACTACTTGTGTGATATATGTAATGTAAATAAAATATTTTAGGGTAAAAATATTTTAAAGTATTTGTATACAAGAGATAAAAACGCTTTTGACAGAAGGCCTCGTGGTCAAAATGCAAAAGTATTTTAGCTTGATCTGAAGATGTTAGAACACCCACAAGAGATCACTTTGAATTTAATGTTTCATATGCCTTAGCATAGCTTCAAAATATAACTGCATTAACTATTTCCTATTATAAGTTTTTAAATTTTCAGACCACAGAGAAGGGGGAGAGGTAGGTATTGGTATATGATAAGAGTCCCTCGCTTTTGGTTGATTACTAATTTAGTTTGAATCAAAGAAAAATATTCGAGAATTAAGTCACTTTGTAACTATGCTGATGGGCACTTTTGCATAACAGATGGACCTTGGTCGGTGTACTGTTCTTTCGTAATCCACATGTCTTTAAAAGTTGCCATACCTCCAAGAATTGATCCACCTATCCACACGCTGTTCTTTCGTTGTTCTGGTGCGATTACTTCTACTGTTGTACCAGTTGGAACCAGCCCCTGAACTTCTTTTTCCAATCTTTTCTCGAGACCTGGAATCAGCGTGCTTCCGCCAGATAACACAATACCTTTGTGCAACAAAGGTTGGATTTCCGAATCGCATTTTGCAATGGTATCAAAGCACACTTTATGAATTCCTTCCTTAATATCATACTCATTGAGATTTCGCATGAGGGAAGGCTTGAAAAGTAGTTCAGGGCATCTGAACTTCTCATCTTGAAGTTTGATTACTTCACCATCTGGCAACTCATATGACTCCTGCTTAACTTCATTTGATTTCATTTCTTCATCAAAATCCAAAGCCACATAACAGAACTTCTGCAATGCTTTTTCCATCTGATACAAGAAATTCTTGGAGTTGATCATATTCCCACTTTCCATCAAAATTTTTGCAAGATTCTGTCGCAAGTCGTGTCCACCAAGTTTGAGACATGTAGAAGCGCCTGGGATGGCATACCCTTTGTCAACCGGAGTTACTTGGGTCACACCACCACCAATAGACAAAGCTGTGCCGACCATGCAACCGGAAGCGTACAATGATAAGACACCTTGAATGCCCACAAAAACAGCTGGAACATTGAATTTTTCAAACATCACCTAGGGGGGTTAAAGAATTAACTGTTAGCCTAGGTTTGTGCTAGTTTTATGCTGGAGATTTTAGGGTTAAAAATTAACATACATTGAGATTTTATCCTGAAAATTCTAGGATCAAAAATAAACATACCTCTGCCATTTTTTCCCTGGTAGCTTTGGGATTGCATGCGGCCTCGGTCAGAAAAATAGGGTGTTCCTCAGTTGATGATATTTCGAGTTTACCAAATGTATGCTCCCAGATCTGTGGCAAGAACTATCATATATCAAAAAGATGGCAAGGGGCTAGGAATATAGATGTATAGGGAGGGCTAGATCTGATGAAAAAGGAGGGAAGGGGGTAAATTTAGATGAAGTAGGAAGCTACACCTAGATAAAAATGGGGAGAGAGGTTATCTTCACCATACAGAATAATATATTCTGCGCATTTTTTGAGGAAAGTGCGCGTTTTTTTGTAACTTGAGTTAAGGTCTGTTTACTGCAAAACGCAATACAGCTAGCCAAGCCATGTTTAGCTTCTAGGTTGCGCTTTTTGTCTCATAACATAAATATATATTCATAAATATAAGTGCGCATATTTTCTTGTAATCTTGTTACAACAAAATTCCGCAGTTACGCAGTAAACAAAGTTTATGTATTAAATAGCAGTCTGGACCTTTGTATTAAATAAAGAGCCCCTACCTTTTCCATTTCATCCCACTTATCAATAACTCCATGTTGTACTGGGTATTTTATCTGGAGTATTCCTCGCTTTTCGTCAATTTCATCCCCCACATAGCATTCTTTCAAGCCAGCCTTAACCGGGTCAAAACTACCCTCTGCAAAATAATCTCTCAACCTACCAACTTGAGTTGAAAATTCAACTTTGGGTGCTTTGTCACCAGCGAAACCTGCCTTTGTAATATACGAACCATTATCTATTATTATCGCAGGTTTCTGAGCCATTATTTAGTCGTTTAAGAATAATTTTTTCCCGGTTAAGAGTTCGTTTGGGACGTGTTCACTTTTTATCAAAATATTTCATATTTGCGGCTCGAAAAGGAAGTCATGTCATTTTGGAGGATGGAAAAAAATGAAACCCGTGCGAAGAGGCGGGAAATTGAAAACACAACCCCCAGCCCCAGGCACAACTAAATTTTGAAGTTATTGCGTTTTGGAACAAATTTTAGTTGAATTTTAGCGTTTAAAGCCTTAAAAATGCTTTAAAAGAAATGTAAACCAGTTGTATTTGGTATTTTTTTGGTTTGTGGATGGATTTTTGACGCTCAGTGCAAGAAATAAAAGTGCATTTTACAGCACATGTTTTGATGGCCGACATTGAAACGACATCAAGTCTAACAAGATTTGGTAAAGAAAGCTTTCAAGAAGCTTGTAAGTAATTGTTTATAATTGTTTTAATGTTATTTTATGAAAGTTAGTTATATAGCTGTATGACTGTACCTAAAACGTGTTGGGGTAATAGAAATAATGTGTTTTATTTACTACACCAAAAATATGTATAAAAGAGTTCCTCATCTTTTATATTGTTATCTATTGTCACCCAAAACCATGCAAGTTTAATTAATCATTGTATCCATAGTGTTTTCTGAATGCATTTTTGTCCAACATGGAATTTACTGCTAAACGAAATTCCTAAGACTTTCAGAGAAGTTCAAGGTTCTCAGAAAACCTACCATATAATATCGCACAAATAATTTACAAATTGTGTATAGCCTTTTTGGGAATGATAATTTTCTGGTATAAGTTTATCAGAAAAACTATGCTAATATTTATATTAGTATACCAGTTTTTTTTTGTTTTTTATTATTAAAACATACTTTATAGGTAGAAATCTCAGTTTTAAATGCATGGTTAAGAAAACAGCAATTCAAGCATAAATTCATTAATGCTGCGTAAATTAGTGACATTTCTAATTCCCTCATTTGGTAATTTTGCTTCATGCAATGTTCAAAACTGGAATATTTGCAATTTTGACATTTTAACTGATATTCTCATATTGTTGCTCTTCTTGGGCAAAAATACATCAATTGTGATTAAAACCATGATATGGTGAATGAAATGGAAGAAGTAATTAATGATAGTAAAGGGTATTAATGATGAATCATAAAAAGTAATAAATGATATGGAGCGACTCATTCAGAACATGTATTTAATTAAATAGGTGTATGTATTTTATTCCTTTTTAATATACAGAATTGTGAATATACGTACATAATATAAACATGCGAACACATATATTTCTATGTGGCTATGTGTTTATTTCCCCCTTGTTTGCAAAAACTATATGCTACGGCATGTCATATGCATTTTTTGTGGACAAAGGAAGGTCCATTTTCTTCATAATCCTGTCTCGTCAACCACATGTCTTGAAACACAGTCAAAGATGCAATAATTGATCCCCCGATCCAGACATTGTTTTTTCTACTTGAAACATCAAGAACCCGAGGTTGTACATCTGTCCGCACAAGCATGTTGATCTCGTTCAAAAGCCTGTCTGCTAGTCCTGGAAACAGGCTTGACCCGCCTGACAATGCTATGTTACCAAACAGGTCTTTTTTTATTTCGTCACTTTGTTTGGACTTGATAATGTTCTTGCAACATATTACATGAATTCCGTCAAAATTTCTTCCGAGAATTTGAGGTTGAAAGAGTGCTTCTGGACAACAGAATTGTTCATTTCCCATGGAAATTTTATTGTTGTCTGGTAGTGTGTATATCTTCTGGGAACCTGATTTTCCAGCTCTGTGAATCTCCTTATCAAAGTTTTCAGCAACATAGCACAACTTTTCCTTAATTCTCCGTACATCTTGAATGCAATGCTTGCCATAGAATATCGTGCCATTCTCAGCTAAACGCTCTAGTAGATATAATGTCAAGTCTTTGCCGCCCAAATGAAGGCAGCTTGAGACACTGGGAATTGAGTAACCATCTATGATTGGTGTAATCTGTGTAATGTCGGCCCCACAATCCACAGAAACACCAGTAACAAGACCATAGGAGTGTAAAGACAGTGCACCTTGGATTGAGATGTACATTGCTGGGCAACTGAACGTCTCAAACATGATCTAGGATTGTAAAAATACTGCATTAGCTTTCACTCTATGCAAACCCAAAGTGATTTGGGTCTTGGTTTTATTCAGTGTTCTGAAATTTTTGAGGAAAAGTTTGTATGTGAAATATCCTAAGACTCAAAGTACTTCTATTTATTCACCTCAGCCATTCTTTCTCTGTTGGATTTGAAATTGCTAGGGATGTCTGTTAAGAGAATAGGTTGCTCCTTTGGGGAGGCATCCAGTTTGTCAAATGTGTGCTGCCAAAGCTACAATGAAAAAAATCCCTAGTTAAGTATTTCATGTTCAGTAATACACAAATTTAAACTTTTGGATTTGGTCTTAGATTAGGTTTGGATTAGGTTTATGGCTTTTTAGGGTTAACCCTAATCCTTAATCTAATCCTAATCCAAACCTAATCTCAACTCTCAAGAAAGATATTTATGAATTAAGGATTTACTAAACGTGGATTAGCCACTGATCTATACGAAGACTGGATAGCGAATAAACATGGCAAGCCTACAGGAATAGCCGCTGATCTATAGTAATACTGGATAGCGAGTCTTTGGCAACCTTTGGTTGTGGAAAAACATTTTCCACATAACAATCTATCATCAGTGGTTTCTCTTCCTAAATTTGCCGGTATATAACTAATGAGGGCCGTCCACACAAACAAGGCTCCCGTAAGCAACGATATTAGTCGTACTTGAAATATCCTAAGATTTTTATGATAAAATATTAGTCTCTGTATGCCTGAATACAGTATCGTTATACAGAAAACATATTTGTTTCTCGTCAAAGTGACACTAAGCATTGATCTAGCCTAGCCAAGAATTTGACACATGTATCTGTAAATTGTGTCATGAAAAAAAAATTAAAAAAGGCGACTGATCGACAGGATGGGCTGTGAAATTTCTCGTGGATTTAAGTTAAGTGGACTGGTGAATAATGTTGGCCATCTTCCAATCATTAAGGGCGAGAGTGGTCTGAGTAGAGACCTGTTTAACATCTACGACGAAGGCGACTCGCTTTCCACGCAATAAAAAACTTGTTGTCTCAAGCATTACTAGACCTTTTTGTTGTTCTATAACACAACCCAAGACTTATCCAACGAAGAAGAGTAAAGCCTGTTCCTACGTTATAGGTGTTACATGAAGTAACGTATGCAGCGAACACGGAACATGCAGCGTTTTCACCCAACTTGCTCTCTGTGAAATTGCTGAATTCCATGCAGTCAGTGATACAATTCTGTTATTCTATCATTGCCGAGCAAGCAAGTTACAGTTTGTCTCTGATAATACTTGCGTGGGAAATAACGACAGAATGCGTCAAGGATGCTGCGCTATTTCCCGAAAATTATTTATATTCAAGACCTTTATAAGTGACTGTGAATGTGGGTACCTGCGTGCATTAATTGTTTTCCTAGTTTGCACAATTTGCGTGAAAGAAAGTTAAAACTAAGCTACAACTCGAGTTGAAAAGCAACAAATTTGTACATATCTTTATAGGTTGATAGCTTATCAAATTGAACTTCCGTCCTTTAAATGACATCACGCGCGCAATGTCAATTTCGCATCAAAACAAGCAAAAATACCACATTTGCTTGCAATTTTAAACACGTTCCCGTCGTCAGAATTCATTGTGCGATAGCTCAAAATGATCAGTAAAACATGAGGAAACCGACTGTGTTAAAAACACAAATATGAAAATTTCGTTTCAGTAGCACTTTAATAATTACGAGACTATGTGTTTGGGGTTTGGCGTCGTCAGATCTCTATTATCACTGGAATGCGACAAGGTCACATTTTGCCCTGATTACGTCATGATGATGTCAGATGGAATAGAAAGAGGTCTTGTGATGGCTCTTTTCAGACCCCAGCGGGGAGAGGTCGGATAATAAAAATTAAAACGATTCCAGGAATGGTAAACAGTGTTTTTAATGCGATTATAGGTGTGAGGTTTATATTACTGTGGTATTTTAGCTATTGAAGCCTTGAGTGACATTGTACTGACGCATTTCAACAACCTTTGCTGAATGTCACGCATATTTCCTTCAACTAAACACCTTGGCTCCAAATATGTACATTCCCCTTGCGTCCAAAGTTACTTCAGGTCAAAGACATTTATTTCTAGTCTTTTCTGCCGCTTCCTGAGGTTCTGCGTGCGCTGATCTGCGGTTACTTACTTTACCTTTTGCATGTCATCCCAATGCACGATGATTCCGTTCTCTACCGGGTGATTCATCGCAAGAATATCCCGATTAATTTCAGCTTCGCTGCCGACGTAGCGATCCTTCAGATTTGGGTTGAATGTAATGTGATTCAAAAACTCCGTTCGTGGACGGCCAATTAGCGAGGGTATGCAAACTTGAGGTTCGTCGTTACAGGAGAAACCTGCTTTCAGACTGTCAGAGCCGTTGTCAAGTATCAACGCTGTATCATCACCGTCCATCGCGATGATAATAAACTATATAATATTCGGTTGTTATATACAAATTTAGATAGCGAAACTTTCTCTTTCGATTTTGACCGAAATGGGGGGTCTTTAGCATAACATGCAGATGATATAAAGTTCTTAAATTATAACCACGAAACTTGAGGTCGAGTTCTACAGTAAGTCTTACAGTGCCTAAAATAAGCTACTCCATGCATTCGCAGACATCCGTGCATTTAGTCATAACTTTTATTAGCCATGATGAAACTTATTGTTAATGATATCTGAGTAGAAATTATTTTAGCCTTTTTTCTCCCTAGCTGAGGAGCGATCGAAGACAGAAGCGTCTATGCTCTGCCAAGCGTCGCGCATAAACAGGCTTCTCCGAGTCTTTCAGCGATCTCCTTGTTTGTATTGCATAGAGCAGTCCACTATCTATCGTCCGCATGCAGCAGTAGTTCACGAAAGCCTTTAAATTGCCGATACGAAAGTTTCAGTGAAAACGTATAAGATTATTGGATTACCTTTCACCTTTAATCTGTGGTCCGCAGGAGTCCAATTTTAGAATCCGTAGAACTGAAAGGGAACACGATAGGACCAGCCAGCAGTTTAGAAGGGTCGGATTAGTTTACCCTTGACAAGTTTATATATTCACCCAATATAAAACCACTTTAGTTGAAAAGCGAGATATTTTTTTCGCCTCCTTATAAAGGCAGACGACAAACGTTTAGGGCCTAATGCGCAATTAACACAATATCTTTATCTCCCAAAGTAGGTTTTATGTAATCGTTTCATTTGAATATCTTTGTTGTTTGCTGTTCGTTTTATCGCATTTCCCATGAAATATATATTAGATTGCATATATGTATGAATAAATTATGAAAATTGGCTGAAGACTGCAGGAATTATTGAAAAGGAAGTTAAGTTACAGTATTAGATTCGACTTGCATATCGCGTAGGTTGTTTTTTTTCACCCCGTAATGTTCAATGTCTGTGATGACATCTGGGGTTTTGCTCGCTTCCGCAAGTCTCCAAGTATTCGTGGGAATGTCAGCGGTCCGTAGTGAAGGCTCATGTCTGGCATGACCGGGTTATTTGTCCATGTTCCATAAGAAATAGTCAAATAGATGTCTAGGCAAAAACAATGATATCATCCAACGGCCACAGCTGGAGAGAGCATCTTAAAATGACCAAAACCGCAAAGTTTGGTTGCAAAATATTAAAATATAGCTAACTCTTTCTTTTCTTTCATTTCTTTCATAGTGCAATGGAAAGTTATTTAACCGCTCGTGATACAATATTATAGGTTTATAAGATTTGCAAAGTTTGCTAGGCTATATTTCCACATTTTGTACTAAATTTGACCAGCAAACTCTGCCGTTTTACTCTCTTTCCAGTTTTTGTGATAAATTTTATTTTTCTTGCCCCCGCCCGGACTAAAATTCGGTCGACTGGGATTCTCCATTCAGTTTATAAGTTTGCGGTCAACTTCCAGGCTTAAGAAACAACAACCTCTTCAGATTTCACGATAGCGGCTTTGTAAAATGCAGATATATTATCCGAAAATCCTCTCTGAAATATCATTGAAAACGGATGTTATTTATGTGTTAGCGCTTATAGGTTTTATATAAAACACAACGGCAATATAGTACTGTTTGTGGTCACCCGTGGTCTGGTGTAATTGAATAATATTGACAATTAATTTGAGACATCTGCGCGTCTCAGAAACAAACACGATGCTCGACGCATCTTCTTCCTTCACACTGATCTCAAAACACACTGGATAGATGAACTGATGAACTATACTGTCTCGTAACGAGGCGCCCAGTTCTTGGTTGCGTGGGTTTTCGTAGGGCTCGCGTGTTACGCCACAAACACTCACGCAACGGCGTAGAGAGCAAAGCGCCTGGGTAGGAGCATGGATAATAAAATCACTTTATGAAATCGTCTTTTAACTATCCATGGTGAAAGTATAAAATCATTTAAATGATACTTATGAAATCAACAATTGAATAGATGCATAGGGTTGCCTGTTGAAGATTTGGTATGTTTTGATAAAGTTAGCAAAACCACCCCAAGCACCCCCGCGCGCTCGCCGTTTTTCAGCTGACCTCTATGCAATAACTGCATGCAACGTTAGGTATTTTACTATTAAAGCGCCTGGGCATGAGGCTGGTGCGTGTACGTGCGTGCAAAAAACGCGACCGTGGAAGGCAGCCCTTATGAATCAATGGCAGAATAAATGATGATCCGGAGTCCCAGAACCAAGGAAATAACTAACACCTTAAGGCCTAATTCCACGGGCGATTTTTTCTCGGCGAAATGCAAAATATTCCGCCTGTTTCTTTTGAATTTCGACCACTTGAATGAATTAATTCTGCTTCATTGCTCACAATTCAAAAGAAGCAGGCGAAATATTTCGCATTTCGCTTGAAAATTTAGCCCGTGGAATTAGGGCTTTACGGGCGTCTCCATCGTTGAACGACTACGTGCGTGTACGTTTGTACGGACGTCGAAACCAGCCCTTTTTGGGCGCAGCAGTTTTCGCAATTTTGCAGATCACGTTCTACTCAAGTAACTTGTTTTAAAACGCTACAGCACTTAAACTAAACAGTCGGACATGTTTTTGATTTAAATTATTCTTTTAATTTGAAATGTACAAAAATGGCTTTGCCTTTTTTACTATAAACTACAGTTCATATCACTGGCCGAGTTCACCCTTCGACATTTATGCCCGATAGTCTGATCAGACCAGATATATACCAGATAGTCTGTTCTGTTCCTATCAGCATCTAGTAAGGTGTTGAACATCATGGCTCAGGAATACTTAAATACTATGATATAATTAATAAATTACATTATTTATGATTAATATTTTAAAATTTACTTTGTGACAGAAAGTCACTGCCGTCGAGAAAATCTATACAATATTATTACAAATACAAAACTACTGTACTTCCTTGAAAAAACGCCTTGCCCACCATGATAAATTTAATTAATGTCGCAGAGTTATTTCAAGGAAGTACGAATTCAAGGACTATTATAAAGTTCCTCTTCAATATTTAAATATATTGGCAGCCTCAGCCGCATTTATTGGCAGCCTCAGCAATTTACTTACACCCCCCCCCGTCTTGGTATTCATGACTTTAGAAGTTCAGGGATGGGGAATTACACCCCCCGTCTTTGGTATAGAAGTTCAGGGGTGGGGCACCCCCCTGTCTTGGTATTCATGAGTCTAGAAGTTCAGGGGGTGGTGGAGGAAGGCTTTCGACCATCTCCTGCCATTGTGATTCATCGCTTTGTGAAGTGACGTTGATCAAAGCCTTTTCCGAAGGGTGTAACCTCGGCGGTGGGTAGGCAGGGTGGGGTGGTGGAACCGGTCCGGAGTGTATATTGTCTGTGATATGAGGCGGTGGGGGTGCGACCATAGAATCCGTATCAATTATTGGAGTCGACGTTGGCGGTGGGGGGACTACTAGAAACGAGTTATCGTGATTCCCAATCTGATCACGACCTTTTCCGATCTTTTGACCCTTTCCAACGTTCGAGCGATGTTTTCCTGACAGTAAGTTGCTCTCGCCTTCATTCTCGTCGGAGTATATGAAGTATTCACGAAGTTTTCCGAACTCTTTCGGCGTAACAAACATCGAGTGACGATTGTTGTTGCCATCCTCTGTAGTTATTCCTAGACTTGACGGGGATGCAAATATCGTCTCGCTGGTGAGATCCGACTCACTTTGACTTCGTTTCATTTTGAAATCGAAGTTTTCGTCTTTTGGAGAAGGTTCGGTTTTTAAGACTGTTTTCTTCGGCGATTTTACTTTGTCTTTTTTTCTGAGAACCGGAGGGCTGTGTTTTTTGTTCTTATTCTTCTTTCTGAGAAGCGGGGAGCCACCAGGAGGGGGCGGAGGTGGTTTGAAATTGGGGGGGCTGAGATCAAAAGGTACGGAGGCGGTGTCGATCAGTATGCCAGGTATGTCATACTGCGATTCACTTTTAGTTGGCGACTGTTGAAACAAATCAGTCTGCGCGTAAGGTCCCTCATTCTCCCCTGCTTTCGTATCGTATTTCTCAGAATCACTGTTAGAGTTTCCCGTTTTCCGGGGGGAGCGTGGCAATGGTTGAGCGTAAGTGTCGTCTTGTGCTACCTCGGTAGGAGTAATTTCCTCCGGTGTAGAAGTACGTTCTTCCGGTACAGACGAACTTTTCTCGCCCACTGGCACAGTTTCCATATCTTTCGATTTGCGATCTTTTACCGGCAGAGCATAAAGATCCATGTTATCCCCCACTGTATACGAACTTCCCCCTTGAACAATGCTTTGTACCTCCTTTATCCCTAACTCCGGCGAGATTTGGACAACATTCGAAAGATCAGTTTTCGGGGGTGAACCAGAACTAATAGGGTTAGAAGTGCTATAGATAGGGTTTGGAAATGCTTCTGCGGTACCCGCCTCATGAGGGGTATCCGTGTCCAGTGGTTCCTTGTATGTATCCACCTTTAGGGTACCATTATTGTACCCTAATGTAGCGAAGTTGACCGAACTGTAAAGAGGGTCCTCGTCTTCCTCGTGAATATTCTCGCCATTTTGGCAACCAAGCGGCCAGCATATATTTTGTATTATGCGTTTTTTATTCAACATCAAGTTCGCTCCTCTTTCTCGAAGATTTTGCAGTATTTCCCTGGGGGTTGAACTGGTTTCTTCATTGTTGCTTGCTTCATCGCTCATCTTTGAGTAGCCATCGACAGGCGACTCAAAGTATATCGCGTTCTGATGAAGAAGTCCGTTCATTCTCTCAGGTCTCAGCAAGTTCTCTTCGGTGCTTTGAGATTTTTCGATGCGCTTTTGTGGTGAGCCTCCAGACTCTTGTGTTTGAATTTCATTAAAGTCTAAACTCTTCGCATGCTGGAGTGGTTTTTTCGCAATTCTCGGAAGCGCTTTCTCGTTTTTCCCAGAAACGCTTTCATCGCTGTCGCTGCTACTCGACTTCGCTACTTTTTTCTTATGATGATGAAGTTTTATTTGTGAAATCTCATTAGCTATATCGTGCATAGCCTGGCTGTTGATTGGTTGAGGAGATGTCGACGCTTCATTCCTATTGGTTGGTGATTTTGATACCGCATTTTTATTGGTCGACGAGGGCAATGCTGCATCGGTATTGGTTGGGCTCAATTTTACTTTAGGTTTTACCTTGGGCTTCGGGAGGATCGGCGGCGGAGATCTCTTCTCGTCCAGTCTCTCCTGACTTTTGAATAGATCGCTCTTTCTCATCTCGTGGGATAACGCGAGACCAGGTGACGTGGGAGGTTCGCTCTCAGAGCTGCTAGATCGTTGATCAAACCTCTGCCGTTTGGTTAAGATATTTTCCTGCTGTTTCGACAGTTCAGATTTTGTTTCATGATTCGCCTCTTGTTCCTCCAGAGACGTCGTGGACGATTGAAGCTGCTTTTTCTTCTTCAAACGATTCTACAAACGGGGGAGAATATTCATCATTATAGCGACGAGTATATAAACACGATTGTTGTAGCATTTAAAACAAAATTATAAAAGCTTCAAGTCTACATCTGGAACTGCATGCGTAACTGAAGATATTGAGGGAAAGCAAATCGTGCTCATATTTTGCCAAGATAAATCTCCGTACCCATAACTTCTGCAAATATTGTAAATATTTTTTGTGTCTATATTTCTTCTATATCCTGCTTGTTTTTCCTATTTTACTCTAACATCCCTAATGTGAAAACCAGTTTCAGCCAGCTCGCGGATGATGTTTGGGTGAGTAAATATAAAGTTTATATTTTCAAAATATTTACGAAATGCATTGTCTTTCGCCCTCGGGGTATAATCTTGCGCAATGAAAATTTTCCTTCGAAAATAATCTCACACAGGCTTAATAATCAAAACACAGTGCGCTGCGCATGCTCATACGAAGAGAACTTCATATGCGGATTACTTTTGGGTCTGACGCACACCAGAACTCTCTGCTTAGCGAAATATCATTCATACGAGAGTGCAGGTTTAAGCAGAAAGCACTTTTGTGGGGTTAATATATTCAGATTTTTGAATTTTTAATTTCCGTCAATCTATACTTCGGTTATACACGTCATTTTTGACAGAAAAAAAATTACTAAAAAATGTGCACCGCGCATAAGCGGGTTTCCTGCTTTGCGAGATTCTAAAGAGATTTTGACCTACTAAAGAGATTTTGGCCAGCAGCAAGTTCTAGTGCATTCTAGGCTTTCAGCCTGAATCCGGTAAACCGATCTCTTTTCATTTACCGAAGGCTTCAAGAACACAGGATAGTCGATTGAGATGACTCGATATCCATTGTTTATAATACTCTGGCGAACAAGGAAGCGATTTTTGAACCTAACCTTTAGAACCAGGCAGTTTTCAAACGGGAAAATGGTATAAAACAATTAAATATCGATATTTTGAAAGCGTCATAGGTCATCGTTACTTTTAGATATTAAGGAGAGTATAAAGTGAACTTAAGAAGCCAGGCGAAAATTGAAGCAGGAAATATCCATTGAGTCGTTTGGCTCTTTGCCCGAACGCGAATATTAACAGGAAACAGCTGAGTTGAAACAGGGATTTGCACGTGCACTTTGCGGTTTGCCTTTAAGGCTAGACGCCAATCCTAAGCTGCCTAATATCCATGCACTTGTCTGATTATAGTTTCACCTGAATTTCACAACGGAAAGAATGCATTTCGTTTGATTTCAGCGAAACACATCGAGGGTAGACCGTATTGGTACTCGGATTTCCTCCTGCACCCTGCTGATACAGATCTCTATGTATATTACAGCTAGGGGGAAAATGTCTATATATGCTTACGCGTGTGCTTCCTCGTTAGTTTTAAGTTAGAATAAGAAACGATTAGCCCGGAAACGGTATTCACGCCTATTTTGGGGTTGATACAATTTCTAGGACTTTCTTCCGTAAACGGCGGGTCAAGTGGTATTTTCCACGCTTTGCAGTGTGATAATATAATCTATGAACCAATTTTGTATCTCATGATAACTTCTAGAATGTTTCTTAGAATTCCGGGAACCTATAAAGCTTTCTTTTCTAAGCTGTTCTTCTTAGAGGTCCAGTAAGGATAATATTTTATTGATCCAGCGTTACAACAGGAGGAAACCTAAACTAAACTAACTTTGTTTATACTGAATAGCTCTATCAGTTCTAAACTGTTCTTCCTAGATGTCCAGTAAGGATCATCTCTTAATGGATCCAATGTTACTACAGAAGGAAATCTAAACTAAACTAACTTTAGTTCTCCATATAAAGGCCCTATAAAGATCTCTTGTTGATCCAGGTTGAAATCTAAACTAACTGTATTTATGCTGGATAGCGCTATCAGTATCTGTGTACGAGGGTCAAGTGCTATGAACTATCCTTTTAAAAGCTCCAGGATGGATAAATGAATGAATTTGTAAGGTTTCTTTCATTTCTCCACGTCTTCAGAATGAATGTCTTTGTAAAGGCATACGCAAATATGACATGCCCTTGTAAAGAACTATTATACGCAAATATGACCTGCCCTTTTGTGCACAAATTGAATCTTTCATCTTTCTGGTTCGACAGTTGAATGCGTAGAGCTGAAATCTCTAACAACGATCAAAGTAATTCCGCGTAACTTTTTCAACCGGTTACCCTGGAATAGTAAACACAATATTGCACTCCACGTACTTTTCCAATGCCCAATCTCGCAATCCTACAATGATCTCTTATCGTTATCTTTGTTGTTATAACGACATTCAACAGAACCATAGGCGACGATATAAAACCATCAATATATATACCTCAGTCAAAGTTGAGAATATTCGTAATATATATCCGCGGTACATTTTTAGAAAATATACTCTCATTCAAATTGTCGCGAAGTATTCAATATTATCATGGGGATATCCACTTTTGGTTTTTCTAATATATGCCATCTTAAAGAATGTTGCCATCTCTCTCTCGAGACTTGATTCTATTTATATTGACAGCAAATATTACGCTACAAATATGGAAAGTGATTTAAAATCCCCCTATAGCTTCCTTATGGAAAGTTTACATAGAACCTATATCTATACAATACATGACAGAGGCGTATAGTTTCAATTCCTGCCGAAGTAAATCGCTTGTATGTTTTCCGCAACGCTCCCGGTTCGACCTCAAAGCCTATACGTGTGTCTGAATATACGTGCTTTTGTTTGCCTCCTCATCAACACCTTTCTTCCTTTATATATGCAAAACTAAACTCGTATTCCAAGCAAGCATGCATGATGTATATAGTTTCGTTTTTACAAACCTGTTTTTCGATATCTCTTTTGGCTTGTTCCTCCTTTCGCTTCTTCTGCGTGACAAGCTCTAAGCGAGCAGTCTGTGTGGGTATTGAAAAAAAACAAAAAAAAAACGTTGAGTAAGATGCTACAAACCCCATTAGTGCGATTCCGTGTTGAAATATACAGCTCTGTACCAAAATTGGAGTTGAAACGATGCAATGCAAGTCGAAGTAACTCGCAACGTTTCCTCAAATGAAAAACAATAAAACTACGAATCCTTTGAAGTATTTTTTGTATGGAGAGTAAAATTATAGATTAAGTGGAATAGTGGATTACATACGAACGTAATAATTAATCCGTGTTTCTCGTGATAATTACAAGTTAAATGTTATAATTAATTGATTGCTTATTCAAATGACTATCGGAATTCAAGCATTTAGCATTTATTCATGCAATTGTATAGTTTACCCCGTTGAATCTAGAGTGAAGGTTCACTATAGATTATGTACATAGAAATCCTTATATATACTTCGCATTAATAAACAATGTCTTATTCTCAGCTGCGAGACCAATCGCACACAACATATATTTGAACATTTCTTGCACATATACATAAAAGGTTACGATATTTTAAATCACTCTAAATTTTTTTTAAAAAACTTGATGATTCTCGTTATCAACACACGAATCCGAAGTAAATACTTGTGTTCTCTATGATAGAGATCAAATCGCTTCGCGTGAATTCGACAATAAAGCCACCGCATTGAAAAAGACTTTGTTTACCTTTAACGCTACATCTTTGTCTGATCAAATTGAATAATATTTATTATGACCTCAAGTTTAGCGACTGTATAATTCCTAAACTATATTACAGTACCACTATATATATATACACAGAATACAAGATCTTACCCAAAACTTTGGCATCGCGCGCTAACGGGTGTAAATTTGAAAATTTCTTTGCGTTCGGTACAAACAACTCTCCGTCACTGCAGTTAAAACGGTCGTCTGCGATATTTTATTCGTGAGATGGCTTTTATAACTCAGTCCAATATCGGTATATATCACAATGCGACGAATATATGTGCTGAAGTCACAATTTGCGTTTGGCACGATCGTGTACGAAACTCGCTTCGAACTCGTCAAAAACTTATGAATGATGCGCCAAATAATTTGACCGTCCAAATTTAGGGAGCACGTCTCGGTGCTCTCCAAGCAACCACTAACACTCCTATCAAAGGCAGCTTTTTAAAATGCAGATATGATAGCGGAAGCCAGGAATTTGACGTGTTGGCAGTAAAAGATCCTTACAACACATCGCCCACACTGTGTTATCAACAAGCTATGACGCCCAATATCGTAAGCATCGCCTAAATTGTTTATCGGCATTCTTAAAGCGCGACTTTTATGGAGTGAATTAAAGGTTTTGGATTAGAGTGCAGTTGTGTATATTGAAGCACACAGACCAATTGGCTGTTAAAAAAGTAGTTGAAAGTGTGGGAAATTTTCCAAGTTCATCAGCTCGCTTGGTGTAAACAGACGATATTATTTTAGAGTTTTTTCGACGTTATTCGGGGCCTGGGGGAGGCCGCTAGTGCGTGTTGGGTTGCATGCAGAGAGATATATATGGTCACACGCGATATTAAAATGAAGAAGCTGACTTAAGTGAAATGAAATGATGTGGTTACTGAAATCAACAATATATACTAGTTGCAATAACACTTAAAATACCTATACTGTTTTGGCCCATGTCTTACTCGGATTTAATGCTGTGATGCACTTATATAAGGGAGATTAAAATAAACTATGTAGTTTATAGTAGCTGGGTTGCTCTATATGCTTAAAACTGTTCTTCCTAGAGGTCCAGTAAGGATCATCTCTTATTGATCCAGTGTTACTACAGGAGGAAACCTAAACTAAACTAACTTTATTTATACTGGATAGCTCTATATCAGTTCTAAACTGTTCTTCCTAGAGGTCCAGTAAGGATCATCTCTTATTGATCCAGTGTTACTACAGGAGAAAACCTAAACTAAACTAACTTTATTTATACTGGATAGCTCTATCAGTTCTAAACTGTTTTTCCTAGAGGTCCAGTAAGGATCATCTCTTATTGGTCTAGTGTTACTACAGGAGGAAACCTAAACTAAACTAACTTTATTTATACTGGATAGTTCTATCAGTTCTAAACTGCTCTTCCTAGAGGTCCAGTAAGGATCCTCTCTTATTGATTCAGTGTTACTACAGGAGGAAACTTAAACTAAACTAACTTTGTTTATACTGGATAGCTCTATCAGTTCTAAACTGTTTTTCCTAGAGGTCCAGTAAGGATCATCTCTTATTGGTCTAGTGTTACTACAGGAGGAAACCTAAACTAAACTAACTTTATTTATACTGGATAGTTCTATCAGTTCTAAACTGTTCTTCCTAGAGAACCAGTAAGGATCATCTCTTATTGATCCAGTGTTACTGTAGGAGGAAACCTAAACTAAACTAACTTTATTTATACTGGATACTATATATATACATTTATACTTTATGCATGTATACCAGTAAGAATAATCTCTTAGTGATGCTGTTTACCAAATAAATAGTTGACTTAAACCAGGTGAATGCGTAATGCAAAAAATCCAGAAACATTCTATCATCTTTTTTATATAAAGGAATCTCCCTTGATGACGTAGCACTGACGTTCGCATCAGCAGGAGCTTAAATTTGCATGTAGGTAAGTTCTTACTTTGTACCACTTAAATTATTGTTTGTTGTCTGCATGTATAAATAGTTATAACTAATACTATGCATGTTTTTAGATTAAGAAGTAAGTTCAAACGCAGCACTACGAGAGCGATTAATTTTGGCTACGAATCAAAAATTATTATATTATATTTATTCTCACGGTACAGTGGTTTTTCGTGTGGGAAAAATTCCCAGCCGCCCTCGCGGACGTACCCCGCGCGAATTATCGTTAATCTGAAAATTGCAAAACGATTCAAAATTTAGATTTCGTTTGCTCGCTGTCACTAAGCGATAAGCTTTGAGTTGTCAGCATTCAAGTGATCTATGTAATTATGACGAAATTAACTGAAAAAGACTTTTAATGACAGGAATAGACGTAGTATAATTTACAGCCGAGGGGAAATAAGGGATTGCTATAGGCTGTCACGCTATGTGTGAATATTTAGTATAATTTAGTAATCGTCTTTCTGCGTGTATTCAGTGTGAGAATCAGTGCAAATATGGACTTAATTTACATACTTATAGCCTTATACAGCAAACATAGCTTGAAACGGCGTACATTATCGCAGTTAAGAGCATTATACTGAGTCTAATACACAGCTTAGTTCAACAAAGGTTCTTTCAAAAGTCCAACCTTAAACTCTTAGCGCGCAGTGGATGGGTGTAGGCTCGCTAACTTGGAAACTAGCTGTGTGAAGTACCTGTATGAATGTGTGTATGACGAGCGAGTTGCCTCAAAACAGAAATCTACCCGCTTTAAAGGTATAATCTGGTGACTTGAATTGGTCATATAATACTTGATAATTATGGGGTATATACAATCTATATTGTAAACAAAGTTAATGCTTTGTTTACATTTTGTACACGATATTTTTTAAAATACCAAGAGCAGTCAGAATATTTAACACTATTTTAGTTCGATATAGTTCTAAATGAAAATGAGCTGGAGTTTATGTTTAGAGCAAAAGAGAAATGTTATACTTCAAATCAAGGGCCTAAATAGACAAAACACTTCTCGACGTTTCGACCTATTCGATGCTAAGTTGTTTGAAGACGCTGCCACGCTGCTCCTTGGTTATATTCAAATCAAGCGTATATACCCATTGTTATATGAGCCGAACCAACGTACAAAAGCCGCCGCTTTAACTCCAAAATTTACAGTTTTAATATAGGAGAATCTTCTCCGATCGGTTAGCGAGAGGAAGAAATATTAGACAAAGAAATTTACACAGAACGAATAATTATTCATTCTTTAAAACGACTTGATTATCTCTGAGATCAATTCCAAAGAGAACTAGTAACGAATGTGAGCAATTGGGGACTTCAAGGTACATCAGGCGTGATTTCGGTACCTCTCTACTTTTTTTTTCTTAAAAGTATTTCTTACCTCAAATTGATCGACGAATGTTGAGAATATTCCAAAGAATTCCTCCGTGGTTGTCATATTTGGATCTTCGCCGAAGAATTTGGCCGTTTTTGTATATTCCGATTGCATTTCACTGTGAAGGGTCAGCAGGATTTCCATATCTCGTTTTGAGTTCTCAACAAATGACTTATGAAAATATTCGTTAAGGAATGGAAACAAATAATTTTCTTTTCTATTTCCCTTAGGTTCATAGATTTATATTTGAGCCACAAATAAAAATGGTCAAGGTCAGTTCAGAACTAGAATGCTTACCACTTTGTGGTCAAGGCTGGTCAGATCAAAATTCCAATCGCGGTTTTGAAGGGCAGATTCATCCCAAATATTTTAAAATATAAGTCTGAAAGGAGCCAATGGATATATTGACTCGCGCAGTCATATTTGACCTCTGGGTTTTGATCTCAAAAGGATACGCCCATTATTTCCGCGAATTTATCCTCGTCATTTTCAGGAATTTGACTACCATGCTCTTCTAGGTCTGTCTTCACATCCTGCGGACGTAAACACATATGGGTTTAAAGATTTATCTTTCTGTGATGCATTTTTCACTTAAAAACTTCATCACAGACCTCCATGGTTTTAACAACATCATCTATTTCCTCTTTAACCATCTGATATGACACTATGGAGGGAAAGAACATTGATTACATTTATTGATACCATTATAAATATTATCAAAATATGGTATAACAACTGCCTAAAATAAACAAAACACTTCTCGACGTTTCGACCTAAGGGCCTTCTTCAGGCGGAAAGTTGGTATGATATCATTAGTTGGAATACTCCGCAAAGTAATATGAGTAATATATATATATATATATATATATATATATATATATATATATATATATATATATATAAATATATTTATATATATATATATATTATATATATATATATTACTCATATTACTACAGTAATATGATATAATATATATATATATATATATATATATATATATATATATATATATATATATATATATATATATATATATATATATATACGCTGCGTTACGATACGTTACGATACGATACGACACGTTACGCTGCGTTTCGCTACGATACGGTTGAAGTTGAAGACAGTCACGATGCTTCTGAAGGTTGGGTAAACATGAAACATAAGAAATCTCACCTCTGGCTGCTAGTGATATTGAGGATAGTTCATTTTTCAAATCCAAAACCTCGGGGCATTTCGTCTCGACGGTTTTTACCAGGAACTTGAGCAAATTCGACTTGTTGTCGGAAGTCTTCGTACTGGATAACTAAAGCAAAAACGCTGCGTTAGACCTAAATATGCTTCTTTATAAAACGTATGTCTGTTCACACGATCCAATTTTGTTGGATCCAATTCACTACAGACGTATGGAATATAGTCGGCTATTGATGAAACTGTAGCGCATTGGCTTCAGTGGATTTGCTGCTGATATACATTACAAGACAACAGACTATAAAACATCCATCAGAAGTGAATTGGATCAAACAAAATTGGATTGTGTGAAAAGACCTTGAAACCGCGAGTCTCTAAGAATCAGGTTCATTCGAAAGGATATCCTCGTTTTATTGCTTTATCTAAAAGAAGGGTAATAAGAAATTACAAGTAAATTTACAAATACCTTTGCTAGAAAACCAACTCTGAACGCGGACGCCCCCGCTATTCTCGCATTTCCCTGGTTCATGTGGTTTCCAAACGCTAAGACGAGCTGTCGTGATGAAGAAACTTCAATAAGTATGATTTTGTAAATGTGTAACACAATTTGAAATGAGATAACGTATTCATCATACCTGGAGAACTTGCTGGAGTTTTTTACTTTCCCTTAATTCCTGAGATGCCTTCACAACTCTTTCTAATTCCTGAAAATCGCAAATTAACAGCCAAATTAGCGTGTTGATTTTCCTAATTGGCAACATAATCAATATCATTAGTTGATAACTGATCAAATTAACTTATTATTAACAATTCAATTGTCCTAATTAGCTGATAAATTATGGTAATAACTCCTTCCATTGACTCACCGGTTTTATTTCTTCCAATTTATCAGCAAAATGTAATTTAAATAACATCGCTTTTAGCCTGTGTCGGTAACCAGGGATCTTGCTTACCTGAAAAAAGAAATAAACTTACCTGAAAAAAGAAATAAACTTATATCGTATTAAATAAACCTGTTTCATATTCTAGAAGTATTACTTGTTATTCAGCTACGTCTTACATATCCAGTCTTATCTGAAAGAGGGCATCTTGGAAGTGGATGCACCATTTCGTCCTATTGGTGTAAATTATCTTGAAAATATGTTGGATCAGAAATCCATTTTGATAATTACCAACAGTGAGAATTTATCGCATTGTCCCAGCTTTCCTTCATCGTCTGCGAAATGTTTGTATTTCTGTGTCTGAAAGTCGAAGTATTTGTGACGAAAAATTAGTGTCAGATACACCTTATGAGCTAAGACAAACTACACTGATCTTATTTTTATACTGGATCGCTCCACAACGTCATCATTTGATTTGTACCTCTTTGTGATCTGGAGCGTACAACAGAAGTTGTTTCACATGAGCTTCACTCAAGGTTGTTTCATCCATCGATAACACCGCTCTCTTGATTTCTTCATGAGGAAGTTTCAGGTGGCCCAAGAGGATTGCTAAATTAGAACACAATGGACATACCAATTAATCAACCAATTTATACAATTATGTAGTAAATAAGGCAATTAATTATTTAATATATAACACTATTGCATACCGATGTTGTATTGTTTTCTTGGTTCTAAAATCTCTATTTTCTCTTGTTTCTTGCTCGTTGCTGGTGCTGTTTGGGTGAAATAAAAAATGAAAATAAGAGTCCTTTTTTACTGTATCACCTGAATATTTCATGTAGTTTGCTAAGGCGATGCTTGTGGTAAGGGTGACGATCAATGATTCTGACTGGAAGGAAGATCATAAGGTTATTTATTACACAGGATTCTCGACGTGCTTAAAACACGAGGTTTATTATACCTTTCGCTCGTTTGGCAGAACTAAACTGCTGTTCAAGTTCAACGAAATCCTCTAACTCGTCGAGCGGATCATTTCGTCCAAGCTGGAAAAATGAAAGTTTCATTGTGTTATTCTGCGGTGCATAATGGAAGAAAATATGCGACGCTGTTGGGGGAACTGAGATGAAAATGCCCTGATAGAAACATGGAAAGCAGGAAATATGCAAAAAAAACGTAGAAGGATGTTTGATATTTGACTCAAAAGATGATAGGAAAATCGCCAAGAGAAATCTCGAGGAATTGAAGATGTATTATGCAATGCAAGAATTAATTACGAATCGGGAGATTATGAAAAAACAGAAGTAAAATATAGTCGATAAAAGAAGAAAAGAAGCGTTTTTGATATTGGATTGTGAAGGATGATACGAAATTTGTGAAAAAGAGAAACCCGTGGAAATAAGATATATCAATTTTAGAATAAAAGAAGAGGTTAGGTGAAGAACTAAATAGGAAATGAAATGAAGTGAAAGAAAACGGAAGGAAAAGACGAAAACAGAAGCTGCGGTGGTTCCATTGAAGTGAATTGCAGGAAATTTAAAGAAATGTATTTGAGGGAAGTTTTATAAAAGATGATATCAAAGACCTCAAGACGCTAAATGATGCATTCTCTCTATTTTATTACGTTACCTGGCCCCAAACAGTATTTTCCAAACCAGCAATGCCTAGTTTTTCCCAGTTAACTCTCTTCAATTGCATCTTGGGTAACGTGTCGTTTTTACTGTTCATCCCGGTTGGCGGTGGGGGAGGAGGTGGGGGTGGAGCAGGGGGAACGAGTCCTCCACCCATTGGAGCAGGCGGAGGGGGCACTTCTTTTGAAGCTGGAACAAAAAATGTGGAATATTTGTGGTATGATAAAACCAGTTATATAATCCATCGCAATTATCGCTACTCTGGTTTGATTAATGAAAGTAATCACCACACAAAGATTACATTCACCATACAAAGATTCCATTCACCACAAAGATTACCTTCACCAAACCATAACCGTTTGATCATCTTCATAGCACGTCAATAAATTGCTGTACCTAAACTTTGGTTATCTTACCTTGTTGGGCCAAATGTTTCTTTTGGTCCTCAATCGCTGACGAGAGATCTCTGTGAGTGCTGCGTGATTTAATTTCACCTGGATAAAACCATTTCATTGCAGTTAGCGTCATGGAACAGCCGTAGTGATTACAGCAAAACCATGAACATTACCTTTGGACTTCTCGCCCAGTTCCGTGGATATTTCTGCTGTAGGAACACTGGGCAGATCAGAAGATTTACTGTCGAAGGTGTCTTGACCCTGTGTTGCTGAAATCGAGGTTCCACGGGCTGCCTCATTCACATCTTGATGTTTATTCTTGATAAGGAAAAAATAAATGAAAGACGTTTCATTGGTTGGTAACAAGGGGCGCATTTCTTTATACGGTAAAAACGGCTAGACCGGTCCTGTTGCAATTCAGTCCAGGCAGATCACGGGTATTTTAGAATGTCTCAAGAGCCCTGTATTCCAGTATTTCGCCGCTATATTCTTAACGAAATGATCTATTTCAATTCAAAATATGATCGGTTTGACCATTTTGGCCGCTTAAAGGAAAGCACCCAAGGTTTAAGATTCTCTGCATGATTTCGATCATCATTGAAGTCTGAAGATGCTCGAAGTAGCAATGCAAGGTCGCTTATATATTGAGTATACATTAATTCACAACAAGCAGTGTGAAACATTCAAGTCCTTACCGAATGTACCAAAGCCTCAACTGTGATGGTATTTCCTGCTGTGTTGGAAAAGGTGGTATTCTCAGCCGCAGTGAGAAGAGCTGCAACCGTGGAACCTGAGTGTATTGATAAAAGAAGATGGTTCAATATCATACGCTGTTTCATGGCCTTCAATCGATCAACCGGAATCAGTTAACAGCCTAAAAAGTCTACAATTAAGAGTCTATAAGGAACCAGCAGTCTTACTTTCATTTGACCGTGGGCTGTTCGGTCTTTCTTTCACAGGGTAAAGATCCAAATCGCCTAATTTCGGAAAGAAAACATGAGTTAGTTCCTTGTTATAAGGTGATGTATACAGTTACAGTTTTCTTGCAATCTCTATGTAGCGTATTGTGTCATTTACTCTGCACTGATTTTTACCTTGGTTTGATCCACCAATCAGGTTCTTTGGTTGAGGTGATTCACCCAATCGCAGACCTTGAACTCTGTATGCTACATCTATCACATCTGGACCTTCAGAACTCGATCCTGTGAGAGACGTATCAAGAAGCAAAGCTATTATTGTTGAGGTTTTTTGCATATCGCTAAAATCTAAGCGGAGTTTTGACTCTAGGATGGCTGTGAAATTGTCTATAGCTGGGCTTTGCAGACTCGTAATATGTCCATACTAACCCTGAAGATATTTCGCCATCAGTTTTTGAGCTTCTTTATCAAAATTATACTGTTCATTTTCCGGCAATAGTTGACTGAGATAGGGAACCATCTTCAACTTCTCCCGGTCATCAAGAATTGGTTCCAGTGTTGAAACCAACAGTTTCGCATTTCTGGAAAGGACAAGGGATAAATGCTCAGAGGTTGAAAAGGATATTGCATTGTACCGTATAGATGACAACATGGAAATGTCAATTGCAGATGCAGACTTTTACCTGTGTTTATGATATTCTTTCAGTCTTTGTTTTAAGACCAACTGTTCTCCTCGAGTTAAGAATTGGTTCATCTAAAACCCACAAACGAAACTTAATCACGAACCTACAACTAACTAATCTAATCAAAGGCCCGTTTACACTTGCAATTTTTGCTGCGATTTTATGTGCCCTTCTCGTCTTTTGATAGATGTGAACGAGTGAATTAGTTACTGATGTTCAAATAAGGGCTCTTATTAATCAGAACATTGGTAACTAATTGCTCATTCACATCTGTCAAAAGAGAAAAATCGCACATAAAATCGCAAGTGTAAACAGGCCTCAGTTTGATTTCATGCAACCATGCATTTGAAAAGACTGTAAAAGAGTAGATGAAAGAGTATTGTTGGACTTCAACAGTTGTGGTTTACCTGAAACTTGAACGTTTCTGCCAGATTCTGGACGGATCGATCAGCTTCACCAAGGTAGAGTTCAGGAGATCTCCGCGGAGAAGAAGCAGCCGATGTTGAGTAACTTCGTTGAAAGTTTGATTGCTCCAGATCGTTCTGTAAGACCGCAGGTGATGGTCTTTGATGGTATGATATGGTGTTACCGCGAGGTGATGTTGGTGGAGTTTGTTTCGTGGGTGATTTACTCCCTTTTGACCATGTCCTGGAATGGTAGAGTTGATGTTGAGTTCTGATGGTGATTATGGTAATGGTACTAGGGATGATAATCCTGTCATGGTAGTTACCTGAACTTTGATCCAGATGTCACAGGAGATTTTGATTGTGCTGGGGGAATATTCGTTTTTTCATCAAACGATGCACTTCGTTTTAAACTTGCTTTCTGGTTTTCTTGTAAGATATCTGTGAATATTTTTCTTTTATCTCTTGGGATGAGTTGCCTTAAATATCAACATGACGGTTAATTATGATATGATTTATCTAATACAGGAGGACAGCTAACTGTTCTTCCTAGAGGTCCAGTAAGGATCATGTCTTATTGATCCTAAACTATACTAACTAACTTTATTTATACTGGATAGCTCTATCAGTTCTAAACTGTTCTTCCTAGAGGTCCAGTAAGGATCATCTCTTATTGATCCAGTGTTACTATAGGAGGAAACCTAAACTAAACTAACTTTATTTATACTGGATAGCTCTATCAGTTCTAAACTGTTCTTCCTAGAGGTCCAGTAAGGATCATCTCTTATTGATCCAGTGTTACTACAGAAGGAAACCTAAACTAAACTTACTTTATTTATACTGAATAGCTCTATCAGTTCTAAACTGTTCTTCCTAGAGAACTAAAGTAACTGTATAGCGAGCTTTATTGTCTCAATGAAGTATCCAATGCAAGTCTGCTATGTTTGGCAGAGACTAAGGTTCATTTTTACTTACTTGATTGTAGGAATGAGTCTTTTTTGCACTGGTGTTTCCAAAATTTTCATGATTCCTCTCGCTAGCGTTTCTACGGATTTGTCTTTGGCGAATTTATTTAACAATTTCACGAGTTGAGATCTTTTCTTTTCCTCTCCAGCCAAATAATAGTTCATCTCTTGAAAGAATTCCCTCGCACGACGAAATCTTGAAGCCGTATTACGCTTCTCTATCTCCTCAATCGACTTCACCCCAGCAATCATAACCAACTGCAGCAGCGACCCGGAGGTATTGATCAACCTCTCCACGTCAATATACGTCATTTCTCGCACTGATGTATTATTCACCTCGACCAACATATCCCCAAGTCTTATCCCCGCCACCTTTGCAGGCCCACGTTCTTCCAATTGTGATACAAAAACAGGCCCACCTCCCCGGACCTTAAAACCAAACGTCCCCCTCCGCCTACGGAGTGTAAAACTCCTTATCCTCGAGATAACACACAGGGCAGGGGGTACCCTCGTGGATTGCCGGGCCAGACTGATCACATCCTCCTTACTCAAGCCCTGAACGTTCACGCCGTCTACCTCCAGAAGTTGATCGCCCGGTCTGAGGCCAGATTTCTGCGCGTACGATTCCTCAAATATATCCGTTATTATCACGGGCGCGTTTCCGCCGATCCGGAATCCGAAACCCTCTGGCCATGTGTGGTTCGTCCGCGGCGGTGTTGCTAAAGGTTGTCTCTTCATAGCAACGGACGAGTTGTGAAACAGCGTTGCGATTCTTCAAGCTATAGGATTAGAAATGTATTATAGTTTTATCCAAAAGCAATTTGTAGTTTCCTGTCGTCTCAATTCCACCCCGCTAGCAAAATTCCAGCGGCGATTTCACGCGCTTAGCAACGGATGAATTATTATAATACAATGAATTATGACCACGCGCAGATAAGAAAAGAAATAAGATTAATGTGTAATTCAGGTTTACGTTTCCCCAAAGAAAAATGACTTGTGATATATGTAGTATTCCTCGCTTGATAAAACTTGCAATTTAGGAATACATTTGGGAATTTTGAGAATGTCTATTTGAGAGTCGGTTTCTACAATATGAGAATATCTATTTGAGAGTCGGTTTCTACATCGGCTGGTTAATCCTAGCTTGGTCTTAAAATTTATTAAATTAAAAGTACCTGTAGTTTTACCAGCTTTCAAACTTCGCACGACGATCGATAACTACATGAACCATGTGTAAAATAGACATGTAGCTGCTTCGGAGCCTGTGCAATAAATGGCACTCCAAACATTCAAAATCCCAAACAATACATTCTTGCTTTGAAACAAAATGGCTCTCAGGTATTCACATAAATTCTCTCTTTAATTTCCTTGTTATAGAAACGAGATAATGGTCACATCGCCATGGAGTCAAGATCCTAATCAAACGTTGAAAGCTTGATCCAAGAAAGTTGTAGAAATTCACGAAAGAACAAGGTAATGTGTGAGTATTTTCTGATAGCTTCGTCCGGTTAAATTGATATGAGCGTGAACTGTCTTTCGGAATGAGCTTGTGTCAACATATAACGACACTAATCCCTTTGGAAATTTAAATTTTGTTCACTCATTAACCGTTGGCGTAACAATGCACAGGATTTGTAGTTTGAAAGTGAGTTTCGTTGTATTGTTTACGCTGTAGACTTCGTCATAACAACTGTAGAGTGTAGACTTCGAATGTAATTTAACACCATAATTAATGTGGTGATTCTATAATTTGCTATGTCTTTCCTCGTCTGCATTGCCAGCGATATTTCACGCGTCGTGAGGCAGGTAGAACTGACCAATAGTTTGATAAGTGCAAGATATGTCAAGGATATGTCTATGACCTAAATGACTTTGTGGACAGAATGTCTTATCGAGGCAAGTAAACTAGTAACAGAGCACGATCGTATATCAGAGTCATACTTTGTCACTAAACTATGTCATAATGCGGACATTTCGTAAAGGTCTATATGACATGAGACAGGTTTGACTATTGAGTTTATCAGGTGGGTGCCGGTGCTAAATTATTCTTACATTCCAACTTTTCTATTCTTTCCTCATGTACCATGTCAATGGTATGTAGATACATAGAGATCATTATGTGTTTAGAATATCCACGAAAATTTCAGGAATGAGAGAATCATTCCTGTATATAGTATAGACCTTGCTATGCTAGGCTGATTTGTACTGAATCTGTCTGGTTTGGTATTTACCCCTCTGAGGAAAATGAATTATTATAATTAATATGAATTGTTTGGAGAAATTGACTGTACTTCGGTATACCCCCAGTTGCCTGGAAGGATACCTCTTTGGGAGGAGGGGGGCACATACGTGGTGCCCCGTATTCTGTGTTAGCGAGAAATTGTTTCGGATTACGAACTTTTAACAAACAGCTTTTTAAAGTACCATATCTTTTGCCTCGTGCTCCATGCAGATTTTCACCCCCCCCCCTGCCTTCTCTACGCTACTGTAGATAATAGTTTTTTCTATGAAAACAGCTCTTTTTCTATGAATCGCATTTATTTTTAAATCAAGACTGAACTATTTAGATTCTACCTGAACTAACAACATGTTGTGTAAAAAGGTCTTTATAACAAGGATATTCAGTTCAATGTAAAAAATCTATGTAATGCTCAACGCGAGCTAATTTGGATTTATAGATAAGAACTACAGCACATTCTGCTAAACTATTATCACGCTAATAATATATATAAAAGTATTACTTGACAACCGTGCAAAAAAAAATGCGACTGGTTCTGTCGCCCTTATGTCGAATTTTTGTCGCTCAAAAGTTCCCCTTCAAGGACAAACTTGGGTTGTCCCCCTCTACTATATTATTGTGATAATTACTTTAAAATTAGCTATGTTCTGTCGCCCTTGTGTCGCTCCAAGTTTTCCCTTCAAGAACAAACTTGGACTAGGAAGGATTCGTCATTTCAAACAAACGTCGTGGTTGGTTGTCTAATTGCTCGCTGTGTTCGTTGTGGTGTTGATAAATAAGGAATCCCCCAATGCTTCGTGAGCGTGAGGTCTATCATCAATCTTGTAACTAATCAGCCACGACACAAACCTACGAGCATCGCGGTCACCAAGTTTCTCCAAATTGACAGGATTATTCTCTAAAATATTTTTCATTCGATCTAATGCAGATCCAAAGGGATGTTCACCTTTGGTTAACACGTAAAAAGCAATCATACCCGCGACATGGACATCTGATTTCCTTTTAAAACGACTTTTTTCTTTTTTAACTATTGCTTCAATTACTTCCGGTGGCATCCATCCACGAGTACCTTTTGCATCTGTTTCAACTGTCGTTTCATCTTCATTAACAACGCGGCTTATTCCAAAGTCTGCCAATTTCATGCGGCCTTCGATATCAACCAGGACGTTTGATGGTTTTAGATCTCTGTGCAATATTCCTTTACCATGAAGAAATTCAAGTCCGGATAGAATTTCCCTAATCATTCGTGGACCTTGCTCTTGTAGATATTCAATACTGCTTGCATGAACAAGTTCCCTCAAGGTTTCTTCGCAAAGATCAACAATAAGATACATGAAGGTATCGTCACGGTGAAAATGTCGATATTTCACTATGAATGGAGAGTTTGTTTGAATGAGATTCATGATTTCCTTTTCGTTTTCAACTGTTTCATCCTCAGTTTGCACCAAAATTCTCTTAACAGCAACTTCACTTCCATCCTTCATGAGACCAACATAGACGCAAGAAAAACCACCATCACCAATTTTGAATTGATTCTTTGCGACAAAAGCCTGCATTGGTGTTTCAACCTATGGGGAGAAAATTATAATTAAAAAACAATAGGTTTTCTGTGGGGAGAAAAAAAAAACTAGAAAAAGCATTCGAGTGTTTGAATAAACGAAGGCAATAAATCTGTAACAGTTTTCACACATCACACGAGCCTGGTTAAACCGAGACGAATCCAAATGCGTGTTATCGAGCTACCGCGTCGTGGATCGTAAACTTCCTATATTAACCTTAGTTACTGCCTAAACTCACTGAAACAACATTTTATAAATTTAAAAAAATTTACCTCTTCTAATTTGTTGCAATCCATTGTTCTCAACATCTGAATCTTCTCACGATGATTTACGGACCTTTTGAGGATAGTTGCTATTTCATCATGACCGAGGTGAATACTCCATTCAAGAAGACTCATTTGTCTTCCTTCAACAAGAAATGTTCCAGCTCTCCACACAGCGATGTCCTTTTCCAACAGAAAATTGACCAAAGCAACTGAATTTTTCTCAACAGCCATTTTCAGGATGTCAATGCCAATAGTATGAACGCTGTGTTTACTTTTAAGAGTTACGTCAGCGCCATGTTCAACAAGATATTTTACTATTTCTAGCCTACCTTCAGTAACAGCACTGTGCAGCACTATCGATCCGTCAGTATCTTTTCCACGTACATCAGCTCCATTTTCAACAAGATATTTTGCCATTTCTAGCGTACCTTCAGTAACAGCATAGCGCAGCACTGTCCATCCGTTAGTATCTTTTCCATTTACATCAGCTCCATTTTGAACAAGATATTTTACCATTTCTAGCGTACCTTCAGTAACAGCATAGCGCAGCACTGTCCATCCGTCAGTATCTTTTCCATTTACATCAGCTCCATTTTGAACAAGATATTTTACCATTTCTAGCGTACCTTCAGTAACAGCATGGCGCAGCACTGTCCATCCGTTAGTATCTTTTCCATTTACATCAGCTCCATTTTGAACAAGATATTTTACCATTTCTAGCGTACCTTCAGTAACAGCGTGGCGCAGCACTGTCCATCCGTCAGTATCTTTTCCATTTACATCAGCGCCGTTTTCAACAAGATATTTTAATATTTCTATCCTACCTTCAGTAGTAGCATAGCGCAGCACTGTCCGTCCGTCAGTATCTTTTCCATTTACATCAGCTCCATTTTGAACAAGACATTTTACTATTTCTAGCGTACCTTCAGTAACAGCATAGCGCAGCACTGTCCATCCGTCAGTATCTTTTTCTTTTACATCAGCTCCATTTTGAACAAGATATTTTACTATTTCTAGCGTACTTTCAGTAACGGCATGGCGCAGCACTGTCCGTCCGTCAGTATCTTTTCCATTTACATCAGCTCCATTTTGAACAAGACATTTTACTATTTCTAGCGTACCTTCAGTAACAGCATAGCGCAGCACTGTCCATCCGTCAGTATCTTTTTCTTTTACATCAGCTCCATTTTGAACAAGATATTTTACTATTTCTAGCGTGCCTTCAGTAACGGCATGGCGCAGCACTGTCCATCCGTCAGTAACTTTTCTATTTACATCAGCTCCATTTTGAACAAGATATTTTACTATTTCTAGCGTACCTTCAGTAACAGCATAGCGCAGCACTGTCCATCCGTCAGTATCTTTTTCTTTTACATCAGCTCCATTTTGAACAAGATATTTTACTATTTCTAGCGTACCTTCAGTAACAGCATAGCGCAGCACTGTCCATCCGTCAGTATCTTTTTCATTTACATCAGCTCCATTTTCAACAAGATATTTTACCATTTCTAGCGTGCCTTCAGTAACAGCATAGCGCAGGACTGTCGATCCGCCAGTGTCTTTTCCATTTACATCAGCTCCATTTTGAACAAGATATTTTACCTTTTCTAGCGTACCTCCAGCAACAGCACTGTGCAGCACTGTGGATCCGTCAGTATCTTTTCCATTTACGTCAGCGCCCTTTTCAACAAGATATTTTACCATTTCTAACGTACCTTGAGAAGCTGCATTATGCAGTACTGTCCACCCGTCAGTATGCTTTCCATTTACATCAGCGCCATGTTCAACAAGATATTTCATAATTCCTAGTCTATCTTCATATAAAACAACATCATCCGGCGCTGTACTCCCGGCACTTTGCTTGGCATTTATATCAGAAACAGAGTGCAGCACTGTGTAACCTTCAGTATTCTCACCATTTACATCAGCGCCGTTTTCAACAAGATATTTTACCATTCTAAGCATGCCTACAATGACAGCAGGGTGCAGCACAGTCCAGCCATCGGTATCCTTACTATTTACATCAGCTCCGTTTTCAACAAGGTATTTTACTATTTTCAGGGTACTTTCAGTAACAGCAGTATGCAGCACTGTCCATCCGTCAGTCATCTTTCCATTTACATCAGCGCCGTTTTCAACAAGATATTTTACCATTTCCAGAGAACGTTTAGTAACAACAGAGTGCAGCACTGTCCACCCATTAGTCTTTTTGCCATTTACATCAGCGCCAAGTTCAACAAGATATTTTACCATTTCTAGTTTACCTTTAGTAACAGCAGAGTGCAGCACTGTGCATCCACGAGTATCCGTACAATTTACATTAGCGCCATTTTTAACAAGATATTTAACTATTTCTAGGCTTCTTCTAGTAACAGCTTTGTGCAGCACTGTCAACCCCTTAGTTTTCTGGCGATTTAAATCAGCGCCATGTTCAACAAGATATTTTACCATTTCTAGCCTAACTTCTGTAACGGCAGAGTGCAGCACAGTCCACCCGTTAGTTTTCCCACTATTTACATCAGCCCTGTTTTCAACGAGGTATTTTACCATTTCTAGCGAACCTTGGGTTACTGCAGCGTGCAGCACTGTCTCTCCGTTAGTATCTTTGCCATTGACATCAGCCCCCTTTTCAACAAGATATTTGACCATTTCTAGCGTACGTTTATTAACAGCAGAGTGCAGCACTGTCTCCCCGTTAATTTTCTTGCTGTTTACATCAGCGCCGTTTTCAACAAGATATTTTACAATTTCTAGCGTACGTTTAGTAACAGCATAGTGAAGCACTGTCCATCCGTCATTATCCTTGCCATTTCCATCAGCGCTTTTCTCAACAAGATATTTTACTATTTTCAGCATACCTTCACTAGCATAGTTAAGCACTGTCCTGGGATTGCTCTTACCATTTACATCAAGATATTTTACCTTTTCTAATGTAGCTTTTGTAACAGCACTGTGCAACACTGTCGATCCGTCAGTATCATTGCTATTTACATCAGCGCCGTGTTCAACAAGATATTTTACTATTTCTATCGTACCTTCAGTAGCAGCAGAGTGCAGTACTGTCCATCCGTCATTCCTCTTACCATTTACATCAGCGCCATTTTCAACAAGATATTTTACAATTTCTAATGTAGCTTTTGTAACAGCACTGTGCAACACTGTCCATCCGTCAGTATCATTGCTATTTACATCAGCGCCGTGTTCAACAAGATATTTTACCATTTCTAGTAAACCTTCAGTAACAGCATATTGCAGCACTGTCTCCCCGTAGGCATAAGTATTCTTTCCATTTACATCAGCGCCATGTTCAACTAGATATTTCACCATTTCTAGCCGACCGTTTTTAACAGCATTGTGCAGCACTGTCCACCCGTGAATATCCTTGCCATTTGTATCAGCGCCATGTTCAACAAGATATTTCAATATTTCCGGCCTAACTTTAATAACAGCGTAGTTCAGCGTTGTCCATCCTATTTTATCCTTGTCATTTACATCAGCACCACATTGTTCAAGAAAATATTTGACAATGTCTGTTTCACCAACATCAACAGCATGATGTAAAGCAGTTTTGCCCGACTCATCTTTACAACTTAAGTCAGCACCACAATATTTAACCAAAAACTTGATAATTGCTAATGACGGAGACTGCATTGGACTCTGAGAAGTTATTCCATCGTCTCGAATTAAGATGGCGTTTTTGACCATATTCGCAAACACCTGTATACTTCCACTTACTTCTTACCAATTCCTATTATAAACGTTGAGAATGTAGAAATGAGACAATTTTATTTCGTGGGGGCCTTGCGCCGTTGAGAATTTATTTTTTCTATTGTTTCTAAAGTGAAAAACAACCCCAGTGGGTATCGTTGGGATGTCGTGGTCTCAACGAAATTTTACTCAGAATTTAAGACCATTTCATTAAAAAAAATGCCATACACAGCAAAATTTGATCGAGTTTTCGTAAGCTGTCAGTTTTGAAATGAGAATGTTTCTAACAATCTGACACGAAATTTGGTGACAAATATTTATATAAAAAAGTTATAAGCAAGTTAAAAATTTGCAGTTAATAGAGTAATATGTTCTAGAAGGTCCTATTTCATCCTGCATATGGACCATCTCCGGTCTAGCTGTCATAGTTATCGCATGCACTAATTTTAGCCCGGGCAAGGTCAAGGCCTCAATAGAGCAAGGCAGTCTTTACCAGCCATGTTAATAGTTATAAAGTCCAAAATCTGACCGAACTCTGGCATCTTAGCATGTGAACAACGTATGCAAACTTGTGTTACGGCCAATCGAATCTCCCCTGACGGTCTTTCCCTTCACGTGGACTAGAACAATGGTCCCCTCTTTCTGCTAGGTTTTTCCTGCTCCCCATGCATGCATTGGTCATTCGTAAGACCTCAGCCGTTGCGTCCACAACGCCGGTCAAATATTTAAAGGTTTTTTATCGAAAGGCGACAATATATATCTGCGTTTCAAAAATAATTATAATAACCAAAAACTACAAAAATTAACCCCATCAACCTCCCCACAGCGAAGGACCGGCCGCAGTGGCATCCGCATGTAAGTATATACTGATACGTTATGTTCATTCATATGTTATCTCTAGAGAGTCTGTCGATACTCTTCTTGTAACTTGTAATGAATTGCAGTGATTAAACAATCGGGCAGGAAGTGCTGTCCTTCTGGACAACACCTCACCACGTGAAGTGCATTTGTACAGGTCATTTTGGTCGAAAATGCGACCTGATGACCTGACCTAGAGACTCGATGGGTCAGTCAGGCAATATTTGAGTCGAGCTGACTGACCAGAACAGGGGTCCGCCTGTTCCCCTGTTATCTAGAGGTTCACCTGTTCCTCTAGAAAAACCTATAATTTTTGCATGCTCTGTCGGGTTTTGAGTGCCCTTACTGTCTTAGTATTGTTAAGAGATGATTTATTTGATTGTTAATAACGAGTTTAAATTAAGCTGCGAAAATACACAGTGTTTTTGTCCAAAGACATCTAAAAACAAGCCGCTATATAAAGTGCTTACGTCAGCTTGTCTAACGCCATAACGACAAGTTGATACTAATTTAAATGTTCAATTACAATAAAATAATTGTTCTCAACATCACTCCCTCCCTAATGAGAGAATGGGTTCTATTATGTTAACCGTCACTATCCATTTAATTATACTGTTCATAGAGAATAGTCTTTCAACCAAGCGGGTGGTCTTCTGTTGCGGGAACTAGTATTCTGGCAGTCGACCACTCCCGGGGTCTGTTGCTCAGTCTTAACTATGACAGGTTGTTCCAGGCTTGGTGCGTTTGAAATACTTCCTTGGTTGTGAGCACGTCCTCTGTGTGTCGAACCACCAATTGTACATCCTCATCGTCACTATCGTACTCGATACTGGCTCGTGGAGGCTCTTTAGGATCACCATGCGAGCTGTCACGTTTTCTCTTTTCAGGCTCCGACTTCTTTTCAGGTGAACTGGATACCAAATCGCGTCGACGAACTGTGCAAGGCTTCAGCCTGTTGAAATGTACCACGACACGTTTTCGTCCCCGTCCGTCACGCTGGACGCGATAGACTGCATCAGACAACGCTTTCACAACGGTATATAGGGACCACCCCATGGTCGCCTTAGCTTTTTCGACATATTACTCTGCATAGCTGGATCAAATAACCAAACTTTGTCACCAACCTTATAAGGACTCCCGGATGCTTTACTGTCATAGTAGTCTTTGTATCTTCTTGTTGTTTGCTGCATTTTACTTCTTGCCAGTTCATGGGCCTTGTGAAACTTCTCTTTGCTTTGAATAATGTACGATGTCGTATCCTGTGAGCCACCATCTTTAGCCTCCATGCCTTCCACCAATAAATCCACCGGAATTCTCGCTTCTCTTCCGAACATCAAACGATACGGCGTTATTCCTGTTGATGCGTGCACAGCGGTTCCGTAAGCCAAGAGGACATGTGGAATCCAGGCATCCCAATCATTCTGGTTCCTGTCAACAATCTTAGATAACATGTCTTTCAGAGTACGGTTACATCGTTCCACAAGCCCATCACTCTGTGGGTGGTAAGGTGTCGTATGTGTCTTGTTCACGCCCAGGATCTGTACCATACTTTCAATCAACTTGCTCTCAAATTCCTTACCTTGGTCCAAGTGGAGGTGTTGCATTACGCCGTATCTCGAAATCCACTCTTCGACCAGTTTCTGAGCAACGGTTTCAGCATTGTGACTAGCAATGGCATAAGCTTCTGGCCATCTGGTGAAGTAGTCACTTACAACCAGGATAAAACGGTTACCACGTGCTGTTTTTGGAAGTGGACCGACCACATCCATCGCCACTCGTTCCATCAGATACCCATTTGGCATCGTACCCAACTTCGCTCGAGGCATCTTGGCTGGTGCATTCCGCTCACTGCAAACTTGGCAGCTGCGGCAATAGTCCTCTACATCTTGTCTCCTGCCCTTCCAATACAGTCGTGCCACGACCCTCTCGGCCGTCTTCAGTGCACCCAAGTGCCCACAAGTTGGGGTATCGTAAAGCATTATCATCACCTCATTGACCAATTTACGTGGAACAACCAGTTGCAGGTGTCTAGACTTGCCATCCTCTGATTTATACGTACGGAAAAGTAGCCCATCTTTAATTGTCAACCTGTTGAATTGGCTCCAAAGACTACCTACCACTGCACTTTCCCCGGCAATCACCCTTCTTTCTGGTCGAGCTCCAGTCTCGACCCACTTGATAGCTTGACCGATAGCTGCATCTTCCTGTTGGTATAACGCAAATTCCGACTTCGTCCATCTGCCTAACCAAGTGCCGTTAGTAACATTCTCCACATAAAAAGCTTCATCATCAGATTTTTCGGGTAGAGTAGATCTTGACAATGCATCTGCGTTCTGATGACATAGTCCAGGTCTGTGTTCGATAGAGAAGTTGAACTTAGCCAACCGTTTAAGCCACCGTGCCACCTGTCCTTTAGGATTTTTGAAGCTGTACAACCACTTAAGCGCACTGTGATCGGTGCGGACATGGAACTGTCTTCCCAGGAGGTAGACTTTAAAATACTCCAGGCCCCACACTAGAGCATATAGCTCCTAGGATTGGCCGACCTCCACGCGCTAATACTTGTTTTCTCTAGTGCGAATTATCTGGAAAGTATCATTATGCATAATTGTCACTGCTGCTCCAGTGTCTACTAGGATGCATATCTCCACATTGTTTATGGTGCATTGTACAAATGTTGCATTCTCTGTTTCATTACTCGTAACGTGGCTTGGGTTTTCTTTTTCGATTTGCTGCGGCTCGGGCGGTAAACTAACTTCCCAGTTTCCATCCGTGAAAACATCCTGCTTAGCTCGGAAACTGTTGTTAGACCTCACTGTGTGCAAAGTAGCCGTTGAACGCTCGCCAAACTCACTCTCCATCGACTCTACTCTACGGGTCAGGTTTTCAATACGATGAGCTAATTGGCTCTATTTTCACATTCCTGGCTCCACATTCAGATTCGAATGTAGAGCCAGAATGGGGATTTTTGCAATGAAACCGCGATAACTTCGGAGCGGTTTGAGCTATTGGAGAAAAATGAAATGCCATTCTTTATGAACATTTAATGAATGAAATAAAGCAACTTAGAGCTTTTTAGCTTATCGTATTTATGCTGGAGGCCGAGCAAAACATAAATGGTTTTCTTCGCCTCGCGATCGAATGCAGAGCCAGATTTAAAACTCTGCACGAAAATAATTATATCTCAAAAACCATTTCGTATGCAACAAAAATATTCAATGCCATTCTGCATCAACCTTAAATGTTCAAACTAAAAGTTTCTAGGACTTTGAAACTTGTAAGCCTCTCTGCGTAGAACGAACGAAACGATTGTTTTGACGCGGCGTCCAAATGCCGTTTGACGGCCGCAGATGCTGAAATAGAAAATTAAAATGCTATATTTTCGAAACCCGCGCATATATCGAAATATGCTTAAATGCCATTCTGCGTCAGCATTGGAAAAATCCAATTTATCAATCCGAAACTTTTTACCTTGTGTCGTATGGTCTGTAGACCGAGCAAAACATATGTGCCATCATGCGCCGCCATATGTTAATCTCAAACACCAAACTACATGTCGCGAACATATCGCCGTATTTCTCCAAAACGAAAAAGCGTGGCACAAAACGCTTCAGTGCCATTCTTCATAAATATAAAGCAACAATATCTATGAGTTTTGGCCTTCGAGGTCATTCCGTCTGATAGGAATTGCGAGCATAACAAGTCTTGCTGAAACCCCTAATCTTGTCGGAAACGCAAAAGAGTGGGCACATTTTTGAGGCGAAATCAAAATATCTCCTCAATGCAAGGTTGTTTGGCTAAAATATCTTACTCCATTCTTCGTAGCTTTTAACGTAGAGCGAAAAGAAGCAAACAATATTGAAGTAGGCACCCCCTGATTCACCAGTCAAAACGAATGCATTAATTTGTTATTATTTCTGGGGGTTTTCCCTGTGTGAGAACCATTAATTATATTAACCATGGTGTGATTGATCTCCTCTACAAACTTAATGTTGCTATTATCTTGCTTATAACTATAAGCTAAACCCTGCTTATAAACTACAGTTACATTTGTTGGTTTCCAAACGGAAAGTCTGTAAAACGTAACAGGATGTTTTTCTGTATTTTTTGTAAATGCGAAACAAACAAGTTTGTAATTTTCCGTTGCTAGCTAACTGTTTCCGCAAATGCTTAAGTTGGTTAACCATCCGTAAGTTGGTTAACAGCGCGTTTTAGCAAATAATGCGCAAATTGCGGTAAGCAGACTGTATCCGTTGCGATAAGTTATAAGCAAGATAATAGCAACATCAAGTTTGTAGAAGAGATCAATCACACCATGTTTTACCATGGTTAATATAATGGTTCTCACACAGGGGAAATCCCCAGAAATGATAACAAATTGATGCATTCGTTTTGACCGGTGAATCAGGGGGTGCCTACTTCAATATTGTTTGCTTCTTTTCGCTCTACGTTAAAAACTAAACTACAGAACCAAATGAATTTTAGTTAGATTGGTGCCTCTAATCCCAACGAAGAATGGAGTAAGAGATTTTAGCCAAACAACCTTGCATTGAGGAGATATTTTAAATTCGCCTCAAAAATATGCCCACTCTTTTGCGTTTCCGACAAGATTAGGGGTTTCAGCAAGACTTGTTATGCTCGCAATTCCTATCAGAAGGAATGACCTCGAAGGCTAAAACTCATAGATATTGTTGCTTTTATATTTATGAAGAATGGCATTGAAGCGTTTTGTGCCACGCTTTTTCGTTTTGGAGAAACACGGCGATATGTTCGCGACATGTAGTTTGGTGTTTGAAATTAACATATGGCGGCGCATGATGGCACATATGTTTTGCTCGGTCTACAGACCATACGACACAAGGTAAAAAGTTTCGGATTGATAAATTGGATTTTTCCAATGCTGACGCAGAATGGCATTTAAGCATATTTCGATATATGCGCGGGTTTCGAAAATATAGCATTTTAATTTTCTATTTCAGCATCTGCGGCCGTCAAACGGCATTTGGACGCCGCGTCAAAACAATCGTTTCGTTCGTTCTACGCAGAGAGGCTTACAAGTTTCAAAGTCCTAGAAACTTTTAGTTTGAACATTTAAGGCTGATGCAGAATGGCATTGAATATTTTTGTTGCATACGAAATGGTTTTTGAGATATAATCATTTTCGTGCAGAGTTTTAAATCTGGCTCTGCATTCGATCGCGAGGCGAAGAAAAATTACCATATGTTTTGCTCGGCCTCCAGCATAAATACGATAAGCTAAAAAGCTCTAAGTTGCTTTATTTCATTCATTAAATGTTCATAAAGAATGGCATTTCATTTTTCTCCAATAGCTCAAACCGCTACGAAGTTATCGCGGTTTCATTGCAAAAATTCCCCATTCTGGCTCTACATTTGAATCTGAATGTGGAGCCAGGAATGTGAAAATAGAGCCAATTAGCTCATCGTGTTTTCTTGTGTGTCCTCACTCATTTTGTCATCCCACCGCTGCCACCAAATGTTAAGAGATGATTTATTTGATTGTTAATAACGAGTTTAAATTAAGCTGCGAAAATACACAGTGTTTTTGTCCAAAGACATCTAAAAACAAGCCGCTATATAAAGTGCTTACGTCAGCTTGTCTAACGCCATATTATAAACGACAAGTTGATACCAATTTAAATGTTCAATTACAATAAAATAACTGTTCTCAACATCATAACTAATGGTGGTCCCTAGATCATCAGGTCTCAACTCACTGAACAACATGCACAGAGCTGGCTCACACCCTCTGCAACTTAGAGGTCCTCCTGTCCCTCTAGGAAAAACTTAGGTTAATTAGAGCCTGTAGTCCTTTTTTCGAGCGCTTTCTGCCCAAATTATATGCCACAAAAATGTCTCATTGTGTTGTTCCTTTGCTAAGTTGCCAGACGTTCAAAATCCTTATAAAGAATCTCAACATATAAACTACATTAATTACATTTTTGAACAATTGAACTTCTATACTTTTTAAAGTACGATGTGCTTCTGAATTTCACGATCGAACAACATTTAGGTTCGCAAGGCATTTAAATGAGTATGAACTGTATTATTTATGTTTAGAAGCTTTATATTGAAGACTGGCACGTGCGCCGGAGTTAACGCCAGAACAGGCGTCTTGTTAACTTATGCTTCGTTCTTTAAAATATTAAACGATTGCGTATCCACGGATCCGCGTATCCACACAAAACTTATGGGTACATTTATCTCATGTCTTATTAACTTATGCTTCGTTCTTTATAATATTAAACGACTGCGTATCCACCTCAGTGGTATCCGCGTATCCACACAAAACTTATACCTACATTTTACGTCAAATATTTCTCGTGTCTTATTAAGGGGCCGGTTACACGGGGCCTAACTTATCCTTCCTATCTTACCTATTCACGCGCCTAGTTTAGAAAAACTTGGTATTTTAAAGACATCGCTGAAAAAATTGCGGGGTATTCTGCAATCGCTCTCAAACTTCAACATACAGCTATGTCTCTTTAATTTTAGAATTTTCAACTTGAGTGAAATATATATATTAATATCGTCCGATGTTTCGATGTCGGAAATGCAAACTTTAATGTGGTTAAAACAAATTTAATACATGGGAATACAAGTTTAGTGATTGTGAATACGAGCTTTAGTGATGGGAATACAAGCTTTAAAGTTGCGAATACAAACTTTAATGTTCAAAATACGAACATTGTCATTGATGTTGCAAAGCATGACTTTAATGTTGAAAATACAGATATGCGACACAGGAATGTTACACACAAACCTTGCACGAATATATGCTACTCGTCTCGATCATATGGTTTCTAGTCGCTTCTGAGTTTTGCCGTGCTGAAGCAAATCATTGTGATTATAATCTACTTACCCACTTTCAATGGTTTATGTTCTACATCATAATAAAGATTCTCGATACAGCATCGAAAACGAAACAAATATATCGGATAAAAATCTTTGTCATCAAAACCACTACCGTTTGTGGTATTTTACAATAGTCAATAAACAAGTAAGATCCAATTTCCGGTTTGCAGCTCGAGTTACAAATTTAACCTGGAGCCAGAGACCTGGAGCATCTATAACACCACAAAGCTTCTACGTACTTCAATTATATATTTTTTACTCTTCGTCAGCAAAAGAAGTGTAAATCAAAACAATCACCAAGTCTCTACTGCTTCTAGCTCTATCTTAACACCTTCCTTCCATACAGCATAAGTCATGTCGCAGGCGATACAGCGTCAATTAAATCTGGGACTATTTACAGTTAGTCCTTAGCGAAATCGTTCTTGCAACGAACAAATATAATCCTATAATTTTAAAGACGTTGTGACAAATGGCTTAGTTAGTTCTCCATTATCCAAACAGCTTTTTTAAAGTCATCTTGGTAATCTGGCTCATGTGAACAGCCCCTCAGTTATGAAATCTTTCTTTCAAATAGTGTACAATATATTGCAGAATGCAGACTTTAATATTGAGGTTCTACCTGAACCAACCACACGTTGTGTTAAGGATATTTTAAGAGTAACAAGACGCCGGCTTAGGCGTACACGGTACACTCGTGCTCTAGGGATTGTGTTCTAGGGATTTAATAGCATTACTTGAGGGACACAATCATGGCGTGCTGTAAGAACCCATAGCGTAAGTTAAGGCTTTGTGGTTATCCTGGGCCTGGGAGGATAGTATATTGTAATTTACAGTTGGTACGGTATTTAGTAGACATTTTTTCTTGATGCAATGTCAATTATATTGTATCGAGGTGACAACAGCATCATGATCAGAATAATAAACGTGTACTAGAGAATTTCTAATTGTGTGGAACGAAGTAAAATAATACATTTACATTATTATCACAATTCACAAAATTTAAAAATATACATCGCACCAAGGAATATGCATGTAAATGTTGCACCGTAAATGTATAATGTCTTCTGTGCATATATATTTTGCATCCTTCGTATTGTTTGTAAAATGTGGTTTGTGATTTTGTATTGTCGGATAATTATATTTCGTCATGCATTACTGGGTCAAGTGCGCAATGCATTCTGGGTCATCAAGGTCCAAAACGCGACCTACACACGACGAAACCTAGACTCATGCTTTCCTAGAGCACGAGTAATGAATATGAATTATTTGGAGAAATTGACTGTACTTCGGTATACCCCCAGTTGCCTGGGAGGATACCTCTTTGGAAGGAGGGGGCGGGGGGGGGGGGGCGCACTTACGTGGTGCCCCGTATTCTGTGTTAGCGAGGAATTGTTTCGGATTACGAACTTTTAACAAACTGCTTTTTAAAGTACCATATCTTTTGCCTCGTGCTCCATGCAGATTTTCACCCCCCCTGCCTTCTCTACGCTACTGTAGATAATAGTTTTTTCTATGAAAACGGCTCTTTTTCTATGAATCGCATTTATTAATAAATCAAGACTGTACTATATAGATTCTACCTGAACCAACAACATGTTGTGTAAAAAGGTCTTTATAACAAGGATATTCAGTTAAATGTAAAAAAATCCATGCAATGCTCAACGGGAGCTAATTTGGATTTATAGATAAGAACTACTGCACATTCTGCTAAACTATTATCACGCTAATAATATAAATTATATAAAAGTATTACTTGACAACAGTGCAAAAACACTCCTGAGAAAAACTCACTCGTGCATGTTATATCCAAACTGCACTCGAAACCATGCTATTACCTATACTAATTGGCATAGGATCGAGAATCACCTCGATAAAACAACCTCGCAAATTATTAAAACACCTTAAACAGTATTCAACGTCTTGTCGATTTTTGACGAAAGGATTCGGAAAGTGTCGCGAGATACACGGCGACTTGCGAAGCTGTAAATGATGCTACCGACCATCAAAGTTGCTACCGACCGTCTACGAAATACAAATCCACGGCGTTGCTTTATTGTCGCTTGATGCGACTGGTTCTGTCGCCCTTGTGTCGAATTTTTGTCGCTCCAAATTTCCCCTTCAAGGACAAACTTGGGCTGTCCCCTCCCCCCTCTACTATACTATTGTGATAATTACTTTAAAATTAGCTATGTTCTGTCATACTTGTGTCGCTCCAAATTCTCCCTTCAAGGACAAACTTGGGCTAGGAACTACGAAGGATTCATCATTTCAAACAAACGTCGTGTTTGTTGTCTATAATTGCTCGCTGTGTTCCTTGTGGTGTTGCTAAATAAGGAATTCCCCAATGCTTCGTGAGCGTAAGGTCTATCATCAATCTTGTGATTAATCAGCCACGACACAAACCTACGAGCTGTGGGATTACCAAGTTTTTCCAAATTGACAGGATTATCCTCTAAAATATTTTTCATTCGATCTAATGCAGATCCAAAAGGATGTTCGCCTTTGGTTAACACGTAAAAAGCAATCATACCCGCGACATGGACATCTGATTTTCTTTTGAAACGACCCTTTTCGTTTTTCTTTATGGCTTCGATTACTTCCGGTGGCATCCATCCGTGAGTGCCTTTAGCATCTGTTTCAACTGTCGTTTCATCGTCATTTAGAACGCGGCTTATCCCAAAGTCTGCCAATTTCATGCGACCTTCGATATCAACCAGGACGTTTGATGGTTTTAGATCTCTGTGCAATATTCCTTTACCATGAAGAAAGTCAAGTCCGGATAGAATTTCCCTAATCATTCGTGGACCTTGCCTTTGTAGATGTTCAATACTGCATGCTTTAACAAGTTCCTTCAAGGTTTCTTCGCAAAGATCAACAATAAGATACATGAAGGTATCGTCACGGTGTAAATGTCGATATTTCACTATAAATGAAGAGTTTGTTTCAATGAGACTCATGATTTCCTTTTCGTTTTCAACTGTTTCATCCTCATTTTGCACCAAAATTCTCTTAACAGCAACTTCACTTCCATCCTTCATGAGACCAACATAGACACAAGAAAAACCACCATCGCCAATTTTGAATTGATTATTTGCGACAAAAGCCTGCATCGGTGATTGAGTCTATGAACGAAAAAGCACAAATTATCTTGTGTGAAAAGTTAAGAGCAAAAACGATTTGAGCATTGTTATCAGTGAAGGCAAATAGTCAAATCTCAGTTACTAAGGCGTATTTCATACGAAGTCGTTGAATTCCGAGAGAGCTTCACGGAATGGCCGCCATGTTGTCGTTTACATGATATTTTAGCTGATAGACGGGGGCGTAGGAAGCATCCAGTGATTGGCGGCACCAGCTTCCTGGGGCACTTTTAGTTAATAAAAAGGGCAGCTAAAACTATGTATAGGTACGGTTTGATTGCCAAAGCTCCAAGGACACCACTAGTGTGGATTATATTTATGCTCTACAAAAAGATTTGGTCACGTGTGAGTGACCACACATACGTATGAAACAATAAGGGCACCTTCGATTTTATAATATTATTTTCAGCCGCATTAGCTTCTCCAAAAAGGCATTTTTCATCACAAAAAGGGCACTTTTTGTCCCTTGAAAAATTTTAGGGTCGCACGTGCCCCCTGTGCCCCCCCCCCCGGGCTCCTACGCCCCTGCAGATAGACATATTTCGAATTATCAAGTATAGCTTGTACGGCTCGGTTTTAAAATATCTTGTGTATGTTTGAAACATTACCTCTTTTAACTGGTTACAATTCATTTTTTTCAACATCTGAATCTTCTCACGATGATTTACTGATCTTTTGAGGATCGTTGTAATTTCATCACGACCAAGGTGAATACTCCATTCAAGAAGACTCATTTGTCTTCCTTCAACAAAAAATGTTCCAGCTCTCCACACAGCGATGTTCTTTTCCAACAGAAGATTGACCAAAGCAACTGAATTTTTCTCAACTGCCATCTTCACAAGAGTGTAAGGGTGAAGAGTCACGTCAGCACCCTTTTCAACTAAATACTTGACAATTTCGAATCTATCAAACGTAACAGCAGCGTGCAGCGCTGTCCACCCGTTAGTATTTTTGTTATTCACCATTTCTAGCCAACTCGCAAAAACAGCATAGTTCAGCACTGTCCTCCCTTTAGTATTCTTGCTATTCACATCAGCGCCATGTTCAACAAGATATTTCACTATTTCTAGCGTGCCTTTAGTAACAGCATAGTGAAGCACTGTCACACCGTCAGTACCCTTGCCATTTACATCAGCGCCATGTTCAAGAAGATATTTCACTATTTCTAGGGTACCTTTAGTAACAGCATCGTGCAGCACTGTCCATCCGTATGCAACCTTGCCATTTACATCAGCGCCATGTTCAACAAGATATTTCACTATTTCTACCTCACCATTATTAACAGCGTAGTGAAGCACTGTCCCACTGTCAGTACCCTTGCCATTTACATCAGCGCCATGTTCAACAAGATATTTCACCATTTCTACCTCACCTTTATTAACAGCATAGTGAAGCACTGTCCATGCGTATGCACCCTTGCCATTTACATCAGCGCCATGTTCAACAAGATATTTCACCATTTCTAGCCTACCTTTAATAACAGCGTAATTCAGCGCTGTCCACCCTTTGTTATCCTTGTCATTTACATCAGCGCCACATTGTTCAACAAAATATTTGACAATGTTTGTTTCACCAACATGAACAGCATGATGTAAAGCAGTTTTACCCCAATCATCTTTGCACTTTAAATCAGCACCACAATGTTTAACCAAAAACTTTACAATTGCTAATGATGGAGACTGCATTGGACTCTGAGAAGCTATTCCATCGTGTCGAAGACGTTTCGAGCCATATTCGCGGACATTTGTATTTCTACTTGATTCTTGCTCCATATCAATTTCCATTTTAAACGTTAAGAACAACCAGCCCAGTGGTGAAGTTTAGTGAGTATCGTTGGGAATAGTTGTGGTTCGACTTTAGAAGAGAAAGAGAAATTTTACTCAGAGTTTAAAACAATTATATTCTTTATGGACCAAATGGTTTACAACTAGTTATCTAATCATCGTGTGTAATTGTTGTAAAATGTTTTATTCGTGCTCGGCCTTTTTATTCGTAGCCTGAGCACTAATAAAATTGGATTCGAGACTTCGAGTACCAATTTTAGCCGTGCCCGCCCGCCGCAGTGTTTCCACAATGCAGGAAATTTCCTGTTTGCAGGAAAATTTACTGCCAAAAAGGACAAAATCAGGATAAAGGAAAATTCAGGACATCTAGAAAAATTCGGGGAATCTAAGGAGATTCTTAAAAACGATTAAAATACACTAATAAGTTCTAATTACTGGACTGCTTTGGGTTTGGGTGTGGTTTGTAGCAGTGCATTTGGTAGGGTCTGCGTTTTTGGACAAATCAGGCTAATTACTACAAATCGACATTGTCTATATTGTCATAAATCGGCAGTCGGCAATCCTGTGCAGAAGAAGGCGGTTTGTTATATTTTTATTCAACATGAAAATAAAAGTGTTAGGGTTCTGTAGAGGTTTTCCTTAGTCTTTATTTACTACATATTTTACATACTACACGCCTAGTCAGCACGTTCTCCAAAGACCCCAAATCCCTCGTGGTCATCCGGGTTACTAGATTAACCACGTGACCTAACTACGTATAATATCAATACACTACATCCCTCCCCAAATTAGAAAATGCAAAGAGACGAAGTTCAAAGCTCAGGACTTAAACGTTCCGACGCTAGAGTACGCTAAAAGTTCAAAATAAGTATGAATTCAACTCTAACACAACGCTCTGAATAAATGTCTTAGAAGTTATATATATATAGTTTCTATCAAGTTCAATGACTATTCGAATTGTCCTCCGTTTCACCACTGCAGCTGTGCACCATATCTGAGAGGATGCCTTCGCGCTCGTCGGGGGTAGCGATGTACCTCGGGGGCTTCAAACTCAGATACCTCAGGTTGACACACTGGATCAGCGAAATCCTCGTCATCACTTGACTCTTCATCGTGATCTTGGGTCGGTGCTTTCTTAAAGTACGATGAGTTGCGGATAACTGTTCCGTTTCTATTGCTTGCTGTCACCATCGAACCATTCTTTGAAATAACGACGTACGGCTCGAGTCGGTATGGAGTATCTCGCTTTCTCTTTGAATCGTCGCGTTTGACGAACACTGTGTCACCTTTCTCAATTGTGGACGGTTGAACATACGCTTTGGCGTCGGCGTATTTCTTCATCTTCGATTTTGCTTTACGATCATTTTCTCGTATTGTTGACTCTTGTTGGCTTGCTTTAAACTCCGTACATTTCTTGTTTCCAATTCTTGCGCTCGACATTCGCAGTCTTGATTACTTTCTTGACCGTTCGTACGAATCGTTCGACCTCGCCATTCGCTCTTGGCCATCGAGGGGTTACCTTCCGGTGTTTAAAACCGAGGGTCCGTGCAAAAGATTGAAATGCACTGCTGTTGAATGGCGGTCCGTTGTCCGTCTTGACCACGTCTGGTATGCCAAATTCAGAGAATACTTTGTCTACTATTGGAATAACCGTACTTGCTGAAGTAGACTTGACAGTTTCGACAACGGGGTATCTGGAGTAATCATCCGTAATTATCAGAAGGTATTCTTTGGTTGGAAGCTCGGCAAAGTCCATGCTGACTTCTGGCCAAACTTTCCTCTCCACCATTTTGTCAATGCCAGGAAACCACACCTTTTCGTGTAGCAATGAAATCGTTTTGACCACTCCCTAAAGACCTTGGGCTAAGTTGATTAAGTGATCTTGTAGCTTCTTGGGTATAGCTATTCTTGTTCCACGAAGGATAACCTGAGGATTCACGTTTGCCGTCAGTTCGTCCTTTACTTTCCGCCATGCTACAAAATCTGCTGTATCTATGCCAGGTTGCTTTGATCCTTCGTGCACTGTGTTTGTTCTTATCGCCGTCATTATTGCTTTTAGTGTTGCATCGGTTTCGGTAGCCTCTTCAATCTCTTGAACTGTTAGCGCGTTTGGCGTTGAGGTTATGGCGATAAAATTGACGTACTCTTCGGTGATCTTTTCTTCTCGGCTGACAGCAGTGGAATGTTTCGAGGGATGGCGTGATAGGTAATCGGCCGGGTTCCCTTCGCCTTTCCGGTAGTGGACTGTGATCTGATACGGCTGGAACCTGAGGGCCCATCTCTCAATTCTCGGAGGGGGTTTTGAGCTTGGGTTGCCAAAAATGGACACTAGGGGTTTGTGATCCGTGTAGACGGTGACAGGTTTGCCATAGATATAAAGATGCAGATGTTCGCAGGCCCAAACGATGGCGAGGGCCTCGCGTTCCGTCTGGCTATAGCGTTGTTCGGTTGCTGTCAAGGACCGACTTGCGTAGGTGATGATGTGGTTGGTTCCGGTTTCAGTGTTTTTCTGCGAGAGAATGGCTGCCAGGCCAACAGGACTTGCATCAACCGAGAGTTTGGTGTCCTTGGTGGGATCGAAGTAGGCTGTGACCGGTGCTTTGACGAGGGCATCTTTGAGCTCGTTAACTGCGTGATCATGCTGCTGTGTCCACTCCCAGGGTTGGTCTTTGTGGGTTAACTTGCGTAACGGTTCGGTCTTCGTTGCGTAATCTGGAATGAACCTGGCACAATAGTTGGTCATTCCCAATAGGCTTCGAACTTCGGACGCAGAGGTTGATGTTTGCAGGTTGGTGATTTCTTCAATCTTCTTGGGGTCAGGTGTGATACCGTCTCCAGAGAAGACATAGCCAAAGAACTCGACTTTGGTTTTGCCGAATTCACACGTGCGTTTGTTGAGGGTGAGGCCACGTTCTTTGAGCCGCTGAAAGACTGCCTCAAGGCTGTGATCATGGTCACTCTGCGTCTTGCCAAAGACCAAGATGTCGTCGCTAATATTGAACGCCCCGGGGATGCCTTCAAGGGTTTCTCGGATCACGTTTTGAAAGATTTCAGCCGCACTCGAAATGCCAAAATTAAACTCCAGTATCGCATCAAGCCCAGGTGTGTTCCAAACGTAGTGATGTATCGTGATTCAGGCGCCAACTCGAGTTGATTGTAGCCTTGGTTGAGATCCAGTTTGCTGAATATTTTGGCTCCGTTCAAGTCACCGATGATCTCCTTGATGGTAGGTGTCACATGACGTTCCCGCTTAATGGCTTGATTCGCCTGGCGCATATTTACACAAACGCGGACTTGTCCAGGGGACTTTGGTTTAGGTGCCACCACGATAGGCGATACCCACGGTGTAGGGCCTTCGATTCGTTCAACAACTCCAAGTTCCTCGTCACATTTGAGCTGTCTCTCCAGCTGCTGGCGTACGTGAAACGGTACTCTTCGATGAGGCTGGACGACAGGCTGGACATTTTCATCAATGTGAAGCTTTATTAGGTACCCTTTCAACTTTCCTAGACCATGGAATAGCTCGTCATGCTCTCTGTCTAATTTCTCGATTCTTGAGGAAATACTGCCGTTGACATTGTGCACTGCTTTCAAAAGTCCGAGTTCCTGAGACGTTCTCCAGCTAAGCAATGAACCACCCGATCCTTTGACTACATAGATTTTGGCTTCGATGTATGTTGACTTGAACTTCAAATCAGTGGTAAACTTCCCTAAGACTGTAAGAGATTCACTTGACTTGTAAGGATATATTTTTACTGTTGTTTTCTGAAGCTCAGGGGGGTTTGATAACGCTCAATAATCTTTCTCATCCAACACATTTACACTTGCACCAGAATCAGCCATGATTGTCATTGGAGTGTCTTGAATGCTAACTTTGAACAAGTGTTGCAATTGTTCTTTACCAGAGCCAATGACAGAAAATGCATAACCAATATCATCCGATTCTTCTGAACTGGCGTCTTCGTCAACTATGGGTTGAATATCACGTTTCTGATGCCTAGGTTCGTTTCGCTTACTATACTTTTTGGATCTACATACAGCTCGGATGTGGATATCCTTTGCCACAGTTCCGACATTTGCGACTATCGCCGGGTGTTTTATTCCGGTCGCGTGAATTCTCGCCGTTTGACTTCCGGTCAACATATTTCGATTTCAAGTGTTCTGTGGCGTGTTTCTTCGCCAATTTATTGATATCTGGCTTGCCTTCGATGTTGTCTGCTTGAGACTTTGACATTTCCATGGCTTTACCGGCGTCCAGTAGCTGTGTTAAGGTCATTTCGTGGTTTTGTAGTGCTTTCATGCAAGTTTGTGCGACAAACAACTCTGTACGATTTGTGTTTTGATCTCTATGTCCGTGTCTGCAAATTCACAAGTGATAGCTAGCCGTCGCAAACGAGTGTGAAACGCTAGTATATTCTCGTCGCTTTCTTGCTTGGCTTTACGAAATACATATACCTCGTATTCTCCATTCTTCTTGGGAGTAAAATAGTTTGTAAGTGCCGTAACAGCCTTTGCGAACGGATTTTCGTCTTCTCCAGCATTTGTATTGGGCAGTGTTTCGAATATTTCATTCACGCTTTCTCTAGCATAGTGCAACAAAAGAGCTCTTCGTCTTTTGGCGTCGTCTACAGCTAATGCTAGCAGAAGATTTCTGAAACGAGTGAGCCATTTCTTCCAGCGAGTATCCACTGCTCCGTCTGAGTGAACATCGAATTCAGCGAAATGGGGTAAAGCCACTGCCATATTCTCCGTTTTTCTTTCGATTTTGTTTGACTTGTTATTGTATGTACCAGTTTGTGTTATTGTAGGGACCTAGATCCCATATCCTCGTCGCCAATTTAGAGGTTTTCCTTAGTCTTTATTTAGTACATATATTACATACTACACGCCTATTCAGCTCGTTCCCCAAAGACCCCACATCCCTCGTGGTCATCCGGGTTACTAGATTAACCACGTGATTTAACTACGTATAATATCAATATACAACAGGTTCTCTGACAGTTGTGAGCGGTTCTTCTTTGCCTTTCATGAAAAATAAGTATATTCTAATAGCGAAAAAACATTAAAAATGTTGGAAATTTTGCAGGAAAAATCAGATTATTGGCAGGAGATTTTAGGAAATTTTAAAAAGAGATCGAGAAGGTTTGTAATTTCATTGTGGAAACACGTTCCGTGCCAACAAACGGCTTTAAACAAAATACTTCTACTTCAAATAAAATATAGGGCTCTGAGGTTAACATAAACGGCTTAACGCTGCTTAACTCACTGATATAATAATATTCGTGTAGTGTGGCAATCACACGGGAATGTGACACACAAACCTCGCACAAATGACAAATATATGCTACTCGTCTCGATCATATGATTTCTAGTCGCTTCTGAGTTCTGCCGTGCTGAAGCAAATCATTGTGATTATAATCTACTTACCTACTTTCAGTGGTTTATATAAGTTCTACATCATGATAAAGATTCTCGTTACAGCATCGAAAATGAAACAAATATATCGGATAAAAATCTCTGTCGTCAAAATCAACTATCGTCTGTGGTATTTCACACCAGTAAGATGCAATTTCCGCTTTGCAGCTCGAGTTACAGATTAAACCCTCTCACCTCCGCAGAGGCTTCGAATGCAAATGCGTTAGATTTTTAAAGATGAGCGCCGCTGAAATTAGAAACGCGGGCGAGGGTCTGCGGAGGAGAAAGGATTAGACCTGCATGGAGCATCTAAACACCACAAAGATTCTACGTGCTTCAATTATATATTTTTACTCTTCGTCAGCAAAAGAAGTGTAAATAAAAACAATCACCGAGTCTCTACTGCTTCTAGCTCTATCTTAACACCTTCCTTCCATACAGCATAAGTCATGTCGCAGGCGATACAGTGTCCATTAAATCTGGGACTATTTACAGTTAGTCTCTAGCAAAATCGTTCTTGCAACGAACAAATATAATCCAATAATTTTAAAGACGTTGTGACAAATGGCTAGTTAGCCTAGTTTGTTCTCGATTGTCCAAACAGCTTTTTTAAAGTCATCTCGGTAACCTGGCTCATGTGAACAGCCCCTCAGTTATGAAATCTTTCTTTCAAATAGTGTACAATATATTGCAGACTGTAATATTGAGGTTCTACTTGAACCAACCACACGTCGTGTTGAGGATATTTTATAGGTAAAAAATATGTATATTTATTCTAACTGGAGCTAATTTCAACTTATTAATAAAAACTACAGCACATTCTGCTAAACTATTATCACGATGATTGAAATAGGATTGAGAATCACGTCGATAGAGCAAATTCGCAAATGATTAAAACACATTCTTGTCGATTTTTTGATTCGGAAAGTGTCGCGAAATGCACGGCGACTTCCGAAGCTGTAAATGATGCTACCGACCATCAAAGTTGCTACCGACCGTTTACGAAATGCTAATCCACGGCGGCCGCGTTCAGCATTTCTTTATTGTCGCCTGATGCGACTTGTTCTGTCGCCCTTGTGTCGAATTTTTGTCGCTCCATGTTTCCCTTTCAAGGAAAAACTTGGGTTGTCCCCTCCCCCCTCTACTATACTATTGTGATAATTATTTTAAAATTAGCTATGTTCTGTCGCCCTTGTGTCGCTCAAAAGTTCCCCTTCAAGGACAAACTGCGGCTGTCCCTCCCCCCTCTACTATATTATTGTGATAATTATTTTGAAATTAGCTATGTTCTGTCGCCCTTGTGTCGCTCAAAGGTTCCCTCTTCAAGGACAAAATTAGGCTAGGAAGGATTCATAATCTAAAACAAACGTCGTGGTTGGTTGTTTGATTGCTCGCTGTGTTCCTTGTGGTTTGCTTAATAAGGAATCCCTCAATACTTCGTGAGCGCGAGGTCTATCATCAATCTTGTGATTAATCAACCACGACACAAACCTACGAGCTTCGTGGTCACCAAGTTTCTCCAAATTGACAGGATTATTCTCTGAAATATTTTTCATTCGATCTAATTCAGATCCAAAAGGATGTTCACCTTTGGTCAACACGTAAAAAGCAATCATACCCGCGACATGGACATCTGATTTTCTTTTGAAACGACCCTTTTCGTTTCTCTTTATGGCTTCAATTACTTCCGGTGGCATCCATCCGCGAGTACCTTTAGCGAATGTTTCAACTGTCGTTTCATCTTCATTTAGAACGCGGCTTATTCCAAAATCTGCCAATTTCATGCGACCTTCGATATCAACCAGGACGTTTGATGGTTTTAGATCTCTGTGCAATATTCCTTTACCATGAAGAAATTCAAGTCCTGATAGAATTTCCCTAATCATTCGTGGACCGTGCTCTTGTACATGTTCAATACTGGATGCTTGAACAAGTTTCCTCAAGGTTTCTTCGCAAAGATCAACAATAAGATACATGAAGGTATCGTCACGGTGAAAATGTCGATATTTCACTATAAATGGAGAGTTTGTTTCAATAAGACTCATGATTTCCTTTTCGTTTTCAACTGTTTCATCCTCATTTTGTACTAAAATTCTCTTAACAGCAACTTCACTTCCATCCTTCATGAGACCAACATACACACAAGAAAAACCACCAGCACCAATTTTGAATTGATTCTTTGCGACAAAAGCCTGCATCGGTGCTTCAGTCTATGGACGAAAAAACGCAAATTATCTTGTGTGAAAAGTTAAGAGCAAAAACATTTGAGCATTGTTATTAGTGAAGGCAAAGAGTCGAATCTCAGTTACTAAGGCGTTTTTCATACTAAGTTGTTACCATGGACACCCCATTCCGAGACAGCTTCACAGAATGGCTGCCATGTTGTCGTTTGCATGATATTTTAGCAGATAGACGGGGGTGTAGGAAGCAACCAGAGATTGGGGGGGCACCAGCTTCCAGGGCAACCTCGTACCCAGGGTCTTTACTCTGGGTCTTTACTCTGGGTACGAGGTTGCTTCCAGGGCATTTTTGGTTAATAAAAAGGGTAGCTAAAAATATGTATAAGGACGGTTTGATTGCAAGGACACCACTGTTGTGGTTTATATTTATGCTCTACAAAAAGATTTGAGCACGTGTGAGTGGCTACGCATACGTATGAAACAACAAGGACACTTTTGATTTTAAAATATTATTTTCAGCCGCATTAGCTTCTCCAAAAAGGCATTTTTCATCACAAAGAGGCACTTTTTGTCCCTTGAAAAATTTTGGGGTTGCACGTGCCCCCGGTGCCCCTCCCGGGTTCCTACGCCCCTGCAGATAGACATATTTCGAATTATCAAGTATAGCTTATACGGCTCGGTTTTAAATATCTCGTGTATGTTTGAAACATTACCTCTTTTAACTGGTTGCAATTCATTGTTTTCAACATCTGAATCTTCTCACGATGATTTACGGAGCTTTTGAGGATAGTTGTAATTTCATCATGACCATGGTGAATACTCCATTCAAGAAGACTCATTTGTCTTCCTTCAACAAGAAATGTTCCAGCTCTCCACACAGCGATGTTCTTTTCCAATACAAGATTGACCAAAGCAACTGAGTTTTTCACAACAGCCATCTTGAGGATGTCAATGCCAAGAGTGTGAGTGTGAAGAGTCACGTCAGCACCCTTTTCAACTAAATACTTGACAATCTGTAATATATTAAGCCTAACAGCAACGTGCAGCACTGTCCACCCATGAGTATTCTTGCTATTCACATCAGCGCCCTTTTCAACCAGATATTTCACTATTATTAGCCTACCTTTAGTAATAGCATCGTGAAGCACTGTCCATCCGTATTTATTCTTGCCATTTACATCAGCGCCATGTTCAACAAGATATTTAACCATTTCTAGCGAACCTTTATTAACAGCATAGTGAAGCATTGTCCGACCGTCAAGACCCTTGCCATTTACATCAGCGCCCTGTTCAACAAGATATTTAACCATTTCCAGCAAACCTTCAGTAACGGCGTATTTGAGCGCTGTCCGCCCTATTTTATCCTTGCCATTTACATCAGCGCCATGTTCAACAAGATATTTCACTATTTCTAGGGTGCCTTTAGTAACAGCATGGTGAAGCACTGTCCATCCGTATGCACCCTTGTCATTTACATTAGTGCCATGTTCAACAAGATATTTCACTATTTCTGGGGTACCGTTTTTAACAGCATCATGAAGCACTGTCCATGGATTAATATCCATGCCATTTACATCAGCGCCATGTTCAACAAGATATTTAACCATTTCTAGCAAACCTTCAGTAACAGCGTAGTTCAGCACTGTCCTCTCATTTTTATCCTTGGCATTTACATCAGCGCCACATTGTTCAACAAAATATTTAACAATTTCTGTCTCGCCAACATGAACAGCATGATGTAAAACAGTTTTGCCCGACTCATCTTTACAACTTAAGTCGGCACCACAATATTTAACCAAAAACTTCACAATTGCTAATGATGAAGACTGCATTGGACTCTGAGAAGCTATTTCATCGTCTCGAAGATGTTTCGAACCATATTCACAGACACTTGTACTTCCACTTGCTTCTTGCTTCTTATCCATTTTTACTATAAACGTTAAGAACAACCAGCCCAGTGGTGAAGTTTAGTGAGTATCGTTGGGAATAGTTGTGGTTCGACTTTAGAAGAGAAAGAAAAATTTTACTCAGAGTTTAAAACAATTATATTCTTTATGGATCCAAATGGTTTACAACTAGTTATCTAATCGTGTGTAAATGTTGTAAAATGTTTTATCGGTGCTCGGCCTTTGTATTCGTAGCCTGAGCACTAATAAAATTGGATTCGAGACTTTGAGTACCAATTTTAGCAGTGCTTCCATTTGCAAGGAAATTTCCCAGCAAAAGAAAATTCTATTTTAGAAAATTGTGGAAGCCCAGAAATTTATTTTTAGCCGTGCCGTGCCAATAAACGGCTTATATCGTTATTTATAATGGCTTGCAATACTGGTATTTTACTTTAACAAAATACTTCTACTTCAAATAAAAAATAGGTTTCTGAGGTTAACATGAACGCTGCTTGACTCTCTGATATAATGATATTCGTGTAGTGTGGTAATCACACGGGAATGCGACACACAAACCTTGCACAAATATATGCTGCTCGTCTCGATCATATGATTTCTAGTCGCTTCTGAGTTCTGCAGTGCTGAAGCAAATCATTGTGATTATAATCTACTCACCCACTTTCAATGGTTTACACCAAATAGTGCACAAAATATTGCAGACTGTAATATTGAAGTTCAACCTGAACCAACCACACGTCGTGTTAAGCTCTTTATATAAACAAGGAAATTTTAATTATAAACATATATATATAAATTATATATATATATATATATATATATATATATATATATATATATATATATGTTTAAAGAATTTAACACAACGTGTGGTTGGTTAAGGCAGAACTTCGATATTACAGTCTGCAATATATTGTTTCAAAGGTGAACAACATGAACAGTGGTTAATAAACCTAGTGAGTTTCGTTGGGATTAGTCGTTGTTCGATTTTCAGCAAAATTTTACTATTCGCTTGGAAAGAGGCTTTATAGCTGAAGCACAGGAGATCTATCTGTTGAGCTAAACATTTCTTGTGGCTGATTGCTCAGACGACACACTACAGACATTTTTATAGATCAGTAGCTTAGCTTAGCAAAGAAGCACCACTGGAAAATAAATAGTGCAATTATAATAGTGCAATTAGAAGGTGTATATTCATTCGTCCTATGCCTGACTGATTTCTTTGATCAGCGATTGCTTAACTGTGTATAAACAAAGTCATAGATTTATGAATAAACACGCTATTTAAACTTCTAGCGACGGCTCTGTACAAATGCATGAGAAGACGGCAATATTCTCACTAAAATTGTCAGTCGTATTTCAACATTTTTATTCGTCAAGAGGAAAAATCTAAACAAACACGTTTATTGGCTTAGAACGAAATCAAATTTCAGACACACGACGAATAGATTTTCGTCCTTGACAACAGGGCTCACTTTTTACATTCGTTTCTAGCAAGGTTTGGGTTTTTAAAGACCGTTTTTCTTTGCACGTCAAAAACGGTCAGAGCAGTTCTTTTGTATTTTACTACACTCCGCGATTACTTGTGCTTTAAGAACCCAGCATCAAATGAAATATATTGTTATTTATGATTCACTGCAATGCTGAAACTTTAAAGTTCTGTTCACACGATCCAATCTCGTCGGATCCAATTCACTTCTGATGGATGTTTATAGTTTGTTGACTTGCAATATATATATGGGCAGGGAATCAACTAAAACCGATGTACTGCTTTATCAATAACAGACTACATTCTATACATCACAAGTGAATTGATTCTACCAAAATGGAATCGTGTGAAACTTTACCTCAACAAAATACCACCATTTGAGGTAACCCCTCTGAGGTTGACATGAACACTTCTTAACTCACTGATATAGAATTCTTGTAGTTAGTTTAGCAATTTAATAATGCGACACACAATGCATTACACAAATATGCGACTCAACCATAACATCATTTCTAGTCGCTTCTGATTTCTGCAGTGCTGAAGCAAATTACTGTGATTATAATCTACTTACCCACCTTCAATCAGTTCAATGGTTTATGTTCTACATCATAATAAAGAGCGTCGTGCAGCTTCGAGAAGAAACGAATAATTTAGATCAAAATTTTGTCATCTTCGTTTTCGGCAAATCAAAGCTAATCTTAGATCAAAATCAGGTGTTGTCGACAGTGGTCTTTGTTATCAAACAACCACATGCTGTGATGTTGAAGACGACCTGCTGAGAACGGATTTCCCCCGCATTGCAAAGGATAAACGAAACTAGTTCTCAGGCTTTTTGGAGTGAAAATCTGGCAATATTTGTCTTCAGAAGTTTGCTTTCACAAAAATGAACACATACAAAAAATATGCAGCTACTTCAGAGCCTCTGCAATAGACAACCCTCAAACAATCAAAATCCCAAACTATACATTCTTGCTTTGAAACAAAATGGCTCTCAGATATTCACATCAATTTTCTCTTTAATTTCCTTGTTATAGAAACGAGATAATGGTTACATCGCCATGGAGTCAAGATCCTAATCCAACGTTGAAAGCTTGATCCAAAAAAATGAAAATATTCTCGAAAGAACAAGGTAATGTCTAAATTTAAGACAAACGTTATTAATGTGGTAATCCCGTAATTTATGTCTATAGTCGCGTTTACACCACGTACTTTGACTTAGATGTGAACGTTGTTTATCCAGCCTGGACCAACCCTGAGCCTGCTCTTGGCCACAAAATTCAGGCCAACAGCAGAAGGTGGCCTGGGGCAAGATTTTGGTAATGTGAACAGGCTTTACCTAGTCCTGACAAATTTCGAACTTAATAGTATGATTTGTAGTGGATATATACTAGTATTACCACTCTTCGGCGTGTTTTGGGTCTTTTCCAAGTATTTTGTCAATTATGTTAGCTATCCGTATATCATCAACAAGGAAGACAGTATGAACGTGGCACACATTACCTAGACCTGATCCAGGCCAGGCCTCAAGTGTAAACGCGGCTTATGACATAGATGTCTGTGTTTATTTAGAATATTCAGGTAAATTTCGGACATGAAAACCATTCCTGCATGTATAACATATGCTATAAGCTGGTTTGTCTTGACTCTTAATGGTTCGGTATTACCGTCCTCTAGCTTGAGTGTAACAGCCCAAAGATTATAAAATATGAATCGTTCTAAGACACTAACTCAAAATACCACCACCAATATAGTAAGTGAAGTCCGGGTTTACCAGGAGAAGCGATTATAAAGCGGTGCTTTATTAACGTAACAACAACAAGGACGATTATGTAAACATGAAGTAGGTAACTATGTGAAGCGGATTAAACCGCTGGCATAGGGACTGGCGCACCTGTAGTTTGTACGTGAAGCTTGTCCTGTGAAAATGACTCAAGACGCGACCTGATCAGTTTACAGGTTGTTGATAGGCTAAGCGGTGCTGGGAAAATATTACGACCCGTCGTTCGGTGTGACATGGCTGTTGCGTTACCTGAGGGGGCAGTTGCCTGGGGGGCAGTTGTCTGGGGGTTACCTCTTTGGGAGGAGAGCCGCGGTGCCCCGCATGCTGGATTAGCGCTGTGAGAGATGATTTTGAATTTGAAACTTCTATGTGGTAAAAATCGACTCTTTTAAGTCTCATTCATAAGCTGTTCCATCGTACGCGTAAAGCGAACGTGTGGCTTCTTAATTTTTTTACTCATTTCATTTGCGCTTTGGTAAACCGCGATCTATCTTCTCCCGAATATTATCAATATTATCCTGTAACTAACCATAGATCGTTCCTTTGATGATTGAGATCAGAGTTGATTGAGATCAGGTACCCCCAGTTGCCTGGAAGGATACCTCTTTGAGAGGAGGGGGCGCACCTACGTGGTGCACTGTATTCTGTGTTTAGCGAGAAATTGTTTCGGATTACGAACTTTTAACCAACAGCTTTTTAAAGCACCATATCTTTTGCCTCGTGCTCCATGCAGATTTTCACACCCCCCGGCCTTCTCTACGCTACTGTAGATAATAGTTTTTTCTATGAAAACGGCTCTTTTTCTATGAATCGCATTTATTAATAAATCAAGACTGTACTATTTAGATTCTACCTGAACCAACAAAAAGGTCTTTATAACAAGGATATTCAGTTAAATGTAATATTTCTGTATATATATATTATTAATAAGTAATACCATGGTTTCTCGTGAAATTTGGATCTGAGTTTTTCAAAGACCTGAAAATTAATAGCACTGGTCCTTCGGACTCGTGCTATTTTGAGGGGTCTTTGAAAAACTCACTCGTGCATGTTATATCCAAACTGCACTCGAAACCATGCTATTACCTATACTAATTGGCACAGGATCGAGAATCACCTCGATAAAACAACCTTGCAAATTATTAAAACACCTTAAACAGCATTCAACGTGTTATCGATTTTTGACGAAAGGATTCGGAAAGTGTCGCGAAATACACGGCGACTTCCGAAGCTGTAAATGATGCTAGCAACCATCAAAGTTGCTACCGACCGTCTATGAAATACAAATCCACGGCGTTGCTTTATTGTCGCTTGATGCGACTGGTCTTGTCGCCTTGTGTCGAATTTTTGTCGCTCCAAATTTCCCCTTCAAGGACAAACTTGGGCTGTCCCTCCTCCCCCCTCTACTATACTATTGTGAATGTGATAATTACTTTAAAATTAGCTATGTTCTGTCATCCTTGTGTCGCTCCAAATTCTTCCTTCAAAGACAAAGTTGGGCTAAGAAGGATTCATCATTTCAAACAAACGTTGTGGTTGGTTGTCTAATTGTTCGCTGTGTTCGTTGTGGTGTTGCTAAATAAGGAATCCCTCAATGCTTCGTGAGCGTGAGGTCTATCATTAATCTTGTGATTAATCAGCCACGACACAAACCTACGAGCTCTGCGATTACCAAGTTTCTCCAAATTGACACGATTATCTTCTAAAATATTTTTCATTCGATCTAATGCAGATCCAAAAGGGTGTTCACCTTTGGTTAACACGTAAAAAGCAATCATACCCGCGACATAGATATCTGATTTTCTTTTGAAACGACCCTTTTCGTTTTTCTTAATGGCTTCAATTACTTCCGGTGGCATCCATCCGTGAGTGCCTTTAACATCTGTTTCAACTGTCGTTTCATCGTCATTTAGAACGCGGCTTATTCCAAAGTCTGCCAATTTCATGCGGCCTTCGATATCAACCAGGACGTTTGATGGTTTTAGATCTCTGTGCAATATTCCTTTACCATGAAGAAATTCTAGTCCGGATAGAATTTCCCTAATCATTCGTGGACCTTGCCTTTGTAGATGTTCAATACTGCATGCTTTAACAAGTTCCCTCAAGGTTTCTTCGCAAAGATCAACAATAAGATACATGAAGGTATCGTCACGGTGAAAATGTCGATATTTCACTATAAATGGAGAGTTTGTTTCAATGAGACTCATGATTTCCTTTTCGTTTTCAACTGTTTCATCCTCACTTTGTACCAAAATTCTCTTAACTGCAACTTCACTTCCATCCTTCATGAGACCAACATAGACACAAGAAAAACCACCAGCACCAATTTTGAATTGATCCTTTGCGACAAAAGCCTGCATCGGTGTTTCAGTCTATGGACGAAAAAGCACAAATTATCTTGTGTGAAAAGTTAAGAGCAAAAACGATTTGAGCATTGTAATCAGTGAAGGCAAAGAGTCGAATCTCAGTTACTAAGTCACTTTTTATACGAAGTTGTTACCATGACACCATGGAGCATCCAGAGATTGGGGGGCACCAGCTTCCAGGGCCACTTTTTGTTAATAAAAAGGGCAGCTAAAAATATTTATAGGGACGGTTTGATTGCTAAAGCTCCAAGGACACCATTAGTGTGGTGTACATTTGTGGTCTACAAAAAGATTTGGTCATGTGTAAGTAGTGGGCATACGTATGAAACAAAAAGGGCACCTTCGATTTTAAAATATTATTTTCAGCCGCATTAGCTTCTCCAAAAAGGCGTTTTTCATCATAAAAGGGGCACTTTTGATCCCTTGAAAAATTTTGGGGTTGCACGTGCCAACTCTGCCCTCCACTCCCGGGTTCCTACGCCCCTGCATATAGACATATTTCGAATTATCAAGTATAGCTTGTACGGCTCAGTTTTAAAATATCTCGTGTATGTTTGAAACATTACCTCTTCTAACTTGTTGCAATTCAGTGTTTTCAACATCTGAATCTTCTCACGATGATTTACGGATCTTTTGAGGATAGTTGTAATTTCATCATGACCACGTTGAATACTCCATTCAAGAAGACTCATTTGTCTCCCTTCAACAAGAAATGTTCCAGCTCTCCACACAGCGATGTTCTTTTCCAACAAAAGATTGATGAAAGCAACTGAATTTTTCTCAACAGCCATCTTCAGGATGTCATTGCCAAGAGTGCAAAGAGTTACGTCAGCACCCTTTTCAACTAAATACTTGACAATCTTTAATCTATTAAACCTAACAGCATCATGCAGCACTGTCCACCTGTTATTATCCTTGCCATTTACATCAGCGCCATGTTCAACAAGATATTTCACTATTTCTAGCCTACCTTTAGTAACAGCAGCTTGCAGCACTGTCCACTCGACGTTATTTTTTTCATTTACATCAGCACCGTGTTCAATGAGATATTTCACCATTTCTAGCGTACCTTTAGTAACAGCAAAGTGAAGCGCTGTCCACCCGTCAGTACTCTTGCCATTTACATCAGCGCCGTTTTCAACAAGATATTTCACTATTTCTACCGTACCTTTAGTAACAGCAAAGTAAAGCGCTGTCCACCCGTCAGTACCCTTGCCATTTACATCAGCGCCGTTTTCAACAAGATATTTCACTATTTTTCGCCTACCTTGAAAAAGAGCTTTGTTCAGCACTGTCCACCCGTTATCATTCTTCCTATTTACATCAGCGCCATGTTTAACAAGATATTTCACCATTTCTAGTCTACCTTTAGTAACAGCAAAGTGAAGCGCTGTCCATCCCTCAGTACTCTTGCCATTTACATCAGCGCCATGTTCAACAAGATATTTCACTATTTCTAGTGTACCTTTAATAACAGCACAGCGAAGCGCTGTCCATCCGTTAATACCCTTGCCATTTACATCAGCGTGATGTTCAACAAGATATTTCACCATTTCTGCCGAACCTTTAGTAACAGCATAGTGAAGCACTGTCTTCCCGTCAGTACCCTTGCCATTTACATCAGCGCCTTGTTCAACAAGATATTTCACCATTTCTGCCGTACCTTTAGTAACAGCATAGTGAAGCACTGTCTCCCCGTCAGTACCCTTGCCATTTACATCAGCGCCTTGTTCAACAAGATATTTAACCATTTCTAGCGAACCTACAGTAACAGCATCGTTCAGCACTGTCCTCCCATTTCTATCCTTGTCATTTACATCAGCGCCACATTGTTCAACAAAATATTTAACAATTTCTGTTTCACCAACATCGACAGCATGATGTAAAGCAGTTTTGCCTGACTTATCTTTACAACGTAAGTCAGCACCGCAATATTTGACCAAAAACTTCACAATCGCTAATGATGAAGACTGCATTGGACTCTGAGAAGCTATTTCATCGTCTCGAAGATGTTTTGGACGATATTCGTGGACACTTGTACTTCCACTTGCTTCTTATCAATTTCCATTTTAAACGTTTACGTTTAAGCCCTGGCAGTGGTGAAGTTTAGTGAGTATGGTTGGGAATAGTTGTGGTTCGACTTTAGAAGAGAAAGAGAAATTTGACTCAGAGTTTAAAACAATTATACTCTTTATGGATCCAAATGGTTGACAACTAGTTATCTAATCATCGTGTGTTAATGTTGTAAAATGTTTTATCCGTGCTCGGCCTTTGTATTCGTAGCCTGAGCACTAATAAAATTGGATTCGAGACTTTGAGTACCAATTTTAGCAGTGCTTCCATTTGCAAGGAAATTTCCCTGCAAAAAAAATTTCTATTTTAGAAAATTGTGGAAGCACTGAAATTTATTTTTAGCCGTGGCGTGCCAATAAACGGCTTATATCGTCATTTATTATTGCTTGCAATACTGGTACCTTACTTTAACAAAATACTTCTACTTCAAATAAAAAATAGGTTTCTGAGGTTAACATGAACACTGCTTGATTCACTGATATAATAATATTCGTGTAGTGTGGTAATCACACGGGAATGTGACACACAAACCTTGCACAAATATATGCTACTCGTCTCGATCATATGATTTCTAGTCGCTTCTGAGTTCTGCAGTGCTGAAGCAAATTACTGAGATAATAATCTACTTACCCGCCTTCAGTGGTTTATTTCGTACATCATAATAAAGATTGTCGATACAGCATCGAAAATGAAACAAATATATTGGATAAAAATCTTGGCAAAGCTATTAAATCTTCGAGCAAAATCAAGTGTCGCCAGTGGTATTTCACAATTAACCAGTCAGCTCCAATTTCAGATTCGCAGCCGGAAGCTTCTCAGTTACAGATTAAACCTTGAACCAGAAACATTGCGCATCTGTTTGATTGGCTATAACTCCACAAAGACTTCATCTACGGCAGCATCATGTTGCCAGAGACGGCAATCACATTTTACCGATTATACATTCTGTATTGCCCCTTCTGCGAAAACAACCCGAAGAAAATATACAATATGAATTGTTTTAGGAAACTGACTTTTCTATGAAAAGGGCTAAAGTTGTTAGTCAACAGATGTGGAAAAATGCCAAATATGATAAACGCGTACGAGTGTGGCAGCGTTCATTGTGTCTCTATAACGTCGCGCCTGATGCGACTAGTTCTCTCGCACTTGTGTCGAACGCTTGTCGCTTCAAATTCCCATACACAATCCCCATACGCTTCAAACACACCATAAACAAACAAACAAACAAAGAATACAGATCTGTCGCAAGTATTTTAACTAGTAGATACATAGAGGGTGAACACCTTTCAGAGACTTAGGGGCTGTTTACATGAGCCCGGTTACCCGAGATTCAACGAAGCGTGAGAGGACTTTGAGGTATTGAAATAAGTCTTTACGACACCAAACAAGCACATGCTATTGTTGTGGTGATTATACGACTGCCAGGATCATGTTATCTGCTCATTTCAATACCTCAAAATCATCTCACGCTTCGTTGAATCTCGGGTGACGTTACGACAAATGGCTAGATAGCTTAGTTTCATGATCTAAGTACAGATTGTAATATTTGTATGAAAATACACGTCTCTTCGTCAAAGTTAACATTTTTTCCACGAGTGAGAAGAAAGTTTCCGATGTGGAAAGGGGGGTTCGTTGCCTTCAGAAAATCCCACACATACACAGTCACAAATTAACACACAAAAAATAAACTGATTATTAATCACATTCACAGTACAATCTCGAACCTCGTTCACGCCGCACGGTAACACAATCTCAACACTTCTCCATCACACTAATCCGTTTTGTCGTAATCTTCAATTGCATGATAATGAAATATGCATTAACTAATGTCCCAAATTAATTAGCTCAGATTACTTAGTAACTAACAACAATTATAATTATGCCGCCACAGTTCCAACACCGAAGCGAGGAAAAAAGTTCGTCAAACCGCGCAGACGGTTGTGAATTTCTAGCTGTTAATAGTCTTTTTATATTTAATAACGTATGAAAATTCAGGAATTATGGAATATCATTATTTATTCACGAGGACGTTTACAACCGTCGAATGTTCCTGTTGAAACGAAAGAAATCAACGTGATTGTGTTATTATTTCGCCAATCCATACGATAAATGCCGATGAACTCTTCAACAACAGAAACGAAACCTGGTTTTATATCGAGGGATATGAAATGGCAAAGTCCACAAAGTCTTTTTATTTACGTCCAGATTATACCAGAACGGTATACAGGTGGGAATGGTGGTTGTGAAGGTGAGATTGGTGGTGGGTGTGCAGGTGGTCCTAACCTCCCACATCTTCGGCGTGTCTTTATCAGGATAAAAAAAGAGCTCCTCAATGCTTCGTCAGCATAAGGTCTATCATTAATCTTGTGACTAATCAGCGACAATATCAATCAATCAATCAATCAAAAACTTTATTTAAGCACGGTAAAATCTACAGTATAAAAAGTGGGCTATAATTATATACATTCATTAGATATTTAGGGACAAAATTACTAAATACAACACAATACAATACAATTTAAAATACAGATATATAAACTGATTTACAAGATTGCCGTGCGAGAGTCTGTTTTATAGGGAAAAAATGTTGTCAATCTCCCTTTTAAATTGGTTAAGAGAGCATAATGCTCGTACATTTTGAGGTAACTCATTCCACAACACCGCGCCACTATAACTAAAACTTCGTTTAGCATAATTTGTTCGCGGTTTTGGTACAAATAAAGCATTTTCAGAGTTTCTCAAATTGTATCCTGTGCTGTAGAATTCAAATAAATTACGGAGATAATTCGGTGTTAAATCGTTAAGAATTTTGAACATTATTACAGCCTTGTGTTTTTTCCGGCGTGTCGAAAGATTGTCCCAACCTAGTTTAGTGAAAAGGTCGCTGGAACTTGCATCGTATCCAGATTTGGTAATTACCCTCGCTGCTCTATTTTGCAGTTTTTGCAATTTATCATTTAACGTGATATTTAAACCATCCCAAACTGACTACAATAATCAAAATACGGTTGAATCAAAGCTCCGTAAATTTTGAGGGCAGTGCTTGTATCTATGAACTGGCGTATCCTTTTAAGAGCACCAATTGCCGACGCAACCTTTTTGGAAATGCCTTCAACGTGTCGCGCCCATACTAGGTGCTCATCAATTTGTAATCCTAATGATTTCGTATCTTTAACTCTCTTGATTATCTTCCCGTCAATTTCAATGTTTATTTGTTCATTATTGTGTATCATTAACCGTTGACGAGATCCAATTATCATAAATTCCGTTTTAGCGACATTTAGACTCAGTTTGTTAGCTATGAGCCATTGATTAAGATTTTTCAATTCAGAGTTAATTATTGATTCAAGCTCTGTTACAGATTTTGCCGCAATACTTATATTAGTATCATCAGCAAACATTCTCGGAGAGGCTCTTTCCAGACAATTAGGCAAATCGTTAATGTAAATTAAAAACAATAGTGGCCCCAAGTTGCTACCTTGAGGCACACCACAACTTATTTTAACAGCCTCAGATAATTCACCATTTACGCAACATCTTTGGCCACGGTTGCTTAGATATGATTCAAAGAGTTTGATGCCGCTTTGGTCAACACCATATATTCTTACTTCCGTAAGAGAATGGTGTGATCAATGGTATCAAATGCTTTTTTGAGGTCGATAAAGACCACTCCATTGAGTAGCCATTATCTATGTTGATTGACCATTTGTCCGTTGCTTCTAATAAGGCAGTTAATGTACTGTGCAATGATCGAAAACCGGATTGAATTTTGGATATCAAATTATTAGCATTTAAATACTCATATAGCTGATCAAAAATCAGTTTTTCAAAAATCTTAGCAACACATGAAATTACGGATATTGGTCGATAGTTGTCCATATCATCTTTTCTACCTTTCTTAAAAATCGGCGTAACTCTTGCTAACTTCCATTCCGTTGGGAATATGCCAGTAGTTATAATCTTATCAAATATTAGAGTTAATGATGGGGCAACGATTTCAGCTGCAAGTTTTAAAAGTTTGCAGGGTATTTTATCCAGACCTGATGCTTTCTTTTCGTTAATCGTTCTTAATTTACTACAAACTGTATTTATTGTGGGGTGTCAATGAAATGTGGTTTCAGTTGGCTCAATATAAACCTCCGGTTCCACAGCAGATGGTGGTATATCAGATGCTAAATTCTCACCTACTTTTGCAAAGTGAGAATTAAACATTTCGGCTATGTCCTTAGGCGCATTTATTGTTTCTTCGCCAATTGTAATATTAGATATGGTCTTATGACTAGAATTATTACGAGAGCTTAATTCATTAATAAGTTTCCAAGTTGACTTTGGATTGTTCTGGTTGGTCTCAAGGTTATCAGTAAAATATTGACTTTTCACTTTTTTAATTTCATTATTCGTAGAGTTCCTTAATGATTTATATTGTTGCCAAATCAATGTGTCTCCAGTCATTTTTGCTTTCTTTTTCAAAAAATCTCTCTGGCGCATTTTTTGTTTTAATTGATTAGTTATCCAAGGGGATTTCTTTTTCCCAATTCTTTTTAATCTGAGTGGAGCATGTTTATCAATGCAATTAAGTAACATCCCTTTCCATCTTACCCACATTTCATTAGGTTCATTGCACAAATTTAATTCTAACCATTGCTGTTGTTTTAAATCTCCTATAAAGTTTCCTCTATGAAAATTTTTCATACTCCTTATTTCAACTAATCGCGCTTCCGCTTTCTTATAATGAACCTTATGTGTCATATAAACTAAAACATGATCACTTATGGAAAGATCAATTATACCTGATTTATGATCTTTGTTGGGGCATTTGTAACGCAAAGATCAATTAGCGTTGAGGAATATGGTGTAGTTCTAGTGGGTTCTTTAATTAGTTGTGTGAGGCCAAAAATTTCAAATATATCATTTAATTTATTAGCATTGGCTGATGTTGCTCCCGGCATAAGGTCCACATTTATGTCACCTAATAGAAAGTAGTCATGATTCGTCAAATCTACCTTCTGTATTATTTTCTCAAAATAATCAAAGTAATACGTTGGCAGATCTGGAGGTCGATACCAAGTGCTAATTAAAAGAGATTTAGACCGAGGCTTAGTTATTTCAACTGTTAAATATTCTAAATCGTCAGAGCTTAAATCATCGCAAATTTTGTAATTAAGGTTGCATCTTACATAGAAACAAACACCACCCCCATGTCTCCCATTTGTTCTCCTATCTTTCCTTACTATTTCATAGCCGGGTATATGGACTTCGTTATCTCCAATTAAAGAATCAAGCTTTGTTTCGTTAATTGAGATAACATCAATATCAGATTCTTTCATAAATATTCGAAATTCATCAATATGCGCAAAAAGGCTATTAATATTTAGTGAGGCCATAACTAGACCTTTGCCAAATGGTTTATAATTAATATTAGTACACTTACGATTTACACTCGGTAGCACGATTCAGACTCCCGCACAGCAGATTGGTCGTCCACACTACCTATTATTGACGTGTTCGCCAGATCATTGTTATTTGTGGCATAAGTACTCTTTTCCGCGTTATATAACGATTTGTCTAACGATGAATTCTTTTCCTTGGCGTCTGTGGTATGATCATCCTCAGAAGCTCCCCCAGATGATGAAGTTCCTTCGGAAAATCCTCAACAGTTGGATGTGAAAGTCGCCGAAGAAATTTGATAAAATGGACAGCCAGGAGCGCTGATCCCTTTGTATTAAGGTGTAACTTAGAGCCATTGAGGCAGGATTCGTCTATGTTCTTATTTGCGATGAATGTATATCCTTTTTTCTTGCATAGATTGTATAGTAATTTATTGGTTTCATGAATCTTTGTTGCTACGTCAATATCTCCTCTCGATATTAGGCCAGATATTGCGATTCTGGCATCTTTAAACTTGTTTTGTACTGTGGAGCTTAGATGCTTAATATTGTCGCAGCATTCTTTACTCGAGTTCTGTATTAAGTTATTCGTTCCAGCGTGTATGATAACATCTGTGGGAGAGGAATGCACATGAGCTTTTTGGAATTCATTTGCTATTTCCTCAGCTCTTTTCCCAGGGTATATTAACTTTCGAACTGAGCTTTTTGATATCTTGTGAGGATTAATATCCTTGATCATTGAATCTCCAATTAGTAGGATGTTTCGCTTGGATTTTGTGCCTTTATGAGTTGTGTTAGTGTTCTCATTCCGATGACCAGTTTCCAAGGTTTTGTCTAAAGATACTTTGCTCACAGAATCATTGGCATCGTCTTCTTGATCACTGATGCTGAGGACTTCGTACCGATTCTTTGACTCAAAAACGCTTTCAGATGTATCTTTACTAGAGCTCTTTACTTTGGTATAATCCCGTTTCTGTGTTTTGCTTCCATCATTGAGGTCTTCTTGTAGGGATCTTGCAGCTGCTCTTAAACTATCGTTCTCAGTTTCCAGTTCTTTAATTCTCTCCCTCTCCGCCGGTAGAACTTTTTCACGTTGGACCAGCTTCAGTGAGGTCATCAGACTCGATTTCTCTTCCTGGAGGTCCAGTACTTTAGCTCTAGCTTCGGACAGAGATTGGAACAAGTTCCTATTTTTCTCTTTTAGCTCGTTATTTTCCCGGTTAAGTTGCAGTTTTTCCTTCCTTAACTCGTTAACAACGTCCTCTAAGACCAGGATAGCATATGCTTTGTTCTCTTTAGTTTCTTTAATTGTTGAAATTTCATCAGCAAGAGCCTCTAGTTTTTGAGTAACACTCTGGGTATATTTCTCTAGCTTAGATTCAATTTCGTAAACTTCTTTTGGGTTTTTGTTGAAGTTTGTACTATTTAAATTACTTGTGTAGTTTTGATCATTTAGCTGTATCTTATCAGTGTTCAGGTTACAGTCTCGTGAGTTTGTATGCAAATTACTGTCTGTTGACTCCGAGATGAAATGCAAATTCCCGATCTTTGAGCTTTGATGTTTTGCAATGGCTTCGCCGCCTGTTTGTGATTCGAGTAATTCGCAATCGCTTTGCACAGTCTCTCTCGTTTCGGTCAAGGGTTCACCGTCCGCTTTGTGTTCAGATGCTGCCTTATTAGTTAGATATATGTCTTTGACTAGGTCTTTGATTTTCAGAGAAGCTTCGCCTTCGAATGATAATACTGACGATTTCTTCGAGTATTTTATTGTTATTTCATCGCTGCTAAAGAGCTTAGTTGATCCACCAGGTGATGTCCAGTTGCCTCCTAAACCCAAGCGCAGCTCGGTAAAAGCTTTCAGATCTTCGAAGGAGCCATTCCATTTGATTTTTGATCCCTCGACTACGAGTTGATTGTTGATAGTAGGTTGAGTCGAAGATTCGCTTTGATTTATACACGCCATGGTGTAGGCAAATTAAAACCGTAATATGTACTAAGCCAATTGTAGTTAGAAATTTTTACAGCAGCAATTACTTGGCGAATTCACAATATTTTCAGCGGAGCCCAAAGTACACGTCTACACACGACCACGAGGTAGCATCCAAAACCATCCAATACAAACTTACGAGCTTCGGGGTCACAAAGTTTCTCCAAATTGACAGGATTATCCTCTAAATTATTTTTCATTCGTTCTAACGAAGAACCAAAAGGGTGTTCACCTTTGGTTAAGATGAAGAAAGCAATCATACCCGCGACATGGACATCTGATTTCTTTTTGAAACGACCTTTTTCATCTTTGTCTATTACTTCAATTACTTCCGGTGGCATCCATCCTGAAGTACCTTTAGCACCAGTTTCAACTGTCGTTTCATCTTCATTTAGAACGCGGCTTATTCCAAAGTCTGCCAATTTCATGCGACCTTCGATATCAACCAGGACATTTGATGGTTTTAGATCTCTGTGCAATATTCCTTTTCCATGAAGAAATTCTAGCCCGGATAGAATTTCCCTAATCATTTGTGGACCATGGTCTTGTAGATGTTCAATACTGCATGCATGAACAAGTTTTCTCAGGGTTTCTTCGCAAAGATCAACAATAAGATACATGAAGGTATCGTCACGGTGAAAATGTCGATAGTTCACTATAAATGGAGAGTTTTTTGTTTCAATGAGATTCATGATTTCCTTTTCGTTTTCGACTGTTTTATCCTCACTTTGTACAAAAATTTTCTTAATAGCAACTTCCCTTCCATCCTTCATGAGACCAACATAGACGCAAGAAAAACCACCAGCACCAATTTTGAATTGATCCTTTGCGGCAAAAGCCTGCATCGGTGCTTCAGTCTATGGGCGAAAAAAGTGTGAAAAGTTATGAGCAAAAACGAATAGAGCATTGTAATCAGTGAAGGCAAATAGTAAAATCTCAGTTACTAAGGTGTTTTTCATACGAAGTTGTTACCATGGACACCCTATTCCGAGACAGCTTCACAGAATGGTCGCCATGTTGTCTTTTACATGATATTTTAGCTGATAGACGGGGGCGTAGGAAGCATCCAGAGATTGGGGGGCACCAGCTTCCAGGGGCACTTTTGGTTAATAAAAAGGGCAGCTAAAAATATGTATAGGGGCGGTTTGATTGCAAGGACACCACTGCTGTGGTTTATATTTATGCTCTACAAAAAGATTTGGGCACGTGTGAGTGGGTATACCTAGGAAACAATAAGGACACTTTCGATTTTAAAATCTTATTTTCGGCCGCTTTAGCTTCTCCAAAAAGGCATTTTTCTACCCTATTTGTTCCTTGAAAAATTTTGGGGTGGCGCCGCAGAGAGACATATTTCGAATTATCAAGTAAGTTTGAAACATTACCTCCTTTAACTGGTTGCAATTCATTGTTTTCAACAACTGAATCTTCTCACGATGTTTTACGGACCTTTTGAGGATAGTTGTAATTTCATCATGACCAAGATGAATACTCCATTCAAGAAGACTCATTTGCTTTCCTTCAACAATTAATGTTCCAGCTCTCCACACAGCGATGTTCTTTTCCAACACAAGATTGAATAAAGCAACTGAATTCTTGACAACAGCCATCTCCATTATGTCAATGCCAAGAGTGTGAGTGTGAAGAGTCACGTCAGCACCCTTTTCAACTAAATACTTGACAATTTCTAATCTATTAAGCCTAACAGCATCATGCAGCACTGTCCACCCGTTAGTACCCTTGCCATTTACATCAGCGCCATGTTCAACAAGATATTTCACAATTTTTAGCGTACCTTTAATAACAGCATAATGCAGCACTGTCCATCCCTTATTATCCTTGCCATTTACATCAGAGCCGTTTTCAACAAGATATTTTACCATTTCTAGTGTACCTTCAGTAACAGCAGACTGTAGCACTGTCCACCCGTAAATAGCCTTGCCATTTACATCAGAGCCGTTTTCAACAAGATGTTTTACCATTTCTAGTGTACCTTCAGTAACAGCAGAGTGTAGCACTGTCCATCCGTATGTATTCTTGCCATTTACATCAGCGCCATGCTCAACAAAATATTTAACAATTTCTAGCGTACGTGTAGTAATAGCATTTTGCAGCACAGTCCACCCGTTATTATTCTTCACATTTACATCAGCGCCATGTTCAACAAGATATTTCATTATTTCAAGCGAACCTTCAGTAACAGCATCGTCCAGCGCAGTCCACCCTCTTTTATCCTTGTCATTTACATCAGCGCCACATTGTTCAACAAAATATTTGACAATGTCTATTTCACCAACATCAACAGCATGATGTAAAGCAGTTTTGCCCGACTCATCTTTACAACTTAAGTCAGCACCACAATATTGAACCAAAAACTTCACAATTGCTAATGATGGAGACTGCATTGGACTCTGAGAAGTTATTTCATCGTCTCGAAGATGTTTTGGACCATATTCACAGACACTTGTACTTCCACTTTCTTTTTGCTCTTTATCGATTTCTGTTATAAACGTTAAGAATGTAAAAATGAGACAATTTTATTTCGAGGGGCATTGCGCCCTTGAGAATTTATTTTTTCTATTGCTTCTAAAGTGAAAAACAAGCCCAGTTGGTATCGTTGGGATGTCATGGTTTCCACGAAATTTTACTCAAAATTTAAGACCATTTCACTAAAAAAAATGCCATACACAGCAAAATTTGATCTAGTTTTCATAAGCTCTCAGCTTTAAAATGAGAATGTTTTTAACGATCTGACGCGAACTTGGTGACAAATATTTATTATATATTTCAGGCTCGTACCCAGGGCGAACTTTAAATAGGCACACTACAGGCTTTAACATAGATCAGTGGTTAAGCTGAGCAAGCGCACGGGGAAGCACCACTGGAATGAAAAATAAAAAGTGAAATAGAATTAAAGACAGCTGAGAATTGGAAATGAATTGTATTGCGCGTTGCTTGACGTCTAATTCTTCTTATGCCCGAGTGATGTCTTTGGAAAGCGATGTTTAACAGTATGCAACATTGACTTATGAATCAACATCTTATTTAAATCTTCTAACGACGGTTCTGTACAAATGCACTAGAAGACGACAAAATTCTCTACCCACGATTGTTCGTATTTCACCATTTTTAATCATTTTATAAGATAAAAAAACCGAGCAAACGCGTTCAACGACTTAGAACGAAATCAAAGTGTCAGACACAAAACGAATAGATTTTCGTCCCTGACTACAGGTCTGACTTTTCAGTTTTCACCTTCATTTCTAGCAAGGTCTGGGTCTTTAAGGACCGTTTTTCTTTGCACGTCAAAAACGGTCAGACGAGTTCTTTTGTATTTTACACAAGCCCGCTATTACTTGTGCTTTAAGAACCCCAGCATTAAATGAAATATATTGCTATTCATAATTCCCTGCAATGCTGAAACTTTAAAGCTCGTTTCACACGATCCAATCTCGTCGGATCCAATTCACTTCTGATGGATGTTTTATGGTTTGTTGACTTGCAATGTATATATGGGCAGGGAATCAACTAAAACCAATGTATTGCTTTATCAATAACATACTACATTCCACACATCACAAGTGAATTGGTTTGACCAAAATGAAATCGTGTGAAACTTTACCTCAACAAAATACCCCCATTTGAGGTAACCCCTCTGAGGTTGACATGAAAACTTCTTAACTCACTGATGTAGAATTCTTGTAGTTAGTTTGGCAATTTAATAATGTGACACACAATGCATTGCACAAATATGCGACTCAACCATAACATGATTTTTAGTCGCTTCTGATTTCTGCAGTGCTGAAGCAAATTACTGTGATTATAATCTACTTACCCACCTTCAATCAGTTCAGTGGTTTATATTCTACATCATAAAGAGCGTCGTCGATACAGCTTCGAGATTGAAACGAATAATTTAGATCAAAATTTTGTCATCTTCGTTTTCGGCGAATCAAACCTAATCTTAGATCAAAATCAGGTGTTGTCGACAGTGGTCTTTGTTATCAAACAACCTCATGCTGTGATGTTGAAAATAACCTGCCGAGAACGGATTTCCCCCGCATTGCAAACGATAAACGAAACTAGTTCTCAGCCTTTTTGGAGTGGAAATCAGGCAATATTTATTTTCAGAAGTTTGCTTTCACAAAAATGAACACATATAAAAATATGCAGCTACTTCAGATCGAGCCTCTACAATAAACGACCCTCAAACAAACAAAATCCCAAACAATACATTCCTGCTTTGAAACAAAATCGCTCTCAGATTATATCAATTTTCTCTTTAATTTCGTTGTTATAGAAACGAGATAATGGTTACATCGTCATGAAGTCAAGACCCTGATCCAACGTTGAAAGCCTGATCAAAAAAGTTCAAAATATTCTCGAAAAAACAAGGTAATGTCTAAATTTAAGACAAACGTTATTAATGTGGTAATCCTATAATTTATGTCTATAGCCGCGTTTACACTACGTGCTTTGACCTAGATGTGAACGTTGTTTATCCGGCCTGGACCAGCCCTGGACCTGCTCTTGGCCACAAAATCCAAGCCAACAGCAGAAGGTGGCCTGGACCTGACCTGGGGGAAAATTTTGGTAATGTGAACAGGCTTTACCTAGTCCTGACAAATTTTGAACTTAATAGTATGATTTGTATAGGATACATACTACTAGTATTACCACTCTTCGGCGTGTTTTGGGTCTTTTCCAAGTATTTTGTCAATTATGTTGGCTATCCGATATCATCAACAAGGAAGACAGTGTGAACGTGGCACATATTACCTGGATCTGATCCAGGCCAGGCCTGAAGTGTAAACGCGGCTTATGACATAGATGTCTGTGTTTATTTAGAATATTCAGGGAAATTTCGGACATGAGAACCATTCCTGCATGTATAATATATGTTATAAGCTGGTTTGTCCTGACTCTTAATGGTTCGGTATTACCGTCCTCTAGCTTGAGTGTAACAGCCCAAAGATTATAAAATATGAATTGTTCTAAGAAACTAACTCAGAATACCACCGCCAATATAGTAAGTGAAGTCCGGGTTTACCAGGAGAAGCGATTATAAAGCAGTGCTTTATTAACGTAACAACAACAAGGACGATTATGTAAACATGAAGTAGGTAACTATGTGAAGCGGATTAAACCGCTGGCATAGGGACTGGCGCACCTGTAGTTTGTACGTGAAGTTTGTCCTGTGAAAATGACTCAAGACGCGACTTGATTAGTTTACAGGTCGTTGATAGGCTAAGCGGTGCTGGGAAAATATTACGACCCGTCGTTCGGTGTGACATGGCTGTGGCGTTACCTGAGGGGGCAACTGCCCCTGACGGGTTACCTCTTTGGGAGGAGAGCCTGGAGAGGTGACATTAACGCGGTGTCCCGCATGCTGGATTAGCGCTGAGAAAGATGATTTTGAATTTGAAGCTTCTATGTGGTAAATATCGACTCTTTTAAGTCTCATTCATAAACTGTTCCATCGTGCGCGTAAAGCGAACGTGTGGCTTCTTAATTTTTTTATTCATTTCATTTGCGCTCTGAACCATGAGAAAACGAGCCAAGGCTTCTTCTTTGCCCGTGTCCCAGGGTGATTACCGCCCCTTCTGCCTTCCCTACGCTGTTGGTGGTTTGTATATGGATATATAGTTTGTCCTGCGAAAGACGAGTTCGGGCGGCCTCAGAACCTGCGTTGCTCTAACGTGTCATACATAGTGCAACTAGTTGTGTCGAACTTTTGTAAGGCTAGAGACTATTCAGAGACTTATGATTATGAAGGCTTTTTATATTGGCCCCGAGTTTTAATTATCTTAATATACAGATTACAATATTAAAAAGTCATAAATCTAGTAATTGTGTCTAAGAGACTTTATACGTGTATCTCATTGCTATCCAGTTTATAAGAACTAACTATAGGTCTACGCCAGGAACCGAGTTGTAAAAGTTGTAAAAATAACTTGATTCACCGTAGAGATTGATAATCCGCGTGGACAAACTTGGGCTTGAAAGGATCCATCAATTCATACAAACTTCGCAGATAATTTATCTTGGCGTACGATCCGACGTTTACCAACGATCTGTAACAATCCCATTGGATTAGCGTCCTATGAAGAAAGAATCTCTCAATGCTTCGTGAGCGTAAGGTCTATCATCAATCTTGTGATTAATCAGATACGACACAAACCTACGAGCTTCGTGGTCACGAAGTTTCTCCAAATTGACAGGGTTTCCCTCCAAAATATTTTGCATCCAATTTATCTTTGATCCAAAAGGATGTTCACCTTTAGTTAAGATGAAGAAAGCAATCATACCCGCGACCTGGACATCTGATTTTCTTTTGAAAGGACCTTTTTCCTCTTTGTCTATTGCTTCGATTACTTCAGGTGGCATCCATCCAGGAGTACCTTTAGCAAATGTTTCAACTGTCGTTTCATCGTCATCTAGAACGCGGCTTATTCCAAAGTCTGCCAATTTCATGCGACCTTCGATATCAACGAGAACGTTTGATGGTTTTAGATCTCTGTGCAATAGTCCTTTACCATGGAGAAATTCAAGTCCTGATAGAATCTCCCAAATCATTCGTGGACCTTGCTCTTGTAGATGTTCAATACTGCATGCATGAACAAGTTCCCTCAAGTTTTCTTCGCAAAGATCAACAATAAGATACATGAAGTTATCGTCACGGTGAAAATGTCGATAGTTCACTATGAATGGAGAGTTTGTTTCAATGAGACTCATGATTTCCTTTTCGTTTTCGACTGTTTTATCCTCACTTTGTACCAAAATTCGCTTAACAGCAACTTCACTTCCACCCTTCATGAGACCAACATAGACACAAGAAAAACCACCATCGCCAATTTTGAATTGATTCTTTGCCACAAAAGCCTGCATCAGTGTTTCAACCTTTGGGCAGAAAATTATAATTAAAAAAACAATAGATTTTCTGTTGGGAGAAGAAAGAAGCAAGAAAAAGCATTCGAGTGTTTAAATAAATGAAGGCAATAAATCTGTAACAGCTTTTACACATCACACGAGCCTGGTTAAACAGGGACGAATCCAAATGCGCGTTGTCGTGCTACCACGTCGTGGATCGTCGTCGTGGAACTTCCATTAATCTTGGTTACTGCCTAAGCTCAATGAAACAACTTCATATATGTTTAAAAAATACTTACCTCTGCTAACTGGTTGCAATTCCTTGTTTTCAACATCTGAATCTTCTCACGATGATTTACGGACCTTTTGAGGATAATTGTAATCTCATCATGACCAAGGTGAATACTCCATTCAAGAAGACTCATTTGCCTTCCTTCCACAAGAAATGTTCCAGCTCTCCACACAGCGATGTTCTTTTCCAACAGAAGATTGACCAAAGCAACTGAATTTTTCACAACTGCCCTCTTCAGGATATTTTACCATTTCTAGCGTACTTTCAGCAACAGCATAATGCAGCACCGTCCGTCTGTAAATATCCTCTCCATTTACATCAGCACCATGTTCAACAAGACATTTTACCATTTCTAGCGTACCTTCAGTAACAGCATAATTCAGCACTGTCTGTCCGTAAATATACTTACCATTTACATTAGCGCCATGTTCAACAAGATATTTTACCATTTCCAGCGTACCTTCAGTAACAGCATAGTGCAGCACTGTCCACCCTACTTTATCCTTGTCATTTACATCAGCGCCATGTTCAACAAGATACTTCATCATTTCTAGCCTACCGTTAGTAACAGCATAGTTCAGCGCCGTCCTCCCTACTTTATCCTTGTCATTTACATTAGCGCCATGTTCAACAAGATACTTCATCATTTCTACCCTACCTTCAGTAACAGCATCGTTCAGCGCTGTCCACCCTACTTTATCCTTGTCATTTACATCAGCGCCACATTGTTCAACAAAATATTTGACAAGGTCTGTTTCACCAACATCAACAGCATGATGTAAAGCAGTTTTGCCCGACTCATCTTTACAGCTTAAGTCAACACCACAATATTTAACCAAAAACTTCACAATTGCTAATGATGGAGACTGCATTGGACTCTGAGAAGTTATTTCATCGTCTCGAAGATGTTTCGAACCATATTCGCAGACACTTGTACTTCCACTTGCTTCTTATCAATTTCTATTATAAACGTTGATGTAAAAATGAAACAATTTAACTCTAGGGGGCTCTTTGAGCCGTTAAGACATTATTTTTTTCATTGCTTCCAAAGTGAACAACAAGCCCAATGATAAAACCTAGTTAATATTGTTGGAATTAGTTGTGGTTCAACTCCTGCGAAGACTTACTCAGAGTTTTATTTTAAGTTTAAGTCTTTAAGACAATTATTTTCCTTAGGGATCCAAGTATCACTAGTTTATTATCTTAAAGTGCAAATGTTGACTTCTTTTTAGTTAATCTGTTGACAGATGCCAGTAGTAAATAAAAGTTGTGAGTTGAGTCATTTTTAGGTACACCGACGTGTGTCCCTATGTAACTGTTGGTTATTTAAGGGTTAGAGACTGTTGTAAGGGTTTTGTTCACAAATAAACGCACGCGCTGACCATACATGATTTTCCTTGATTTTCAATGATCTATCGCCAGGCAACATGAAACCACGTGATTGATTTTGACCAATCACGTGAGTAGATTTATACTTTACAGTTCTATCGCAGCGCACTGGGAATATTATTAGGCAATTATGTATATACTGTAAAGTTACCAAAATTGCGGATTTTTGGACGTTTTCAATTATAATGCTTTCGTTTTTTATTGAACTGGAGTAAAAATGAAGCTCACAAAAGCAAAGTCGTCGCTAATGCTTAATTTAGGCGGTGAATGTATACTCATATATTCATTTTGTGTTCGACTAAGTAATTTCTTTGGGAAGCGATTATTTATATGGTATGTGAACATCAATACGTAAATATACACATCAAATAAGCCTTGTACATATTCTCTCCAACTTTGTTCATATTTTCACATTTTGGGCATTAATATTGCTTTTGTAAAAAGTGCAAACGAATCCCTTGATTGCCATAAATTGCTTCAGTTATATTTATCGCTGTTGCAAGACGAAATATTTAAATAATTTACCCCCTCACAATTTTGGCGTCTAATTTCGGCCACAAAGCTGACTATTCTAAGTTAATTCTTGGTGAAATTTAGTTCTTTAAGGTTAACATGAACACTTCTTCAATCGCTGATATTAAATTGGTGTAGTTTGGCAATGAATCAGGCCTGCGTTGAAATTAAATTATCAACATACGTCATGACACAATGCCACGAATATGTCAAACACGCAGGATTATTTATTAACTTGATCGGTTTATTCCCTACATTCTTAAGAGCGACAATTCAACACCAAAACTAGAGGAAATACTTTGAATAAAGATCTTTGTAACCTTCGTTTTGAATAAACCTAAACGCCATTCAAAATCAAGTATCGTCAGTGGTATTTGTTGGGAACTAAACCACCACATGCTGTGACTCGAAATAACGAAATAACTGAATATTTATCGTTCTCCCAAACTCCCACGCGTGTTTCTATAACCCTATAGAAAGACGGAAAATGTTTTTTATTTTTTAATTTTGAGGCGCTTTTCAAGCACCTTAAACACAATTTCCATTCTTAAGTGTTTTTATGAAGTGCTCTTAAAAATGATTTTTAATTCAAGCACTTTTCAAGAGGTTTAAGAACCTGCACGAACCCTGGAGCAATTTTATTTACAAGACATTTAAAAGTACAAAGTTTGGGCCATTTACAGTGTTATTTCTTATTCAGGATCTGCGAGAGCAAAGGAAGGTATTAACGCTGAAATTCTTGAAAATGTGGAATGAAAATATACAAGAATTCGCTGATGTCTTGCAATGGATTGGCTCATATAAAGGTAAAGTAGCTCAGCCTCTTATCCAGGCTTTTTAGACACAGAGGATGGTGTTGAGCCATTGGTATAAATCAGTGACTAAAAACGAAATGGCGGCGTGTGTGAACCGAACCACTTAGCTATATAATCATTGAGCTAGAAAAGAGTTATTATAGAGCTCAGTGGAGCTCTACCACTGCACTCTAATATATCTGGAGCGATAACTGTGATAAACGTTCACAATAAACGCAGGTGACGTTTCTTTCTAATGCCGGGTAATCAGACAACGTTTAGGGCGATTCTCTTCTTATCATAGCAAAGAAGGATGATAAATTGTGCAGCGATCCATATTTTTGCTCTAAATGTGTATATTATATACTATTCTAAACCAAAAACTACAATATCCGTTTTTGGTGTTATGATCAGGTGAAACTGATTTGAATGTGATTTGAATAGTAATCGTTGATAAAGGCGGGAACCGCGCATAAGAGAAAACTTTTAAAGACCAGGGCGAGTGTAAAGGAATGAGTTCGGCTTGATCAAAAATCTTCAACAAAACGATGTTTTCCATTCAATAACATTAATTTTAAAGCTTAAAGTATTTTTACAGGTTGTTGCTAGTGTTTTACATCGATTTAGGGGAAATACCTTAGATATCAACCAGGGCGTTTGATGGTTTTAGATATCTGTGCAATATTCCTTTCCTATAAAAAAATGGTGGACCAAACTCATGTAAATGTTTATTTGTATCGAGGAGTTCAAAATACTAGAGTCCATAAAGTTATTTTCTACACATAACTAGTTGCTCATAAGATGAGGAAATTGCGATAATTCCTCACAGTGTTTCCTTCATCTCTACAGACATATTCTGTATTTCAATTGCATTAGTCCCCATTAAAGAAAGAATCCCTCAGTGCTTCGTCAGCATAAGGTCTATCATCAATCTTGTAATTAATCAGCCACGACACAAACCTTTGAGCTCGTCTATCGCCAAAGCTTCCTCAAATTGACAGAGTTTCCCTCCAAAATATTTTGCATTCGTTTTATTCGTTGCTCACCTTGCTCGCCATTCTGGTACAGATTAAACCTAGGACCAGAAACATGGCGTATGTGTTTGACTGACTATAACTCCACAAAGACTTCATCTACGGCAGCATGTTGCCTTGTTCTTAGTCTGACTTAGACTGCCGATATATCACACTTTGCGATTATACAGATGTGGGAAAATGCCAAATATGATAAACGCGTACGAGTGTGGCAGCGTTCATTGTATCTCTAACGTCGCCGCCTTGTCGCTTCAAATTCCCCTTTAGGGCTTTAGCTATGCTACTCAATTAGAAAACAAACACATCATAAACAAACAAATAAAGAATACAGATCTGTCGCAAGTATTTAAACTAGTAAATACATAGAGGGTGAACACCTTTCAGAGACTTAAGACTATGACGTTATTACAAATGGCTAGGTAGCCTAGTTTAATGAACTAAGTACAGATTGTAATATTTGTATGAAAATAGACGTCTCTTTGTCAAAGTTAGCCTTTTCTCCACGAGTGAGAAGAAAGTTTCCGATGTGGGAAAGGGAGGTTCGTTGCCTTCAGAAAATCCCACACGTTCACAGTCACAAATTAATTAACACACAAAATAAAATATATTAATCACATTCACAGTACAATCTCTCAATCAATGATGAAATATAAATCGTATTTCACTGTGTAAATTAATTTCATACACGACTTTTGATTGGACGTACGATGTTTTTCACACGTTAAAAATTGTCGTATGTCATTTTGGCGGCAGTTTGTTTACATTTTCTTTCAAGATGGCGTCGAAATATAGGAGTGAGATTCAAAACATAATTCTCATATTCAAGATATTTTTACATTCAGCACAGTCTCAAATCTCTCGGAAAGAATATCTAACTTCTATTGAACAAAATTACAAAGAAACTGAACGGTAATAAATATGTTTTGATGCATAAAATTTCGTTTTTTTGTTGCTCGCTGTGTTTTTGTATATTAAAAGCGTGTCGTTATCAAATTGATCTCTATACATATTTAATAAACAAATTACTTCATAGTTGGCACGTTTATACGAGGATGTTTACGTATTCACGTGGACGTTTACAACCATCGAATGGTTCTGTTGAGATCAACGTGATTGTGTTATTTCGCCAATCCATACGATAAACGCTGATTAACTCTTCAACAACAGAAACGAAGCCTGGTTTTATATTGAGGAATATGAAATGGCAAATTCCACAATTCTTTTTATTTACGTTCAGATTTCAAAGGTGGTCGTGGCCTTCCATGTCTTCGGTGTGTCTTTTTTGTCAAGTAGAAAAAAAAGCTCCTCAATGCTTCGTCAGCATAAGGTCTCTCATCAATCTTGTGACTAATCAGCGACAACACAAACTTACGAGCTTCGGGGTCACGAAGTTTCTCCAAATTGACAGGATTATCTTCTAAATTATTTTTCATTCGTTCTAACGAAGAACCAAAAGGATGTTCACCTTTCGTTAAGATGAAGAAAGCAATCATACCCGCGACGTGGACATCTGATTTTCTTTTGAAACGACTTTTTTCTTTTTTAACTATTGCCTCAATTACTTCCGGTGGCATCCATCCGCGAGTACCTTTAGCATCAGTTTCAACTGTCGTTTCATCTTCATTTAGAACCCGGCTTATTCCAAAGTCGGCCAATTTCATGCGACCTTCGATATCAACCAGGACGTTTGATGGTTTTAGATCTCTGTGCAATATTCCTTTACCATGAAGAAATTCTAGTCCGGATAGAATTTCCTTAATCATTCGTGGACCATGCTCTTTTAGATGTTCATTACAGCATGCTTGAACAAGTTCCCTCAAGGTTTCTTCGCAAAGATCAACAATAAGATACATGAAGGTATCGTCACGGTGACAATGTCGATATTTCACTATAAATGGAGAGTTTGTTTCAATGAGACTCAAGATTTCCTTTTCATTTTCAACTGTTTCATCTTCACTTTGTACCAAAATTCTCTTAACAGCAACTTCACTTCCATCCTTCATGAGACCAACATAGACGGAAGAAAAACCACCAGCACCAATTTTGAATTGATTCTTTGCGACAAAAGCCTGCATCGGTGTTTCAACCTATGGGGAGAAAATTATAATTAAAAAACAATAGATTTTCTGTGGTGAGAAGAAAAAAACAAGAAAAAGCATTCGAGTGTTTAAATAAACGAAGGCAATAAATCTGTAACAGTATTTACACATCACACGAGCCTGGTTAGACGGGGACGAATCCAAATCACTGAGCTATATTAAATTCCTGGAGGATGATGATGGCGGATTTTGAGCTTTGCTGACGCCACAAACAGCTGGGAAATTTGTTGTCGCTGTGCAAAAAATCGCTGGCACATAGCCGCATGTTTATTCGAATTCGAATTTTGAACGAAATTTACAAAGCGAAAGTTTTATGGAGATCTGAACTTTTTTCGGCAATGATCGAAAAGTTTAAAGTATGGAAGCTCCTTATTAGCTCACGGACATTGCTTCTGCTGTTAAAAATGGACTTTTTAACAGTGGATTTTGGTTAAATGTTGCCGACAAAGATTCCATGGCTTCGACGAGCGGTTGTATTTTTCAAACTGCTGTGTTTATTTGTGAATGGCATGGAAACTCTCATGCTAAAGCGGTCTAAATTTACATATTATATAAATTGTAATTACATAAATTGTATTATATAATTTTCAAATGGCTTGGACTGAATATGGGCGAGTGATAAGTACATTCAAATGCGGCAAAGTAGACCGATGGCTTGAACACAATATTGGCGCGCGTGAGTTTGAGCAAAGTCTCTCACCCCAACGTTGACTTCTAAAACGAGAAAAAAGTACGTAATATGTTTCTTACAACCTTTAGTTTCACTTCTCGTTGATATTTCCCCGGATAATTCCGCATTTTTACGGGAACATATGCCTAAGCAGCTGTGAAGTTTGTAAACCTGAGTCACGGGTATTTATTGAGCAAGCCGGATAGCTCGAAATCTCAAGGAAATCTCCAAACTTTTTGCACTAAATTTGGCATCCACATTGTTTGTTGTTTAAGATGAACAGCATTTTGTTGATGTGAAAATTGCCCTTCCCAATGAAATCGTGGATTGTACTTGATGTAGTGAGTATTTGTGTGCTTTTACCGGTTGAGGTGTTCAGCTAAAAAATCAGGAAACTATTTGAAGAAATACGAACATCTTTTGCTATATTCCTTGGCACCAATTTAATAATTGTTGTACAGAAAAGTCAGCCCCGTTACGTTCCGTCGAGCAAGAAATATTCTAAAAGTATGTCCTTGTATTTTTCCGTCCCATTCTGTATTTACGCGTGGTCCCTACTCGACCAGATTAAAAGAAAATTAGCCGAAATCTCCAAAATTCTAATTGTACTTTTGAATTCCCTGGAGGTGTAGAAAGAAAAATTTCAAAATCGTTCGTTTTTAATTATAAATTGCCCTCATAAGTGTGATTTCGCATATAATCTTTGTGTCTGTACATCGTCGTCAAGCGAAGACCAAAGCAACTCTCCAAAAATGTGCTTTGCGGAAGGCTACTTCTTGCAGCATTTAATTTTTTTGGCAGCATTTGCAACACACGGCACAAAATTTATCCCTTTTTATTCCTTTTTATTTTTGATGGCATTAAAAACAAGCAAAATACGGAAAGAAAGTTTGGCTACCATGTTTTTGTTTATATATTTAAAGGTCCCGCCGTGTGGTGCGCGAAATATATTCGTGGGGTACACGCAAGCCGAACTAGCGCATGCGCAACAAATTCCCAGCTGTTGACGCCACATGGTTCCTTTTGCTCATGGTAGTTACCACTGACATACCGCGATACAAGGTGTGTCCATCTCCCTCCTGGTTTTTATGAAAATAATTTCGGCTTTCGGTATATATTTTTTTTGTATTTCATATAAAAAGGATAAAAGTGTTCCTCTTTTTCCCTGTTCAACAAATGGAAAGGAGACGTAACTTCGTGCCCTACGTCTGACGTTGTGAATGGCTTAGTTCACTTATCGGTAGAGTTTTTTTCTCATTTAGCTGATATTTCATAGCATCCAGGTAAGCCGATGTTTATAACAATTTTGTTTTTTGCCTTTGGACTATAGTATAAACTGATTACCAAAGGTTCTGAGCCAATAAATCCATCAGAACTTATAGTACAAACAGCAAATATACTATTTTCGACCCTTTGGTACATATGCACCCAAACTTTATCATTTTTCTTGACTTGTGTGGGGAAGGGATTAAATTTCTGGCAGTGTCAATCTTTTGAGTTTGGTCTATGTTGTTTTCATGATAGCAAATATCAATGTTTATAGGTGAACCTTTCCCCCAGTCAGTCTACTAAATGCCATCATCAATTAACAAAATCTGACTGACAAAAGTGCTTAGTGGGGTGCTGATACAAAGTAATAAGATTTTTGCTGTAAACAGTGTAAAATTTCAATCATTGACACTGAATGATAAAGCCTAGATAATATATTAACTTGTTTGCCTTGTCAAATCCAAAGTCAATTTATCAATTACCATATGGCTCATAATTGATTTTTTAGCTTTTTGCACCTTGTGAATAAATCTTGATCAGATCTCCATTTTTATTTTTTAGGATGAAGTTATGATGCTATGAAATTAAGGTGGCTAGCATGCAAATTGCTGGAACATTGAACTGAGATGAATACAGCACGTTATACACATTGTTATGAATGTGCATTGTTATTCTTACCATGTTCACTGATTTTGTTGTTGGCTGGTGTATTTATAACAATTGTTATATTTATGAAAAAAATAAATATAAACATGCATTGACTGAGCAGTGTGTCTTCAATCTGCACCCACTTTTATAATTTTCTGTTAATGGTATTAACTTCCAAGGGGCTATGTTCATCAGGCTAATCAGAAGTAATGGAGTCTAAGGAGGGATTAATATTATTCATTACTATGGCCAGGGGTCTAATTAGACAATATTGAAAACTTTTATAGCCCATTGAGGTACAAGCTGCACTTAGCATTAGTCAGCTGCCCAGCATCTTGCCTGAGCTTTGGCCTCTTATCCTTTGGATTATGCATAGTTAGCAAGATTAGTCAGCATAGATATAAAGTCCTGAAGACATTCAAGAGAACATCATTAATAATTGCAAACTTTTGATATTATTTCTGCAGTTAAGGGTTCAGAAAAGCCTAAAGCCCTGGTCAAACGAGAATGATAGTTCATGAGAGTTGAGAAGCGAGAGTTCGCACGAGAGTTTTCCAAACTCTCGATGCGACGGTCAAACGAGAATGAGAGTTAATGAGAGTTGAGAACGAGAGTTGATTACCGCGCGCATTAATTTCGTCATTACTCCACTACGTTTTGCTATTTTTTGTTTCTGCCCGTTGTTTTCAGAAGATTTCTTTTTTTTTTGCAAAAAAAATGCAAACCGCTGGCGGTTTTGCAACTCTCATCAACTCTCATGACCGATCAAACGCGCCCAAACTCTCATCAACTCTCATCAAAATTTGAATCAGTTCAAAGACAAAGTCGATGAGAGTTGATGAGAGTGCACGAGAGTGTATGAGAGTTCGCGGTCAAACGCAAGCGAGAGTTGCAACTCTCATCAACTATCATTCTCGTTTGACCAGGGCTTAACTGATGTCCATAAATATCCAGTTGTCCTCACAATATCCGACAATAGTGCCAAAAAGTTCAAGCATTTGTTAAATTTCATATAGGAATGGATAAATAATGAAAATATGATTAAAAAAATAAAAAATAAACCTGTCAGTTATTGTCAGTATTAAAATCTTTAGTTTTGTCCACATTTTTTTGACGTTTTAATATATATTTGTTCTCGCATTGGCAAAAACAGCGTCTACGACTTGTATTCATCTTAAAAAATGCACTTTATTGCAGGCCAGGCTGAAAAATATATCAAAAAAACAAAACAACAAGATTTCACGGCAAAAAAATTCATAAAAACTGGGGGGGAGAACCTGTTGTTTACAAAATCCAGGAGGGAGAATGCTGCTGTAGCGGGCTCAGAATTGAGCCCGGTCAGTGGTAACTACCATGGCCAAAAGGAACCATGTGGCGTCAGCAGAGCTTCTGCGGTTGCGCAGAAGGGTGAAGCCCGCCGACAAAAAGATGGCGGCGAAGTTCATAGAGATTATAAATAACACTAGAGGGGTCATCGAGGAGAAATTGGGGAGCGCGTTAATGGGGAGCAAATTCAAGTCCCGGATGTTCACTCATTCACGATGTCCGAGGCCAAAATATGGCGTTTTTAACGAGTTTTTTTTATTTCTAACTGATTTTTTCCCTAAAATATCATCTTAGGATGTCTAAGGTAGTAAAAACAATTCAAAAAAACACTGTTTTTCCTTAAAAAATCGGCAAAGCGACCTAGAAAACGAATATAATTTTTTTAATACAAATTTTAGTTGTTGCTAACGTGGTTGCTAAGGAGGCATTGATCTAGCCAATCAGCGCTTGGCTTAGCATCCGGGACTAGAATTTGCCCCCCATTATCGCGCTCCCTTTTTCGACTGATGTTTCCGATACCAATGCCTCCTCTAGTGTTATTTATAATCTCTATGGCGAAGTTACCGAAAAATGACGAGCCGGTCCTCCAGGAATTTAATATAGCTCAGTGATCCAAATGCGCGTTGTCGTGCCACCACGTCGTGGATCGTAAACTTCCTACATTAACCTTGGTTACCGCCTAAACTCCTCACTGAGATAACTTCATATATGTTTAAAAAATATTTACCTCTTCTAACTGGTTGCAATTCATTGTTTTCAACATTTGAATCTTCTCGCGATGATTTACGGACCTTTTGAGGATAGTTGTAATTTCATCATGACCAAGGTGAATACTCATTTCAAGAAGACTCATTTGCTTTCCTTTAACAAGAAATGTTCCAGCTCTCCACACAGCGATGTTCTTTTCCAACAGAAGATTGATCAAAGCAACTGAATTGTTTACAACAGCCATCTTCATTATTTCAATGCCAAGACTTCTAACAACCATTCGTTTAGCTAACCTTTCCAGGATTGTCCGCCCGCCGATGTAAATTTTGCCAATTACATCCGCGCCATGTTCAACAAGATATTTCACAATTTTTAGCTTACCTTTAGTAACAGCAGTGTGCAGCACTGTCAATCCGTTAGCATCTTTGCCATTTACATCAGCGCCATGTTCAACAAGATATTTAACCAGTTCTAACATACCTTCAGTAACTGCAGAGTGCAGCACTGTCAATCCGTTAGCATCCTTGCCATTTACATCAGCGCCATGTTCAACGAGATATTTTACCATTTCTAGCCTACCTTTAGTGACAGCGAAGTGCAGCACTGTCAACCCGTTAGTATTCTTGTCATTTACATCAGCACCATGTTCAACAAAGTATTTTACCACTTCAAGTTTACCTTTATTAGCAGCATATTGCAGCACTGTCCACCCGTATGTATCCTTTCCATTTACATCAGCGCCATGTTCAACAAAGTATTTTACCATTTCAAGTTTACCTTTATTAGCAGCATATCGTAGCACTGTCCATCCGTCATTATCCTCGCGATTTACGTCAGCGCCATGTTCAACAAGATATTTAACCATTTCCGGCCTACCTGTACTAACAGCATAGTTCAGCGCTGTCAACCCTATTTTATCCCGGTCATTTACATGAGCGCCACATCGTTCAACAAGATATTTGACAATGTCTGTTTCACCAACATCAACAGCATGATGTAAAGCAGTTTTTCCCAACTCACATTTACAATTTACATCAGCACCACAATATTCAACCAAAAACTTCACAATTGCTAATGACTGCATTGGACTCTGAGAAGTTATTTCATCGTCTCGAAGATGTTTTGGATCATATTCACAGACACTTGTACTTCCGCTTGCTTCTTGCTTCTTATCAATTCCTATTATAAACGTTAAGAATGTAAAAATAAGACAATTTAATTTCGAGGGGTTCTTGAGCCGTGAAGAATTTATTTTTTCTATCGTTTCTAAGCGAGACAGCGCGGTAAACGGGATAAACTTGTCCTATGTTTATATGAGAGCATTCCATCCCGCTTGCCGGGATAGAGTTATTTACAACGCCTTTATTGGCTTTGCGTTTAAAGTTCATATCACATTAGTATCAGCATCTATTAAAGTACGTTGCCACCGTTTGTTCGTTTTTAATCATGTAGTGTTCAAAACTATACATATACATACATACATACATACACCACTTTATTTAAAACACGCTAGCCCCACTCAACTTTAATAATAGTTTATTTCCAGGAGGGGCGTGTGAATAATACAAAGAAAAATTGAAAATAGTACAATATTTACAAGAATAGAGATAAATGTATGAAAGACTAATGAATTATTCTATATTACAGATTAAATGTAAGGATTGAACGCTTGAAGTGCCTAACTGAGGTAGCTTTTTTTGCTTCTGTCGGAAGACTATTCCACATACTTGACGCACTGTATTTGAAATTGCGTTTCAAAAAATTGGTTCTTGGTTTTGGTAATTTTAAATCAGTGTCATAATTTCGCAGATAATAGTAGCCTTCCAAATCTCGGAGTTTTATAAAATTCTTAGTCGGAGCTGAAAGTCCATTGAGGACCTTATACAACAGAACACTCTTCAATTTAGCACGTCTGACATTAAGAGTGTCTAAATTTAATTTTTGCAATATCATGCTGGGACTAACATCGTAATTTGCACCAGTAATCACTTTAACCGCACGGTTTCTGAGCACCTGCAATTTGTCCTTTAAAGGCCGGCGCACACTAGAGCTATGTGCTTAGCAAAAAGTCATTCGTGGCCATTGGTGTAAGCCAGTTGCTCTCGTGTGCGGGCGACTTTAGCCAACGCGTAGACTCAACTTAGTTATAAGTAGAGTCTACGCATCAGCGTTAAAAAGCTTGTTCAATCACGTGGATTTCCCCACAAATGTGGGGAACGCTTGTGATTGGTCAGTTGATAAATATTCAGGATACTGACCAATCACAAGCGTTCCCCATATTTGTGGGGAGATCCACGTGATTGAACAAGCTTTTTAACGCTGATGCGTAGACTCTACTTATAACTTAAGTTGAGTCTACGCGTAGGCTAGGGCGACTTTGGTCATTCGTGCCACCTTTCTGCCTCGCGTGCCGAAATCTTTCCGTGTGCGGCTAACAGAAAGCTATCTGCTTATGGATTGTCTTAACAGCGCATGCGTAATATACGAAAGTAAACATCCATGATGGCGGACAGATTGCAAAAACAAATTTATGGATGGAGTGAAGACGAAGAGGTGTTGTTATTTTTCTTGCTGTTGCGTCGGACTTGCCTAGACTTCCGCTTTAAACACCGTTATCCAAGTGCTATTAATTATATTACCTGTTTGAGAAAGATTACTAGTTTTTTCTGCAATAGCGCATTCCCGTTTCTCTCTGTTTCTAAAATCTGTCGAATTCATATCGTGTAAACACCTGTATTCTGGCCAAAGATCAACCAGTTTGTCTTCCAATATGACCTCAGCCACCAATTCGTATTGCTTTGTTTGCACCGCTATCTTGGATGTTTACTTTCGTATATTACGCATGCGCTGTTAAGACAATCCATAAGCAGATAGCTTTCAGTTTGCCGCACACGGGAAGATTTCGGCACGCGAGGCAGAAATTATCAAACATGCTAGATATTTGCCGTAAGTGGCATGAATGACCAAAGTCGCCGGAAAAGTTGCCCGCACACGAGAGCAACTGGCTTACGCCAATGGCCACGAATGACTTTTTGCTAAGCACATAGCTCTAGTGTGCGCCGGCCTTAAGACCTTAACACAAGTGTCCCACAAAGGAGAGCAGTAATCAAAATACGGCTGAATTAAAGATTTATAAAGTGTCAGAAGAGAAACTAATGAGACAAAAGATTTTATTCTTCTCAAGACACCTATACCAGAACATATTTTTTTACATAATTCGTCGATATATATATATCACGGGCCAGCTTCTCATCAAGATCAATCCCCAGACATTTGTTGGAGGTGACAGATGTCAGAGTTTTGTTGTTCATAGTGACACTAGAGTGTAGATTACCAACTTTAGAGCTTAGATTATATCTAGAGCCTATAACAATAAACTTGGTTTTAGAGGAATGAGACTGGAGTTTGTTTACATTTAACCAGTCAGTTATGTTTCTCAAGTCCGAATTTAAATTTTCCGCTAACTCCACAGAGTCATATGATGAGGAGAATATTTGCGAATCATCTGCATATAGACAGGGCACTGTCGATTTCAAGCAGTTTGGGAAATCATTTATGTCGATTAAAAACATCAGGGGCCCAAGTATTGACCCTTGGGGAACCCCCAATATTATTTTACCTTTTTTTGAGAAAAAAACATTAATTTAGCATTGCTGGTATCGGTTTTTTAAATATGATTGAAACCATTGGAGTTCAACTTCGGAAACCCCATAGTATGTCAGTTTCTCAAGCAAAATATCATGATTCACCGAGTCAAAAGCCTTGCGAATATCGAGAAAAACCACTCCAGTCAGCATTCCCTGGTCCATATTTGTAAACCATGTATCACACATTTGAATCAAGGCGGTTAAGGTGTAGTGCCCCAGCCGAAAACAAGATTGAAATTTTGAAATAAGATTACTGCTGTAGTTCTATTTGCTTGTGTTCTGTGGCTATACCCTATGCCTGTGAGGCAGCACTTCTCTTGCGATAGTAACTTCTAGTTTAAGTAAGTGTCAACCTTATTTATTGATTGGGAAGAAACGCTGAGACTAGTGTGAAGCTACCACAGGATTCACCACAGGATTCGCTCTTCCTCCGAGAACAACAAAATCGAACATATGCGAAGCTAGCACGATATTCATCCGCACTAAATTCGATACGTAAACACAATATATTATTTTTTATTTTGCCGTTAAAAACAGGCAGTATATCAATGAAACTGGTATCGATAGAAAGCTTAGATAACACAGATCCCGAATATGTAATTTTTATTCTGGCCCAAATTCGTCGTCGAATCTTACAGCTTCTAAAACGCAGACGTCTGCCAGCCTGAGATTCGAAATGGCGTATAATGATGTACGTTAAATGTCCGTGAAATACGAGCGAAGTACGCACCCAAAAACGGCTTCACATTCAATGAAACTGGTATCGATAGAAAGCTTACATAACACAGATTCCGAATATGTAATTTTTATTTTGGCCCAAATTCGTCGTCGAATCTTACAGCTTCTAAAACGCAGACGTCTGCCAGCCCGAGATTCGAAATGTCCGTGAAATACGAGCGAAGTACGCACCCAAAAACGGCTTCAAAATTTATGAAACTGGTATCGATAGAAAGCTTACATAACACAGATTTTGAATATGTAATTTTTATCCTGGCCCAAATTCGTCGTCGAATCTTACAGCTCCTGAAACGCAGACGTCTGCCAGCCTGACTTTCGAAATGTCCGTGAAATAACCTTACGTCACAGACCGCGATATTAAACTGGATGGACGCTTTAGATTAAAACACAAATACCTTTGGGCTACTAGGGAAATACGAGCGAAGTACGCACCCAAAAACGGGTTCACATTCAATGAAACCACAGGCAGCCCGGTCACTGCTGTTACGTCATGCTATATACGTAACAGCAGTGACCGGGCTGTCTGTGATGAAACTGGTATCGATAGAAAGCTTGCATTAATAAATATAAATAAAAATAAATAAGTAAATATAAAGCTTCGGTTAAATGTTTATTGTACTACGGTGGCCCATAGGGGACATGCCCATAAATATAAATATATGCCTTTAGAATTTTATATAATACCTTCAGATTTTTAGATGATATCTTCAGAATTCTATATGATGCCTTCAGATTTTTAGATGATATCTTCAGAATTCTATATGATGCCTTCAAAATTCTATCTGATGCCTTCAGAATTTTATATGATGCCTTCAGAATTTTATATGATGCCTTCAGAATTTTATGTAAGGGCCTTCAGAATTTTATATGATTCCTTCAGAATTTTATATGATGCCTTCAGAATTTTATGTAAGGGCCTTCAGAATTTTATATGATTCCTTCAGAATTTTATATGATGCCTTCAGAATTTTATGTAAGGGCCTTCAGAATTTTATATGATTCCTTCAGAATTTTATATGATGCCTTCAGAATTTTTTATGATGCCTTCAGAAATTTATGTAAGGGCCTTCGGAATTTTATGTATAGGCCTTCGGAATTTTATACGATGCCTTGGGAGTTTTTCGTGATGCCGTCGGAATTTTTTATAATATGCGGAATACGAGTAAGGAGTGCGAATGTAGAGTATAGAGTAGAGCGAAGGATCAGAGTATTACAATATTTATGTAAGCAGTGGGAGCGCTACGGGGGTGTGTTGTTTGCCCCCCAGATCTTTTCATGTTACGTAAGTAGTGTAATACTCTTTTAACTTTTAAATACTTTTCTAGTCTTTCCCCCCAAAACAATTCTTTGACCCCTAATTGCCCCCCCCCTCATTTTAACCTGGCGCCGCCACTGTATATAAGAACAAACAAGGGACGTTGCGAAAAGTGCAACCCAGGTCCTCCGGCAGGAATCGAACTATAGCTGAGGTGCGGTTACGGGTATAGGGTTATATGATGTTTGAGAGATTTTGAATTGACAAAATTCTGCTGATTTATAGGGACTAGGCCATGAATTTTGATGAATTTTACATTAAAAAATACAATTGGCATATTTTAGCTTTGTGCCCAAATCTAAAATTCTACAACTTTATTCTAACAATGCTACACGCTTTTTAAAAAACATATCTGTGCGAAAGCCTTCAAATATGGTGGATTGCTTTAACAGAAAAAAAGATTCAGATTGCAATAGTTAAACTCTCCCATCAACCAAATTGTTGTGAAATGTTCATGTAAATCTCATAACTCCAATCTCCTGATTGTTTACTCCCTACTTCCGTAGTTCGTTGTTAAATTAACTCCAAAAGCGGTGTTAAATTATAACACCAGAATTGGAGTTATTTGTTACTCCAAAAAGCTACTCATTTTGAACCTTTTTTTTTGACCCCTTTTTTGGTGTTAAAATAACTCCCTAAAAATAACAGTGCAGTTTCATCACAGACAGCCCGGTCACTGCTGTTACGTATATAGCATGACGAACCCGTTTTTGGGTACGTACTTCGCTCGTATTTCCCTAGGTAGCCCAAAGGTATTTGTGTTTTAATCTAAAGCGTCCATCCAGTTTAATATCGCGGTCTGTGACGTAAGGTTATTTCACGGACATTTCGAATGTCAGGCTGGCAGACGTCTGCGTTTCAAGAGCTGTAACATTCGATGACGAATTTGGGCCAGGATAAAAATTACATATTCGGAATCTGTGTTATGTAAGCTTTCTATCGATACCAGTTTCATTGAATGTGAAGCCGTTTTTGGGTGCGTACTTCGCTCGTATTTCACGGACATTTCGAATCTCGGGCTGGCAGACGTCTGCGTTTTAGAAGCTGTAAGATTCGACGACGAATTTGGGCCAGAATAAAAATTACATATTCGGAATCTGTGTTATGTAAGCTTTCTATCGATACCAGTTTCATTGAATGTGAAGCCGTTTTTGGGTGCGTACTTCGCTCGTATTTCACGGACATTTAACGTACATCATTATATGCGATTTCGAATCTCAGGCTGGCAGACGTCTGCGTTTTAGAAGCTGTAAGATTCGACGACGAATTTGGGCCAAAATAAAAATTACATATTCGGAATCTGTGTTATGTAAGCTTTCTATCGATACCAGTTTCATTGAATGTGAAGCCGTTTTTGGGTGCGTACTTCGCTCGTATTTCACGGACATTTAACGTACATCATTATACGCCATTTCGAATCTCAGGCTGGCAGACGTCTGCGTTTTAGAAGCTGTAAGATTCGACGACGAATTTGGGCCAGAATAAAAATTACATATTCGGGATCTGTGTTATCTAAGCTTTCTATCGATACCAGTTTCATTGATATACTGCCTGTTTTTAACGGCAAAATAAAAAATAATATATTGTGTTTACGTATCGAATTTAGTGCGGATGAGTATCGTGCTAGCTTCGCATATGTTCGATTTTGTTGTTCGCGGAGGAAGAGCGAATCCTGTGGTGAATCCTGTGGTAGCTTCACACTAGTAACGCTGAGAAATATCAAAAATTATAAAAATTGGTTCTATCTCGGCAACCGGGCCAGCCCGCTTGGAGCGTTTATATGAGAATATTTTCATCCTGCTAAGCGAGATCTCGCCTCTTTCGAGCGGGAGAAAGAAATTGAACGGTAATAAACATGTTTTGATGCATAAAATTTCGATTTTTGTTGCTCGCTGTGTTTTTGTATATTAAAAGCGTGTCGTTGTCAAATTGATCTCTATACACATTTAATAAACAAATTACTTCATGGTTGGCTCGTTTGTACGATTTTTACTATGAACTCGTTCGCTACGCTCACTCGTTCGTTTTGCGATCCTTCACAACTCCGGCGTGCATAAAAATCGTACGCACTCGCCAACCATGAAGTAATCTCTATTTATTCGTCATTTATAATTGCATGCAATACTGGTACCTTACTTTAACAAAATACTTCTACTTCAAATAAAAAATAGGTCTCTAAGGTTAACATGAACGATGCTTGATTCACTGATATAATAATATTCGTGTAGTGTGGCAATCACACGGAATGCGACAAACAAACCTTGCACAAATATTTGCTACTCGTCTCGATCATAACATGATTTCTAGTCGCTTCTGAGTTCTGCCGTGCTGAAGCAAATCATTGTGATTATATAATCTACTTACCGACTTTCAATGGTTTATGTTCTACATCATAATAAAGATTCTCGATACAGCATCGAAAACGAAACAAATATATTGGATAAAAATCTTTGTCATCAAAATCAACTATCGTCTGTGCTATTTCACAATAGTCAATAAACCAGTAAGATCCAATTTCCGCTTTGCAGCTCGAGTTACAGATTAAACCTGGAGCCAGAGACCTGGAGCATTTATAACACCACAAAGCTTCTACGTACTTCAATTATATATTTTTTACTCTTCGTAAGCAAAAGAAGTGTAAATAAAAACAATCATCGAGTCTCTACTGCTTCTAGCTCTATCTTAACACCTTCCATGCAGCATAAGTCATGTCGCAGGCGATACAGCGTCCATTAAATCTGGACTATTTACAGTTAGTCCCTAGCAAAATCGTTCTCGCAACGAACAAATATAATCCAATAATTTTAAAGACGTTGTGACAAAAGGCTTAGTTAGTTCTCGATTGTCCAAACAGCTTTTTTAAAGTCATCTTGGTAATCTGGCTCATGTGAACAGCCCCTCAGTTATGAAATCTTTCTTTCAAATACTGTACAATATATTGCAGACTGTAATATTGAGGTTCTACCTGAACCAACCACACTTTGTGTTAAGGATATATATTCACATCTGTCAAAAGAGGAAAATCGCACACAAAATCGCAAGTGTAAACTGGCGTTATCTGATATCATGCATTTGAAAAGCCAGTAAAAGAGAAGATAAAGGAGTACTGTTGGGCTTTAATAGTACCTGGAATTTGAACGTTTCTGCCAGATTCTGGACGGATTGATCAACTTCACCGAGGTAGAGTTCAGGATCAGGAGATCTCCGCGGAGAATACCAATAGATAGATAATTTTAATAGTTTCTCCCAGAAGGGTTTTTCAGAACCTATTTACAATATTTAAGAAATAATTATATTATACTGGATAATTTACAATTAAAACTAAACTATGTTTAATAGAATGTTAAAAAGCTAATAGTATTTACAATGTCGATAACAGGCCAAAATGACAGTAAATGATCTTTCAAATGAGTTTTAAAAGTCTTAAGTGATGTGCATTCCTTCAGTTTACTATCTAGGTTGTTCCAAATCACAGCTCCTCTATACGCAAATGACCGTTGACCTGTCCTTGTTTTGAACCGGGGTATTTGTACTAAGTTGCAATACCTAGTTGACCTATTATGAATAGAAGTTCTCTTCTCGAACATATCACAGAGGTATTTTGGCGCTAAAGTGTTCATGCATTTATAAGTCATAACCGCATCACGGAAATAGAGCAATTTGTCGACAGTCAGCCACTCCAGATCTTTAAGTAATGGGGTTACATGATCATATTTCTTAGATCCTGTGATTATTTTACTTGCAAAATTTTGAACCGATTGAAGTTTCTTCATGTTAGCATTTGTTGTATTTGACCACACTAATATAACATTTTATTGATCACTAACGAGGATATTATCATGGTGAGTGTGCTCTTATCGAAGTTGTTTTTAACTCTGGCACAATTTGTGGAGGCAAGATGATACTACTTTAGAGATATGTTTGTCATAACTTAGGTGTTTGTCCATCAACATTCCTAGATCTTTCGCCCAATCAACAGGTTCTAAAAGCTTTCCCATGAAAGGAACCGAGATATTAACATCGAGCTCTCTTATCAACTGTCTTGTTCCAAGAATCATAAATTTAGTTTTGTCTGGGTTGACCAGAAGACTGTTTTCGCAGCACCAAGTCGCGATCATATGTAGATCTTGTTCCAAGTTTTTTACAGCGTTGTCAACTTCTGATAGAGGAAACGATAACAGTAACTTTGTATCATCTACATATGATTCCAGATTGCCATTGTAGGATGTAGCGGGTAAATCGTTTAAGTATATACAGAAGAGCAGTGGCGATAAAATGGCCCCCTGAGGTACCCCATGAGTTAATAATAGTGGCTCCGATATTGTAGAATCAATACGAGTGACTTGAGAGCGGTCAGTTAGGTAACTTCTAAACCAATTTATTGTGGAATTAGAAGCTCCGACATTGAATAATTTTTGGAGTAGCCTCTGGTGATTTATACTATCGAACGCCTTTGAGAGATCCAGCAACACTAGTGCTGTAAGCTTCTTTTTGTCCATGGCATCTAAGATTGAGTCAGTGGTGAAAATATTTAATGTTTCCGTCGAATGGAGTGTTTTGTTTCCACTTTGGTGGGGAGTTAATCGCTTGTAGTTGATTAAATAGGAATTCAATTGTTCAAGAGCTAATTTTTCACACACTTTCGACGCTACTGCTAGTAGTGACACTGGTCGGTTATTAAAGGGTAGTTCATGATCACCTTCTTTATGTATAGGAATGAGCTCTGCCTTTTTCCATGCCAGTGGAAAGGTAGAAGTTCGGAAAGAACAGTTAATAATATCCGTAAGAGGACCCAAAATCACTGGAAGACAGTCTTTTATTATCTTTGGGTTAATTAAATCTGGGCCGGGAGATTTATTGTTAGGTAAAGATAACACCACTCGACGAACTTCATAACAAGATACCGCCCTAAACGAAAATTGATCGTTTTCCGGTATATAAACTTTTTCATAGGGTTCCTGCAGAGCGATGTTATTAGCAGCTGCTAGATGAATAGATTTCTTTGCAGCATTTTCACCAACTGATGAAAAAAATTGATTGAATTCGTTTGCGATAGATTTGTGATCTTTGGTGTAAATTTGTCTCTCTTGGCTCTTTGATGGTACCAGACGGTTTATTATTTTTCAGATAGACCTCGGGTTATCTTTGTGTTGCTGTACTTCATTAGAATTATGTTCATTTTCTGCCTTCCTGAGAGCTTTTTTAATATTATTTCGGTAGACCTTGTAATTTTCCCAGTCCTTAGTGTCACGCGTAATTAGGAATTGATGGTGTAATCGGTCTCTCTCTTTCATTTGGTTTCTAAGATTTTGTGTGATAAAAGGGCAAAGTCGGTTACGAATCGCTATTGTTTTAATCGGTGCGTGAACATCTAGTGTTGATTGCACAACATGGTTAAAGCGATCGAGTTTGTTATTTACATCTTCCTCTTCCAAAACGGATAAGAGGGAGTCTGACTTTCTAGCTAGATCGGTGAAGAAGTCATTAGGTACATAGTTTTTGTAGCTACGCGTAGTGATATATCTTGTGGCTTGTCTAGGAGGTTTAAGTTTGAGTTCCGCGTACACTGGCAAATGGTCGCTGATAGATGCGTTTAATACCCCACTTCGGCTAACTAACGACTTCGACGACACTATGATGACATCTAGCAATGAACAAGTTGAATTCGTGATCCTCGTTGCGGTTTCGATGATTTGGGTAAGGTTCATTTCATTTAAAAATTTTTCAAGAGATTTATACTCTGCGCAACCACTCTTCAATACATCACAATTTAGGTCTTCTAGGATCAGGATTGGTTTGTTTAATAATAAAGCTTCCATATAGTTTGGCTTAAGAGCGTCTTCCAAACAGTTCAAGGAACAGTCAGGTGGCCTGTAAGTTACACAGATTAAAAACGATTTGGATTTTTTATACTGAACATTTATCCATTGTTGGTGGAAGTTGTCTTCAGAGATAGAAGACAGAGACTTTATGACAGATGCTTTAAGTTCTTTACGAACATACGTGCACACCCCTCCACCTCGTTTATGAAGGCGGTCTAATCTTAAAAGATTGAAACCTTCTATTTTTACTTCAGCAGACGATACACTTGTATTTAGCCACGTTTCTGATATTGTTAAGATATCAAATTGTTTAAGTATGTGTCTATCGGGTCAAGTATCTTATTTGCATTTGCCAGACTTTGCAGGGCATCAGTTCTCGATTGTAAAATTTCATAGTTTAACTTCATATCATCCAATTCCGCCCGGATACTTTCACATGAACACTTACAGCTTGATGTATTTTCTGAGTGATTCATTTCCACTACTTTGGCTTCCATTAGCGTGGACGATGACTTGTCAGCAGTGCAACCCAAATCAAGACGCAAAGCCCTCCTGCTACAAATGTTAACTAGAATTTGTCTTAAACGTTCACCCGCTTTGCCTTGAAATAATACGGTTTTCTGTTTGCCATAGTACCATGTGAAACACAGGTCAGTGAATTCGCTTTTGAAACGCCGAGATTGACCTCCTGGCGATGTCCATTTGCCCGATTCTTTGAGATTATTTTCAACGAATTCTTTCAACAGTTCGTAGTTATTTGTCCATTTGATTCGTTTACCATCATATGTGACATTTAGGTATGCATTATTGCTACATATCGATTCTTCACTCCACTTATCTGGAGTGTTATCTAACAAATTAGTGCCATCAACTTTAGCAAGTGCATCCGCCATGTTGCATATCGAGCGTAGCGGTCTGAATAAGTTGATGATGAGTAATGTTGTTGAGTAACTTCGTTGAAAGTTTGATTGCTCCAGATCGTTCTGTAAGACCGCAGGTGATGGTCTTTGATGGTATGAAATGGTGTTACCACGAGGTGATGTTGGTGGAGTTTGTTTCGTGGGTGATTTACTCCCTTTTGACCATGTTCTGGAATGGTAGAGTTCATGTTGAGTTCTGATGGTGATTATGGTAATGGTACTAGGGATGATTTCGAGCATGAAACCAAATTACCTGAACTTTGATCCGGATGTCACAGGAGATTTTGGTTGTGCTGGGGGAATATTCGTTTTTTCATCAAACGATGCACTTCGTTTTAAACTTGCTTTCTGGTTTTCTAACTTTTCTTGTAAGATATCTGTGAATATCTTTCTTTATCTCTTGGGATGAGTTGCCTTAAATATCAACATGATGATTTGTAACATTTTTATCTAACACAGGATGCTAATTGTTCTTCGTAGAGGTCCAGTAAGGATCATCTCTTATTGATCTAGTGTTACAACAGGAGGAAACCTAAATAACTTTATTTATACTGGATAGCTCTATCAGTTCTAAACTGTTTTTCCTAGAGGTCCAGTAAGGATCATCTCTTATTGATCCAGTATTACTACAGGAGGAATCCTAAACTAAAAGAACTTTATTTATACTGGATAGCTCTATCAGTTCTAAACTGTTCTTCCTAGAGGTCCAGTAAGGATCATCTCTTATTGATCCAGTGTTACTACAGGAGGAATCCTAAACTAAACGAACTTTATTTATACTGGATAGCTCTATCAGTTCTAAACTGTTCTTCCTAGAGGTCCAGTAAGGATCATCTCTTATTGATCCAGTGTTACTACAGGAGGAATCCTAAACTAAACGAACTTTATTTATACTGGATAGCTCTATCAGTTCTAAACTGTTCTTCCTAGAGAACTAAAGTAACTGTATAGCGAGCTTTATTGTCTCAATGAAGTATCCAATGCAAGTCTGCTATGTTTGGCAGAAACTTAGGTGCATTATTACGTACTTGATTGTAGGAATGAGTCTTTTTTGCACCGGTGTTTCCAAAAGTTTCATGATTCCTCTCGCTAGCGTTTCTACGGATTTGTCTTTCGCGAATTTATTTAACAATTTCACGAGTTGAGATCTTTTCTTTTCCTCTCCAACCAAGTAATAGTTCATCTCTTGAAAGAATTCCCTCGCACGACGAAATCTTGAAGCCGTATTACGCTTCTCTATCTCCTCAATCGACTTCACCCCAGCAATCATAACCAACTGCAGCAGCGACCCGGAGGTACTGATCAACCTCTCCACTTCAATATACGTCATTTCTCGCACTGATGTATTATTCACCTCGACCAACATATTCCCAAGTCTTATCCCCGCCACCTTTGCTGGCCCACGTTCTTCCAATTGTGATACAAAAACAGGCCCACCTCCCCGGACCTTAAAACCAAACGTCCCCCTCCGCCTGCGGAGAGTAAAACTCCTTATCCTCGAGATAACACACAGGGCGGGGGGTACCCTCGTGGATTGCTGGGCCAGACTGATCACATCCTCCTTACTCAAGCCCTGAACGTTCACCCCGTCTACCTCCAGAAGTTGATCGCCCGGCCTGAGGCCAGATTTCTGCGCGTACGATTCCTCAAATATATCCGTTATTATAACGGGCGCGTTTCCGCCGATCCGGAATCCGAATTCCTCCGGCCATGGTTCGTCCGCGGCGGTGTTGCTGAAGGCTGTCTCTGCATAGCAACGAACGAGTTGTGATTTAGCGTTGCGATTCTTCAAGCTATAGGATTAGAAATGTATTATAGTTTTATCCAAAAGCAATTTGTAGTTTCCTGTCGTCTCGATTCCACCCCGCTAGCAAAATTCCAGCGGCGATTTCACGCGCTTAGCAACGGATGAATTATTATAATACAATGAATTATGACCACGCGTAGATAAGAAAAGAAATAAGATTAATGTGTGTAATTCAGGTTTACGTTTCCCCAAAGAAAAATGACTTGTGATATATGTAGTATCCCTCGCTTGATAAAACTTGCAATTTAGGAATATATTTGAGAATTTTGAGAATGTCTATTTGAGAGTCGGTTTCTACAATATGAGAATGTCTATTTGAGAGTCGGTTTCTACATCGGCTGGTTATTAATCCTAGCTTGGTCTTAAAATTTATTAAATTAAAAGTACCTGTAGTTTTACCAGCTTTCAAACTTCGCACGACGATCGATAATTACATGAACCATGTGTAAAATAGACATGTAGCTGCTTCCGAGCCTGTACAATAAATGGCGCTCCAAATATTCAAAATCCCAAACAATACATTCTTGCTTTGAAACAAAATGGCTCTCAGGTATTCACATAAATTCTCTCTTTAATTTCCTTGTTATAGAAACGAGATAATGATTACATCGCCATGGAATGAAAACCCTAATCCAACGTTGAAAGCTTGATCCAAAAAAGTTGTAGAAATTCACGAAAGAACAAGGTAATGTGTGATTATTTTCTGATAGCTTCGTCCGGTTAAATTGATATGAGCGTGAACTGTCTTTCGGAATGAGCTTGTGTCAACATATAACGACACTAATCCCTTTGGAAATTTAAATTTTGTTCACTCATTAACCGTTGGCGTAACAATGCACAGGATTGTAGTTTGAAAGTGAGTTTCGTTGTATTGTTTACGCTATAGACTTCGTCATAACAACTGTAGAGTGTAGACTTCGAATGTAATTTAACACCATCATTAATGTGGTGATTCTATAATTTGCTATGTCTTTCCTCGTCTGCATTGCCAGCGATATTTTACGCGTCGTGAGGCCGGTAGAACTGACCAATAGTTTAATAAGTGCAAGATATATCAAGGATATGTCTATGACCTAAATGACTTTGTGGACAGAATGTCTTATCGAGGCAAGTAAACTAGTAACAGAGTTTGCACGATCGTATATCAGAGTCATACTTTGTCACTAAACTATGACATTTCGTAAAGGTCTATATGACATGAGACAGGTTTGACTATTGAGTTTATCTTGCCTCATTTACCAGATATGTCAATGATAAGTGGATTACATAGAGATCATTATGTGTTTAGAATATCCACGAAAATTTCAGGAATGAGAGAATCATTCCTGTATATAGTACAGACATTGCTATGCTAGGCTGGTTTGTACTGACTCTGTCTAGTTCGGTATTTACCCCTCTGAGGAAAATGAATTATTATAATGAATATGAATTATTTGGTGAAATTGACTGTACTTCGGTATATCCCCAGTTGCCTGGGAGGAGGGGGCGCACTTACGTGATGCCCCTATTCTTTGTTTAGCGAGGAATTGTTTCGGATCACGAACTTTTACAAACAGCTTTTTAAAGTACCATATCTTTTGCCTCGTGCTCCATGCAGATTTTCACACCCCCCTGCCTTCTCTATGCTACTGTAGATAATAGTTTTTTTTCTATGAAAACGGCTCTTTTTCTATGAATCGCATTTATTAATAAATCAAGACCGTACTATTTAGATTCTACCTGAACTAACCACATGTTGTGTCAAAAGGTCTTTATAAAAAGGATATTCAGTTAAATGTAAAAATTATCAGTAATGGCTAATGCTCAACGAAAGCTAATTTGGACTTATAGATAAGAACTACGGGACATTCTGCTAAGCACTCGAAACCATGCTATTACCTATACTAATTGGCACAGGATCGAGAATCACCTGGATAAAACAACCTCGCAAATTATTAAAACACCTTACTGAACAGTATTCAACGTGATATCGATTTTTGACGAAAGGATTCGGAAAGTGTCGCGAGATACACGGCGACTTCCGAAGCTGTAGATGATGCTACCGACTGTCTACTGTCAACGAAATACAAATCCGCGACGTTGCTTTATTGTCGCCTGATGCGACTGGTTCTGTCTCCCTTGTGTCAAATTTTTGTCGTTCAAAAGTTCCCCTTCAAGGACAAACTGGGGCTGTCCACTCCCCCCTCTACTATACTATTGTGATAATTACTTTAAAATTAGCTATGTTCTGTCGCCCTTGTGTCGCTCCAAATTTTCCCTTTAAGGACAACCTTGCGCTAGGAACTAGGAAGGATTCATCATTTCAAAAAAAAAACGTCGCGGTTGGTAGTCTAATTGTTCGCAGTGTTCGTTGTGGTGTTGCTAAATAAAGAGTCCCCTGCAATGCTTCGTGAGCGTGAGGTCGATCATCAATCTTGTGATTAATCAGCCACGACACAAACCCACGAGCTTTGCTGTCACCAAGTTTCTCCAAATTGACAGGATTATTTTCTAAAATATTTTTCATTCGATCTAATTCAGATCCAAAAGGGTGTTCACCTTTGGTCAACACGTAAAAAGCAATCATACCCGCGACATGGATATCTGATTTCCTTTTGAAACGACCCTTTTCGTTTTTCTTTATGGCTTCAATTACTTCCGGTGGCATCCATCCACGAGTACCTTTAGCATCTGTTTAGACTGTCGTTTCATCTTCATTTAGAACGCGGCTTATTCCAAAGTCTGCGAATTTCATGCGACCTTCGATATCAACCAGGACGTTTGATGGTTTTAGATCTCTGTGCAATATTCCTTTACCATGAAGAAATTCAAGTCCTGATAGAATTTCCCTAATCATTCGTGGACCATGCTCTTGTAGATGTTCAATACTGCATGCATGAACCAGTTCCCTCAAGGTTTCTTCGCAAAGATCAACAATAAGATACATGAAGGTATCGTCACGGTGAAAATGTCGATAGTTCACTGTAAATGGAGAGCTGCTTGTTTCAATGAGACTCATGATTTCCTTTTCGTTTTCAACTGTTTCATCCTCACTTATCACAAAAATTTTCTTAACAGCAACTTCACTTCCATCCTTCATAAGACCAACATAGACACAAGAAAAACCACCAGCACCAATTTTGAATTGACTCTTTGCGACAAAAGCCTGCATCGGTATTTTAATCTATGGGGAGAAACTTATAATTAAAAAAGAATACGTTTTCTGCGGTGAGCAGAAAAAAGCAAGAAAACATTTCAGTGTTTAAATAAATGAAGGCAATAAATCTGTAACAGTATTCACACATCGCGTTGTCGAGCTACTACGTCGTGGATAGTAAACCTTGGTTACTGCCCAAACTCACTGAAACAAATGTTTAACAAATATTTACACTGTACCTCTTCTAACTTGTTGCAATTTATTGTTTTCAACATCTGAATTTTCTCACGATGATTTACGGACCTTTTGAGAATTGTTGTAATTTCATCATGACCAAGGTGAATACTCCATTCAAGAAGACTCATTTGTCTTCCTTCAACAAGAAATGGTCCAGCTCTCCACACAGCGATCTTCTTTTCCAACAGAAGATTGACCAAAGCAACTGAATTTTTCTCAACAGCAATCTTCATTATGTCAGTGCAGAGAGTATGAACGCTGATTTCACTTTTCAGAGTTATGTCAGCACCCTTCTCAACTAAATACTTGACAATTTCTAATACGCCAGCATTGACAGCAGCATGCAAGACTGTCCTCCCTTTTTTATCCCTGTCATTTACATCAGCACCATGTTCAACAAGATATTTCACCATTTCTAGCGTACCTTTACTACCAGCGGCTTGCAGCATTGTCCACTCGTCAGTATTCTTTCCATTTACATCAGCACCATGTTCAACAAGATATTTCACCATTTCTACCGTACCTTTAGTAACAGCACAGTAAAGCGCTGTCCATCCGTATGTATCCTTGCCATTTACATCAGCGCCATGTTCAACAAGATATTTCACCATTTCAAGCGTACCGTTAGTAACAGCATAGTGCAACACTGTCCGTGCATTAATATCCTTGTCATTTATATTTGCGCCATGTTCAAGAAGATATTTCACCATTTCCGGCCTACTTTTAAAAAGAGCATAGTTGAGCGCTGTCCACCCTGATTTATCCTTGGCATTTACATCAGCACCACACTGTTCAACAAAATATTTGACCACGTCTGTTTCACCAACATCAACAGCATGATGTAACGCAGTTTTGCCCGAATCATCTTTGCAACTTAAGTCAGCACCACAATATTTAACCAAAAACTTCACAATTGCTAATGATGAAGACTGCATTGGACTCTGAGAAGCTATTCCATCGTCTTGAAGATGTTTCGAACCATATTCGCAGACACTTGTACTTCCACTTGTTTCTTGCTTCTTATCAATTTCTATTACAAACGTTTAAGAACAACCAGCTCAGTGGTGAAGTTTAGTGAGTATCGTTGGGAATAGTTGTGGTTCGACTTTAGAAGAGAAAGAGAAATTTACTCAGAGTTTAAAACAATTTTATTCTTCATGGGTCCAAATGGTTGACAACTAGTTATCTAATCATCGTGTGTAAATGTTGGAATTTAAATGTTTTATCCCTGCTCGGCCTTTGTATTCGTAGCCTGAGGACTAATAAAATTTGATTCGAGACTGCGAGTACCAATTTTAGCAGTGCTTCCATTTGCAAGGAAATTTCCCAGCAAAAGAAAATTCTATTTTAGAAAATTGTGGAAGCACTGAAATATATTTTTAGCCGTGCCGTGCCAATAAACGGCTTATATCGTCATTTTTAATTGCTTGCAAAGTTGCAATACTACTACCTTACTTTAACAAAATACTTCTACTTCAAATAAAAAATAGGTTTCTGAGCTTAACACGAATGCAGCTTGATTCACTGTTATAATAATATTTGTGTAATGTGGTTACTGTGGTAATCACACGGGAATGTGACACACAAACCTTGCACAAATATATGCTACTCGTCTCGATCATATGATTTCTAGTCGCTTTTGAGTTCTGCTGTGCTGAAGCAAATCATTGTGATTATAATCTACTTACCTACTTTCAATGGTTTATATAAGTTCTACATCATAATAAAGATTCTCGTTACAGCATCGAAAATGAAACAAATATATGGAATAAAAATCTCTGTCGTCAAAATCAGCTGTCGTCTGTGGTATTTCACAATAGCCAATAAAACAGTAAGATCCGATTTCCACTTTGTAGCTCGAGTTACAGATTAAACCTGCATGGAGCATCTATAACACCACAAAGATTCTGCGTACTGCAATTATATATTTTTTACTCTTCGTCAGCAAAAGAAGTGTAAATCAAAACAATCACCAAATCTCTACTACTTCTAGCTCTATCTTAACACCTTCCTTCCATACAGCATAAGTCATGTCGCAGGCGATACAGCGTCCATTAAATCTGGGACTGTTTACAGTTAGTCCCTAGCAAAATCGTTCTCGCAACGAACAAATATAATCCAATAATTTTAAAGACGTTGTGACAAATGGCTTAGTTAGTTCTCCATTGTCCAAACAGCTTTTTTTATAGTCATCTTGGTAATCTGGCTCATGTGAACAGCCCCTCAGTTATGAAATCTTTCTTTCAAATAGTATACAGTATATCGCAGACTGTACTAATATTGAGGTTTTACCTGAACTAACCACACGTCGCGTAGAGGATATTTTATAGGTAAAAAATATATATATTTATTCTAACTGGAGCTAATTTCAATTTATTAATAGGAACTACAGCACAATCTGCTAAACTATTATCAGGATGATTGAAATAGGATTGAGAATCACCTCGATAAAACAACTTGCATATTATTAGAATACCTTGATTAAACAATAGTATTCAACATGTTATCGATTTTTGACGAAAGGATTCGGAAAGTGTCGCGAGATACACGGCGACTTCCGAAGCCGTAGATGATGCTACCGACCATCAAAGTTGCTACCGACCGTCTACGAAATGCTAATCCACGGCGGCTGCGTTCAGCATTGCTTTATTGTCGCCTGATGCAACTAGTTCTGTCGCCCTTGTGTCGAATTTTTGTCGCTCCAAGTTTTCCCTTGAAGGACAAACTTGGGCTGTCCCCTTCCCCCCTACTATACTATTTTGATAATTATTTTAAAATTAGCTATGTTCTGTCGCCCTTGTGTCGCTCAAAAGTTCCCCTTCAAGGACAAACTGTGGCTGTCCCTCCCCCCTCTACTATATTATTGTGATAATTATTTTAAAATTAGCTATGTTCTGTCGCCCTTGTGTCGCTCCAAATTCCCTATTCAAGGACAAAATTAGGCTAGGAAGGATTCATCATCTAAAACAAACGTTGTGGTTGGTTGTTTAATTGTTCGCTGTGTTCCTTGTGGTTTGCTTAATAAGGAATCCCTCAATACTTCGTGAGCGCGAGGTCTATCATCAATCTTGTGATTAATCAGCCACGACACAAACCTACGAGCTTCGTGGTCACCAAGTTTCTCCAAATTGACAGGATTATCCTCTGAAATATTTTTCATTCGATCTAATTCAGATCCAAAAGGATGTTCACCTTTGGTCAACACGTAAAAAGCAATCATACCCGCGACATGGACATCTGATTTCCTTTTGAAACGACCCTTTTCGTTTCTCTTTATGGCTTCAATTACTTCCGGTGGCATCCATCCGCGAGTACCTTTAGCATCTGTTTCAACTGTCGTTTCATCTTCATTTAGAACGCGGCTTATTCCAAAGTCTGCCAATTTCATGCGGCCTTCGATATCAACCAGGACGTTTGATGGTTTTAGATCTCTGTGCAATATTCCTTTACCATGAAGAAATTCAAGTCCTGATAGAATTTCCCTAATCATTCGTGGACCATGCTCTTGTAGATGTTCAATACTGGATGCATGAACAAGTTCCCTCAAGGTTTCTTCGCAAAGATCAACAATAAGATACATGAAGATATCGTCACGGTGAAAATGTCGATATTTCACTATAAATGGAGAGTTTGTTTCAATAAGACTCATGATTCCCTTTTCGTTTTCAACTGTTTCATCCTCATTTTGTACTAAAATTCTCTTAACAGCAACTTCATTTCCATCCTTCATAAGACCAACATACACACAAGAAAAACCACCAGCACCAATTTTGAATTGATTCTTGGCGACAAAAGCCTGCATTGGTGCTTCAGTCTATGGACGAAAAAACGCAAATTATCTTGTGTGAAAAGTTAGGAGCAAAAACATTTGAGCATTGTTATTAGTGAAGGCAAATAGTCAAATCTCTGTTACTAAGGCGTTTTTCATACGAAGTTGTTACCATGGACACCCCATTCCGAGACAGCTTCAAAGAATGGCCGCCATGTTGTCTTTTACATGATATTTTAGCAGATAGACGGGGGCGTAGGAAGCATCCAGAGATTGGGGGGCACCAGCTTCCAGGGGCACTTTTGGTTAATAAAAAGGGCAGCTAAAAATATGTATAGGGACGGCTTGATTCCCAAAGCTTCAAGGACACCACTTGTGTGGTTTATATTTATGCTCTACAAAACGATTTGGGCACGTGTGAGCGGGCACGCATACGTAGGAAACAATTTTGGTTTTAAAATATTATTTTCAGCTGCATTAGCTTGTCCAAAAAGGGATTTTTCATCACAAAAAAGGCACTTTTTGTCCCTTGAAAAATTTTGGGTTCGAACGTGCGGCCTGTCCCCCCCGGGTTCCTACGCCCCTGCACCCCCCCCGGGTTCCTACGCCCCTGCAGATAGACATATTTCGAATTATCAAGTATAGCTTGTACGGCTCGGTTTTAAAATATCTCATGTATGTTTGAAACATTACCTCTTTTAACTGGTTACAATTCATTGTTTTCAACATCTGAATCTTCTCACGATGATTTACGGACCTTTTGAGGATAGTTGTAATTTCATCATGACCAAGGTGAATACTCCATTCAAGAAGACTCATTTGTCTTCCTTCAACAAGAAATGTTCCAGCTCTCCACACAGCGATGTTCTTTTCCAACAGAAGATGGACCAAAGCAACTGAATTTTTCTCAACAGCCATCTTCAGGATGTCAATGCCAAGAGTATGAACGCTGATTTTACTTTTCAAAGTTACGTCAGCTCCCTGTTCAACAAGATATTTCGCTATTCCTAGCGTACCTTCAGTAACAGCAGTGTGCAGTACTGTCCATCCGTATGTATCCTTGCCATTTACATCAGCGTCCTGTTCAACAAGATATTTTACTATTTCTAGCGAACCATTAGTAACAGCATAGTGAAGCACTGTCCATCCGCAAGTATCCTTGCCATTTACATCAGCGCCATGTTCAACAAGATATTTCGCTATTTCTAGCGAACCTTTAGTAACAGCATGGTGAAGCACTGTCCATCCGTCAGTATCCTTGCCATTTAAATGAGCGCCATGTTCAACAAGATATTTTACTATTTCTAGGGTACGTTTAGTAACAGCATGGTGAAGCACTGTCCATCCGTCAGTATACTTGCCATTTACATCAGCGCCATGTTCAACAAGATATTTTACTATTTCTTCCGTACCTTCAATAACAGCACTGCGCAGTACTGTCCATCCGTATGTATCCTTGCCATTTACATCAGCGCCATGTTCAACAAGATATCTTAATATTTCTAGTGAACCTTTAGTAACAGCAGCGTGCAGCACTGTCAACCCGCGAGTATTCTTTCCATTTACATTAGCGCCATGTTCAACAAGATATTTTACTATTTCTTCCGTACCTTCAATAACAGCACTGCGCAGTACTGTCCATTCGTATGTATCCTTGCCATTTACATCAGCGCCATGTTCAACAAGATATCTTACTATTTCTAGTGAATCTTTAGTAACAGCAGCGTGCAGCACTGTCCATCCGTTAGTATCCTTGCCATTTACATCAGCGCCATGTTCAACAAGATATTTTACTATTTCTACCGTACCTTCAATAACAGCACTGCGCAGTACTGTCCATCCGTCAGTATCCTTGCCATTTACATCAGCGCCCTGTTCAACAAAATATTTTACTATTTCTAGCGAACCTTTAATAACAGCAGTGTGCAGCACTGTCAACCCGCAAGTATTCTTGCCATTTACATTAGCGCCATGTTCAACAAGATATTTTACTATTTCTAGCGAAACTTTAATAACAGCATAGTGCAGCACTGTCAACCCGTAAGTATCCTTGCCATTTACATCAGCGCCATGTTCAACAAGATATTTTACTATTTCTACCGTACCTTCAATAACAGCACTGCGCAGTACTGTGCATCCGTCAGTATCCTTGCCATTTACATCAGCGCCCTGTTCAACAAGATATTTTACTATTTCTAGCGAACCTTTAGTAACAGCAGTGTGCAGCACTGTTAACCCGCGAGTATTCTTTCCATTTACATTAGCGCCATGCTCAACAAGATATTTTACTATTTCTAGCGAACCTTTAGTAACAGCATAGTGCAGCATTGTCAACCCGTAAGTATCCTTGCCATTTACATTAGCGCCATGTTCAACAAGATATTTTACTATCTCTACCGTACCTTCAGTAAGAGCATAGTGCAGCACTGTCAATCCGTCAGTATCCTTTCTATTTATATCAGCGCCATCTTCAATAAGATATTTTACTATTTCTACGGTACCTTTAGTAACAGCACCGTGCAGCATTGTCCAGCTGTCAGTACCCTTGCCATTTACATCAGCGCCATGTTCAACAAGATATTTTACTATTTCTACCGTACCGTCAGTAACAGCATAGTGCAGCACTGTCAATCCGTCATTATCCTTTCTATTTACATCAGCGCCATATTCAATAAGATATTTCACTATTTCTACGGTACCTTTAGTAACAGCATCGTGCAGCATTGTCCAGCCGTTAGTACGCTTGCCATTTACATCAGCTCCATGTTCAACAAGATATTTCACCATTTCTAGCGTACCTTTAGTAACAGCGTAGTGAAGCACTGTCCATCCGTATATATCCTTGCCATTCACATCAGCTCCATGTTCAACAAGATATTTTACTATTTCCAGCGAACCTTCAGTAACAGCATTGTTCAGCGCTGTCCACCGTCTTTTATCCTTGCCATTTACATTAGCGCCACATTGTTCAACAAAATATTTGACAATGTCTGTTTCACCAACATCAACAGCATGATGTAAAGCAGTTTTGTTGAACTTATCTTTACAACTTAAGTCAGCACCACAATATTTAACCAAAAACTTCACAATTGCTAATGATGAAGACGGCATTGGGCTCTGAGAAGTTATTTCATCGTCTCGCTAAGAATGTAAAAATGAGACAATTTAATTTCGAGTGGTTCTTGCGCCGTTGAGAATTTTTTTTTCGTTCCTTAAGTGAAAAACAAGCCCAGCAAGTATCGTTGGGATTAGTCATGGTTTCAACGAAATTTTATTTTTTAAAAAAAAATGCCATACATAGCAAAATTTGATGTAGTTTTCATAAACTATCAGGTTTAAAATGAGAGTGTTTCTGACAATCTGACGCGAACTTGGTGACAAATATTTATCAGTTAAATATTCCAGGCTCGTGCCCAGGGCGATCTTAAAATAGGCACACTACAGTGTTTAACATAGATCAGTGGCTAAGCTGAAGAAGCGAACGGGGAAGCACCACTGGAAGTGAAAAATAAAAAGTGCAATACAATTAAAGCCAGCCCAAAAATGAAAATTGCAAATGAATTGTGTTGCGCGTTGCTTGACGTCTATTTCTTCTAATGACCGACTGGCTTCTTTGGAAAGCGATGTCTAACAGCATGTAAACATTGACTTATGAAACAACACCTTATTTAAGCCTTGTAACGACTGCTCTGTACAAATACATGAGAAGACGACAATATTCTTTCCCCGAGATTGCTCGTATTTCGCCCTTTTTATTCGTCGAGATGAAAAATCTAAACGCGTTCATTGGCTTAGAACGGAATCAAAGTTTCAGACACACGACGAATAGTTCGTCCCTGACAATAGGGCTCACTTTTCACCTTCATTTCTAGCAAGGCTTAGGTCTTTAAGGACCGTTTTTCTTTGCACGTCAAAAACGGTCAGAGCAGTTCTTTTGTATTTTACACAAGCCCGCTATTACTTGTGTTTTAAGAACCCAGCATTAAATGAAATATATTGTTATGTATAATTCACTGCAATGCTAGAACTTTAAAGTTCTGTTCACACAATCCAATCTCGTCAGATCCAATTCACTTCTGATGGATGTTTTATAGTTTGTTGACTTGCAATGTATATATGGGCAGGGAATCAACTAAAACCAATGACAGATCAATAACAAACTACATTCCATACATCACAAGTGAATTGATTCCACCAAAATGGAATCGTGTGAACTGTGAACCTTTACCTCAACAAAATACCCCCATTTGAGTTAACCCTTCTGAGGTTGACATGAGCACTTCTTAACTTACTGATGTAGAATTCTTGTAGTTAGTTTGGCAATTTAATAATGTGACACACAATGCATTGCACAAATATGCGACTCAACCATAACATGATTTCTAGTCGCTTCTGATTTCTGCAGTGCTGAAGCAAATTACTGTGATTATAATCTACTTACCCACCTTCAATCAGTTCAATGGTTTATGTTCTACATCATAATAAAGAGCGTCGATACAGCATCTCGAATGAAACGAATAATTTAGATCAAAATTTTGTCATCTTCGTTTTCGGCAAATGAAACCTAATCTTAGATCAAAATCAGGTGTTGTCGACAGTGATCTTTGTTATGCAAACAACCTCATGCTGTGATGTTGAAGACGACCTGCCGAGAACGGATTTCCCCCGCATTGAAAACGATAAAGGAAACTAGTTCTCAGCCTTTTTCGAGTGAAAATCTGGCAATATTTATCTTCAACGTTTATGAGTTTGCATGCACATTCACATTTTTGACACGAATACAAAAGAATAACAAATCTTGCAACAATCATTGCAAGATATGACTTTGTAGCAATGCGTTTTTGACACTATTCATGTTAAGTTTAAGGTTTGATGACTGTGTGTATCGTATATATTATTAAAATAGAACCTTCCTTATAACTGTCTCTGTCTCAAGATCGCCACAAACAGTTTTCTAATATCTGTGACCCACCTCTTTCAGTTAGAATGAATGTAGTTCAAAGATTTGGTACAGTCCGTAATGTGAGCAATATCCTGTGCTGTGTCAGAATATTTATACGCCCCTGAAAGTGCCATCTTGAAACCATTCTACCTGAATTTCAACCCGGTGACGCAGACGATTTTGATTGTGCAGCGGAAATATTTAATTTTTTTTCAAACGACGCACCTCGTTTCAATCTTACTTTCTTGTTCAATATTATAAGATATTTCTAAACACGAACTTTAAAAATACAAAAAACATGTCACCTGCCTCGGAATCTGTACAATAAAAAAGTTATTTGCTTAAGCGAATAAACATTTTATTGCTTTCGTGGGGATTATAGGGGCTATTCAAGGATTGTGGGGAACGTGGAATGGGGTTTTTGGTCATATATTCATCGCAATTAAACTTGTACAACCTGTTCATTTTCCCGTGGAATATTGCGACATTTCAGTAAATTTACATATCACGATTCACGTGAATACGTGAGCCTACCGTATAAAAGTGAGCATGAACTGTTAGTTCAAGGTCATTGATTTAACATTTCGACTCTCAATCGGCCCCCCGCATAGCTAAATCGCGCACTACCTCCCCATATTTCATTAAAGCTGGTGCTTCCTGGGGAAATTTACTGGTGTAAACTGCCACGAAAATCTGGAAGGCTGAAGTCCACGCATCAATACTGGTTATAGGTTTAGTTTTATTTGCTGGCTCTAAAGAAAGTGTGGGAACCGACTGTTCTCCCGGTGCCAGAGAAAGCTGGTATCGTGTTTCCCCAACATGTGGTTTTAAGAGAGAACCAAAATCAATGAACTCATTAGCCCAGATCTTAGCCTTCACTTTTGGACTGACCAGGGCATCGATAGGAATGTGAACTGAATTAAAGGGGAAACCAGAACCAGATGATGCTGGACGCACAACCGCCATATTAACGTGCTCACCTGTAAGGTGCTCTAAGGCTGATGCCACCGGCCCCTGCACTTGGGCATCAGCCTCATTGCTAGTATGGATGGGTGCCTCCCTGGTATCAGCAACCGATGGAACTGGTGGAGACTGTATAGCTGCAACAACTGCCTGGGCAACCGCCGACGCAATCCTGGTTACGGTTTCGTCTGCTATACCTGAAAGAGGTGCGACAGCCAGGGGAGAATTTGCCGGATCCCGGGAGCCAGAGGCCACAGAAGAATTAGCCTGATCAGGGGAGCCCAAAGATACATTGGTATTGGGTGCTAAGTGTCTGGCTGCATTGCGATTAGATGTTCGTCGAGACCCTGGTGTTGAAGGATTGGCACGACGTTGTATCCGAGTACTCGGACGTGTGGCAGGCATAGTCTAAAGAAAAACTAGAACAAGCCCTTGCAACCAATTATGTTATCTAGGAATGAAGGTCACTACATAACACTATATCACACAACAAGCACATATACACCAAAAAGAAAACTCAAATTATGAGCGGACAAGACAGGTTTCATATGAGCATGGCATACCACAAGGTAGCCGAATACAGAATTGGGTATAACAGCACATAACAACATGATGGCAACCATCTGTGTATTGAACCCAGCAATGGGCATCTGCAGTAAACATTGCTATCCCATGTATGCATACTAATACATTAGTGGAGAGGCAACCATGGCATATTACGTGCGATCACGTATGTAAATTCCCCACTGAATGTAATTGCTGAGTTCTCAACAGGGGTCATAACAGCCATAACCATATGTGCACCCAAACATTCATGCTTAGATCTTACCCATAAGGGTAAGTTCTATTCCCCATTGCCTCAGGATGTTACCTTTAGCCACCAATAAGTGCTCCCAAAAGGTGGAAACACTTGTTTGAATAAATAATCAATCGTAACATTTAACAAGAAATAGCATATACCATGTCCATAATAAAATAAATATCATCATATATAAAAACAAACATCAAACATCAAATGGTGAGAAGTATTAACCAACAAATAATATAACATAAACAATAAAACAAAAACACGCAAACATAGATCCGTGCTGGGAAAAGGTGGTAGAATCCCGAGCAAGGGCAATTAATGTAAAAACTTGAGAGCCTTCAGGATGGCCCCCGATAACTTTTATATAAATAAAACTGCCCTTTTGGGTTACAGTGCACCCCATCCGGAGATAGTAAATTATGTCCAGCTTTACGGAATGGCCGATGTTCCCATAGGAGAACACCAGGCATCTGATCAAGCACCACAGATAAATATTGCCGCAAAAGTGCTGCCTTGTTGTTAAAAACGTTATCAGGTGTTTGTGAATGTGAGATATAACGGTCAATTACTTGGCAAACAACGACAACACTAACATGCAGAGTATCACGTAAAAATACGGTTAATTCTTCCAAACGCGAGCCAGCCGCCTCAGGAGACATAACGGACAAGTCATTTGTGCCTAATTCCAAAATAATAATGTCCGGCCGTTGACTTTTTAGATATGGCAGGTCATATTTAAAGACCTTGTCAACAGTGCGACCGCCCACGCCGTGTAAATACACGCCTGCGGAAGACGCCAAATTAAAATTTTGTTTGGCACGTAAATCAAATGCATTATCTAAGTCATTCTGCAGACGACGTACAAACGAATGGCCAAAAATTAAAACCTGTGGTACTGAACCATCCATAGTTACAACACAAATAATAAAATGAAAGGTACGATACCTGTTAATAATGAATGAGCGATATTCAGGCTGAGAGTCGAAATGTTAAATCAATGACCTTGAACTAACAGTTCATGCTCACTTTTATACGGTAGGCTCACGTATTCACGTGAATCGTGATATGTAAATTTACTGAAATGTCGCAATATTCCACGGGAAAATGAACAGGTTGTACAAGTTTAATTGCGATGAATATATGACCAAAAACCCCATTCCACGTTCCCCACAATCCTTGAACAATTTTCTGTAATTTGCTACATTTGCTTAATAAACCGGCATTGTGTTTTGGCACACTGCCATTTATTTATCCAAACCGGAGTATGTTATAATTCTTTATAATACGGTCCTCACACAGAAAACAGAGCTCACCCGGTCTATCATTGCCACCAGAGTATTGGTCTTCATAAATTTATTTTACTATATGAGCTGCACCGCGAAAGCGATAAATGGCACTCCAAACAATCAAAATCCCAA